CTCAGTGGTCTCGGTATGCTCAGTGGTCTCGGTATGCTCAGTGGTCTCGGTATGCTCAGTGGTCTCGGTATGCTCAGTGGTCTCGGTATGCTCAGAGACTTCGGCACTCTCAAAGGTCTCAGTGTTCACACCCGTAGAAGACGTCTCGGACGAAGAGGCTGAGAACTTGTCAACATATTGCATCCTCGGTTACAGCCTTGCTGTTATCACAACTGACAATTCTGTTCACCTTTAGCCTCCTCCTCCGCTAGCCACTTTTTGTATTCCTCGACGAAGGGTCCGGCATTAGGTGACAACTTTCCCTGAACGAAATTCTGGAAGTAGTGTTCGTCTAGAAGCTTAGAGGTTAGCAATTGGCCGGCGTGATGCAAGAATTCCCGTTTTTACAACTCACAAAGGGAGACTTCGGTGTAGTTGCGACGAAGAGGCTCGTTAGGGCTCTCCTGGTGCCAGAGGTCCTGCATAATTTGAACAAGAGGCTCCCACGACTTGAGGACCTCTCTGTGATTCTTTTTCACATCCTTACTGGCCTGATGAAGGCCGGAAGGAGCAAGTCGGGCTACCGTCTGCCAGAAAATCTCCTCCTCCTGGACATTCCAACGTTTTCCAACCATTGTGGTCGCGTGTTGCGTTCTTGGTATTTCAAGACAAGATTGAAGACGCTTCTTTGCTCTGTCGAGGGGACTGGATCTGGATGTGGCTGAGTGAGATGTCGTTTCGCAAAGAGGTCAACGTTACCAAGAGCGGCCGACGTTGAGGTCAAAGGGCAATGCTGTAGAAAGAGCAGTCTGAAGGAAGCTGTGGTATTAAGAGGAGCTGGGCTTTTATGGCTGACTTGCTGTGAAGAGTCACTCAAAGTTGTGGCTCATTGGCCGGTTCGAGAGAGATTGTGTCGACCACGAGAATAAACAATGCTCCACTAGCCTGAATAGGCCCAGGGTGATTCATTGGCCCTGGCGAGTTCGACGATGTCAATGCTGATGGCGAGTGCTTCTCTAAATGCCGGTGGGGCCAGGAAAGTGCACTGGGTGGAGGCTAAGACGGGGGTTACCCTCGAGGGTTCTTCGAAATTTCCCAACATCAATAGGCCAGACCACCAGTGCTGGCCATTGTCAAGCTCCTGCAGCTAGAGATACAATGGCAGCAGATATCACGACTAAGCGATCCGGTTGCGAGGGAAGCAGGTACCAGGTCGCAAGTTGACAGTACTGACATATCAACAGACGCTGGCTCACAGAGTCGGAAAGGGACAGGCAGCAGCCACTCAGGGGGGGATTTTGAGTGTCATTGCGTCTGCGTCTCTTCAGACGAGAGAAGACACCAGGAGAGAAGGATGATTCCACAAGGGATGCGTCCACATCCGAAGCATGCTGAGAATCCAACCGCAGCCTGATGATGCCAGCCCCTACCGAGTCTCGATCCTTTGTTGTTCTGGAAGACCATGCAGTGCCCATGGTCAAAACCTAGCTGAGCACGCTGAGGTTGCAGCAACCAACTGAATCAAAGGGCAAGTCAATGGGGCAGCTCGCGGCTATCTCCAGAGCAACCCAAGTCATTCGAATGGGTTTTCCGGATTCTGGGGTTGGTAGCCTCGAGCGAGGAGATATGGGCCAAGCTTCTGCTCCATCCTTGAGAACTAAGACAACAGTCAGCGCCAGTACACAGATTGAGCAATGCTGAGAAAGTGCCCTTACAATGCTTTTCTGTTGAAGCGGGACAACGCCGTCCTTGATCCAGAGACCATAGCTGCCCATGGTGTTGGCTAGCATCATGTCTGTGAAGAGCCTGTCTCCGACAATGGCAACTTGGCTGGGGCTTGAGACACCCGTCTCAGGGTGTTTGTGAAAATACTCCATGATCTCTGAGCCACAGCCAGGTTTCTTGACACGGTGGGAAAGCACTGTCACACCTGTGGTCTTCTGAAGTTCCGAAGCCATCTGTGCTTTGGTGTCATAGCTGAGGGCACCAGCTGTGTTGGACACGATCAGAATGCGTCGCCCTGGGTATGCAGCCTTCAACGCCTCGAATCGTTCCTATTGCAGGGTCAGCTGAATTTCACATCATAGCATTTCAATGAAGATGGATATGATACCTGATACGGCTCATAGACCTCATTTGTTTCTGGGCGTGCGAAGCAGTCATCTTTGTCAAGCACAACTGCCTTTATATTGACCTCGACGCCCTTCCGCTTGAAGGCAGAGTCCAGTGGGATTGGCAGATCCTTAAAGGTGGATATGGCTGCATGAGGCAGACACAAAGAAGGATTCGACAGGAGCTTGAAAATATTCAAGGAGGCTGACAGATTGAGATTCACCCCCATGGTGAGTGACCTGCAATATGAACAAGTAAGTGAGAGGCTGTAGAAGTCTTCTTGTTGTTGAGGGCAGGTCCCAGGATTGGCTGGAATATATGGACGACGTTGAAATAAGGCCTGGTCAAAGCGCCCAGCGCTAAGGGGCTGCTGGGGTTCGCGCGCTCTAACGCGCCGCCGGAAGAGGCGCGTAGTGCGATTCCTGCACTTTAAGTGTAAGGCCTCAGAAAAAGGTGTACTCTCGAGTCGCCAACACAACTTCATAAACTTCGCCATTTGACGAGCTGGATAGCCCAACATGGCGAGGAAGCCATCAGGAAGCGCCAGCGCCAGCGCCAGCAGGGAGAGTCGCAGCACACGGTCCCAGGGTAGGAGAGAAGTTGTGTCGGCGGAGGCCCAAGTGTCGGAAAATGGAGCCCAGTCGACTCCCTCTAAACGGCGCAGGATCTCGGGCCAGGCTGGTCATGTGACATCACATGACGTCTATGAGTTCCAAAATGAGGAGAGTGGCTCGAGGAAGCAAGGCGAGGATGACGACGATGCAATGGAAGACGAACTTGCAGAGTCTGTGGTGGCTGCATCAACGACACCAAGACGGCGTGGACGTCCACCCAAGCCCAAAGCTTCAGCGGGTCCAGCGGGTCCAGCGGAAGTGAATGAGGCTGACGAAACGAAGTCAACGCCTAGAGCGGCACGAACAGCGTTGTCCAAGACAAAGCCTGAGACGCCGCGCAGGGTGAATGCAGCAAGTGGCGTGGACACGCCGGGCCGTCGCACAATTGCCGACAGGTCAGCTCGTCGGAAAAGTGCCCGAGCCCTCATCAACCGTGTGGTTGATGATGCTACCAGCGATGATGAAGCTGGCGACGAGGGTCTGGCGCGGGAAATTTTTGAGTCTAGCGGGGACGAGATTGCGCAAGATGAGGAAGGCCAAGATGGCCTGGACGGCCAAGATGAAGATGTTGAGGACGGAGCCGGAAGCGCTGCCCCAACGCCTTCCAAATCTGTCAGGGGTCGGAAGAGGAAGGCTGTAGCCAGGAAGAAGTCTCCAACGCCGCCGCGGGATCTGCCGCCGCATGAGATGTACTTCTTTCAGAACAAGCCCGGACTAGCCAAGACTTCCAACAATACTTTGGCATCGTTGGACCTGCTCACCCATGATGAGTACTTCTCAATACTCAGAGACCTGAAAGACCCTCACGATGCGGATATCAAGTTCCTGGAGGACCTTCATGCGGAGTCCTTTGGGCAATGGGAGTTCGAACTGGCTGAGGGCTTCAGCCTCTGTCTCTACGGATACGGATCTAAGCGTCCTCTGTTGCATCGCTTCGCCAAACACCTACACAGCAAAGTCTCAAGTACTCAAGCACACAAGATAGTCATCTTGAACGGATATGTCCGCACCATCAGCATCCGCGAGGTCCTCTCCACTATCAGCAGCGCAGTCGACCCCTCCTACAAGCTCACCTCCGGCAACCCTGTCGCACTCCTCCAGGACGTCCTATCCCTCCTCACATCCTCGGAGACCACTCTCACGTTGATCCTCAATTCCGCCGATGCGCCACCTCTGCGCAAGTCCTCATTCTACACCATCCTCTCGCAGCTCGCAGGTCACTCACATATCCGCCTCGCCTGCTCGGTTGATACGCCCGACTTCCCGCTTCTCTGGGACAGTGGGCAGCGCTCGGCCTTCAATTTCGTCTTCCACGATTGCACGACCTTTGCGCGCCGCAGCGCTGCCGAACTTGAAGTCGTCGATGAGGTCCACGAGCTGCTCGGCCGCAAGGCCAGGCGTGTTGGTGGGAAGGACGGTGTGGCGTTCGTGCTCAAGTCGCTGCCCGACAACGCGAAGAACTTGTTCAGGCTCTTAGTAGGTGAGATCCTAGTTGCACTGGAAGATGAGGGCGTGGGTGTGGGCGGAGAGAACCCCGGCGTCGAGTACCGGATGCTGTACAACAAGGCGGTCGAGGAGTTTATCTGCAGCTCAGAGATGGCGTTCAGGACGCTGCTGAAGGAGTAAGTTGCCATATTCCCTCTTCCTTTGTACTCCTATCCAATCCTGGATTAGGGACCCAACAGTCATGACAGCAAGCTAACTTCTTGTACCAGATTCCATGATCATCAAATGATCACCAGCCGCAAGGACATGTTGGGAACGGAGCTTCTGAGCTTGCCATTTCGAAAAGAAGAGCTCGAGGCTATTTTAGAGGACTTGATGTCATGATCTGATACTGGACCACATGTTGAGGTGGGCAAATTGGACCAGGAAGCAAAGTGCACACTAGTCTTTGGCCGAAAATCATGAATGGCGCGTACATAGCATGAGAGCATTGCGGAATAAAGCATCAGACAAATGACAGTGGATTCTGCACAGATCTTGATAGTCTATGCAGTCTATGATACAGGCGCCACAATCGCAGGGCACGCTTGGCTCATAATAGCCAGCGCCCACAACCTCCGCTAAAACCAGCCAACAAACATCAAACATATGGGACAAAGACATAAAACTCTCACATCTAATGAAACACCTCCGCACATTATGGGGAACCAATGATGATAAAGGGTGGAGTGAACAAGCTGTTTCGAGAGCACTGTTCCCATAGTCATCGCCACCGGCATCTGTGCCTCACAATTGACAAACCTGACATCCTCTGCCACCTATACCCTTTCACTTCAACCCTACTATGGGGTCTGAGGTATAGATTCTCTAGTTGATGACTCTGGTCTTTCGGTCACCACTTATTCATAGGTTGGAAGTAGCCTTAGCAAGAGATGGCTTCTTTCGCTTGGACAGTCGAGCGTGGTGGTCGAAATCGTCACTATGAACTGTTTCTGGTTGGAAGGGCTGGGCTTATCAAATATTCTACTGTACTCCCTTCATGGCTTCTGTGGTAGATTTGTTGAGCCATTGAGAGGTAAAATTGCAGGTTCAGACCCATCTACTGCACCGAATGCCTCAAGCGTCACCAATAGTGCTGACTTGACTCCTTGATGGGGTGGGGCTGCCAGCTGGTACACAGGTAGCCGTATAGGTTAAATCACAATCTACTAGCACATTTGTCTCAAGACCTAGGTGCGTTGCCTATGTACGCGATTAAAATAATTGGGGGAGAGGGGGAGGTGGAGCCAGTGGTTTTCTCACCTCTTCACAAGGCACTGATAGCAAAATTTGGGTATAGGATTCGATTGCCAACTCCTTCGAGCTAATGAAATCTCTTGGTATCTAAGTTGGAATACAGTGTAGCTGACCACGCCACAAGGAGTAATCAAACCCCGTCTTTTTCTCCTTACTGTTTCTCCTGTTGTGTCATGCTCTAAATCAACGCCGAATTTACAATGAGCTGCCATGCCATTCGTGAACCGGAACATTGCTCAATCAACTTGCTCATAATCCTGTGCTCTTCACGCAGGTCCAAAGGACAACAGGTACGACGACATTGTCATTGCCGCCTGTGAGAACCGCCTCTGTCAGGCTGGCCGTCGTGGCACATAGGCCTGTTTCGCGAACCGCTGTCGGCCAGTCCCACTCGAGCAGCCTGGTCAGCATCGCGTCGAAGCCCTGCGGGGCTCCCTGAGCTTCGGGTTGAGACGTCATGGGCCACCCGCCGATCTTCAGCCAGATATTAGCCGCCAGAAGGCCGAAGAAAACAGCCACTGCAAACGCCACGCTTCCCTCTAGGCTCTTGCCCCCTTTCCAGAGCCATTTGTGATGGCCGTAACGCCTGCCGATGAGCGAGGCCGCCGCGTCGCCAAGCCCCACGCAGACAACTCCCGCGACCATGCTCAGGTCTCGAGTCGGTACTTCCCAGCCTTTTTGGTAGCCACTCCCCCCTCGAGCAAGGGACGCGAGGCTGAGCCACAGCGGGATGGCGCAGCCAATTAGAAGAAAGATATGAGATATAACCACTGGTCCACAGTGGTCCCTGCCATCGGTGTAAGGATGGAGGAAATTTGTGATTGGTTTGGAGAGGGGAGGAAGCTGGCTTGCGCGCAACAGATCGAGCAATAGGAATATGGCGAGGACGATGGCAAGTGCCAGCGCACACCAGGCCGGGTCAACGAAAATCGCCGGTAGAAACATCGCTACCATCATGAAGTGGAAGACCTTGCGGCGAGTATCAACTTCATAGAACGGTGACAGCCGGAAGACCACCAACAACCCGATAGAGATGACAGCGACCCAGTAAGCGGCAAGTATCAGCCTGGTGTTTGCCTCACCGATCGAGGCATCCCGAAGATGCTGAACCCAGCCCAGAGAGCATGACTTATTGTCATCGTGGGAGCGAGATGGAAGGCATATCCACCTTTCGAGATTCGCCTGGACGACCTGAAACCTGAACCACGGCAGATCTCCAAAAATATAGCCTAATGCCCAGCCAATAGGTTCATTGCCGTCCAGTGAGTAGTATTGGACATACGTTCGGACAGCACCCAGAATGATTGCGACGATGCCAACATAGAGCCATCCAGCATACAACCACTTTCTCGTCGTGGCTTGTGACTGAGTCAAAGTGAAAAATGCACGCACTGTCAAAGATGAGGACCTCTTTCGCCGACCTGACGGGGTATGAGTCTTGGACCGGCTCAGGATCTTATCCATAAATGGAAGCGTATGCCGCCGGGACGGCTGCTGAAAGGCAAACCCATCAGCAACTTTAGAGGAGTCGACCGGCGACTCTTTCCCAGGTGACATGGAGATTGTCTCCGACCTTTTCAAACTTTGCGATCCGTCCAGGCCACTCTCATTGTGTAAATTCGACGTGCGTCGGGTTACGGAAGCTCTTTTGATGTCATCCTCGTCAGTTGTACATCCGGATGCCCCACCTGAGTCTTCCGTCTCCGAGCCTGATTCGAGTCTGAGTCTCTTCAGAGAGAACAGACTCGAGATTAAGGTGAGAATGGAAGGTTTCTTGCTAGAGGGAGCCACCCGTCTGAAGCGCCATTTTGGTACTCTGGCAAGTGCTATACCCCATCTTATAACTGGGCCACACAAAATGATTACCCCGAGTCCGCCCACCCACAGAATGGTCTGTAATATCACAGCTTGTGGCGAGATAGCAAGGACAAGAATGTCGATGAGAGATATCGAGAGGAGTTGAAGTTCTGCGGGCAGAAGACTGGTAGTTGTCAAATGATGAAGAATGAGGCACAGTGTCTGGTGTAAAGGATAGAGCAGGATTAAGGCCTCCCGAGGGATCGATGTCAGGTGAAGGTCATGATATGATGACCATCCTGAATTCCTCTCAGACGAAAGGAGAGGCAGACTTGCAAGCAGCCATTGCAGAGGGTTGAAGGTCTCAGCAGCGGTGGTGGTTGGGACGAGTGCCCTGGGCAAAGAGGCGATGCCGAGCACAAGATTTGGCAGGATCGCATTCCTCACATTTGCAGCAGTGAGGAGGGAAACTAGTACCGGCAGAATCGGTGGATATAGGAGTGAGGCGGGATCGAAGGATGAGGGTACACTCAGAGGTAACCTCTTCCGTAATGGCTCTCCTCGTGAGTAGGCCCACACTGCTGCGCGCAAGGGATACAGCGCTAGCAGCGCAGCGTATATTGCACCCGAAAGTACCAGTTCTGTTCAAGTGTCAGCGAGATTTCACACCATGAGGCTTCACAAGCGCACACAAACCTTTGCGATGCGATGCGACAACGGGGCTCACATCCGGATTGGAGATGACAAGCCTGCCCAGGCCCGACAGGATCAGAACCTCAGTCGCTCGCCGGATGAGTTCCTTCTGGCGCCTTGCCTTTTCTGCGCGACATCTCCTCTCACCCTCCGCTCTCCTTTCCTTACTCTTGCTTGTATCGAGGTCTCCATCCAAGATCGAGGGGGTCAGGAGAGGAGTGGCCAGCCCGGAGGGCGGCTCGGGCCTGCCCCGGAGTCCTTTATGTAGTCGCGCCTTGGGCGCAGGCAGTCTTTTCACGAAGATCTCATCGTCGGCCTCGGTGCCACTGTCGGTGTTGGGCGTGGAGTCTTTTGTAAAGGCTGGTGAGGGTATGAGCTGGTCGCGCGCATCTTCAGGGGTATGGGTTGGGATCGAGCTGGCCCTGGAGATGATGCTGTCCGACGGCTCGAGAAGCTCCCACTTGTGACGAAGGTATGGGTGCGGCGATCGCGAGAGAGCCCTGAGGTTCTCCTTGTCATCTAGGTCGTCGTTTGGGGTTACAGTGATGGGTTCGGGTCTGGGAGGTTTGAGGGATGAGGACATGGCGTGACTTGCGGGCGCAAGCTAGGAGGCCGTTGGCAACATGGAGCTCGGCCGGACTGCGATTCGCGCCTAGGGACCCGGACAACGGAGGGGTGGGAGGCGTAGGTAGATGTGGTCGAGGATGAGCTCTGGCACCTGGCTGAGTGTGATAGCGAACGTGGCCGTGTTGTGTGTCTCGGCGTGTATGTTGTGTTGTTGAGCAGCCAGGGAGGATTTCGAGGGGGGTTGTGGTGGAGTAGGTTGAGTGTCTTCACATGCGCGTAATCTGCTTCGCAGTGGCCGAATTCAACAAACCCATGCCCACGCGCTTGGAAGGTTACGTACGTATTCTGTACCCTGTCAGTCTGTCCATCCACGGCATCAGCCCTGCGACAATCAATCCCGCTCCGCCTGCTATCGATAAGGCCCAGCCTCTGGGCAAAACGAAACACGCCGAGCTTTAGCTCTGCCTGCAAGGGGGGAAATTGATTTCATCGCAACATTCAAGACAAGTTGGTCCTGAATATGGAACTTCGATCCAAATTTCGGCCCCTATGACAGCTGGTGTGTGAGAGTTAGTCATGATGTTTAGTACTACGTTTTCTTACTGGAGCTGGTCAATACTCATGACGGCGTGTATCAAAGAATGACCAGCAGCGCATTCAACTTGTTTCTACAGATCCGGAGACAGCTGCCAGCAATGCCACCTTTATTCCCGGCAGATCTGTCAACCATGCAGCAGTGTTGGCTTTTGCTCTTGCAGATCAGGATACCAAAAATAGGAGCTCCGCAGCTCGCTGCCGTCGTCATTCATTATCAGCCTGCAGCTAGAATGGTGGGCAGAGCCTCAGGCGACGGCGTCTGGCTTTTCTAAGGGTCTGAGTTGACTGCCGCATGCATAGGCAGACTACTATGCTGGTTTTGGAGAGAGTATGGTGCCACGGACTCTCAAGCACATGATGCAATCTTGTCCATTGACATAATCGGTAGATCCATCATCATTCCGCATATGGCCATGAAGACAGCACGCACATCTGTCCCCGAAGAAACGGTGTGTGAGTGTAGTCTACTATCCGTGCCAGACCTTGTAGAGCTGGTCCTGTGTACTGTGTAGCTAGCTATATGTAGCTATGTTCCCACCGCTCTGGGTCAAGAGGGGCCATCAGTTCCGGCCCAAGGTGAAATACGAGCCAGGAACCAGGGTGGGTTTGCGATGAGGCTCAGAGCCAGTGACGTTTCCGACTCGCCGACGCGGTGCGCCCAAGTGGAGCTTCCACGGACAGAGCCGAAACTGCTCACGAATCGTGGCCCCGGCCAGAAAGCTTCACCACTGGGACGAGATGGTGATCGGCTGGCGATGGAAGGAGGGTCGCTGGTCCTTCATCTCGCCGTGGCCGTGATCTTGTGTGCCTATGGGATAACCAGATCTGTATGCGCAGTATGCGCATGTCTGGTCGTCGAGAGATCCGCAGGCACGGTGCAACTGAGGTGAGGGACATAGTCCATCTCACATGTCACGGTGGAGGGAATGAAGAAATCTCCATTGTGTGGTGGGTAGGAGTGCGTCTCGGACTGGTTCGACAGGGTGGGCTTGATTTGCTCGGGCTGTTTTAGCTCTGGATGCTACCGCGACGGTAATGGCAGAACCGGAACCCACATTAGGCCGTGCAGAAGCGTGAGCATGCCAAATCAGTGCCTATCCGGTAAAGGCTCGATGTTGATCCGCCTGGTGAATACGAGCCACATCTTGGGTGGCGCTGAAACGGCCGACGATTGCTAGCCAAACGTGCACACAAACTCTGCTGCTTATCTCTCAATGTCCCACCGGCCAATTCGTCAGCATCGTGGGGCTTTGCGGTGTGATGCAACACGATACGATGTGAGGCAATGGACAACGCACCTGTCTGCAGGAGAGTCGAAAGATGTGGCTCAATACGTCACCTTGTCGGGATCGATACGAAAGCATGAACAAGACGAGCTGACGGCCCTTTTGCAGTGCAGCACTGTACCAGAGTGACTCCCCCCTGCTTCCTTGTCTTGGAAGGTTGCAAGAAGCAGGGAACACAGGCACACAGGCACAGCGGCCATGGAGGTGCGCAGGTGGGAGGCTGGGATGGCACAGACGCGCTCATGGATTCCCCCCAGGAGGGACCCGCAGGGATGGCGCAGAGGAGCTGTTCTGACCTTCCTGTTGGGCCTGTTCGGTTCGTCTGGTCAGTCTAGAGAGATGCGACAAGTCCAGCAAGGTTTTTGCTGTGCATGTCGCCTTCTGCAGCCTTCTGCATGAGCTTGAGCTTGCGCATCCCATCGTGCGCTGCCTGGCTGCCTGCATGGTGTGACACAGAACGCCTCCCTGGGTGAAGAATATCCTTGTGAAGCTGCTCGGCGTGGCTGGCTTCTGCCGGAGCTTGTTGATTGTGTGCAACAGATAGACTGCACGGCTAGGTAGATCAGGTAGATATTGATGCTGTACTATACGCCAGGAATGATGGGACAGGTGACGATGGGGCTGCCACAGAATATGATAAGTCCCTTGGAGGCTTGTCTTGGGAGCACCAGCGCTGTCTCTGTTTCTGCGTAGTTCTCTGTAGTCTAGTCTGTCCGCATCTAAATAGTAACTGCGTAGCGAGACGGACAAGCTAAAAGACAACAGCTGGTCGACCTTGCAACCCTGTCTCGGGTAGGATTGTCATGATAATCCCTGACACCAGCTCCCATCCGGTCCATTCGGGGTGATCAGCACGGCTTGCATCAGCCTCCTCCTGCTCCACCCACTCCCTCTCTGTCCCTCTCTTGCACCCTCGCCCGGTCGCACGCACAGTCAATCAGTACCGTAGCGTACCGTATTCACCACTTTCACTCAGTCGACTCACGGATTCATTCACCTCAGCCGTCGGCCCCCAACCCGGCGCCCAGCTGTCCAGCTAGCTCAAGACGCTGGCTCGGTTGATGAGGGCTCTTCCTATTTCTTATATGCACCCAACATCCCCTCGCATGCTGCTTCTCCCACACACTCACAGTCAATCAGCATAGGGTGGCAATTCTTGAGCTTGAGCTGGAGCTGTCTACCCATCGAGGATAATGAGCACATGCCTGCCTTAGATATCGCAACGACCACAATACTGCGCTGATCTGCCTCGTCTCCGCCAAAAAGACCCAGTCGTCGATAAATTCAACACTGGCTCTTCCTTTTCGGATCCGGATCCAGGACCAGACCCAGACCCAGACCCAGATATCCATCCGCTGTTGGGTGTTTTAAGGGCCAGATTCCTCATCAACACGGACCTTCTCCCGGCCTCCTCGTCCAGGTCCTCCGCAGCGTCCCATCCAGGAACCCCTCGGTCGATTCCCTTTGATCGCCTCCCCCGAGCTACTGCACTGCACACCTGGGTGCCAGCGCAACGCTTATCCACCATCCTGGAGCTTAGCTGGGTCCACCTTGGAACTTCACAAGCCTGCAGAATCTCCAGTTCCTGTTCCAGTTCCTGATCCTGTACCCGCACCCATATCCCTACGCAGGCCACACTCGTTGTTATTACTGGTGTACGAACCCACCCATCGACATCACCATTCGCACACAACACGACTGCAACCACATGTCCAGCGGCCCCAAACATGCAGGTTGAGACACCAAGATAAGCCGCTCGCTGATCGTCCGCTTTTTTTCTCCAAACCTCTCCTCGCCTGTGGCGGTTCCACCTCTGCGGCACTCGTCTTCCGCCCGGCGCCTGCAACTGCACATCCCGGTGGCGTCTGTGTTTGTGTTGTCTGCAGTGCCCACCCCATTCTTCTCCTCCCTCTTCAACCCCTCCTCCCCAGCCGCCATGGCTGCGTCCACACCGAACGATGTCGAGGCTTTCGGAGCAGACCTACCCAAGGACATCCAGGAGAAGCACAACCTGAGGGAGAGACATCACCAAGCTGTACCGGAAACCGACCACCGACGACGACGAACCATGGATTCTGGACGGAAACTCTTGCTGGCACTGTTGGTGTGCTGCATGCTTGCTCTGGGCTTTGCCTCAGCTCACCATGGCCGGGCAGGCTGTCACGAGGACGCTGTAGTTGACGTTGAGCACACCTCGCTGTCGTCTTTGCTCACCTCCAACTCGGCTGGATCTCTGCGTGAGCTGTTGGAGAAGTATGTGCCCGAGCGGTACCGCCAGCAAGATTCGCAATATGCGAAACGCCAGGACGGCAACTCGACCGTCTCAGCCGCAGTGACCACTGCGGTGACGACGGTCTCGTCTGCTTCCGTAGTTGCTACCACCACTGTACAAACCACGCCCAGTTCGACAACCGCCGCAGCAACCACGCCGACGTCTGCGAGCGTTCAAACGACCGTTCAGACCGTGGTACAGACGAGCGTGCAAACGCAAGACCCAGCCACCGCGACCGTCACAGCTACCCAGACTCCCACTCCCTCAGAATCTGCTGCTTCTTCTGGTACGTCCCAAGTCAATACTCCCTCTACGTCTGCCTCAATTGCCTCTGCCCCGGTGCCTTCGCCGTCTTCTTCTTCCTCTTCTGAACAGAGGACCCTCTCTGTTGACTCGTCAGCCACGACTGTCACTGGTGCAAGTCAGTCTGCCTCTTCTTCATCTTTACCTGCTACCTCTGCATCTTCGTCTGCAACCCCTGCCTCCTCCTCCTCGTCTTCCTCATCCAGTGCTGGGGAGACCCCAAGTTCTGGGCAATCTTCCAGTGTTTCCAGCACATTGACTGGCACCTCATCTGGTATGTCGACATGATCATTCTCGCCTATGGCACCTTGGTGTCATGGTAGGCTCTCCCTGGAGACAACCTCGAGGCTTAAGCCATGTCTCCCTTTTGCTTGAAGAAATCCGGGCTATTATTTGTGTACAATGTTGGCACAGGGGCCAACTCCTTGCATCTCTGAACTTTGGACAGAATTGACTGACTTGCTTTGCAGCCTCATCAACATCACAAGGCACTACTCTGGACACATCCAAGGCGAGCCCGACGGTGACCTCAGCCACAAGCAAGAGCGCAACCCATGTGTCGTCGAAGAAGGTGGTTACCACGTTCACATCAACCATGCCAGATGGGGGTATCTCAGTCGTGACGCAAACCTCTTTCTCCTACGTCGACGCTGAGCCGACAGACGCCTCATCGACTCGACCGGCTGCAAGCCTGCAGACCAATTCCGCCCCGGCAGTAGGGCCACTCCTCCCAGGTGCAGCCACACTTCTCGGAGGACTGTGGTTCTTTGTATTTTGGCAGTAATTTCACCCTCTGAGTGTGGTGTGTTGGGGTAGTGTCTTTGGAATTGATTCCCGGCACTTTCCTCTTGCGGTTGTAATCTAGGATAATATGAGCCCGTATGGGAGGAAAGGCTAGGCCGCCTGAGGGGGAGAGCAACATTGTTCCGAGCACCCAAGATGTGACCAAGGGATCGGCAGCCTCTGTTTGCACCACTGTTCCTTTTTCTGTTTTATGCGAGCTTCGTCTTTCAGCAGCTTGCACAGCATTTGCATAGCGTCATCGGGGCACAGCGGGATACGGCGCATCAGTATCGGACCACTCCTTCATTTTTGATTTTGGGAAATTCTGCGTTGAGCAATAGAACAAGCGGGGCAACAAAAAAGGACACGCGGACCATGATTTGCATAGAAGGAGGAAAGAGAAAACGAGAGCCATAGCTTCGAGACGCTCAGACATGTGACATATGTCTCGGGAATTTACACCATAATACCTCGCCTCGCCTCGCCTCAACATGCCTAAACGTTGTTCTGCTAGACGCACGTATCTCGAAATTGGAGCTGTCTGTACCTCCGCTGTCAGGCTAGTACGGTAGTGATCTTGTCTTTCTAAGGCCTTTCGAAACTAGGAGACCGCCACATTGATACAGAGTAAAGCTGTTTTAGGAACTGTACTGGATCTGTGGTAATATTGAACGCATATTGGTTGTCTTGTGTCATCATGCTTCCCTCGCTATATGATGCACTTATCCATCCGATGGGCCATTGTAAGGTACGGTATCTGGGACGACGAGGTCACTGCTTTCCTGCTCCTCTTCATGGTTTAGACCACTACTGACCTGCTGTCAATCCTGGGCGTGTCTGGGAGCCCGAGGACGACTCTGAATCTACACCCGAGGTAGTGTTCAATGGCTGTACCCACCATGGGTCGACAATAAGCTCGCTCGCACAGCAGTCCATTCCCATTTGCACCCTCAACGCGTCATTGAAGGCAAACAGAGCACTCACTGTGCATTGATTATCCCATAAAATCAGGTGAGGCCGGCGGGAAAGATGACTCGTGGTCTGACTGTTCAGTGAAGGTCCTTTCCCTCTTTCAGCGCAACCTTCCCTTTCCTCACCTGTTGACATGATGTTCCGCCTGGGTACCAACTCGCGCCGTTGGTAGCTCGCCTTAAGACCAAAGTGCCAAGTGCGTCTCTGGGGAGCTTGACTATCACAGTAGTGTGCTAGGATTTGGTCACTAGCTGCTCTGCTATGGACATCTCTCCAACCTAGCCTATTGACATACTACAGTAATGGTACTACACACAGGAGTCAAATTCATGCCAGATTCGCTGCCATTACGTCCATGATTCTATGAGCTTTCCCCGACCTGGGAAAGCGAGCTGAAGTTGAAATGAGCTTAGTGAAATGCACTGAGTTGATCAATCAGAGAATTGGATTCAAGTGGCCGCCCTGATGAAGTCCATATAGTGTAAAGGAATCAAGATGAAAATAGAGATAAGCCGAGAGTGTTGGCTGTCAATGGACGTATAAGATACCATGTTCCACATCAAATCTGAGTGCCTCCAGGACTTCCTCTCTTGTGCTCTGGCTGTCACAGCTCGCACAACATTGCACGTATCGAGAAGAGCCCTCACTTCAAGATGGTCCTCCCACGCCTCCTCCGCCAGAGCAACGGCTCTGCTGTCGTCTTCCTCAGCGTCGGTATCGTGCCCCTCCTCATCGCGTTGGGCCTCATCCTCGCCGCCCCACACTCCGCCCTTGCGGCGCCCTGTGATCCGCAGATCTCGGGCTTCGGACCAACATCCTCGTAAATACTTAAGATCCCCTTACCATCCTGTTCCTGGTACTTGGGGGCAGAGAATAAAGAATGAGACGATTGCTCACATCCATCGCTCCCTTAGGCCAGATACGGTAGATGCTCTTCATAACAACGGCGTCTATGGAGGTGTCGCGAGCAGTGCTCCTACCCCGTCCGGCTATGTGGTGTTCGATAACAATGGAAACATCCCCTTTGGCGCCTTTGGCACCTGGAGTGCTGCCCACAGTAAGTCCACGGAAATCTTATGAATATCGGGTCACGACCGTCTCGGAAGCTCGTGCTCGGTTGGACGCTGCCCTCCCTCCCCCTTTTTGGGGGCTCATGGAGTCTCAGAACTGACGCCAGGCGATGCCAAAAGTGCCCAACGCGAACTACCTAGGATGGCGTAACCTGCAGAGTTACGACCCATCCAATTGTTCGGCCCTCTGCAACGTGACTTCGACGTGTCGGTCTTTCAACATGTGTACGTATCAAATCCTGCCCCCCTAATGATCGTCGCCAGAAAACGATCCCACGTTGTATGCTGACCTGTAGCTCCCTTCAGTCTACCAGCGGTCGCCGACCCTGGAACCGAGCTGGAACGCCAGCTCCTCCTGCTACAACCCCCCTTCAACCGTCGAGATCATGTGTACCTTATGGAACACGAATATCACCGTATCCGCCATCGAGGTCAACTTCGGCTGGGCACGGGGCGGATTCAATGTGGCGATAGTCGGTGAGTCAGGACACAGCACAACCGTTTTAACAACTAGCTACTAATCGCAAAGTCGTAGCCTCCAAGTTCTACAACAAGAAGGGGACGTCATAGCTTCTCCTGCGACTTCAGTTGCAGTGATGTATTTCATCTCCTTCTCTCTTTAGGATTATAGCGAAGGAGTGGTGACCAGGTGGCTCAAGTGTAATATAATATTTGGGTATCTCTTGTATAACATATGGAATTCCGTCCTGTAAAGCCTCGCACGTAATTGCTTAACAGTCTGGTGTTCCAATTGCGGCAAATTTGTGAAGTGATGGGCATGCATAGCATACATTTGGACTGTAATCGACTCTTCTCGAGAGGGCTTCTGGTGGATTTTGCGACATTTAACAGCTTGCGATGACCCTCTTGTGGATAGTGGATGTGTTACCACCCTTCAAGTCATTCTCCAAAGCTTTCCGCCGTGTTCACCCCCCACCGAACGGAATATCGGGGTGAGAAAGGCCAATAGGGCCATCATTGATGGCTCAGGTCGAGTATGATTTGAGGCGTTCCAGCCAGAGAAACGACCCTGAAAACGCCTTGACAACATCATGTTGCACCTTAGATGCTCGAGTTACGCACACACGTTCCGAACATCGTTCTGGTGGCCTTTATTCAGGCACGTCGGACGTCTGCAAAACCGTCGTGGCCAATACAGGTAGTACCGTCGCAATGCTGCAATTGCTGACCCAGCACCTTGAATGAGGCCTCTCCGCAGGGACATGCGCTGTGAGCGGGTACCTTTAGCCCTCCGTTGCTGCAACATTGCCGTTCCCCCCCTCCGCAGTGTTTGGTGTTTTTGGCTCTTGTCTTTAGCCCGGACCGATCTTGGGCATGTCATGATGCTCTGACAGTTTCGAAAGGTATGTGTTGAGCTCTTCCACGCGCTCCTTGTGCGACTTGAGGAGCTCCGGCCTGGACGTTTCCGCCTTCTCTAGCAGCCGCTTTTTGCGTGCCTCCTCAAACCGCCGTTCGGCTTCTGTCTTGCGGCTTGTTGATGGCTCGGCCTCTTCGTCTTCGTCCTTCTCCTGGGGTTCCTCCTTCTTCGGTTCGGCCAAATTCTTTTCTAAAGCACTCTTATCCTTCTTCTTCTTGTGCTTCTTGACCTTGGCGCCCTTGATGCGCAGGGCACCGCCGCCTGCCGACTTGTACTCGTCGGATGGCATGGCTGGAGTGGTCGTGCCCGTGGCCTCGCCTGCTTCCCTTTCCGTTATCGCCTCGATATCGATGCACTCGTAGGAATCCACCCAATTTCAAAGTTCAAGTCAGTGTGCGGGTCCTGGACTTTCTCTCATCGAAGAGTGTTGTCGGCATCCGAGACGTAGCCATTGCGAGTGAGCTTGAGGTTCAAGCGGACCATGGGAGTCAATGCCTCTGTTCGAGGTGGGGATATGTAAGCGCCCCACATGTGCGCCTTGGCCAATCAGATACCCTTGTGATTTTGCGGCTCGACTACTTTAACGACGCGAGCCGACGAAAATTTCATTGACTTTCTCTTCTTCTCTTCTTCAGATCAAAAAGTATACACGAAGATGCCACGACCGTCGCCTCGCTCCCACAGCGGCGTGTTGCCATGTTCTCCTAGGAGAATACTTCGGAGACTAACACTCCTCGATTAGGAAGTCTTTCACTCTGCTACTCCATGAGTGCCAGATGCCAATGACGGGAAACATTTCAATGTAGAACGCCCGCAATTTGTAGAGATGGGCTCAGGTGCGCTTCACATCATGTGTCCTGGGATACCCAAGCATGCATAATAGAGCTTCAGGAAATGACTGTTGTGACGCCGCAGGCATGCCAGTTATTCTTACCGTGTCGTGTCTCAGCCCCAAGGCGTCCTGGCGGGCGCTGCGCTGCACCATCATTGATGAATGCCTCACGCTATGGTATTGTGATTATTTTCCAACGCAATCCGTTTCCAGCGCACCGCGGAGGAGCAATGAGCCGCGTCTCAAGGGATGACGACAACCTCGATATTGGATGACTCCACGAGACGAGGTCGGCGTCCAGTCTGCCTTGGGCACCATGCAGGCTGGTTAGACTCAAGGATCGCAAAGCCTTGCAATCAGTCCCAGGTGATGAGCAGTCCCTCAAATGTCGACTCGTACTGGACATGAAGCCCACCTGCTTGTCAATCCTTCAAGCAAGATCGCGGCTGCAATTCCGCTGCCGGGTCTGGGAATGCGCCATCATGTGCTGTCATTCCTCCAGTCGCGTGGCTTGAACTATCTCCGAACCCGTCTACATGGCGCATGTCTCGACTGTTGACGTTTCGCCGTGAACGTGACAAGGCGGACTTTGTGTTATATAAGAGGACTGCTGTTTGCGGGCGGCTCTTGCTCGTCATTCTTGCCCATCAGTCGCTCGCTCCAGCGGTCACTCGTTTATTTGAACTAACGCAGAGCACCAAAATCCCCAGTGCCTTGCCCTTCTGACCCGGATTCGCTCTTTTGGGCCTCAAAATACATTCACTTGGTTCCTGTATTCCTGAGCTGTGCCTTCGCACAAAGACACATACACGATGTCGTGAGTTATCTCTCGAGACATGAATATGCAGATCAGGACTTAACACCCGTCGTCTCTAGTCTAGGTCAGCTCACCTCGAGCGTGTTTTTGTACTGCGAGCCTACGGTCCCGCCAGTCACGGGTTTCATCACGGAGACGGCCACAGTCACAGCTACCGTGACGTCAACCTTCACCGAGATATGGGAGTTCACGGCCTGGGCTGCCGGCCCAACGGGGGAATGGCCCGCAACCTACACCATCGAAGAGATCTGCACGGGCGACCCGGATACTTGGACTCGGCCTGCCATCCCGCCCAACTTCATCAAGACAGTCGTCACGTGCGGAGTGTGCGACCGGAAGACTCAGACCATCACCTGTCCTGTCGAGAAGGCCGCGCAGACTGGCGACGTCACTATCCAGGGCAACGGCGTAACTGCCACCCCAGCCTCGGTCCCGGCTCAAGCAACTGGTACTTCTGATTCAGGCGTTGCCCAAGGCCCGGGCACGGCTCCGGGCATGGCTCCAGGCTCAAACGCAATGCCGGGCATGGACAGTGGTTCTGGAGCGACTGCTCCAGCTCCGGGGGCGGCCCCGGGCAGTGGGCCCGGGATGAAACCAGGTGCAGGAGGTGATTCTCCGGCAGCTGCTCCAGTTCCAGCTCCCAATAATAACGCTGGTCCTGGATCGTCACCTGCGTCTGGTCCGGGGTCATCCCCCAACAACGGCAATGCTGGCTCCGGGTCCTCGCCTGCATCTGGCTCAGGCTCATCTCCCGCGCCCAACTCTGGATCTGGATCTGCGCCGGGTGCAGCGCCGCCTGCAGATGGCGCAGCGGGCGGAGCGTCTCCGACGGTGATGACACCTCAGTCGAACGCCGGGACGGGCGCCGCGAGCTCCCCATATGTGACTGCCGGTGCACCGAGCTTGAAGAGTGCCCTGCTCTTCGTCTCGGGCATATTTGTGCTTGTGTCTGGCTCGATCATATGTTATTGAGATATTTGAAGGGTAGCTGGTGCAACCGTTCTTTGCTTCCCCTGAGTTTGAAAAGGAGTTAATGGCTCGGATCTTTAGACTTAAACTTGTAATATTTTGAGGTTCTTAATAATTACGGATGCTCCATGCTTGTCATATGCCTTTACAAATGCTTCCCCAGCCTTGGCTGTCTTTCCCTCTGTCCATCCGCCGTATCGTGCCGTGATCTGTCGCGGACCTCGCGACAAACCGCAGCAATCTCATACTAAGCATCCGTCTTGTGATACTGCTTGAGCTTCCCATCAATGTCTTGAGACTACCTGCACATGATCACCACTCTCAAATTGCCACGGGACAGTGAACTGGCCGCATTCACTCTCAGGTGAGTTTTCCGTCGTCTGTCTTGCTGCGGTGCTGGTCTTTGATGAACTCCTCAATCTGAGTGTCATGGTGGGGCCGCTCTGGAGGGCCAGGGACCTTGTTGTTGTCCACGGAGGACTCATCCACCTTTTTATCTGTGCCTAGGACTTTTGCAACAGCTGGTACATACTCGGATACTTTACAGATCCGCCAAATACCAATCAGTCTTCAGTGAACTCCCACAGCTCGACAAGGGGCTGGTATTACCTTTTTCCACTACTTGACCGATGACGCCCGGTTCGTTTGTCTCGTTCTGGGAGTTCTTCACCTTGATCGCAGCTTCGTCTAGTTGCTCCTTGTAGGTTGGTTGAGTTCTGGCATCGGTACCGTTCTCTTGCAGAGAGTCAACCTGGGTCTTGTCCTGGGACATGGTAATGATTCTTGGAATTATTTGACAGGGCAGCGACTCTGTAAGCTCAACGAATTCGAAATCAAATGCGGCTTCTTGAACCTCGAATTTGAAGTTTCGAATGCAAAGTGAGCTGTACGAAGGCTGTTCGTCGAGAGAAGTAGGTCTCGAGTCTCGGCCAAGTAGAGAGCTGTGACGTCACTCAGGTGGTACTTGTTCAGCTTGGTTGCTGCAGCTGCCACTGCCGTATGTGGCTGTGTGGCTGGATGCAGGCTTCATCGAACAAGCAATGCTGAAAGAAAGGCTGTTAAAACCACCGGAATTAACATGGTTGCTTGTCACCAGATAGTCCCAGTCATCTCAAGTATACTTTCAGTGGACTCTTCTGACAGTTAACTGACGGCTACTGTACAAGGGACTGTCCTGCCAACCCTGGCAGCGATAAACAGCAGATAACCTTAATTATTTTTAGCCGATCCGGTCGCCGAAACAGGCGCTTTATTCGCGTTATTTTCCACAAGGCGACCCAGCCTGGCCTGATGAGACTCATGTAAGATCAGATGACAATTGTCAGAGGTTCGCTTCTACCATCTCAAAACCTTTCACTATCGAACAACTTGTTGATTGTCTTCTTTTTCACTACACAAAGGCCACCAACATGGCTCCCATCCAAATTACCATAATCACGGGCTTCCTTGGCTCGGGCAAGACAACGCTCATCCTCAATCTCATCCCCCAACTAAAAGCGGCCAACCCTGACTACAAGCTCGCCCTTCTCAAAAATGAATTTGGAGACCTCGCCGTCGACTCACAGCTCGCGTCGTCCAACGCCATATCCGGCGTACGAGAGATGCTCAACGGTTGCATTTGCTGCAATCTCGTCGGCCAGCTCAGCGAGGCTTTGAAGGAGCTGCAGGCTCAGGTGACACCTGACCGGATCATCATCGAGACCTCTGGCTCGGCCTTTCCTGCCACTCTGGCCATGGAGATCAACCGTCTTGCACGCCAGACCGGACAATACGTTCTGGACGGTGTTGTGAGTGTGATCGATGTGGAGAATTGGCAGGGTTATGAGGACACGAGCGTCACGGCTAGACTGCAGGCCAAGTACACCGACCTAATCGTATTTAACAAGTATGTCTTCTTTCATGTGCAAAACCCAAGTCTGCCATAATTGACATAGAGCGTAGATGGGAGAACTGCGATGAGCGGAGATTCGACGACTGCTTGGATCGCGTCGGCGATCTCGAGGTTCAGACGGCGTGGGTGAAGAGTAACAAGGGCCAGGTGCCGATGAACCTCATCTTTGGAATTGATGGTGGGCTGGCGCAGTCCATAACCGAGGAGCCGAATGGACATGACCACGGCCACGATCATGAGCACACCCATGATGACAACCACCAATCTGAGGTCGAGGTGCTCTCAGTAGAGCTCACCGGCCCTAAGGGCTCAAGTGTCAACGCGGCAAGTCTTCAGAAGCTCCTAAAGACGGCACCAAAAGATGAAGTCTACCGGATAAAGGCCGTCTTATCATCATCCTCTGCGCTGAAAGGCTCCGACGAAGACCAGACAACCCCGACACCACCGTACCCAGAGAGCAGGTACATCTTGAACTGGGCCTTTGGGCGATGGACCTTTACGCCCGTGCCTGAGAAGGTCGAGGAGCACGAGTCGAGTGATCAGAAGACCCTGCGCATGACCATGATTCTGGCAAGGTACGAAAGCGCGAAATGGAAGAAGAAGCTCGAGGGTGGAGGTCTGCTCGAACTAGAGGGTGATGCTGCCCCAGGGCATCTTACCGTCACCAAGGTTGCATAAGACGATAGAATCGCATTTGAAGAGCCGCATCTCGACATTAACAGTATAGAGAGATTTTTGACATACAGAGCGCGGGCCCTCCTGCCCTGACTTGGAGCAGGCGACCTCGATGCAACCATTCCCAAAATTTCGCGTGGGATATTGATGAGCAATCACAAGAGCAGGTGACAAAAGAGCTGGTTTTCCTTTTCAACTGTATAGACTAGCATGTGACGGGAGGTTCTTCCCCTGTCGAGATAAGGAGAGCATCGCTCAGGAAAAGATTCCGTAAGATAAGGATAGATGCCGATTTCCATGATGAGACTTGTATCGAAACACTATATCTATTACAATTCTCACGCAACGGCTTCAAATATTCAGGCTCTGTTTGCGTTGATGAGTTGTTTTCACGAGGTCTTGCTGTGCACACGCCGTATTACCAATTTCAATCTTCGATGACATCAATTCCGGAACTACACGAAGGTATATACAGACACTTGGCAAGTTGAAGAAGGCCCTCCACAGCTCTTTAGGAGGCTCAATGAGCCTTGAAATATATGGTTCTGAAAGGAAATATTACAACAGCTTTTGGTCGACAGCCCCGAGAACAGAGATGCGGCTGTGGCGCCCCTTTCCTTCCTCAACCCCTCAAAAAATGCCAATGCCCTAAGTGTCCTCTAATGAAGCGTAGATGTCATATATTGAGGTAACACGGTCGTAAGTACCAGACGTCGCAGGAACTGCGCTGATTCTATGGCCATTTAGCGTTTCAGAGTAGTTTGACGGGGCATAATCAACATACCTTTCTCTATTCTTTCCCTCCTCCGCGTAATACTTGAGCCAATTCCCAAAACTATCGCGGCTCTGGAGGCGCTGCTCCTCTGCATGTGTCTGGCCACCTCGCCCGTTGGGCGCCGGAGGCTTCGCTTTTATGATATCAGGGTAGTCTACACGTCTGATCTCGCCAGAACGCACCTTTCCCAGACGGATTGCGTCGCGGTCCTGGCCGCCAGGACCGGCAGACCGCCTGGAACTCATGGCCTGCTGGATAAGCTGAAGGGCTGATCTGCCGTCAGCGGCATTGGTTCTTGTTGGCGAAGATACGGTGCGGATTTTGATATCTTGCGGGGGCACCACCTTAAGTTCCATGGCGACATGCGGGGTGGGCGAAGTGCTGGCGGATCTGGAGGCAAGTTGCTGCAGCTGTGATACGGATGAGAACTGTGACCAGCTTCCTGACCTCTCTCTGGGTCTGGGATACCGTGTGTGCCTGCGCTTCCCTTCCACTGGCGGAGTCACAGGAGAATGTTCGGTCTTCTCTGGCGAGAAAAGAGGGCGGTCCTCAAAATCTGTATCATCCTCATACTCCGACTCTGAGTAGTCAAAAACATCGTCCTGTGGCTGGAATCGAGTTTCGCACTTGCTACATAGGCTATTTCCAGACTTACAATCCTCTTGGCAAAAATAACATCTGTTACTCTTGGCCGCCTGCGCAGCGTTGTCGCCCGTGCTTTGGACGCTCTTCGTCTCCCTTGAGGCTAGTATATGCTTGGCCGACGGCACTACAAGTCTGGAAGGTTCATCATTGCTATCGTTGTTCTCGCCAGAACTAGCCACCGCGCGGTCGACGCCACGCTGGCGAAGAGGTCTGCTATTACTCCTCTTCTCATCAGAGTTGTTCTTTGCATGGCCATCTTCCTTCCTGGAAATAATGTTGCCGAGAGCGGGTAGAACCATATGTGTATTTGGCGTGCTTGCGCTCCCATGCGGCGCCCGAGGGCTCGGTCTGGTGTGCATGCCGGAAGAAAGCAAGGCGCGTTCGGAGAGTGGCCGAGGGGGCACCCCATCGCTCGCAACTCGTCGCGCATAATTAGGTCTGACCTTGTCGTAGACCCTCACGGATGGCTTTCGTTCTGGTGTGTTGAGCCCTCTCCGCGGTTTCTCCAGTGGACCCGCGCCCATACGGCCTAGCAACGTCGTCGTCGAGCCTGAAGTTGCAACTACTGTTCGTGGTACCAAGCTGCTATCACGTTCATCAGTCACGTCCATGGATCCATTCAAGTCTCCAGTTCCGTCCTTCCTGCTTAGTGGCTCTGGATTCAGCTGTCCAATTCCTTCCACGACGTACCTTTTACTCGGAGGGAGTTGCTGCGTCCCCTTGATACCACTGGCCGTAATGCCTTTATGCTCAACCGAGGCAAGTTCTCCACGTAATTTTGTCTGTGCTTTCATACGTGAGATCGCCGCATCGTACTCTTCATTCGTTGTCGGAATTTCGGACAGAGACATCGTCACCGGTGACCTATCAGGCAGGTGCACTATTTGAAATCTCGCTGAGACTTCCTCACCTGTGGTCTTAATTGTAGATGGCCGTGACTTGAGAATGATCCTGTTAAAGACTTTAGCGGCGCCGATGGCAATAATTTTGCTCTTGTTGCTGTCGTTACTGTGGCCCAAGGCGCTGACGTCTGAGGCCGATGAGTCTGCTTCTTTTCTCTGCATTTGTTGGCGAGGGGAATTCATGAATGAATTTGTTTTGATTTTTTGCCCAAATAGTGTAATCTCGAGATATTCCTGAGCATAGACAAGGAGGTCATAATATGGTGAGGGTCCCGGTCAACGTGAGTCCTCGTGGCTGAACAACAAAGGACTCTGACCGAGGCCAAGTCGCGTGAATCACTCTGCTTTGTCTGTACGGGAAGTTTTTGCATTGGCAATTTCCATGATTCGAATCCGAGGACTTTGGAATCGAATAAAGTATGGCACCGCAGTGAGGGCGCCGTGTCATCCTCCCTTGTGGCTGTAAGACACGACGCCTCTCAACTGCAAACGCGCTGGAAGAACACCATGACTGTCGCCCTTGCCGCGTCAGTGACAATTTCGAAGACAATGTTTGCTGACTTATTACGGTTCCTGATACGTTTCTTCAATTTCGTCTTTCGTTTAAGATACTAAGCTGTCTTGAGGAGTTCTCGGTCCCTGGACGCCGGATTGCCTCATGCTGCTTTCGTACCGAATTCTTGCTGGCAAAACCCCTTCCTGACTGTAGGGACTTCAATCGGTTGTTTGTGCTTCGCTCTGGAATTGCTCGCTCTAGATCCTGTTGCAACTCCCCTCACAGTGTGAAGAGACTTGCGGAAAAGCAGCAGCGTCGCTCCTGACGACATCTTGTTTCCGGTCCGATTCAGTTAGGTAACAACGAAGCGAAAGAAGATAGACAACAGTTTCTGGGTAGTCCAGAAAGTCACGGTGTACTATGGTGCTGATGCCCTCAACAGTCCTGGTTCGCAGTGTAGGCTGGCAATTCTCGGCGGTCTTCGGTTCGATTTGGCAACTTCCAACAATCAACCCGAGCTTGAGAGGCATCTCCTGTACAATATACTCGATATAGCCTCAGAGCATTCGTGACTTCTACCACGACTCTGCATCTCCATTATGATGATGATCGCGCCAAATGCACCAATGTAAGAAACACCAGCCTTCTTTAGTGTCCAATTCTCCTCCCTTACCTAAGAATGAGAACATGAAGACGACATCCTCGCTATGAAGCTGCAACACCATTGTTTCTGTATCATTTCAGCAGAGCTCATCGTTAATCTTCCTGCACTCTGGAAGTGTGATATATCAGATATTTCTTGTAGTCATGAGCTCCAGGCTTCCGCTTGCGGCTTAGCAGACATGCGTCTCGGTCAGAGGTCTAATGTACCAGCTTCGAGTGCTCGGAAGCCGTTTCCGAACTTGTTATAGATTGTGATTATCAGCGCGAAGTTTGCGACTGAAACGGAAGTTGTTTGATGGGTTTTGCAAGACTTGTTTGCCTGTGGACGGGTAGCCATTTAATGCTCGTGGTGCAGCATCCCAGCACACGAACTGAAGTCCTACAGCCATCCCCCCTCGTATTCTTGATGCGACAAACTTGGATGGCAATACCCTTAGGTTGTCTGAACAGAGAAGACGTGGGAAAGAGAAGGAGCTGCGAAGCTCCAAAGCAACTGCTGACGTCCTATTAGGGTAGTGTAATTAGGAGATGGTGATGTTAAGGCCCATAGATATTCAGACTCTGACAGTGGATCTTTTGCATTTCTGAGAGGCATGGTAATATGATGATAGCACATTGACCCCCACGTGCAGTCGGAGTTGCCAAAGTGCAGTCTTGTTGCTTATAGATAAGGTCTTCAGCCGTGGGACTGTACAGCGTACAAGACCTGTCTTGCCATGCTTCTAAGCTTACAAAACCTTAGAATGGTGAAAGTGATTGTAGCAGTCGTGGGCTTGCAGCGTCCGGAATCTGGTTGTAAGCTTATACTGTATGACGTAGAATCCAGGAATTTGTTTCATTCATGAAGAGAAAGGAATCACATGAAGGTCTGGAATTGGGATACTGGACATTGTCAGAGCATCGCATGTCGGCCGGAAGTCGTATTTGATGATAGCCGCAGAGAGCACGATTAATCTGCATGTGCTCAGGGTGTGGGGGGAGGGGCGCTGATCTTCACAGGGGCCCTCACCTCCAAAGTCCACCTGCCTAACCCACCTGGGCCGTTAAAAAACAGTTGATCGATACTGTACGGTACGATCCAGCTTGGCACGTATTGGAAGCCGTGAAGGAGGCACTTGGGTTCCTAGGGTAGACAGTGCCCTTGAGAGTATGCAAGCAATCATCCTTGTTCCAACGCTACAGTACAAGCAGCTATGATGGTCCAGGCTCGGCCGACCCGATGTGGTGCGGTGAAAGGAAGATGAAGGGGAGGCCAAAAAATGAAGTTGACGGGATGGGGGTTGGAATGATGAGCACGAGACGGGGACCAACCGGGCAGGCCTGTGGTCAGCTGGGCTTGCCCGATAATGGCAGGTCCTATCACGAGCTGCTGCGTCTGAAAAAAGGTTGTCTGCCGGTGCTGTATCTTCACACCACTGACACCACGCTGCACCACACTAGCACTGGCACAAGGTAAGCCGAGTCAGATCCCTGGGCAAAGGCGACGCTGCGCAGGACGGACTACGGTACGGACCTCTGGGCTTTGTTTTTCTCGCCTCGCCTTGTCTTGTGTCGCCTCTCCTCCTGCTCCTCCTCGCGCGACCTGTCTGACCTGACTGCACCTCACTGGCGGTGACGTACGGACGGCCAGCGGTGACAACAAATAAACTTTTTCACTCTTTGCGACCTCTTCCCTGTCTCGTGCCCGTCCCAGCACCGTGCCATACCATACTTATTCTTTTTCCTCGACCCGACTGCCCTCCAGTGCTCCGCGCATGCCCAGGATAGCAACAATCGGGCCTCACTGATAAGCTCCCAGCCTCGCCTATTCTGCGCCATTGGGCCTAGCAATTGCGACACGGGACTACTCGACACCGACACACACTCTGCCTGACCGTGGTACTGGCCAGATCTGAAAGAGATTAGACTGCCTAGGTAGCTACCATGTCGAATAGCGGGCGAGAGCAATCCGGCCAGCCGCCCTTGGACATACAGAGGCCTGGCTCGCCGGGTTCCTTCCGCAGCCGCTCCTATGGCGCCTCCGTTCCTCGCGCCGAGGCCACCGCCCGTCTTGCCTCTCCCATCCCGAGCCAGCACTTGGGCACCCCGCCGACTGCCCGAGCCGAATCGCTACATACGAGCGCCGACACGGGTGCCGCTCAGTCTGGCGAGGACGTGACCCCTCTCCCCGGCGCAACCTCGTCCAGCCATGTGCTCGGCCCCGGCACCTCTGCCCTCGCCGCCGCCCTGTCCAACTCCCTCGGCGCCTCTCCTCCTCGCTTCGGTACTCCTCCTGTACGACCCTCGTCCCCAAGCGCGTCCAGCGGGCAGATCCCCCAGTCTGCAACTCCTACCAACTATGGCTCCTTCGACACGAGAGCCCGAAACGCGGCCTACGAGGACCCTGAGATCATCAAGAGGCATCTGGTTCAGCCCTCTGATGCAGCTTACCAATCCGATGACTCGGGAAACAGGAAAACAAGCGACTCTGCCGCCAAGGGCAAGCAGCCGGACACTGGGGCCAACGCTGCTGTGGACGACGAGGAGTTCTCGAGCTTGCGGTTGCAGGGCGGAGACATCACTCGCCAGGTCTACAAGTGGACCGAGGGAGCTACGAACAAGATACAGCGCAGCAAGAGCTTTAACATGCCGCGGCCTGAGCCCGAGGAGGAAGTTCTTGACATCAACAACATCAAGGTCCCTGGTGGCTTCAGGCGGAACTACCTCCGGCGCGCGGCTGGCAGCCCTGCGCCGCATGCGGGAAGGCGGGATTTCGGTGACGGACTGAGCCAGCCCCAGCCCCAAGTCTTCACCTCGAGCTTCCTCGAATTCTTGAGCATGTATGGCCACTTTGCCGGTGAAGAGCTCGAGGAAGACGACGAAGTGCTCAGGCCTGGCGAGTACTTCTCTTCAGGCGAGGACGAGTGGGAGAGTGACGAAGACTCGGACATGGACAGGGAGCCGATGGAGGACAGCGCGCTACTGACCCCGTCACGCAGGAAAAGGAGAAGAAAGCACCGGATAAGTGGGAAAGCCAGTCCCACGGGGGCAGCTCTCGTCCTGCTCAAGTCCTTCGTTGGGACCGGTGTCCTCTTCCTCCCTCGTGCTTACCTCAACGGCGGCATGGTTTTTAGCAATGCTGTTCTTCTCTTCGTCGCCGCTCTCAGCTACTACTGTTTCGTCCTCCTGGTCACGTCGCGCCTTAAGGTCGAAGGGTCCTTTGGCGACATGGGCGGCATTCTCTACGGAAAATGGCTGCGCTTCCTGATTTTGTTCTCCATCGTCGTCAGCCAGATCGGTTTTGTTGCAGCCTACATCGTCTTCGTCTCCGAGAATCTTCAGGCTTTCATCCTCGCGGTGTCGGATTGCCAGACCCACATACAGGTCAAGTGGTTGATCCTGATGCAGATGGTCATCTTCCTGCCGTTCTCCCTCTTCCGCGACATCAACAAGCTTAGCTTCACGGCCTTGATTGCCGACGTCTTCATCATCCTTGGACTAGGTTATCTCTTCTACTACGATGTCTTGACGCTCGATAAGTTCGGCTTGGCCGACATCACCTTGTTCAACAAGAATGATTGGACGCTCTTCATCGGCACGGCTATATTTACATTCGAGGGCATCGGGCTCATTATCCCCATACAGGAGTCCATGGCCAATCCCAAGAAGTTCCCCAAGGTTCTCTTTGTTGTCATGATTATCATCACAACGCTCTTTATCGTCATGGGCGCGATCTCGTATGCAGCCTACGGCTCCAAGACTGAGACCGTCGTCCTGCTCAATCTGCCTCAGGACAGCAAGCTCGTCAACAGTGTGCAGTTCTTGTACTCGATTGCCATCATGCTGTCCATCCCGCTGCAGATCTTTCCTGCGATCAGGATCCTGGAAAATGGCCTCTTCACACGGAGCGGGAAATACAACCCCTACATCAAGTGGCAGAAGAACGTCTTCCGCTTCTTTTTTGTTATTCTTTGTGCTATCATTGCGTGGGCTGGCGCAGACGACCTGGACAAATTTGTGGCGCTGGTGGGCAACTTTGCCTGTATTCCGCTTGTCTATATCTATCCGGTAAGTAACCTCCCTGGCAACGTGCGGATGCTCGAGACCTGCTGACACCCTCTCCAGCCCATGCTGCACTACCGCGCCGTGGCGAGATCTGCGCTTTGGAAGATATCCGACATCATTCTCTGCATTTTTGGCTTCGTTGCCATGGCATATACGACCGCTTTGACTGTTCAAAGCTGGGCCAGTGGGGACGAGGGCCCCAACCTTCCAGGATACTGCGATAAAGGGCACGCCTAGACTGAGAGGGAGGTGAGACACTGGCCAGAGGGGGCATGCGAATAGCTTGTTCCGTTTTGAGTTTGTGGGGTTGTATGATGTGTTGGAAAGTTCACTTTAGTTGCATGGCCTGGGTGTTGGTGGATCTCTCAGAAATATCAATTGAACTTGGGTGGGACTCTTCCAGAGGTTTGGGATAGACTAGATTGAAGAGATACCCATGGCCTTGGCATTCAGCCAGAGGAGGATTTACTTTGTATGAGGTAAATAGCTCTTGAGCCATGAGGGTATATCGAGTCACCGGGTGAATGGAAGATTAAATGCTATTTCGCCGAGAATGCCAATGAGCAGTGATGTTTGCAAGATGGTGGTCCATGTAGAAATAACCCATATTGTAGAGCTGAATTGTAGAGATCTCTGTGGTGACCACAGCGATTGAGCCAAGCGCTGACGGGCCCACTCACTGGAGCACAAGGGTCACCCGCGCTCCCCCGGCCTGCAGTGGCGGCAAAATGACACTAGTGCCCGCCTGGAGAGCCTCATCAATCCAATCCACTTCCGGCTTTGAGAAGTCCTCCTGAACTTGCTACAACTCGGGATCAGCTCTTCATCTCTAGGCTGGTCGTTGCCATCTTCATTCTTAGCCTTCATACCTCTCGAATCAATATTGCTGAATTATACATCTTGATCTGGCCGGCTCCGTTGCTTCTCTAGCTGGTCTTCCCTCTCAAACGGCATCATGAACGCCCCGGACAGGTTAGTTGGAATGCTCTGTTCGCTCGTTGGTTGCTTTTGAACCTCAGAACGGCACATGTCCTCGCTTCCCAGCACTCATGGATGAGGATATCTCATGCTTTATTTGACGGTCTCAATTTGAGGGCTATTTAATCGCGACTACTTCAAAGAGCACGATCCGAGTGGAAAGTGCAAGCGTGGAGGCTCTCTTCAGAATGCAGGGAGGAACACGGAGACGGCGGGGAGGGAGGGAGGCGGATGGCAGCCTGTAGAACCGTTGATGGCAGTCTCTATCTTGCTAAGATAGGAAGCGACGAAGCTTTACATGGCTGCCGTTCAGGCGCTCAGGTGTCGAGGTGCACAGGTGCCTTGCTGGCTAGGATGGACTAGCAGCAGGACGGAGGATCTTGAAGTTCTTGATACCACACCTTTCCATGAGTACACACGAACACGCGCGAACACACCAAACCATCTTGTCACTGCAGTCTTCTTTTAAGCACTGTCACGGTCCCTGCAAAAATCAACCTCAACACCTGTATCATTGATTTGGAATCACTTGTACCTTTCCAAGATGGGAAGAAACCCAAAACACGACAATGTCCCCGAGGGGTACTGCTTTCCTCCAGCACCTCTGTTTGAGAAGGTTGAGTCAAACGCAGTCTTACTGATCATGTTACTAGATTCGAGCTCTTCTTGCTCCAAGATGGCGAGAAGAAGATCACCGAGACTCCTTTCCCTCGTAAGTCATATCAGCGCCTCGCTATGGCGATGCCCTTCTGTTGAATTATCCTGCGCGACCCGAAGCACAAGGCTGACAGGTGAATGTCAGGCATGTCGAACTGTTCCGACTTCACCCTGAAGAAGGAGGACCACACCCTTGGTAACCTGGTCTCGGAGCACCTGAAGAAGCACCCCAACGTTCTGATGGCTGGATATAAGAGTAAGTCGATGTCGCTCTTGCGAAGGACAGTGGACGAAGTGGAGGGGAGGAAGTCGAGACGCTCCGGCTGACATGTTTGCGTCTCCAAACAGTTGCCCACCCTAACGTGCCTGAGCTTTTCATCCGCGTCCAGACGGACGGCCAAGTCACCCCCAAGGAGGCCATGCTCGAGGTCTGCAAGAACCTCATTGCCCACTTTGCCCAGCTCGGTCGCGAGTTCACCCGCGAGTACGAGCTTCGCCGCATGGCTGCCGCAGGTCCTTCTACCAACGGGGGCGCAGACGGCGTGAATGGTCATGGTTTCTAGGATAATTGTCTCAACATATGGACACATGATCTCTGGCCGTGTTGTTGTGGATGAATCTTCTGAGCAGGGTGGCGGCAAACCTGGCATGTTTCTAAAGGTCGTTTCGGCGTTAATGGTCGACAGGGGCGAAGAGAAAAGGTTTCTTGCATTTTAGGGACTCATAATGAATGAAATGGATGGTCCATGCTTGACAGGGCGTCTCATCTTCTGTCGCAAGCAATAAGGCTTTCAGTGACTATTCTCGTAGATCTACTGGGCCATTAGGGCATCTGAATTTTGCATTATCGATCTACGACGTGTTGAGTTGCTTTCTGAGTTTTGTGCCTGTGTAGACAACGGCACTTGTCTCTCCGCTCCCCTGTGGATACCGCCTTTGCACCACTGGCCGTGATAAAGCCAAATGTGATCTCCCATCGTCACCACACGTCCGTCATTGTGCCTCACCTCCAGGGAATGCTATGACTGCGCTGCCCCCGGTCCTTCGCCTCCTGGGATAAGCTGGAAATACGTCAGTACAAATGACCAACGCAGGACGGAAACAGATAAGCCGTACCATGCAAATGTTGTTGCCGTTCAACAGGATCTTGGACAGCTTCGTCGAGTTACCATCGTAGCCACTGCGAATTCACAGTCAATACACACAAACTGCCTGCCGGCACCGAAATGCCACTGCTGAGATTGAAGCCTTACAATTCCGTCACGTCTTCCAGGACGATGTCTGCGGGCAGCTGGGTCAGTGGAAATTGCCCGACGCAGGGAGATGAGAGACTGGTATGTGTCGTGACTTACTGACGTAGTCATCGAAACCGAGCAGCGTGCCGCTGAACTCTGCAGACGCCGGGTGTCAGTGATCAAGCCTTCGCTCCCTAAGGGACGTGGACTGGACGTACCCCTGTCACCCTTCATGATGACCCATATTCTGGATCCGACGCACTTGTCGACGAGCTCTGCGGTCCAGGTCAGCATGTGGCCCATACGGGATCTGAGGGGAGGTATCTACCTAGAGGTTGGACTTGAGATGTCATCTTTACTTGGTCCGAGTCGAAAATGCACGGAAACGGCTCAAGGTGGAATGCGATGCAGGTCTGCTGGGCAGGGTGTTTGTCTTTTGGTGGACGGGCTGTTGTCTGCTATTGCAAGTTGGCCCAGGCCTGTATGCCCTTATCGGTGCTATTCAGTAACGCAATTAGGCCCACCTCGGCCCCATCCCGCGTCAACAACGCGTCGGCGAGTCTACAGATCCGCAACCCCCAATTATGCCCCTGCATTGTTGCCTGCTCCGAAACCTGGGGGGACCAAAAGTCACGCTGCCCTTCGAATCAATGACCTTGTTATGGTTCTGGGCCAACATGGCGCATCGCTCCCACCTCGAGTGCGCGTCATGAATCTTGCGAGTGGCCAGCCGGGTCTACTTCTTCTTCAACCGGCTGCGACTCGCCGTTTCTTGTCAGTCACGCCTCTCCTGAACCTACTGAGTGATGACGGCGTGCGGTACTGATATTTCTGTGCCAATCTGTTAGATATAGCGTTTCCAAGATGCACGGCTACAAACATCCTCCGAGCTGGAGGCTCTGGCACCCAAACCAGGGAGTCGTCTTCCAGCAGCCACTTTATCCTGTCCTCGATGTCGCTCGGTTCTTCACGGAGGCTTCAGCGGTGGAGAATATCAGTACTGGCCCGGATGGTTCTGGTAAAGAGATGATCAACACCAGTTTCAAAAACCTCGGGAAATTCAACGCAGACTCAAATGACAACCTCGCGGCGCCCGAGGTGCATAAAGCGCCTCTTGCTGAGGAACCTCCTTCGGAGGCTCCTCAGGAATCCTCGACACATCCCACAGAAGCATGTGAGCCAGCCTTGAGGGAAGAGGAGGCACAGGCCGAAGTCGTGGATGAGCCATCAAGAGGTCCTCCTTTCACCCCGCTCGACTACAAGATCCCAGAGGAAAGCTTCAGCGCTGCCATGGCAGCGGTCGAGGGAACGCCCGAGTCCTTTTGGACATATGCAATGTATCGAGGACCTAGCGACAATGAGAGTGGCAGGGAGGGCGAAGCGAAAGTCAAGGTGCACTACTGCAAAAGCGCCCACACTGCGGAGCGAGTCTGTCAATACTTTTTGAAGGAGAAAGTCATTGGCTTCGACTTGGAGTGGTCAATGGAGGCCTACAGATCTAGCTCGCCTCGAAAGAATGTCTCTCTGGTGCAGCTAGCCAGCCAAAGCCGGGTTGCGCTGCTTCATCTTGCATTGTTTCCAGAAAAGGACAGATTTGTCGTTCCGACTTTGAAGCGCATTATGGAGGATCCAGGGATTACAAAGACTGGAGTGTGGATCAAAGGCGACTGCACCAGGCTCCGAAAGTTCTTGGGTATCGAGTCCCGAGGAGTCTTTGAATTGAGTCACTTGTACCGACAGGTCAAGTATACAAGGAATGGGAGGCATGACCTGATCAACAAGAAACTTGTGTCATTGGCCAACCAAGTCCAAGACACAATGCATCTGCCATTGTTCAAAGGGCAAGATGTGAGATCCAGTGATTGGTCCAAGTCATTGGGCATGGATCAGATTGTATACTCAGCGTCAGATGCGTATGCAGCAGTCCATCTTTACGCCATGCTCAATTACCAACGCGAGAGTCTCGACCCAACGCCGCCTCTGCCCTTTCATGTAGAGCACGAGCAACCAATTCCTCTGGCGCCTGGTATCGAAAGCTCGAGCTCCGACGAATCTGATGCTGAGGAGGAGGAGCTCGAGGCCATAGCAGATGCCGGGTACGGAGCGTCCATATTGACTCCCGAGCAGCTTGAGGCACTTGGTGAGACCATTCAAATCGAGGCCGGCGAAGAAGACTCCAACGACAGTAAAGCCACAGCAGAGGCACCAAAAGCAGCGAAACCAAAATCCAGATCTACCACAGCAGCAGCAAAACCGGCGACACCACAGAAAGACCCCAGAATTGTCGCCGCAGAAACCTGGCTCATGGAGTACAAGGCAACACGTCCAGGTGGGAAGACCAAAGCTGCAGCTGCGGCCTTGAGGGCGTACTTTATATGGCACGCAAACGACGATTTGAGCGTCGATAGCATCGCACAGCTGCTAAGGGACCCTCCCCTGCAGCTCAACACCGTCTGTGGCTACATCCTTGAAGCGGTCAAAGTAGAGAAACTATCATATGACCCGGCCCGACTCAGGGCAGTGCTCAATCTCTACCCTCAGGAGCAGGCTCAGAGAAGATTTGCGGCGTTGTTCAGGGCCACGGCGAATGTGTCTGTGCCGTGAGCAACTGAGATGTGGAAAAAGTCTTGTAAGATACGACAGGCAGCAGATGGGTTGACAGGCGAACTTCACATACACTATTGAGATAACGCCGCCACAGTCTCAAAAATCACAACACATCATTGCGGAAGCCCACTGAAGTGTAATTACTTCCTTTGAAAGATCATCCCACAGGAACAGATCCCACGGGAGGCTATCCCAGATGGAGGTTATCCTATAAGAGGTTATCCTATAAGAGATTATCCAATAGGGGGTTATCCCATAGGGGGTTATCCTATGAGAGATTTTCCACAGGAGCTTGTCCCACAGGAGGTTATTCGCGAGGAATAATTGCGGACGAGGATCTCAACTCTATTGGGGTATAACAACTACTATCAACTCATCTCCCGCGACTTATCACAACTAAGGATGTTGACTCTGTTGGGGTATAACATCTGCATCTCGTCTCCCGCGCCTAGTCTCTCGCCCTTGCCCTGTTGATCTGCACCATCTTGTCTTCACTACCACTCACAATTCCCCACGTCTGATCCCAAGCCACGCTGAACACCTTGACCCCCTCGCCAGCCAGCGGCCGCTTCTTGCCGCCCAAGCTCTCCCGCTCGATGGTATGCACCGCCTCACTAACTCCGCCACCTGCGACGCCGTCCTCGCCCTTCACAGATGGCCGGACGCTTCTCAAATCCCAGATCTTGCATGTGCCATCGTGCGAGCCGGAGACGAGCGAGTGGCTGTTGTCGGGGCACTTGGCCAACGACACAACCATGTTCACGTGGCCTCTGAGCGTCATGACGGACGTCCGCGCTTGCGACTCCCGCGGATCGACCAAGAGCACATTCCGCGACGTTGTGCCGGCAGCCAGTAGCAGACCTCCTGAGGGGCTAGGCAGGGCGCAAAGGGAGAGGAGGGAGACGGATAATGGTATCGTGCTGACCTTGGACATGGTCGTCAGGTCGATCGTGTGCAAGTCGTGGTCCCAGCCCGCGCTGTACGCCACAGTCCTGTCTCGCGGGTCGAAGACGGCAGCCGCAGCGGGTTCCGTGTGGAAGGGAGCGAGGTGCAGCGGGCCGCGCTGGGGCGTGGACACCCCGTTGGCCAGTTTTCTCTTCTTGCCGGCGTTTGTGGCCCCGGGCAGCAGCTCCGCTGGCGCAGTGGGCGCCGAGGCCTTCGAGGTGCTCCACAGGCCGATGCAGCCGTCCGCGGACGCGGTAAGGATGCGCTTGGAGGCGCCGTCCACCTCGATCGAGTCGATGGAGGATTTGTGCCCGTACAGCTCTAAGGTGGGCTTCAACTCGCCGGAGGATTGGGCGTCGTTCTCTGTATGCTTCCACACGCGCACGGTTCGGTCGATCCCCGATGAGGCGATCTGTGTGGACGAAAGGAACTTGGCTGCCTTGATACCCGCGGTGTGTCCGCCCTGACTTGCCGCCGGCGAGGTGGTGATGAGGTCACCCGAGGCGTTCCATATCCTCAACAAACCGTCATAGGAACCAGACAGTATTCTGTCTTGGCCCGCCGTGAAGGCCTCGCCTGACCAGTGTCCCGCAGGGGACGTGGATGAGAGCAGGTCGACGGCGCTGACCCAGTCGGGATGCTCATAAGAGGCCTCGTACTGGGGCGGTATTATGCTTGGAACATATTGAAGTGTAATATTGGATTCAAAAGACAGGCCGTTCTGCTGGAGGTAGTCCTCGAGGGTGGAGGTCAAAAATGTGCCGTTGATAAGGAAATCGAATGGAATTGTTCTTGGGGTGGCTAGCATGGACTCAGAGTTGAGAATGCGGGAGAGACCAAGACGTCTTATGTCTAGAATTTAAAGTGTTGTTCGTCAGCCAGTATGCTCCATGTAAACAAACAGAAGTAGTATGCGCCGTGAGTATATGGGAAAGCCATACCGGCTGGCACAAGCAGCTGTCTCTTTGTCTCGGGCAGTTGGAAGCCATCCTCGCTCGTGGTGAATGTAACCTTGACCTGGGCCATTTCTGGCTCAAAGGCCGTAGCTCCCGCCATGTTTGAGTCCATCATGTCGTGCGGAAAAGCGATGCGACAAGTATTAGTAGACTGAGAGTTGTGAGAGGGAACTGAGAAATGGCAGCTGGAAATTTTTCTAGCCTTGCGACCCTTGCCTACCAGCTTTAGCTCATAGCCTTACAGAACCCCACGCTGTGCAGGGATCTACCCGACGGCGCTCACACTTGCATTTTGGGGCCTAACCCGGTCGAGGGAAAGGCCCATTAACGCGTCTTCTCGCACCTGCAGTCCAAGACGCGTCTTGCCGGACTTCACTCTAAAACTTACCAGTCTCTTACGGCGGTCGCACCTTGTGCTCAGTAGTCCCAGCACTGCAAATATGGTGTCCTTGGACGAGATCGAGTCGAAGCTGCTCCAGAAGCCATCGTTTGTGCCCACAAAACCAGGACCTTTTAGACCAGGAACTAACGATATACTGCAGCGGCGACGCGCCAGAGGAGCCTCTTGAGCGCACCCAGTCCGTCTACAAGCCCCTCGACACCTTCAAGCTCGAGAAGGGCCGCAGCTACCAGCAACAGTATGCTGACACATACTTTCTCCGCCTGACCAAGATCAAGCCTGCTGTTGAGCAGGTTGCAGAGGCAGCATGGGAAGGAACTGTTATCGGCGGCGAGACTGCCAAAAAGGCTGATCGCGTGCTGGATGTCCGCCAGGGCGAGCTATGCTGGGTCGCCGGCACGGTGTATGTGGACATGTCTCTCAAACCAAATATCCTGGATGACGTGTCCAAGGACCGCTGGATCTCCGCCCCGACGTCTGTCGCGAAGTACTTTGGGGATGACGACCGGGATGCCATCATGCTCGAAGATGATTCTGGTCGTATCCGACTTACTGGAGATCTCTTGAAGTCCGTCATGCTTGTTACCGGATGCATAATTGCTGTCGTGGGGACGGAGAATGCAAATGGCGATTTTGAGGTCATCGATGTGAAGTTCGCGGACCTCCCTCCACAGCCGGACCGATGGGCATTATCAGAACCGCCAAAGAACGGTGCCAATGGCGCAGCCAAGGGGAAAAAGACTGTCAAGTCTGAGGATGTCGAGATGACAGATGCCATGTCAGCAGCCAGTGGCGGCAAAATTGCCATCGTTTCAGGTCTCAACTTTGCTGGCGACGACACATCATATGCCCTGGAACTGAATCTTCTTCTCGAGTATCTACTGGGCGAGGCACTTGAACCCAGCACACAGGCCGAGCTGTCTCACATAAGCCGCCTGATTATAGCCGGCAACTCCATCGCCGCTGCGAATCCTCGGTTTGGTGAATCTGCTGGAGAGAAGAAGGCCGCGCAGAAGAAGTACGGCTACGACGCCAGCTCGTACAACCCGTTGCCCTCACAACTTCTGGACGAGTTCCTGGCCGAGCTGTTACCCAGCATGCCCGTCACCCTCCTTCCGGGCGAGCACGACCCAGCCAACGCCAGCTTCCCTCAACAACCAATACACACAGCCATGTTCCCGCGATCCAGAGCATTTGCAGCTGCACCTAATTCTAAAGAGAAGGGGTGGCTTGACCCGGTGACGAATCCATGGGAGGGGGAGGTAGATGGCTGGAGAATACTCGGCACGGGCGGGCAGAACGTGGACGACCTTTTCAAGTATATCGACAGTGACGATAGAATCGCAATGATGGAAGTCATGTGCCGGTGGCGGTGCAGTGCGCCGACAGCGCCGGACACTCTGTGTGAGTTCTTTGCCGTTTCTTTGGTTCGCTGCGCTAGTGTGGGCCATTTGCTGATCGAGTGAACAGGGAGCTATCCATTTCAAGATGACGACCCATTCGTTATGAATAATTGTCCTCACGTCTACTTTGTGGGCTGTCAGCCCACATTTGGCACGAGAGTGATTACTGGCCCAGAAGGGCAGGCAGTCCGGCTCATTGCGGTCCCATCGTTCTCTGAATCCAAGGAGATCGTACTGGTTGACACTGAGACGCTGGAGGTCTCGCGCGTTAAGATCTCAGCATCGTAGACAAGCCGGACTGTTCTTACCGGGTACCTGCATCACACTACAATGATTTGGAGGGATGAGCAAAGGTGCTGGTTGATAGGGAAAATTACGAGTTATTTGCATTTTGCGCGGGAAATTTCGGCATCATGATACCAACGAACGGCGAGGTAGAAGGACAGGGTCACGTTAGTCATGTGAAAGAGGAATGGAAAACCTTTGTCAAAATGTATCATACAGTGGTGAGTGGTGTCATCTGTCTGGGCGCCCACGTCTCGTGAGCAATTAATTAACCCCCTCAGTGGTGTCGCACTCGTCCTTATCTGATTGACCACTAGCTCCCACATTGCCGCTCTGGGCTTTTAAAAGGTCAAGGCAACTATCGAAACACCACCGCAATAAACCAGCATCCGTGTTGACGAAAATCAACCCTCAAAGTCACTGGTGTCGTCATTGTCGTCATTGCTCAGGTCTTCGTCGTCGGCACTACTCTGGTCACCATCCTCGCCACTATCCGCGATCTTTCCCTGGCAGCGAAGGTGCTCGTTCCACCGCTCAGCCGATGCCTCAAATTCATCGAACCAACCTCGTGCGACCGCCTTTGAAGGATTCTCGCACGCGTACGAAATCATTTCGCTAAGTTTGTCGAGCTCTTTTCCAGCTGGCTGAGTCGCAGCCTGTTGGGAGTCTGGTCTGGATGTGCTGGCCTCAGTGCGCTTGTCGATGATGCAGCGGAGACTCTTGGCAGCAGCCGAAGAAGTCTTGGGCGTAAAGACTCGCACTTCTATGAAACATGTTCTGAGGGCCTTGAGAGCCTCAATGACCTCTCCTTGCCTGTAAAAGTAGCCAACCGTGGACAACGTGTTACCCTCCACGGAAGGCGACGTGTCGAGCACCAGCTCACGGAGGTCAGCGCCATGCTCAGTCAAGGCGCGGATGGCTGCAGCCAGCGCGGTGCAGTAGGTGAGTTCTGTCCGAGACCTCTCAATTTTCAGCTCCAGCTTACGGAAATAAGGAATGTATTTCTCAACAGTGATGGTCTGCCCGACATCTTGAAAAGTCCCTGAGCGGGCCGGATCCCGCAGCTTGTACTGAAACGTATTTGCTCCATACAGAACAGCCGAACCGTTCTCGAATAACGCCCGGCAAGTCGACAAAATCGCCGGATCCAGATTGGAACGCTGGCGATGGTATAGCTTGGACCAGCCTTGAAAGACCTGGATTGGGTCCTCGGCAAGCAGCAAATATCGAAAAATCTTCTGTTGGATCTCCATGGGCATTTGGATCAAGAAGCATCTGCTCATTGGAAGGTCAGGCCGCTGGACGGGGCGCAACGAGATTCGATGCAACTCTCGCGACGGTGCTCTCATGACCACAATCTTCTCTCGCTTTCGCCTCGAGCGGCGTGGCATCCGCTGCTGCTGCTGCTGCTGGAGACTCTGTGGCGCATCGCTAGGTCCTACAGTAGGACTGATCTCCGGGGTGGAGCTGGTTGGGCTGTGCTTGTCACTTTCGTCGCTGACCTCAACAAGACCGTCAGCCACTATCTCGCTCTGCTTCTGTGCCTGGTCCTGAACCATCAGACCCGAGGGCTCTTGGAGCTGACACGCGCCTACCGGTACTGACCTCGAGACACCAGGCTCATCGTGGCTAAGTTCAGTGCTTCCATTGCCCTCTCCGACAGAATCTGTCTCTGTGACTACCGCCTGTTGGCTACTGCTGCCTCGATCCTGGACTGAGTCTGATACATCAGAGACACGTGTTTGGAAAGAAACCACAGGCGGGCCCTTCTTGCGAGATAGTTCATTCGTCTTGAGGCTCGTGAGAAGCATCTGTTGTTTCTTGAATTGGTCGAGCCTGGAAAGGACGTCTTTCGCGGTATCAGAGTCAATTGTACTGAACCGCACGTTAGCACCGCCCGGAACCACTCTTCCGTCTCCAGCTCTCTGCCTATCACCATGGATTGGCTCCCCGTCAGTCTTCCGAGGGCCGTAATCACAATCTTGGACTTTGACACGAGGAACGATGGTAGATCCACGTCGCTGCTGATCTCGCTCAACTCTCTGTATGTGATCGAGGGACGGCAATCCGTTAGCGAGGTGAACCACTGCTCTCTGAAGCTGGGGCAAGCCGTGCGCAATATTAAGTGTGCTACTGGTGTTGTTTTTGGGCTCCGAGGGAACAGCGTCGGAGTTACTGTCAGGGCTCATGAAAGCAGGATAAGTGATGGCAGCTCCACGACGCGCCTGGGTAGGCTGAACACTGCTTTCTGTATCCAGGGCAGGCAGTCTATTGGTACGAGGACCAGCTGCTTTTCCAGCCCGGTTCATGAAGTCAACGGATTTCTGGGGGCTGTTATCGATATCCGTCTGCTGCTGATTATGCGGCGAATCTGGCATGGGAGCAAATGAATTGCGAAGTTCTGAAGGCTCTATTCGGGCACGATCAGAAGCGGCCTTCTCCTTGATTCGATGCCAAAGCTCAATGACAGCCGCCTCATCAAGGGCTTTTGTCGAATTGGGCTGTGGCTCATAGGGGTTGCTTGTCTGGCCGGAATCAGCAGAGCGAGGCTTCTGCGCTGGTGCAGCTTTAGTTGGAGCCACCTGCTTATCCTTGGACACCGCCGATGTTCCATCTGTCAGTTGAAGAGGCTTGAATGCCGTCGCAAGCTTTTGAGGAATTGAAGCTTCCGTCAAGTCAATGACGTTCTCAATGGATTCAGACTTGGCGGTCTTTCCAAGTCGTGGGTTCGAGAGGACAGTCGAGTCATCTTCTGAAAGGTCATCAAGCGTCAGGTCAATGAACTCGCTCTTCTGCTTAACGCCACGAGTAGGCATGGTAGCAGACAAAAGACGGCTGCCATGCGAAGCACTTCGAGCTGCGCTTGGAGGAGAGCCAAGAGTGAGGCTGGCGGTGCCCTTGACAGACCGCTCGCGGCCAGATGAACTGGACTGGGGATCATCGCCCGTGAGGTCGATCACAGTCGCGCGTTGGCCCGATCCAGCGCGATCAACACGGTCGCTTACCAGGGACGAAGAGGCTCGAGTAGTATTTGAGAGCGTGGGACGCTTGTTGGGAGTATCCTCATCGACTACACCATCGTTGTTCCGCTTTCGACGGACGCTACCGAGGGAAATGGAAGTAGGAGATCGTGTGCTGGATGGAGTTTCTCTTGTTCCCGGGTCAAAGGTACGCCCCACACTCCTTCCCAGCTCGGGCTTGTCGCTTCCCTTTCCGGGGAAAAGACGTGGAGGTGGCATTATTGTTGTTGATGACTGGCTGGTTGAGGAAAGAGTCAGCCCCCGGGAAGTCATCCGCAGTGGCTGTCAAGTGAAGGAGCTACTCACATGTGATATCAGCTTGGACAAAGCCGGATGCGTGGGTCATCAAGGGTCAAGTGGCCAGTTCCGAATGGAAAGCGTGCTTGATGTTTATCCGAAGTCGAAGGGCAGGAGCTGTTGAGATGTGTGCTTTAGTGGTGGTGATTCACGAAGGCACTGGTTGGGTAGTCGTACCGAGCACAAGGGCGGGATACTTGCGTCAGGTCTGGTGGAAGGAGACTGCTATGGCAGAGGTCAAGATATCAGACACCATCCGGATGTGTACAAGACGAGGCGTGTGCCTGGTCAGAAAGATGTGCTGGTAGGGGGATCTGAAAACAGGGGAAAAGTTGGGGAGAAGCCGGGCGCAAGCAGAGTGCAAGCAGGGTGCAAGCAGGAGGTAAGAGTCCCAAAAGCCGCCAGGAAGCTGGCTTGACTGGCGACCAAAGCCTGGCAAAACTTGGGCAGAAGCACTGATTATGGCAGGGCTAAGGCACGAGCTGATGTTTCCTGATCTCTGGTTGACGTGCTGCTTTGGAGACGATGTGGCTGCGGTAGGGCAAGTGGAAGAGGCACTCCTACGGGTGGAGAGGGGGTGCCATAGCAACTCAACCTGGCTTGACGACGGCTGCCAGGGACGAGCCCAGGTCAGCTTGGGGAAGATAGATGATCTAAACGATTCTCAACATGAGATGTTCCAGTCCATTGACATATTATGTGATGAGGTCTTGTAAATGGCAGTCAGGAACAGCTTTAGTCACAACCTCACAGCAGTGCATGAAGTTCATCAGTCCATGGTACTCATCAATGCATTTCACTCACACCTCATTCATGCTGCAGCAGAACAAGCGAGTAACAATGATCCCTCAGCCACTGGGCAGCTCCATGCCTCCTCCTCATAAAAATGCAAGAGGAGTGTTTTGTGGAAGATATGTCCCAGAACTTCTCAGTCTCTAGAGGAATTTTTCTTTTCCCTCGCATAGAAGGAGACACCTGTGACATGTACATTTTACCAATTGAAAGACGGGAAGAATGTATGTCAAATTTGTGATTGCAAATGCCTTGCGTGCTAAGGATGAAGCTGTGATCAGGAGAGGATGATGCTCCTACAGACAGTAGAAATTGGATATGTAGTTGGGAGAGCCGGTCTCGGACCCGCCCCTGCGGCCCGCTCCCGATCCGTGTTCAGGGGTGCTTCTTACCGCCGGGTCGGCCCCGAGCAATGCGCATCCGCGCAACGCTCCTCATCTCGACCCGCTGCACGGTCTTTCTCATATGGGCTTTCTCCATGGCGACGGTGTCAAACCCAAGTCCATAAAAGCTTCTTGTGCCAGCCGCTCGAATCCGGAAGGCTCTGATTCCAAGATCGTCACCTGCTCGATACGGATGGCTGAGCTTGATTGATTTATGTAATTCCTACCGCGACACGCCTACTGGACTGCATAATCATTACCCTATAGCGCCGGTCTGCCTCCCCTCCGGTGATCACCAAACCTTGGTGAGGTGGCCGCGACCTCGTCTCAAGACTGGCTTGAGCCGCTGATATCCTGGCCCCAAATATAGGACGATTGTGCATAAAAGAGGCCGTGGTGATCTCCTGAGGACCGCAAGCCCATCATTGAGGGAAAAGTCAACAAAATTTGACACTCGCAACATCTCCAAAAATGGGATCAGTTTCCAAACGTCCACCGAAGCCATGGATTGAGACGCCGTGTGTCTACTCGGCTCCCTTGTCTCGGGCTGCTGGCTGGTCAGTATGACCCCTTCACAATATGCAGCATGCTCTGACAGCCCTTGACAGCAACATCTATCTGAAACTTGAGAACTTGCAGCCCTCAGGCTCCTTCAAGTCTCGCGGAATAGGTAACCTCATGTTCAGGGCGGTTGAGTCGACCAACTCTCCCTCAACCTCAGCAGAGGATGTTCACTTTTACTCTTCCTCGGGTGGGAACGCCGGCTTGGCTTGCGCGACAGCTGCTGCGACACTCAACCGGCCCGCCACTGTCGTCGTGCCCATGATCACTTCACAGCTCATGGTCGAAAAGCTTCGCGAGCTGCGCGCCGAGGTAGTGCAGATTGGCGAGAACTGGGCAGCTGCCGATCGACACCTCCGTGAAGTCGTAATCCCGGAATTCGAGAGAGACCACCCATCCACAAGAGCCGTCTACGTGCCTCCATTCGACCACCAGGACATCTGGGATGGCGCCGAAACCATGGTCGCCGAGCTCAAGACGCAGATGTCCGAGTCTTTCGACGAGCAGATGGACGCCATAATCTGCAACGTTGGGGGAGGCGGTCTGATGTGCGGCATAATGCAAGGAGTCCAAGAGCTCAAGGACTCTGGCTACGGGAGCCCAAAGGTCGTGGTCGTGGAGACGGAAGGTGGCGAAAGCCTCAATGCCAGTGTCAAAGCGGGAGAGCTGGTCACACTCTCTAGTATCACGACTATTGCAACATCCCTAGGTGCCCCAAGGGTTGCAGAGGAAGCTTTTGCTTGGACGAAGCGAGCAGGACGGGACCTAATCAGTGCGGTGGTGACGGATAAGGAGGCAGTAATTGCCATGGTGAAATTCCTTGACCACGCTAGAATTCTGGTGGAAAGCGCATGTGGCGCAACGATTGCTATTTTGGTGAGTGAAGTCCAACGGATTCTTTATGTTGCCGGGCCGCCATGCAGCTAGCTTTCATGAGAAGATCCAAAACAGAAGTCCCCCTCCCCTCATCCTCTTCTTTTGTTGGCAGTGTATAAGACAAGTGACTGACATAGTCCCAGTACAACGGAGACCTGAGGAAGTACCTAGGTGAGAGTCTTACAGATGAGGAATGGGCGAAGAAGAATGTAGTTGTCGTTGTCTGCGGCGGCTCCAACATCAACTTGGAAATGCTAGAGAAGTACAAGAAAACTTTTGGTGTATAATAAATTTATAGAATAACCGTTAGAAAGCCTCTTAAAATTGTTTTCTGGCTCAAATGTGCGTGCTTCCACGGAGAAACCTAGGTAGTGCGGCCTGGGTCTCTCACCTTGACAGTCTCAAGAATATTCCTGCCATCGAGAACCTCGATGCGTTACCGATCCTCGCAGCTTACAGAGACCCCAAAGGTTTGCCAGAGACTCAAAGTTACATTGAAAGAAACAGATGCCGCCTGGGTACCGTCTTATGGGCTGTTTCACAAGATGCTTGGGTAATGTGTTCATCTAATAGAGGTTATCCTATAGTGGTTACCCCATAGTTTTTATCCCATGATAGAATAGACTTCCCGCAGTACGCTATCATACAGTCAGTTGTATTACAGCGCATTGTCTCAAGACAGCTTGCCCCATAGTAGCTTGTTCTACAGAAGAGTATCCCGCGGGAGGTGATCGTCTAGTGAAGGGGTGTCAGACGTGCCGGTCAGGCCATACCTAAATATCTGCGATACAGGCGAGGTGCACACTACCAGAACCACTGTTTTCTATCCCAGCTCTCTATCTGCGACGTCACAACAGGCAGATGAGCACTTACAAGAACCTGCCCCAGGCTCGAGGCCAGGGACAGCATTCCGGGCAAATTTGTGGGGCGTAGGTGTTCATGATATGCGAATGATGAGGAGTGACGTTAAAGTTAACACTGCATGATATGACATGTTCTTCCAGCAATTTATTTCAGTGCAAGTGTCTGAAGATGCTCGGCAGCAACCTGTCACAGACTCGGTTCTATTCATATGTACAATTAATCAAGTGCTCCGTGACCGATACTAAGATACTTAGCATACACAACAGCCCATCCTACCATAACAGCAGTAACATATATCAAAGCATAGCTCGTGTCCGAAGATGACATCCCTCAACACATTCATCAAGCGCACCGCCGGCCCACGCTTATCACTCCTGTCCAATGCAGCAGCAGCTCGACCAGCAGGCAAGCTACCATATTTCATTGATCCTTTGCCGAAAGATAGACGTATCTACGTAGTCCAGCCTCACAAGCTGACCTCTTTTTAGTCATTGTACCCATGTATATCAGGACCTTTGCCGGCGAGAACAGCTCCAAGGAGGATGATGTCCCTCGCACGGCGAATGGCGAGGTTCAGAAGCAGAACAACTTTGCGTCCGAGGTTGGCAAAAAGATGCAGGAACTCGCTCCAGGAGGTGAATCAAGGAGTTCCACAAGCAGTGGGAAGGGGAACTCATCGAAACAAGAGCACAGTAAGAGCGGTTCCAAATAGACGGATTCGTGAGCCGGGGGAGCTGAGCGGGTCCCGACCCAGCGAGATCTCATATGTTCGATTTCCTAGCCGCTGAACATGCGGCTGCAAGGGCTCGCTGCTACTTCAGAGGGTCCACCACCTATCGAGAGCGACGTTATGACACTTTTGGCTGGAAGACTAGATCAACTGACGGGCCGTCTAAATTCCACCACCTGGTATCCATCAGAGGGTGTTGCTAGGCAATGGAGGTCGTGCAACACCAATTTCACCTCTCCAAAGTAATTGACATCGCCCTCCTGCTCGAAGCCCAGGCTCTTGAAGAGGGCGATGCTGTGCGTGTTCGTTGCCTTGATCTTGGCCATCAGGAACTTGAGCTCAGGCGGCGCCGTGGCCTGGTACTCGCGCAGGATAGCCGTCCGGTTCGACCAGATGTAGTGCATGAATGTTGACACCGCGGCCTTGCCTAGGCCTTTGCCGCGGTCATTTTGAGATGCAATCATGATATCGATCTCCCCGACGCAGTAGGTAGGGTTTGCACCTCCTGTGACCGCCTCGTCGTCCTCATCAGGGTACAGAAAGAAGTTTATGTCCCCAATCATTTTGTCGGGGCTGTCCACCTCGCCTGCCACAACATATGGCTCTGGAGCGTCGTTGATGGCGACTGACTTGCAGAGGATGAACGTCAGTTTGTCGTGAGACTCACGCCATGATTGTTGATTCTCATATTCTTCCTCCATAGTCAGCGGGTCCGAAGCTGTCGCCTCTTGTATGGCCTGGCCGCATAGTCAGACGTTGCCGTATAATACACCGAGCAGACAAGGCTCACAGGATCACTCATCCAAACATGATACCGCGGGACATGGTGGCGATCGTACGGGACGAGGAGCACGCGGCCGGGATTGGAGATTGCTGTCACCAATGTCTTAGTTTAGACACTTTTGTTGTGAGGCGCATGAAAGGAGGCCATGTCATTTACCAATGTTTTCATTGATTCTCATACTGATTCGTGAGGCGGTAAGGGATAATCAAAGATGTGGCTGAGAGGCGAAAATTCAATTGTGTTGACAGCAGCTTGTACGCGGCCCCATCAGAATTTTGGCCGGTTGGCGGCGGGAGCAAATAAAACTGCACTACACCCAACAACAACGGCATTTCTTTGGCACAGCGACTTCTTTAGCCACCTCGTGGTACACATATTACTACATTTATATACAACACAAGCCGACTAATTACTCAAACATCCCATGCACCTTATTTCCACTACCGTAACACCATCCTGGTGGCTTCGGGAGGCTTCAATCCTCCACGTCGAGCGGAGGGAACAAGCTCTCATGAGCGCTCTTACCGGGTGACCTCATGGGCTGTCCATAATCAAGATCCTTCCCAAAGCCGCAATATTCAAAGGTTCTCTTTTCCTCCGGAACACCCAGCACGTCAAGCATATGCTGCGCTTTCCCGGGCATATACGGCTGCAGCAGGATGCCCATGTTACGAAGGGTCTCGGCCATGATGTAGATTGTTTGCTCCAATAGTGCATTCAACCTCACCTGTTCTTCCTGGCTCTTTTCTTTCATCTCCCTTGAAATGGCCCAGGGCGCCATCTCAGTTATGAACCTGTTTCCCTGTTGCGTTTGTTAGTCCCTCTGGATCTGCAACATAGGCAAGGATGCAAGCATGGCTTGACTCACTTCGAAAGCGACTTCAACGAGCGCCATAAGAGCCCGTCTGGGATCCGGGCTCTCCATAAACTTGTCCATTTGACGGTAGAGTGTATCAACGCGGGCCGTTTGGGCTTTGAACAACGCTACAAACCGCTCGTCCACTTTCGACTCCTGGAGGGAGCTCGTGAGCAGCAGTGCGGCCTGCACGCTTGCCCTCACGTTCCAAGCCTTACTCCGCGTGACTCGGCTCAAGAGGTTGCCAAAGGTTCCCGCCAACACTTTCTTGTATCTTTGTACGATGATCCCATTATCGTAGTCTGCATCATTTTCGATCCCGCCGTCCAGCATCATGAAGAGCCTCATCGTATCAACACCCCACCGGTCGATGGCATAGTAAGGATTGACGACATTTCCTAGAGACTTGGACATCTTTCTGCCGTTCATGGTCCAGTGTGCATGGCTCAGGAGCTTTTTGGGTGGACTTATGCCAACGGCCAGCAGGAGGGCAGGCCAGTACACGCCATGAAACCGTACTATGTCCTTCCCTATGACATGCACGTCGGCCGGCCATCCACCGTCCGTCTCTCTGCCCGGTACCCAGTTCGGAAAGCCAGCTTTGGTCATGTAATTGATGAGAGCATCTACCCAGACATAGATGGTCTGGCTGTCGTCACCTGGCACACGAATGCCCCAGCTCAATCGGTTGGATGGTCGCGATATTGAGAGATCCTCTAAGTTGTGTTGAACCCAATGCACGACCTCCCGCATGCGTGACCTCGGAACGATGAAGTCGGGGTTTTGCTGGTAGAATTCGAGAAGCTGGTCCTTCAAAGCGGTCATTCGAAAGTGGTAGTTTTTCTCTTCGGTCCATTCCACCGAGTTTCCGCTCTCAACAGACGCCAGCGACACCTCGCCGGTCAGCGGGTCGACCTTCCTGCCGAGCATGGATTCAGGATAGAAGGTTTCGTCGCTCACACAGTACCAGCCTTCATGCTTTGACTCGTAAATAAGCCCCTTCTCCTTGAGCAAGAACCAAAAATGCCGGACAGCCTCCTTGTGATCCTCGTCGGTTGTCCGAATGAAGAAATCGTTTGCAAGGTTTGTCTTAGCTGCCAGTTGCTTGAACTTCTCAGCTTGAATGTCGCACCACTCCTTAGGGGGAGTATCATTGAACTCTGCGGCCTGTTGGACTTTCATCCCATGCTCGTCTGTGCCGGTAAGGAGGAGAGACTGTCGACCTTTGAGCTTGTGCCATCTTTTCAGTACATCAGCCAGGACCATGGTATACATGTGGCCGATGTGCGGTGAAGCATTGACGTAAAAAATCGGTGTTGTCACATAATATGGCTTTGGTTCGGCATGGCTGACCGGCTCCGTCGCCTCTGTTGCCGTTTGTGAGGCATGCTTGGTGGCATACGCGCGAGCTCTTGTGGACCGGAGAACATTGTGGCGACACGAGGAACACACCCAGTCAGGCCTCCGTAAAGAAGCTGACTGCAGACTCCTAAGCCGACCAGCAGAACGTAGGAATATTCGATCCATCTGTGTTCATCGCATGCCTGCCCTGAGTCCATAGACGGGTATGCAAGCTCGGATCAGTCCACAGGGGTTCTGACATGGCGCGCTATGAGAGTGAAAGTGAAAGTTACAGGCAGAGCTTAATCGATAAGCAATGTGCCAATTAGATAACCGATAACTGTGGGTTGGGACCAAGGCTGCCATCCTCTCACCAGGCAGCTGTCCCAAGGCGATCCTTGACAATGCGCCGCACTGTCCAGCCTCTTAAAGGTAAATAGCGAACTTCATAGAACTTGCCCAACCCTTCAAAACCTCTCATCCATTCACCGACCACAATCGTGCGGCGCAAACTTGATACCATAATTCAACAACGTCACCAACACGAGAAAACCGTCCTACCACGTTCCAGAGATCTCGGCACGACCACCACGCTCCCACTCGTCGAATTCATTCTCGATGGCGTACCCCAACCAAGAAACAGAGGTCAAGGTCTCCAGCCAGGGAGCTGACAGCTTCGTGAGCTGGTACTACCAGGACCTCAACGACCACCGCTCCCTTGCGTCCTACTACGTAAACTCATCATCCAAATACGCCAACGCAGGCGTCACCGCCGATGTCACGATCAACGGCGCGCACCTAGCCAACCCAACCGAGTACGAGGCGCTGCTCGACGCGCAGCGAGGCGTCAACAAGACCAACGGCGACCACAACACCAGGTCCGGCACGACCAAGGTGCGCTACGAGGTCGCCAGCCACGACACCCAGGTCCTCAACAACGACTACGGCCTCGGCTGCCCGGAAGGCATCCTCAGCAAGGGGCCCGACAAGAGCGGCGGGCGCATCTCCATGCTCGTCACGGTCATGGGCGTCGTCCACCTTGGAAGCGGGGCCGACACGCAGCACAAGCGGTTCCACGAGGTCTTCGTGCTGGTGCCCAACTGGGACGTGAGGGGCCGCAACGCGCCGCGCAACGGCAAGAGATTCCTCATCTCCTCGCAGAACTACAGGACGCTCTAGGGCGGCGCCATGTACAGGAAGGAAGATGGATTATTCGGCAGCATGTACGCACCAGGCGTCCGCAGGAGAGACAGAAGCTACGATCAGCTCGGCCGCGCGTCCGCGGATGTCTTTCCCCTTTACTCCCGACGCAGTTCAGGCAACGGGCGAACGCGCATGTGGTAGGGACCGACACGAGGTCAATCTAGCACGCGAGGCGCTTCGGCAGCACCGTGAGCTCTTGAGCAAGACTTGGCAAGGACCGTGTATCAAGTGGTCTGAGGAGGAAGAAGGCTGACACGACTTAACTCGACCTGAAGAAGCAAGAGGACGCCAGTTGTCAATCTACAAAACGAGGATGGCTTTCTTTGAGGGAAATTTGACGGCAAGAAGCCTCACAATCCGCGCAGAGTGCCAGTCATTGGCAGAGTTGGAGCATCACGGAGGCATTCTGTGCGAGTCGGCTGGTGAAAGCATGGACGATGGATGGCACAGCACGACAGCGGCAATAAAAGGCTTGGCGTTGTCGGGCATTTGGACTTGAGTTTATCCTGTCGATGCAATCACGTATCCTGCCAATTCACCAAATGCGGTCACAGATTATTGGTCGGCATCCTACTGATGGATGGATGGATATATGGTAGTCACCGAGACCTTAGGACGGGCGCAGCATGAGAATCACCACCAACCGAATTCATTGGCCTTATGCCTAGAAAATTCAACAAATTTTCACAACCTCTGAGAACCCTTTGAATCTTGAAAATTTTGTGTTTCATATCGTGTCATAATCCCATGCGGCCAAGAGGGCCGCTTTTGAAATGCTTGTTAAATCGTAGGCCCGACCCATCGTCCCGGGGTAGATCGATGCACTCCCTTAGTTGCTCTTGAGCGATGCTCTCTTCCACTCCCAGTATCCAAATCTTATGCGATCCCACTTCTCGCCCAAGCGCTTCAGACACAGGTCCGCCTTGTCATTCTCCCCCTTCTCGGCGTAGATATCAGCCAAAAGCTCCAAGGCGTGCGAGCTGGTGACCTTCTCGCTTCCCTCGACCCCAATGTCGCTGACGAACCGCTCCACGAGCCCCTGCAATGAGCCCACCTTGCGGCCGCCCTTAACCAGTACGCCACGGATATAGTTCCATGGGCTCTGGTTCTGCGGCGCTAGCAGGATTTTCTCCTCTGCGTACTTGACCTCGCGATCAATAATGTCCGCAGAAATCTTGGGATCATGCTCCGTGGACAGGCTGCCGGGGGTGGCATTTGCAGGGTCAGAGAAGACGATGAAGAAACGATGCGACCAAGCAGAGTTGTTGCGCACATCCTCGTCGATCAGAGCCTCGGCAGCCTCAAGCTCCGCCTCTCCGAAAAGACCGATTTTGGGCACGAGGTATTGCCTGTACGACCAGACATGGTAGTTCTTGGTGTCTTCGGCCAGGATCTGCGCGAGGAACTCCTGCTCGGATTTGGCCAGTTTCGCCTTCTCCTCGGGGCTGGATTCGATCGACGGGTAGTAGTGGTCCATCAGGAGCCTCCTGTGGTGCCAGATTTGATAATTCTTCAGGTTTTCCAGGGACACCTGATTAAGCCATTCAATCTCCTCTGGAATAGGGGTCTTCATGCCTTGCACGATCGAGAAGCGGAAAAGCCACACGGTATAATGGGCTGGATTCATGGAGATGATGTGCTCCGTCAGTCGCAGGGAGCGTGGGGAGTATTCCTTTTTGGCCATCACGGCTCGAAGGTAGGAGACAGCTATTTCTTGTTAGCACGTTTTCGGCATATTCGCGAGAAGGGTAGTTGAACCTTCAGCATAGTCTTCAGGATAGGCAATAGCGGCCAAGGCACCCTCAGCCTCCTCGATGGGCATAGGTACGATGTCATCCCACGCAGGATCCGTCCCATATTCCCCCGTTCGTTCGCCGTATAGTTCCATCCTGAGCCTCGAAATCTCCCTTCTTCGCAGCTTCTCTTCCTCGACCTCGTCTGCCGACACAGCGACAGCCTCGTTGTTCTTCGGATCGACCCACCTTCCCTTCTCCCGTTCCTTCTTCTCCAAGAAAGCGCTATGTTGTATCTCCAATGCCGAAAGCTGCAACGCCCTCTCAGTCCTCTTGTCGAGTTGCTCGGATGTCGAGTCTCCCAGGTCCCCACCGAACCTGTCCCTGCCCCAGGCGAAGCCCGGCTGTGCAATCGGACTTCCTCCAGTACCGACCTGAGGTGCAGAAGCTCCGCCAGTAGCGACGGGACGAATAGGCTTGACTGCTCTTAATGGAAGCCCGCCAGCTTCGTTGACGCACTTCCAAACGTCTCGTTGAGCCTTGTTGCCTAGGCGTTTGAGGACAGCAGGTGTACGGGCGAAATGTGCGTTGGCCCAGAGGGTCCGTTCAGAAGAGGAGAGGCCACTGGGTCCTCCGGAAGCGAGTTTGGGGGCGTATGGATGGCCTTGGTCGTAGATATGAGAGCTACGGGCGTAAACAGTCTTAGGAGGCTCGCTGTCCACAGGTGTCGCTGTTCGGCGGAGCTGTCAGTAAGACGCGAAGAGGAGGAGTCCTAGCGAGGTGGGACTGTAGTTGATCCAGATGCAGAACCGACGGCAAGGGATAAGAAGATTTTCTCACATTCTTGTTCCTTTTGTTTCGGTACGGCCTTTGATTTGGGTGGCATGTTTGCTCGTAGAAAAAGGTCGAGAACTCGAGTTGTGGCTCGTCGGAGGAAGGTTGACTGCAAGCAAAGCTCCCCCACTATCAAGCTCACTCCCTGCAACGGCGACTTCTCAAGGTGCGGGGTGGGCCTCAGGCAGGGTCACTTGGACTGAACAATATCAAAGAACAATCCCATACTCAACGCCATCATTTCCCAGAGTTTGCCGGTTCTGCGCCACCGACCTTTGTGAACTGCACAAACATTGAGTGTTCGAAAGCTCGATACGTGCGTGTCTCTCTGACCGTATGTCATATGCAGTAGGAGCCGAGCCAGCGGCGAAGTTCCCAAATCTGGACTTCCCCGGCTTATGGACTTGCTCTGAGTGTCGCGGAGAAGCTCGCAGATCCTCACCCACGTAGGCATATATTTGCCATGATAACCCAACTCACGATGGGAGAGAATATGCAGAGGAGGGCATGGAAGCTTCTCTGCGGTGACAATTTCTGTTGAGGAAGAATCGGAGAGCGTCGCATTTCTACCGCAGTACTAGGCGACCAGGAGGTGACAACGATATGCAGGGGCAATAGGGCATTCATTCCTCACGGGCTCGACGAAGGCAGTCTGTGATGGAACATACCTCAGCGGCCACATCCGAGCCAGACAGTGCCCGCTGGCTGTTCCTCAAATCGGAGCCCAGGAACACGATGTTGCCAGGATGTCTTGCCAGGCACATGGACTGTCATTGGAAAGCTTGAGCCGTGTGTGTGTCTCGGAGACTCAAAGCATAAAGCTCGTTCACTGCCTCCGAGCAGCATAGTTCGTGCAGCCAGGCTATGTTCAGTAGCCTAGTCTCATGACGACAACGACACGCCTGCTGTGATGTTCGCACAGGCCAAACTGGTACTGCAGAACTGGTATGGCTGACTTGCTGGCGCCAAGAAATTCTCCTGTCTCCTCCAAATGGAGCTGCGCTGCTGTGCTGGTCCCTGCGTCCAAGCTGCATATCTAGCCGGCACTATAAGGGTACGCAGCACATGTACTCCTCGCCCGTCCAGTCACAGACTGGTATTGACGCAGCACTGCATACGGTCGGGAATTGCTGCGCGACGACAAAAATTTAGGCTAGGAGAGAGGAAGAAGTGAACGGACGAGGGAGCAAGGCTGAGGCGATGAATTGTATAGCATCAAAGAGCCAATGAAAGTTACGGTGAAGACGATGACAACCCCTGTCGATGTCAACGGCCGCCTAGTCTCCTGCTGTGCCACGGCCTTCCCAACAATGGCAGACCCCGAGTAAGTCGGAGATGGCCTGGATAGGTAATTGTCTAATTTACAGCTCCTCCGTGTACGCAGACCGGGGGGCTGTCAACGCTCCCACCACCATGGCTTGAATCGAGGACGGGAAGCCCAACGCATTGCACTGGCACTGCCATCCGGCTATGATGTTTGGTCTCGTCCCTTCTCTCCCTCAATTTCCCTTTTCGACCAACGGTTCGGAGTTCCCCCAGGCTCGAACCATCTATCTATCTAGATCTTGACGCCTCGACCCACGTTCAAGGACCCCGACTCAACTTTGGCTTTTCTATACCCACCGAACAACACTACTCTCCACAACGTTCGAGATCCACATCCACGTCGACGGTCCACCTACCCTACACGTCCAGATCGGTCAAGGCCACCCAGCCGGCCTCAAGTCTTGCTCAATCGCCCGCGAGGTGCATTGCGAGAGCTCGACAAAACATCAATTTACAGCCATGGCGTCTACCAATGGCACTCACAACGGCAACGGCAATGGCGTGGTCCAGCCTCAAACCAACGGCAACGGCAACAAGGCGCACCTCAAGAAGGCGTCCCGCAAGCTGTCCAGCCCAATGATGCCAGCCTTCATGGTCTCCGCTCCCGGCAAGGTCATTGTTTTCGGCGAGCATGCTGTTGTCCACGGAAAGGTGAGCGCTTGAGCCTGATCTGGATGTTAATGCGCCGTGCGCGCAGAGTCATCGTGTGTCCACCGCTGACCATTCATGTCTACTAGGCGGCCATCGCTGCAGCCACTTCTCTCCGCTCATATCTCTTGGTCACGACGTTGTCGAAATCGAAACGCACCGTGTCCTTGATCTTCCCCGACGTGGACATGTCGCACACGTGGGACATCGACGAACTGCCGTGGTCCACATTCTCGCACCCGTCCAAGAAGAAGTACTACTACGACCTCGTCACCAGTCTCGACCCCGACCTGATTGCTGCGATCCAGCCTCACTTGACCGATATCTCCCCTGATAAGGACGACGCTGTGCGCAAGATCCACCGAAATTCTGCGCTTGCATTCCTCTACATTTTCCTCTCTCTGGGCAACCAATCGTTCCCTGGCTGCTCATACACACTACGATCTACCATACCAATTGGCGCTGGTCTTGGAAGCAGCGGCTCAATTGCAGTATGTCTCGCCGCTGCTCTGCTCCTACAATTACGAGCCCTCTCCGGGCCGCACCCTGATCAGCCCGAAGAGGAAGCTCGTCTACAAGTAGAGAGGATCAACAGGTGGGCATTCGTGGGTGAAATGGCCATTCACGGGAACCCATCTGGCGTCGACAACACAGTGTCCACGCAAGGAAAGGCAGTTGTGTTCCAGCGGACAGACTACAGCAAGGCGCCGTCTGTGCGACCGCTGTGGGACTTCCCGGAGCTGCCCCTGCTGCTGGTGAACACCAAGCAGTCGCGCTCCACGGCGCATGAGGTGGCAAAGGTCGCAAAGCTCAAAGACACGCACCCCAAGCTCGTTGGCGGCATTCTGGACACCATTGACAAGATTACGAAGACAGCAGAAGGTCTGATAGAAGAGGACGACTTCGAAAGCAAGGACTTGGAGAGTCTGCGCAAGCTCGGCGAGCTGATGACTGTCAACCACGGGCAGCTGTTGTCACTCGGCGTCTCACACCCGAGACTAGAGAGGATACGCGCCTTGGTCGACCACGAAGATATTGGCTGGACAAAATTGACAGGAGCTGGTGGTGGGGGCTGCTCAATCACACTTTTACGGCCCGATACTCCACGTGAGAAGCTCGAGCGACTGGAGGGGCAGTTAGAAGAGGAGGGATACGAGAAATTTGAGACAACACTGGGTGGTGATGGTGTCGGCGTCCTCTTCCCCGCGGTTATCAAGAACGGCATGGACGAGGATGAGGATGGCGGCATGGAGATCGACCTGGACATGTTCCTCAATGTCGAGGGCAACGAGGGAGTTGAAAAGCTTGTTGGGGTCCACGGGGGTGCAGGCGAGAGGGAAGGATGGAAGTTCTGGAGGGTAGAGTCGCACTAAGTCCAGGGTGTTCGGAGCGCTGACACAGGCAACTGTCAGCTAAACAACGTGCCTCAACGATTTTAAGTTCATGTCAGGCGTCCAGTAAAGCGACTGGGCTGAAGACGTATAATATTTATCGTGGCTTCTATCTTAGCTGTGTACATTATCTGTTCACCTATGACAGTACACTAATTTTATTAGACGAGCGCATGAGCAAGCGGGCAGATTTTTGCAGGACAATAATGGGAATTTCAAAATCTTGAGCATCCAAGCACTTGAGCCTGCCTTTATTGCATGCTTACCACCGTCCGTAGACGGTACTGTGGAGTGAATCACAGTTCAAGACATGTTGGGTTACAACTCGACATGTTGTATTCGCTCAATCAAATCCCAATCCATCGGTTACTTGCTGGAGTGTCTGGGCAATGGAAAGCACGCTTCACCGGCACCATCGAACAGAGCTAACTCTGACCTACCTGAGTCTCCCTAACCGTGAGATGCCCTTCTCACTCCTAGGTGCGTGATTGCTTGATAAATGATTGTAAGCAAAGACGAGAACCCGTGAGGTTCCGATTGAAATTACTAAGTCTCGGGTCTACATTCGCATTCCGAGTGATGGCACTTGTCAGATGATGCTATTTCTTTCCTCCTAATCGGACTTGACGGTGATCTAGCACCGTGCTGACCCGTAAACAGCCGGCGATCTAATACGGGCAAACAGCCAGCCGCTGGTACATATCTACAGGAACAACTCTCTCAACTCCACACAGAATTTCGGTGTACCAATTACCCAATCAATCAGCTGCTCACTTGAGGCAGGCCAACTCCACAATCACCTTACTCACTCGTCAATGGCTATCACCGAGATAGGCATCATCGAATGCTCCCCTTCGTCACCCCTTGATGCCCTCAGAAACATCTTTACCAAAGACAATGAAGTCATCAACACTTGGGCCTCATCTAAGCCTGACCTCAACTTCGAGGGGACCTGGCTCTTCGAGCAGGTCGAGAACCCATCCGTCATCATGATGGCCGCGAAATGGAAAGACATCGGGGCGCACGGAGTGTGGATCACAAGTGAAGAGCACGCACGTGTGCTGGGTCTCATCGTGCCACATCTGGCCATGGATGGCGGGAAGCCAAAGGGTGACCTATGGTATCTCCAGGCGGATGTGATTACTTCTGCAGCGGAGAGTTGCGAAGATGAGATGCGGAGCACCATTCCACTCCTAGATAGCCCTGTCATTAGTGTTGGTCGTCATTTCGTGGCTACCGATCGCAGAGATGAGTTCTCGAGAAAGTTCCAAGAGGTCAGAGGGCTCCTTGAGTGCTTCGCGGAACCATTTGCGGTCAGGGGATCGTGGAGGATAGGTGTCGAGGATGTGTCGCGGGATCTCGAGTTTGTCGTTATCAGCGGATGGCCGAGTGTCGAGAAGCATGGGCAATTCGCCGAGCACGAGAGCTTTGCGAAGTACAGAGAGTTATTGGGGTTTGCCACCGGTTCCGAGGTTCGACATTATCGGAGAGTCGTGTAGATGGTGTTTGGCGAGGAGCTATGGGATTGTTATACGCTGATCCTGTGGTCAATGTGTGTCGATTCGTTCAACTGGTACCGCATCACTCTCATCTCAATATTGAACCGGTTCAACGAAGAGGTGACTTCAGACAGCCTCCAATGTGTGGCTTTGGTGAGCTTCAATTTGCAAGGTATCCCTAGACGCCCAGTAATGAATCCCTTTCGTCCAGACCCGGACGAGATGGCCCTTGATGCCTTGTTTCAGACGCCATCGACTTTTGCTTCCTCGAATCCCTTCGCTCAACCCGTCGCTCCCGGACCTAAACAGCGAACTTATGCGGACTTGACCTTCTTCTCACGCTTGGTCACCTCCTTGATCTGCAGGTCTGTATTCGGTGTGTTAGCCTGTTGCTGTCCTCGTGATCGTATGTGCTGGGAGAGTCGTACTAGGGGGCAGCGATTGCTTGAGCTTCTCGGCCTTCTCGGCGTCCTTCAGGGCCAGCGTGTACAGGTGCTTGGAGCATCGGACCTTGAACTTGATCAAAGAGGTCTTCTTGTTCTTCTTGATCCGGGCGGCTGGAGTAATTCGAGAATTGTTAGAGTGCTGTTTTCTTCCATTTGCTCAAGTTTCTTTCGTCGATTGCGATCGGAACATACAGGAGGCATCCTTCCGCCGGCAGACCTCGATGAACTGTTTTTGACATTTGTTAGCCGCATTGAAAAACAGCACCTCCCACGGGATCTCAATCTATACCTTCTTGATGTCGCTGATCTCCTGGGCCATTTTGACTGATTTTTTGACAGTGATTACTTGGAGGGCTGTCCGGGATTGAGAGTTGTCGTCGCGTCGGGTGTTAAGGTGAGCTGGAGTGGAATTTTGCAAAATGTGTGCGGAAAGGCGAACAGGGGTACCAGCGTGCAAAATCGACGGAGGGGGGGTCGGGCTCTTTGCGCATGTACCCAAGTACCTTGACTCCAAACTAACCCACCTCGGCCAAGGTAGCCTCCGCCAGGTGGGCAGGAGCGACCTCCATTGTGGCTGACGTGGCGCAGTTCCCGAACTGGAAGAGCTTCGTCACCTCTACACCTCTTTCGCTGCTTTCACGATCATCACTTGCTGTTCACTCGTAGGCTCTCCAAGGTTCAAAGTTGAAACTGAAAGATAAGTACAGGTGTCCATTACATGTTTCTGTAATCCTACAGTCGGTCTGGCCCACAGAGCGCGTCCTATAAATCTAAGTTTCACCACGCTGCATCGCGGCACCTTCCATATCACTTACACGCCTATCGATACGCACCCATTTCATCACCATCCGCAGTTGCTACTCACCACCGTTATCATCTGATATACCCAGAGACTTTCTTTCAGTGAAAAATCAAAATGCCAACTCCACTAGATAACGCGATGAAGTCCAAGGTCAGTCCACGTTGCTCATGCCGCGGGCCTCAGGGAACCATATCAGCTGACAATTTCCAGAATATGTTCTTGGGTAAGCTGAGTCGAGCCTCGAGTGCTACGACCTTACCATGCGTCCTGAACATACATGAGTCGGAAGATACTGACAAGCGCCATCTGCATAGCCTTCACCGGCTTGATCACAGCTGTCGGAGTCTGGTCAATCTGGGGCGGGGACATGTTTCCCCAATCAGAAGATCCAAAAGGTGAACCCGAGACGTGGACGAGAGAAGAAATGAGGAGATGGCTGGCTGCAGTAAGTGTATCCCTCGTATCACTGCTACGACCCTGTTCATTGACTGTGAATAGCGAGACCTCCATCCACAAGACGGTGACACAAGGGACCAGCTTCTTGAGAGAGTCAAGGCCAATCTCCGAATCCCGCGGAAGGCGAACCCTTGAACACATGAGTGACCTCGGGAGAAGCAATCAGGAGGCTCAGGCTTCCACGGAGGACTCTCTCTAATCATCGCCAGGGTGAACGTGCAAGGAACTCCGGTTGCCTGCTGTAACCCAGTCCTCGTGTGACTCGGGGTCGTTGAATATTGGACCTGCAAAGCTCTGCCGCATTCTTCTTGTTCGACACTTACTTACTCTCATTGTAACTGTCTCTGGATTTATAGCTGGACAGCTGGTAAATGAGTCGATGCTGCTGCGGACGGCACTTCCCTAAGTACGTACTCGTGTCACAGTTCTAATTAGTCTGACGACTGTTGTACATGTGAATTTGCCTGCTCCAATAGCTTCCAAAATGAATAAGGCACGTGTTTTTTATGTTTCTTTTGTCTTGAGTGGTGTCCTTTATCGAAAAGGAGCTGCTCTTCAGGCAGTCCTCCCAAAGTCATGATTTTCCAAAATTCTATCAACATCAACAGGTAGATAAACTACGAATCAATTACTTCTTCACATTCAACTCGAATAGACTCATAATAATCTATGTCAGGGGATAGTCTTGGCTGAACAAACGTTCACTCGGGTAAAGGTGTTTTCTATGCTGGTTTATAACAGATATCTTTCCGTATGTAGAAAGGAGCTCCGGCCTGCCTCCACCCTGTAAGCCACGACACGCGCCACACCCAGTGACGCGACTCCTTGTCGACCTAAAGATTTGACTGGACTGCTTCTGGGCGTCTCAACTCCATCCCACTTTCATTACATTATTTGCATGCATTGTCTTGCGGATTTCAAGACGTGTCACTTCATTTTGAAGCTGCAAGCCTGCATCTCACCGTGAGCAAGATGCATTCCCTGTCACCGGAGCTCTGGCACATGGTTGCCAGTTATCTCAGCATCGAGGACGCAAAACAGCTGCGACTAGCCAGCAGATTCTTTGCAGACATCGCGGGGGCGCACATCCTTCCAATTGTCACATTTCATATGAACGAGGATGATCTCTCGCGACTTAGAAGTATTGCTGGCAATGGCGTCCTGGCACCCAACGTCAAGTCCCTCACTTATTTCACACGGGCATACGAAAGCCCTGCCGTGCCACTTGAAGAATTCACAAGACACCACGAAACATCGGTCAAGGTCGATCGGCTGACATTCGGAGAGGGTTTCCTGCGAGCTGACCCTGTTGACGATCGGACGATGGAGGTTGAGTACGAGAAGTATAAGCTCATGGTCGATGCGCAAGATCGTATCAGAGATGGCATGACGGATCTCGCATGTCTCAAAGACACGGTGGCGAAGTTTACGGGCTTGAAGCAAGTGATAATGTCGTCGGGCAACGTATTTTATGAAGGCTGCGCGCATGGGAAGCTGTCGCCGTTTCTGGGTACTGTTCCGCCGCCCACCCAATGGCCACGACCTGAGGGTGTCAGGCACCTTGAAGTCATACTTGAAGCGCTGGTACACAACAATCACTCAGTCGACAGTCTATGCGCAGGTACATTGGACTGGAGGTTTTTCGACAAGAGCCCAACGGAGCTAGCCCGCTTGTTCCAACCCGTACTCAACGCGGTGCAACTTGAGCTCGAACTTTGCTTGGATTTGGACGAAAATGGCAATGATATCTTAGGAGATACTGAAAAGTGCCGCCAGTCTATGGAACGAGGCAAATTAAGGGGTGTGCTGAAGACTATGAAAAAGCTCGATACCCTTCGCGTCGTATTCCATGGCGACCTGGGTATGCAGGCTTGTCCAGCCTTGCTCAAGGATGTCATTGATCCAAGTCATCATTGGCCAAATTTAACCTATCTGGAGCTTTGCAAGGTTGAGTGCGATAGACACTCGCTGATGCAACTTTTGGAACTGCACAAAGATACCCTTCAAGGTCTCTGTCTGTCAGAAATTGACCTGGGTGAAACCTCATGGAAGAAGCTGCTGCCAGACATCCGCAACAACTTGGACTTGGAAGATGTATGCATTTGTGGCACCCTGGCAGGCCGGCCAGAAGACACAACAGACGAGATGCGATGGGAAACGTGGGACTTGTCCATGGTTGGAGTCTGGGAAAATGATATGAGGGCTTCCATCAATTGCTACTGCCGGAACAATGGCAGAGATTACCCAGACGAGCTCCCACTCACGGAGGAGGTCGTGCAAAAGTACTTTGAACGGTACGTAAGATGCCACGTAAAATGCAGCGAAGCGGAGGATGTGGAGTCTACACGCCAGGCTGAGGAAGACATGCGTCGCCGTCAGCGTGAGGCTGGGCTCATCCCCCTCATTGACAGTGAAAGTGATAGTGGCAGTGAAGGCAGCGGAATATCCTTGGGGGACTACTTTTGGGATGAGGATGAGGATGAGGATGAAGATGAAGATGACGATGACAATGACGATGACGATGACGATGAGAGGCTATCTGTGGTGGAGGGTTTCCCGGAACGCAACGAAACTGAGAATAGTGTTGATTGACGTCTATATGGGAATATAATCATAAATAACGTGGCGATTCAAGAAGGCCATTCGGGATGCAATTTGTGGTGCTTGCACTCGAGGAATCGAGAACAGAGAACGCCAGGTCCACCTTGGGCAGCCCTCGGCCCAATGAAACAGCCCGAGACGCACGGGGCACCCGGGCTGGGGCCAAGAATAGGTACCAAGGTACCTATGTAGCCTGGGAGCTTCACAGTCAGCGACTGACCCGAGGAACAGCTTGTCCTCGCAGCCCACCTAAGCAATTAAACCGTACTTCTGTTCCCTCGCGGCTCTGCGTCACTCTTTCTTTCTTCCTTCCACACACACCCGTCCGACAGCCCCGTATACGTGGGATGTGGACGTGACTGAGACTTTTCCCTATTCTTCCAACCTTTGCGACATCTGCGCAAAGTGATTCGCGATGGATTTCTTACAAGTATGGTATTCCACGCCCACTGCACTTACAGCACGCTAACGTATTGTTCCCCAGCGCCTGGCCAGATTCCTGGACCGGCCTCTCTTCCCCTGGAAGAAGCTGATCATCGGCTTTTCGGTTGCGCAATATCTCTTCGAGGGCTTCCTCTCACTTCGTCAATACCAGGTCTTGAAGAAGACAAAGCCACCAAAGGTTCTGGAACACGAGATATCGCAGGAGACATACGACAAGAGTCAAGCATACGGACGCGCCAAAGCCAAGTTTCAACTCGTCAACGGTATCTGGGGCCAGGTCACGAACATCGCATTCATCCACTTCGACGTCCTCCCCAAGATCTGGTCATGGACTGGTGACCTGCTCCTTCGATTCGCGCCTGCTCGTTTCTCCGGTGAAATCTCCCACTCGATCGCTTTCGTACTGGCCTTCACGGTAATCCACCAGCTTTTGTCCCTGCCGGCCTCGGTCTACAATACGTTTGTCTTGGAAGAGAAGTTTGGGTTCAACAAACAGACTCCCCAGCTCTTCGTCACTGATCTGATCAAGTCACTGGGTCTGACTGTCGTCCTGACGCCTCCCATCCTCGCTGCATTCCTCGCCATCATCCAGAAGACGGGCGACAAGTTCTTCTACTACCTATGGATGTTTGGCGCTGGCCTGCAGGTTGTCATGATCACTATCTGGCCAATCGTCATTATGCCCCTGTTCAACAAGCTCACTCCCTTGGAACCCGGAAAATTGAAGACTGGGGTCGAGGCTCTCGCCGCCAAGCTGAAGTTCCCTCTCAACGAGCTGTACGTCATTGATGGCAGTAAGCGGAGTGCTCACAGCAACGCATATTTCTTTGGCATGCCTTGGAAGAAGCACATTGTTATCTATGATACCCTGATTGAAAAGAGCGAAACTCAAGAGGTTGTCGCTGTCCTGGCGCATGAGTTAGGCCACTGGAGTCTAGGTCACACTACGAGACTGTTTGGCATTTCTCAGGTAAGAACTTGAAGGCATCCGTCCCTGATTAAAAGACAATTTGAGGCTGACAGTGATAGTTCCACTTCTTCTACATCTTCTCACTGTTCTCTGTGTTCATCAACAACCAGTCCCTTTACGCCGACTTTGGATTCAACGCTGTGAAGCCCATCATCGTTGGCTTCATCCTCTTCTCTGATGTCTTGGCCCCCATGGATGTGTTCATCAAGCTGGGCATGAACGTTCTGAGCCGTCGATATGAGTTCCAAGCTGACGCCTTCGCGTGCGATCTTGGATACTCTGCGGAACTCGCCAAGTCGCTCATCAAGCTACAGATCCAAAACCTGAGCACCATGGATGCGGACCCGATGTTTGCGAGCTACCACTTCTCGCACCCAATTCTGTCGGAGAGACTCAAGGCGCTCAATTGGCAACCAACAACTAAGGTCGCGGTTGTAGATGAGAAAGACGGTGTCGCTAAGGCGACTGGCAGAGATGAATTGTGATAGACGAGGTTCAGGGTAGCTAGTATCTAGAAATCCAGAAAGAAGTAGTGAAATATATGCTGTTGAAAATGCACAGTTCTAGTTCCGATATGTTTGGTGATAAACTCGCATCAAAGGCCGCAAGACAAAAAAAGCATTCATTATACACCTGCTCAAAACAATGTCTTCAAGGGTGAGCCCAGGTGCCGGAAGCCACTGTGTTTGGCGCTTGGGGGGAGGAGGGTGTGTGGTTTGCACCCTAACCCTACCTAGATACGTAGAATTTGGCACGGCGAATATTCACTGAAGCATCATCGAGCCGTTGGATCAGGAACCCAAGACACGCGGAAGAGTGACGGCCTTGTGAAAGCCTACACGACAATTCTGGGTACTCTCGCGAGACAGCAGCTTACCAGTCCAGCCAGCCTTCTGGCCTACCCATCCATTGGAGGACTGTGACAATGTCGCGGCTCTTCGCCCAGTCTGCGCTTCGCGCAGCTGTCCGCGACGTCGCACGACAACCGACCTTGACGAGGTTCGCTCAATGACGCTCCCCCTCCCCAGCGCGCAGCTTGACTGACAAAACGGTCACTCCCAGGTCCTTCTCGTCCCTCCCAGCCCTGCGCCCAGGCCTGTCCGCACAGCCTAGCCTCTTCGCACGGAGGCCCGCCGCCGGTCTCCTCGCGCCCAGCGCCTTCACACCCACCACAACAGCAACGACAGACGCAGTAGGAGCAACGGCGGACGTCGTGCCCCGGGCTGCCATCACATCACACCCGGCGCTCGCCGGCGTCGGCTCGCAGATCCGCTGCGGGCCCCGGCGGTACATGAACATGAACCGGCCGTCGCGGCTGATCCGCATGCGCAGGCACGGGTTCCTGAGCCGCGTGCGCACCAGGAGCGGGCGGAAGATGCTGCAGAGGAGGAAGACCAAGGGGAGGAAGATGCTGAGTGCTTGAGGGGGGTGGGGGCATTTCAGTTGGGCCGGTGAGCCGGTTCAGCAGCTGGCATGGCTGGTGGTCACAAATCTAGGACACCCACCTGGCCCGGTTCTCAAAGGGGCACGTATTTGCGGACGAGGGTGTGTACGCGCTGGCATCTTCTAGAGGTAGTCACAGGTGCCTGGGTCATTCTGGGGCACTCGATTCCCTGCATGAGAGCTCCTTCCTGGAAGCATAGAGCATGGCAGGAGCTCAACTAGCATCGCCGGGACAGTCAGGTAGATGTCGTGGGAGCGAAAAAGACTGCTCCGTGTACACAATTGTTACCAATACCATGTCAATCACCTGGTGCATCGAACTCATATTGCTAGGCGACTGCTGTGGGACTACACGTGAAATAAATTGCGAAACAAGTCTTAGGACGGCGTCACCAAGCACAGACCGGTGCTCACGCTGTTTGGGTGCTCGGGAGGCTTAACAGCCGTTCACGTTCGTAGGAGACTCATCATATACTTCGTAATAGAATTGTGCGCGCTAGAAGACATTACACGGTGTACATTACAAGTAGCAGATATCGCCTAAGATATCTGTGTACATCCAACAATCTCGCAAAGATTATTGCAATATTAAAACGCTGGTAATCATACTGGAGCCGTCAATCCCTCCGAGCACTTCAGCGTGCTCGCATCACAAGCCAGGAACAGCGCATCGCTCGACTCGCCGATCCAGATCTTGTACGCTCCGTCGACGACAGGGACCACCCAATTCTGCTGCACGACATCCCATACGCTGACGTCCTTCCGCGTGAGCGTCAGCGTAACCACCTGGCTGGCACCCGGGGCGATGGTATCCGTCTTCTCAAAGTCCCTGAGCTGGACGATGGGCGAGTCGTAGCCGCTGTTGTCGGGGAACTGCACGTACGCCTGCGCGACGGCCTTGCCGGAGAAGTTGCGAGCGCCGGTGTTGGTCACTGTCACGCTGATGGTGTACGCCGTGTCCCAAAGGGCATCGTTACCGCCCAGGCCGCCACCCGCGGCCGGGCCTGGCTTTTGAGTGCTCGAGTACCCGTCTGGGTAGGGGTAGCCGGCGTTTTCTCCGCTCTCGACCGCGGCTCCGGTGGCGGCTGCAGAGTTGGCGTCTGATTCGGACAGCCAGGGGTAGAGGTATCGCCAGACTGTTGAGAAACCAGAGGGCTGGTATGCTTCCGATGCGACCGGGATTGTCGTGTTGTAATCAGGTAGTCCAGACTTAGCCGACCGCGCGGGTGGGACGCTGGTGAGCTGGGTCACCTTGGTGATCGTCGCGTCCGTGTACGTGAAGTTTGTATACGAGAGCCCATGGCCGAAGGCGAATCGCGGCTTCGTACCCGCAGAATTGAGATATTTGTAGTCAATGTAGCTATAAGCAGTTAGCGGTCAGTTGTTCGAATGAGAGGGGCCAGTGACGCCGACTTACAGTCCCTCGGTATAGGTATCCTGGATCTGGCCGACTGCAAATCCCGTCAGGCTCACACTCGCCGGGTAATCACTTTCTGCCTTAGGAATAGTATATGGCAGATGCCCACTGGGGGAGACGCTTCCGAACAAGACGTTGGTCAAGGACTCTCCAGCCTCCTGGCCAGGCAAGTGAGCGACGAGAACGGCCTTGACAGAGGCCAACTCAATCCATGGTTCCATGACAATAGGACCAACAGTGTGAACAACAACGACTACGTTGCTGTATTTTGCCGCGGCATCCTGGACCAACTTGTCGCCGTTGTGCCATGCGGCCAACCCGGAGCTGCTCCGGTCTCCAGCGTTGCCCTCGACAGTGATGGAGTTCTCGCCAGCGTCTGAAGTGATGAACACAATAGCAACGTCGTCGGCACCCGGTGTAGGGATGCTGGGGAAGGAATCGGTGTTGTAGGAAGTCACGTTGGCAGCGTTGGCTCGGATGGCGGTCAGCGGGTCGTCGAAGGTCTCATAGTTAGCGGTGCCACTGCCCCACCCCATTCCTAAAGTTCCCTTGTTGCAGCTCCGGTCAGAGCAAGCGTTCGCCCCGTCCGGATTGACGGCCTGATCCGTGCCGAAGAGCGACAGAGTTGTGGACTTGGAGAGCGGGAGGAGATCGCCGTCGTTCTTCAGGAGAGCGATTGCGTCCTGGGCGACTTGTCGAGCGACGGTGGCATGGTTAGCTCGCACGTCAACAAACTGGTTGACGACACCAGATGGGCTGAATAGTGCGCCAGGGTGAAGGGGCCCGGTTGCTGTGGTTGTGTATGAACTGAAGTTCGGCTCCGGGTAGTCGGCGTCCTGTCCCAGGTGATACCAGGCCGCGACGATTCTTGTAGCTGCGTCATCAAGTCTGTCCACGGGCATAGAGCCGTTCAGAACAGCTCGGCTCATCTCGTACATCCAGTATGATGTTCCGAGCAGAGGGACCATTGTGTCTCCAGGCATGGCCATGTCCAACCCCGCGAGGGCTGAGGGGACTCCGGATATTTGCGCCAACCAGTCTGACATGAGGAATCCTTGGAATCCAAGCTCATCCTTGAGCAGATTGTTGTTCAGGTAGCTGTTCTGAGTGGCTGCAGAGCCATTCACGGCGTTATAAGCACCCATGACCGACGAGGCCCCGGCTCGAATACCCTCGGCAAATGGCCACAGATAGAGCTCATGCATAGTCCGGTCATCTATAAAAGTGAGCTTGGAGGCTACGTATCGAGGAGTGATTAGAACTAACCAATGTTGGCACTGTAGGCAGGCTGAAAAGGGTTATACATGCGCCACATCTCTTGCTCGTTTCCGACAAGATGCTTGATGGTCGCCATAACACCTTGTTCTTGAACACTGCAAGAATATAGCAGTCAGCCAAACATGGTCCATGGACATCGAGAGTAGGATCGGCTCTGAGTCTGTAAAACTCACCCTTGAATCGTATATTTTGCGCCAACTGCTTCCAACACGGGATCGGCCCCAAAGCCCTCCCAGCTGCGTCCGTCACGGGGTTTCCGGCCGAGAGGACCAACGGTAGGACCAAGGTAGATGTTGGCACCTTTACCTCGGAACTCCTCACCGAGAGCCACACCACGCTGGTAAATCAGGTTCTTATCCCAAGTCGCGCCAGTCGTTATGCCGGCAGGAAACGCCGTAACATTATCTGTGCTGCGCACACCCAAAGCCGAATCCTGGAGGCACAGCTGGGGGAAGCCCACTCGTGGCGCACTTCCTGTCATTCCAACGCAAACACTGTATGGTCAGCTCGAATCTTCTGGTGCTTCTGTCTTCGGTACACTTACTCTGTGTAATGTCAGTTATTCTGAATGATGGAGAGGCATCTGCGGTGAGGACGACTTACCCATAAAGATACCGGTTCCAGCTGTAATGTTGGCCTTCTCAGCCAGAGTCATAGTGTCGACCAAGGCTTTGGCTTTCTGGACACTTTCGCTCCAGCTTGGTATCCAACCCGTGTAAGGGGCTGGATAATAAGGAGCCGCAACATAGCCAGCAGGGACATCGTCACGCTTGCCAATGGCCGCGCCCTGGGACAGTCCGGTGAGCAGACTCGTCACTACGAGCCCAGAGGACAAGGAGACATTGATAGGTGCCATCACGCTTGCAGCAAAGAAGAGATGACTGTTGGTCTCAACCTACCGTTGCTCGAGCCGGAGGGAATGGCACAGCGTGGGAAGACGCAAGGGAGGCATCCCTCGCTTACTGCCATTGCGATTCGGCCGAGAGGCCATTTATATTTATTATTCACTTGAGAAAGTGACGTCGGGATCCGAGGACCACCATGCCCGCTCAGGGATGGTGATATGGGTCCTGAACATATGGTTCTGGACAGGAGACAAGTGAATCTAGGCCCGATGTGGTCCATTATACTGGGTAGCCAAGCGCTTGGGGTCCATCAGAATTTCGAACAAGTATAGACGAAATGAACACACAGTCTAAGTGGACGGGAGCTTGACGGAACAGGAAAATTGGATGGTGCTGGTAGGTCAGCTGTGCTATAGCCTCCTGCTCCTATCGCCTGTTCCTCCCGAGTACCGAGAGGGGCAGAGGGGGATCGCGCATGCGTATTCCACTCTGCCCGCGTGGACCCGTAGTCGTACCGCGTACGCCCCTTGTCGAAGCGCACATCACTTGGATGCCAAAGCGTCCTGCATGATTCATGGTCCAGTGTGGTGGTTGATAAAAAGCACCATCCTTCGCATCCGAGCTGGCATGCCGGTAGCCGCTCAGCACTGGTAAAATGCAACTGCAGTGTCCTCGAGCGGTGAGCGGGCCTCTCAGAGCCCCAGGCGTCTCGGAGGAGAGTCTTGGGGCTAAGGTGTGTTGGGAATGATCGTGTGTGTGTGAGTGTTCTGATAAGGACCGAGTCTACGGTCCGGGAGGAGGATGTTCTGCGTACGGTGTAGAGCGGCTGCTCGCCCGTCGCAATCGTAGCCCGAAAAGAGGGCGGGCCTGACTCACCTCCTTGGGTGATCCACGAACAAGGTTGTATCGCGAGTTCAAACGAGGGCAATCCTCCGCACTACGCAGTACTAGATCTCGGAGCCACCAGAGCGTGGGGAAGAAATACCAGAAAACCCTGGGTGTGCTATCGTCGCGTGCCACACTTGACAGGGTTTACTGGAGACTAATTGAACTTCAGGCGTTCATGAAGATGCGGGCTCGAGGCTCATTCCGGGGGAATAGAAGGCCGACGGGGCTGCCATGGTGGGTTATGGTGGGCTGCTTCCAAATAACGAGGAGGCCGCGGGACGGCGACAGTGCTCGTCGTCCAGGTCGTGGCTGGAGGGGACTGAGCCCAATTGATGTCCTTCCCAATGCGGGGAGGCGCCGAGGCTTGGACATATCGGCGGTGTCAGACGCGGATGTGATGGGCATGGCCGACATGCAGTATCGATGCGACAAGCCGTGAGCAAATAGGCGCGGCAGCAGTCGAGGGAGGGAGGGACAAGTTGGCGGGGCTGTCAATGATGGGCGGTTGACGGCATCTCGCAGACAACCCCTGGCTGGTCAGGCAGCCTGAGTGGTGGTCCGCTCGGCCGACAGCTGTCATGCACAATTTGTCTCTGTGTAACCGGGAGGAATACGGTAAGGCTTGCAGGTGGCAGATTGCCAGATGCACAGCACACAGATGGGGCCCGTATTATCCGTTATTTTCCCTGAGAGCTGAGAGCTACCACAACGGGCGGCCCGAGGATGATGATTGACGAATATGTCTGTTCCTGGACGTGGCTTAGTCTAGCTGGGACTTTAGTTTGAATGGTGCGTGTTCATCCCAATTTCGACCCTGGCGTATCCATGCATGACCTGGTTTGCGCCCAGCTAGAGCAGAAGCTAGACAGACTTCCCCCTTCTCCATCATGCTCTTATTCCTGTTCTTCACTTGCACTTGCACTTTTAGTAGCAACTGACAGCTCATCATCAGGCGCCGGTGCAGATGCAGATGCAGATGCAGATGCAGATTCAGATGCAACGGTGATCCGCCGCCTTCCCGCTTCAGATCCAATGGTCGAAAGTGGCTTCTGCCAAGTGACGACACACGAGAGCTGAGAAAGAAGGTTGAACTCTGACAGGTGCCTTGCACTTTATTAAGCTGTGGATGTAGCGCTCGGGTACGAAAGCTTGGGTGATCTCCGTTCGTCCCATCCGCCCCGCCTTGAGGTCCGATGGGAATTTGTTGAGTTTCCATGGGCTGCCGCGGGACTCAAATCGAGCCAGACCAGACTGACTACCAGGCCACACAGAAAGAAATAAACGCACGACGTTATCGCTGCGGGGCGTTGGTTGCTTAGTGCCGCGAGCACAGAGACCGAGAGAGCATGCATCCCCCGTACTTTTGGGCTTCAACTGCCGTGGGCCAGTCGCAGTGCTCCATTATCCTTGCACCTTGAACCTGGAACCTTGAGCAAAATCCATGCTCTCCACCCGTGGTCCTGGGTGTTGGTCGCGCTTGCACCATCGCACTGCACATGGTGACAGGGTTCCGCGCCGCCAAAACTTCTCCTTCCAGACGAACCAACAGGTACGGTCCTGGCTGGCCTGGGGAGCATTGCTGGCGGCTGCCATCGAGGCCGACGTTGACGTCGAGGTCACGGGGGCACGCAACCACAACGCGCACGCAATTCAATGTCTGTCTGCCTGTCGATCTTGCCCTGTCTGCTGCAAGGGATGGCAACCCATTCAGCCTGTTATTTCATTACTTCATGCACGCCAATGCTGATGGCTGGTTGCTGAGTGAAGCTGAGCTCATGCACTTGGGGTTGGATGCCGCACCGCGGTCCACAATAGGCCAGTCCTCGGCACCGTGTCGATCCGCAACACGCAGATTCATCCGTCACGCGACGATGATCCAGCAGATGGCCCAGTCCGCGATTGGGCACAAGCTCTGGGGAAACCAGATCGCCTGTCCAAGTGCCTCTGGTAGCCGAGTCATCCATCGCCATGCGCATCAGTAGTGCTACTCTTTCCCCATTGCCATCCCTGTCCCTGCGCCTTTTCCGCACCTTCTGCCCTCTTTGAGTTGGTTCGTGGCTTTCGTTGCTCATGGGCCCATGCATCTCCGAAGTGAAGACTTTGTCCGGATGTTGGGAGTGTGTGTGGGACACCACAACGCCGCATCGCGCCGGGGTCGGATCGCCAGGCACCACATCTTCCTCCGTGGCCTGGCCCCCAACAAGAATGGATCTCCAGCCCCCGCTCCTAGAGCTCACGAGGGCACAGGATCTCTATAAGAAGGAATGCCTAGCTTCCATGGTGCTCCTCGGGGTCTAGAGGCTCTGCTCGGTGTCGTGTTGTCTTGAGAGTACGAGTCCTGGCCGTCTTGACTCCTCGCCCGCAAGATCTTCATCAATTTCACTTTGTGCATACTTCTAAGGCAAGATGAGGATCTCCGTCGCGTCCTCTCTGTCATGCGCAGCCGCCTTGGCTGTGGCATCTCCTCTTGCTCCGGCAAGAGGTCTAGGACCTCGAGATGGTAAGTCGCGGTTGTCTATCACGTCTCCCATGGTGTCCTCGCCCTAACCCAGTCAAAATATAGACGCTTCCGCTTTGACGACAACGATATACGAGAACATGCAATATTACGCCGAGTACTCTGCGTCTACATATTGCAATAGCGACAATGCTGCCGGCACTCTGGTGACATGTACGGACGGGTGCCCGGAGGTCATGGCAAACGGCGCTACAGTCGTCGGTTCTCTCCCGAATACCACTATCTTTGGGATGGAGGGCTATGTCGCAGTCGACAGTGTCAGGAAGGAGGTTGTTGTCGCTTTCCGTGGCTCATCGGGACTGCGCAACTGGATAGCAGACCTCACCTTCGTTCAGACCTCATGCGACTACACAACTGGCTGTGCGGTTCACAGCGGGTTCAAGATTGCCTGGGAGTCAATCTCGGAATACACCTTGGCCTTTGTAAAGACCGCTATGGAGGCATACCCTGGCTACACACTCGTTGTCACAGGTCACTCCCTCGGGGGTGCGGTAGGCACGCTTGCGGCTATTGAGTTCAGGAACATGGGGTAAGTGACGAGTCAGATCCCGTGGCAAAACATATGGAATCTAATTATTCTTAAATAGCTACGCCTGTGATCTCTACACATATGGCTCGCCCCGAGTCGGTAACCTCGCACTTGTCAAGTTCGTCACCGACCAAGCTGGCGCCGAGTACCGGGCAACGCACTACGATGATCCCGTCCCTCGCCTGCCACCCATCTTGTTTGGCTACTTCCACACCAGTCCCGAATACTGGCTCGCCTCTGGGCCTGCCACTGATGTCGACTATACTATTGATGAAATCGACATCTGTCTGGGCTATGCAAACACGAATTGTAATGCAGGAACATTTGGCCTGGATGGCGACGCTCATTTGCGTAAGTGGCTACAGCCCGAGTGTGACTGTCTGGAGTCGTGATCCGTATCTCGGAACGACAGTATACAGGTCTCACTCTTATCAACCGGTCATCATATTGCACTCACTAATTGTCAAAATCCAACAGACTATTTCCAATATATGGGCTGCGACTCTGTGACCAGCAGCACAGACATGTCGATCAAGAAGAGAGACCTGGTCGCAACAAACCCCTTGTGGGCACGCGACGACGTTTCTGACGAGGAGCTGGAGCTGAGACTCAACAACTATACGACGCAGGATATCGCGTACAGTCAGCAATTGGCCGCTGATGACTCGACAAATTAATTTGGCCTAACCGTATATACAACTGGTGAAGAAGAGGCCTCTTGAATGCAGGTTTCGACCTCGTGTACATACCAAGGAGGCTTTAGTTTTGGGGGACCATGACTTATGACTTACGATGGTAGCATTTGCCATATTCAGGCACAAATGAAAAGATTCAGAAAATGTACTCAACTTCGAGGCTCAAGCTTGACTCGATCGCCTCAAATCGTTGAATCTCAAGGCTGAGCAAGTCCTCGAACTCGCCTCTCGACCTGGTCTGTAGATCGACTGGCTTGAGCGGTGGGCTTGACTTAGATACGGCCCTTCTGAGATTTTCTCAGATCAGAACCCGCTCGCCTCCCATTGTCTGACCGTGCTTCTCGTCCTTCTGATAATTCGCCCCGAAGTCGAATTTGCTTTTTGGGTAAGGACATGCTTCTCTGTCCTTGTTATCCCTTGATTCGTTCTCAAACCTTTCTTTTTGGTTAGCTTGTGCTCGATGACAATGGACGACAGCTACATTCTGTCTTCGAGTATTCTTGAGCATCACGAACACACGGCAGAGTCGGCATGATTTTGCTCTCAATACTATTGAACCGGTTAACTACCTTGTCAAGGACAGCTCGGTGAGACAGAACTGTATCTACATGCTGCCAAGGCTCATCTCGGTGGCCCCTCATGCTACTTAAGTTAAGCGTCACTTGGCATCAAGTGGCGCTCGAAACATTTCCTGTTGGCTCTCGCATCCAAAAGATGATCAAAGCCAATCACAGCTCGCACTGGTATCACGTTCCTCACTCAAGACACCGTCGAGCAAGTCTTCTTCCCTGTGGCGGCCATCGACGAGAAACCGCTGTGCCTGCACCGCTGCCCGCCTGCCTGGTGGAGGATAGCCCTGGATACAAGACGCCGCGCAGGAAGCTGTCCCCAGCCCCAAGCAAACACTAGCGAGGACCAACTGAGCTGATAGACTAGGGGAATGAGAGAAGGATCACTCGGCTTCTTGTACATTCGTCGATGTCACATCTCGTGCTCCATGCGCCAATTATCGCGTCGTCGAAATTCGCCGCGAGGGGCGACACGTGCCTCGAGAAACATCGATGATTCCTGAGGTTGCATTTGTCCCCGCGTAGGGCTCCCATGCTCTCGGGTATGTGCCAACGGGGCGTTCCCAGATTGAACATCCAGCCTCGCCCAATGACGGCATGGGCTGTCCACCTTCATCACCGGTTCCAGCGAGCTTATTCGTCTGGCAGAGGGCTGATCCCGGCCTCGGGGCAGAACATGGGATGGGAAATGGAGTGAGACGTGCAGAGGTGCATATGCAGCCATGAACTCGGATCGACGGCTTGGTTCCTGTCGCTCATGTATAAAGGGAGGGACCTTCGGTTCCTGGTGCAGGATGAGGTACGCCTGGTGTCTACACCCTCTCTGCCTTGGGCCGCCGCAGACAATCAGACGCACAGCTCCAGCGCACCAGTCAGGATGAGGGCAAACCTTAAGCTGCTCGCCATCGCGGCAGCTTCATTCTCGGCAGTCGTTGCGCAGCACTTCCAACGTCTGGGCACGTGCCCAACGCTCGGCTGCATCCTGCCCCCAGACCAGCAGGACTTCCTCCCGGGCCAGGAATTCGATATCCGTTTCGAGGTCCATGCCCCAGTCAACGGCTCTGAGGCCAATGGAGGTGAACCGGACAAGGACTTCACCGTAACCATAGCCAAGGGGTCCAACGGCACCGCGACGAGTATTGCGGAGTTCTTCGATCTTGAGGAACCGGAGGGTTCGTATTCCCCCTTGCTTGTTTTCCCAGACTCAGTTTTGTCTCAGCGAATCTTCGAAGCACTACGAGTCGTATCATGAGTATAGTTGGTCTTTGCATGTCATGCAATATCCAGAGCTATGCATGAAGATTGATCGGACTAATGCGGTAGCCCTGACGCTGCTCGCATACGCTGAGCAGATATTCCAATAGAAGTAGTTCCTAACTAACAAGTAGATAGTCGAGACTTGGACCTTCTCATGGTACGAAGATCTCTTCGCCCAAGATGCAGGTAACAAGACGGTTGTGAATGTCGCTTCGAAGATATATCGTCGGATCGCGCTGTACGAGCCTGGGGAGTACACCGTGACGTTGAACTACTATGACGGCGAGCAGACGGAGGCAAAATGGCTTGTGAGACCACTAGCCGAGGAAAAGCGGGCGAAGAACGTGATCTTCTTCATTGGTGAGTGTCTCGAGCGTAGTTCCTTCTACAGCTACTGATGTGCTTGAAGGTGATGGCATGACTACGAATATGATCACTGCTGCTCGCCTGCTGGGTCACAAGTCTATCAATGGCAGGTACCAGACTACGATGCAGCTGGACAAGTTCCCTGTGCTGGGACATCAAATGACGCACTCCATTGACAGCTGTAAGTATATGTCTACCCACGTTGCCCTATTGAGTCCCTGAGAAATCCTCCTGGATACTGGCATGTTGTGATCCATGGCAAGAAGCTAACATAAAGAAGACATCACGGACTCGGCCAACTCCGCCTCAGCATTGTACTCGGGCCACAAGAGCACCGTGAACGCTATGGGTGTCTACGCGGACTCTTCGCCGGATGCATTTGACGACCCAAAGGTCGAGACCATCGTCGAGCTTTTGCGCCGCATACAGGGCTCTGCTTGGGGTGCTGTATCCACGGCGTTCCTCGCAGACGCCACACCTACCGCACTGACAGCGCACACCCGCTCACGGGGTCTGTACGGCCCGCTGATCGACCAGGCTCTGAACGGCGTGTCCAACTATTCCTGGACACACGCTGGTGCTCCTGATGTCTACTTTGGCGGCGGTGCGGAGCAGTTCTTGCCCGGGTCTGGCTCGTACCAAGGCAAGGATTATTACGCCGAATTTGCTGCGCAGGACTACAGCATATCTCTCAACAAGACCTCCCTCCTCCAAGCCTCCAACAGCTCAAAAGCTCTCGGCGTCTTCTGCAGGTCTAACTTTCCTGTTTGGCTTGACCGCAACGTGTTCCCAGAGGTACTGAAGACGTTCACCAACGACCCTGCCGGCAACAAGTCTGCCGCGCTTGATCTGCCTGGCCTCAAGGACATGACTCTCAAGGCTATCGACATCCTGAATGAGCGTGGTGGTGACAAGGGTTTCTTCCTGATGTCGGAGGCCGCCTCGATCGACAAGCAGATGCACTCGCTGGACTACGACCGCGCACTGGGCGACTTACTTGAGCTCGACGACACTGTCCGGGCTACTGTAGAGCACCTCAAGGCGCTGGACATCCTTGAGGACACCCTAATAGTCGTGTCGTCGGACCACGGCCACGGGTTCGATGTTTTCGGCAGCGCGGATACCAAGTACATGGCTTCCAAGGAGACGGACCGCGAGAAGCGCGACGCCATCGGCGTGTACCAGAACTCTGGTCTGTCACAGTACACAGTGGAGGTCGAGGGCGTCGGGTACAACACCGGCCCGAACTTCCCTGTGAACTGGGACCCCCGGTACGTGATCGCCTCTGGCTTCGGTGCGAACCCCGACCACAGGGAGACGTACCGCGTCAATGACAAGAAGCCGAGGACCCCCGCGACCAACATCTCGGGTTTCGATAGCGACGACTACTTCGTCAACCCGACGGACAACGTGGGCGGGTTCATCGTCAACGGCACCCTGCCTACAAGTGAGTCCCAGGGCGTGCACTCGCTCACTGATGTGGCTGTGTTCGCCATGGGGCCGTGCCAGGAGTTGTTTGGGGGCGTGTACAGCGCGATTGATATCTTCTACAATATGGCTGAGTGTTTGGGCCTGGCGCAGTCCACGAACGTGACGGCTGGATATGATTCGTATGAGAGATAGGGGCATTAGACAGATGGTTTGGTCTAGCAAGCTATAAACTGGCAGCAGCCACGAATAGTACATAGTAATGTCAACTAATAATGTCGACTTTGCGTAAATGTTCACGAGTGGCGAGACATCGCCCACGGTCTATTGATCTATCACTTAGGTCGGTATCGAGATAGACGCGATGCCATATGCTTCATCATTCCAGGAAATAAAATGTATATCCTCACCAACTGATAGCGCTGTGTTCCATTTCGCTGGGAGTACACCATGTACTACCATTTTCGGATTAGCGGCACCCGGTCTCACAGGGGTTCAGCCTTTCCCGGCGCACTAAACAAAACAGCTTAACCTTGCAGCTCAGAGCTTACACTGTAAATTTGACTCTCACTCTCGTTCCACCAGGGGGCCACCGTCTAGCAGGACAGCTTCGTGTCCAGGACAGACCTGAAAATACGAGGCAGCCCCTTACTGTCAACTCAAAACCTCCTGAGGACAAGGTTTGTCTGGGCAAAAGAAGCACCAGGATTGGCTTTGCTTCGGGCTTCACCTGGTCGGGTTACACGTTGTGCAACGATCCAGCAGTCAGCCTCCGGAGACAACCATGTCCGAAGAACTCACTGACGAAATCGAGGCCATTAACTCCATCTATGGCGACGGGAGCCTGGTCCAGGCCGGGGAAGACTCGGACATATACATCCTGAGCCTCCCGGATGAATCGGTCTCGCTGAGACTGCAGTTCCCGGCAGACTATCCCGCCGCGCCCTGCATCCCTATCAGCACCAACAGCTCCGGGGGCAAACGCGGCGTGGGCGCCCGTGACCTCGAGCTCTTCCGCAGCGCGCTGGGCAACATCTTCCAGCCGGGCCAGGTCTGTCTCTTCGACGCCGTCGAGGAGCTGAAGAGGCTGCAGGAGGAGGCCGGGGTGGACAATGACCCCTCATCGGACCATGAGGAGCCAGGCGACGACCACACGCACGCGACCTTCACTCCCAAGGCGGTCGATGATCTCGGACCTCCGCCGCCGTGGGTCCTGTCGGAGCCTGTGGTGGAGCTGAAGTCAGTCTTCATCGCCCGGTGCGCCGCGGTCACGTCTCCCGACCAAGCCGCCCAGTACGTCGAGCACCTCCTGGCAAGCGACAAGCGGGTGCGGACCGCAACGCACAACATCACTGCGTGGAGAATCCGTGGGCCCAATGGAACCTCTTTCCAGGACTGTGATGACGACGGCGAGACAGCGGCGGGCGGGCGGCTGCTACACCTCATGCAGCTAATGGACCTCTGGGATCACATGGTCGTCGTCACTCGCTGGTACGGCGGCCAGAAGCTCGGGCCTAGGAGGTTCGCGCTCATCAACGCCGCTGCCAGGGATGCCTTTGTCAGGGCTGGCATCGTGAATGAGCCATCAACGGCTGCTAAGAAGAAGGGGCATGGCAAGTGATATGATGTATTGTCAGCTCCGTCGCCTAGACGAGCTAAATGCATGTATTCGACGATCAACGCTCCATATTTTTTCGATTCCAGGTAGTCAGCGGAGGGCTCGACCTGTCCCAGCGCCGCCTGCAAAGATCCCACTGATTTTGCGACAGGGTATCTATGGAACCCCCCCGAGATGACATCCCTTACCATACAGAACGCCATCGCATGCGAACAAGCCAAAATAATGTAAAGAAATTCCCGGACATATAACATCACAGACTCTTCTGGCACCAAGGCTCGATGCTTCAGCAGACCTCCCCTTGCTCATGCAGATTCCGGTATTTTTTTCCCCGACGATCTCAGGCATCCTTCGGCAGTAAGGGACTCAGAACCTCCAATGCACGCTCTGCATGCTCGCTAGATAGCATCACGGCGCCCGTCTTGGCCGTGGAGAGATATGATAGCTCGGTATTTTCCATACGCATCTCTTCGACAAGCTTCCCTGCAACGCCTGCCACAATCCCGGTCGCCTCAAATGGGAGGTCGACCAAATCAAGCAAAATCGGAGTCAAATCGGAGTCAGTCGGGCCTATCAACGAATCGCCAAAGGTCCCCAGCAAGCATCTGTCGATGAGGAGGGACGGCTCGTCTTCTTCTGCCAGCGTTACCGACAAGAAGCGAGGCTGGCTGACCAAGGCCGCGATCAGACTGGTGTAGAACTTGGTGTCAACCTTGTCCACCCACGAGCTCTTGCGATGGTTCCCATTCCCCGCGTACGATCTCGAAGACCTGGAGTAGCTATCATGCTGGGAAACATCCCTCCCAGAGCAGTGAATCAGGCGCAGGTCGGGCTCTATACGAGCAACGACATTGTGCTTCTTCAACAGCTTGAAAGTACGCATTTGCAGCTCCGCGACATTAGACGGCGGGGGCGTGGATGGTGGATTGTCACTCTCCTGGCTGAGGCCCCGAGTGTGTGACACAGGCGACACAAAGGAGGAAGTGCTGTCCTCTGAGCACTCGAAGCCCTGCTCGAACAAGGCCTGGACCACGTTCTGGCGAGACCTACTGGGGACTATAAGGAAGTCCGAGTAGTAGGTCGTGATGAAGAAAATGGAAATTCCGGCGAGCGCGAGAGGCGAAGTCAAATCCACAATTCGACTCCCGGCGTCCGCTCCCGGAGCAGACACCCGCAGCACGCAGTAGGTTTCGGCAGATATCGATACGGTTTTGGCCAAGTTTTTAGGTAATTGCTTGATAACAGGCTCGAAGACGGTCCTGGACCAGGTTTCATTACAGACTATTGAACACTCGATAGGTGTCACGCTGATGTTGAGGAAGCCATGCTCCTGAGCCAAGGTCAAGTTCCCGAGCCCGTCCTCAACGGTGGCACATGTCGAGGGGAGAAGGAGACGGAGGATAGGCTGGAGGAATTGCGAGTAGAGGCCCAGAGGAATGTGTATAAGGCTTAGTGTTTGCTCCTGCGCAACCACGGTCAGTCAGTCAGTTCTGAGTTTCTCTCACTTGATCCATTGGAACCGCCGAGTTGAAGTTCACCATGGGCTCTGGGACCAACCGCACGCCCAGCCAGCCCGATGGACGGCCCCGCAATCGGCCGGGGTCATTTCGGCGTCGCGTCCGGAGTAAAGTCGCTTGGAAGTGACTCACGACGGGGCAATTGCGGGAGATCGGCCGCAAAAAAGAGCACAAAGAAGAGAAAGGCATTATTGGGTTGGCAGGAAGTTTTGGACTCACTAGAAGTTTTATTTCAGCGTTCATGATGGGCGACGGGCAATTCTGCACGTAATGTGTCGCCGGTCATTCTTCGCAGATGCACTCAAGGGCCCCTGTTCGGACCCCACTGATAGCAGCAGGACCCTTAATGTCAGGGCCCCGGCACAGAATCGCAGTGGTGTGTGAGATCGACAAAGAAGAACCCAATCTCTGAGCCGATGTATGGGCGAGCAGAATTTCGTGCTGCGCGATGCGGCGGCCGGGTTTGTCTGGGTTTTCGGAGTGCTGCAAGAGAATTGCAGGATGTCTTTTGCACCGATGAGCGTTGATTTGGTCGGTTATCAGAGTAGCATGTGGTATGCCGGGGCTGATCGGAGGGAGGACGGAGAAAAAGTTGTAGACGAAAAGACGAGCAGAGCCGAGTCGAGTCACGCACGCAGCGACAAGGATGCCGGATGACGACGGAGAGTCTAGACTACCTACTCATCCAAGGATTCTTTTTGGGGCCTGAATGCCAGCAGCCGCTGAGTAGGGACCTGAATGGATCTGGGTATGACAAGACAAAAGAGGAACAAAGAGGAGCTGGCGGCGAGGAGAGATAGAAAGCACAGTCTCTGCTGCTATTATCAGTCCGGCCGGCGACTCTGGGCGGGGCGCTGTCGTTGACCTAGACTAGGCGAGAAGTAAGGGCCGCTAGCCCTGTAACCCGTCGTAACCTGTCGTGCATGTAATGTAATGTAATGTAATGTATGTAATGTACGGTAGCTCGGTAACTCACTCTGGGTCTGGGAGAGCAGGACGAGGCGAGAGACGAACGCAGCTCTTTACCTGCAATGGCGACAAACATACATTGGGCTGCAGCGGAATGGGCTGGTTCGCCGTGGCAGCGGGCGACATGCGCAATCTATATCGCGCCTCGTGAGTGGTGAGGCGAGCTGCTGTGACGCTGGCGCCGCGATGAAGGGGCCCCTCGACGAGGAGGAGCGTTTCCGCATACCAAGGTAGTGCAGCAGGCGCAACGGAGGCAGGCAACTATAGCCAAGTGCAGGCAAGCCGAAGCACCAGGCTAGAGGCTTTCAGGTCCGTCTTGCATGATCTCCTCATGCAGGTGGGCACAATTGGCGTGGGGGCTGTAGTTGGCATAGACTTGGACTTGGACATGGACATGGACATGGACATGGACATGGACTTGAAGACATTCGAACAGTCGACAATCAAGGTTGAGCGCGCTCGAGCTTGATTACTGTTAAACCTAAGCCCGGGCCTGAGCCGCCTCCCTGGGTTTGCCGCCCACGCTCCAATGGCAGGCCCCCCAGTCACCCCATCCCAGGGAGAGTGATGTGATATAGCTAGACTATGTAATGTGGATTGGGTTCTTCTTGACATGTGGTTCATAGGCGAGCTCTAACAAGCTCAATGCAAGTCGAACCCAATTCGGACGAGGGGTGCAAGGACAATGATAGCTACTGTATCAGACTTCAATAGCAACGCGCTTCCTCCCAACAAGTCCAATATGCCAGGCCCAGAGTCTCAATCCATATGCAGGCACAAATTGTCCGCGAAGCAACAGACTGCGAACTCTGCGTGTGTCTGGTGTCACCCAAGCACGTCGGAGCCCATGCTCCCTGGGCCCCTTGCCCGGAGCCCTGCTTCCTCTTGCCTTTCCCCCCTCCTCCATCGCCGTCTCATGAAGCCAGAGACGCACCCCGCAATCTGGGCGTCAGACTGCGACATCGAACGTGCTCCCGTACTATGTCTGTGCAACCCCACGCCTGCCCCCCATGCACCTCTGCAGCAACCAGACACCACACCCACTTCCAACACCACCACCCACCACCACGCCTTAAATCGATGCCATAAGGCGCGAAGGAGCATCTGCCTGCCCGACCACCAACACCAACACACCTCCGCCAGCACCCTCCTGCTCTCAACGTCTAGGCCATCCTTCCCACTACCGCCCGAAAGGGCTGCTCCGCCTTCGTGGCTGTCGAGGTAAATTGCCAAATCAGGGCAGCGAGTGTGAGCTCGGTCCTCTGGGCCTTCGTGAGCCGCCCAGCCAGCCAGGCCCGCCAGGCCAGCCACCTCATGCTGTGTGACGGACGATCCGAGCCTGCCGACGTCGTCAGGTCGTCTACCTGGCGTGGTAGGGTGCACTATAGCAACACACACACACATACACACACACACACACGTGTAGTTACGCCCCTTTCGTTCGGGACGGCCGACAGAGATCGATCACATTTCTTGCGGATAGCCTCGGCCGGATTGGGCACGCGATGGCTCGAAACTTACTCATTTGCTTTGCTGGCCGTGGCTGCTACTCCATGGCTGGCGGTCACGTATCCCAGCCCGCGGTGAGGTGGCTTTGCATGATTGGAGTGAAATGAGCCATATACGATGCTCTGTAGACGTGGTAGCAAAGTCTTGTACCTGTAGTTTTCCAGAATTGGATATCACAGCCTGAAGGAATCACGCCACAATTGAATTGGAAAAAACATGACCTTGTGTTGGATATATCTGGTGGTGTCACAAGGCAAGATTTCTGTCCAGCTCATCGTCACAGGAGCATCACCCATCATCACCATCACCATCATCATCGCATCAGATTTTAAGTCGTGATGGTGGTGCACCCGTGATCGAAGATTACCGCTCTAGGGCTGATTCCCTCCCACTTACCGGGCTCACTGTACCTTGCGGAAACCCTGCGGTGTTGCCCCCGTCTTGTCGAGCCCCCCTGCCTGGGGGGGCTATATGTCCTCTTCCCAAGCTCACCCGTCCCGCGTGGGCTCTCGCACGAATTTGGGTTGCATGGCGGTACCAAACAAGACAGCCGCAGAAACCCCTGGATTGACACCCCCAATCCTGCGCCCTGCTGCATGACATCAGGCGGCACAATGCGTGCCTCTCACCTGCAGCTGCGATTTTGCTGCAGGGCGTGCCCTCTCCTGCTCCCCGCCCTCTGGCCCTGACGCGCACCGCAGTCTGCAACGGCGCGGCATGCCGAGGATACCCACATCCCTGCCCTGGGGAGGACAAAACAGGTATACCGGGCTCGCCGGGGGGTGATAAGCCCGGGGGAATGAGACCGGGTCCCTGGCTCGTCGGCTCCAAGCAGCCGCCCTTTGCCTGCCCTCAGGGCGGACTATGAGGCGCCGTATATCGTGCCGCAGAATACCCGAGTCATCCTTCCATCCATCAATCAATCAGCTGTCCACGGCCGCCTCCTTCCTCTTGATACCAACCACCACCAGGTTCCGCGGGCTCTCCTTGTAGTCAAACACCGACTCCACCCAGCAGTCCTGGACGACGTCGCCGTGCTCCTTGAGGAAGAGCCAGCGGTCCGTCACAATCAGCGACTCGACGACCGCGGCGCTGAAGGCCATCATGGTCCAGATGCTGCTGAGCTCCCGCTTGCGCGGCGCGTAGGCCCTCGCGTAGGCGTCGATCTCCTCGTCCGTCATGTCGCCCATCTTGTCGTGGATCACCTTGCTGTACTTTTCGTTGGTGTCCTCGTTAGCGGCCAGCTTCTTGATCGCCCCGCGCACGTAGGCATGGAACGACTTGAAACAGCTCTTCCCCAGGGACCCGATGATGACGGGGTTGGTGCTCATGTTGAACGGGCTCTCTTTGCCGTTCTCTTTGCCCTCATCGCCCTCGCCCTCACCGCTGTCTACTCTATCGTGATACACCTTAGATATGACGCCCCTGTCCAAGAATATCTTCTGTAGGACTGCCCGGTAGAAATGCCTCGTGAAAAAGGAGTCGGACTCAACTTCTGTCCAATTGTATGGTGCTTGACATGCTGCACAACAAAAAAATTAGTGATGTTCACTCAAGTAATTTTCAGCGTATCGAAACCCTCAATGCTGCCTTGGTCCCAGAGAAGGTTATCCCAGAGGAGGTTATCCCAGAGGAGGTTATCCCAGAGGAGGTTATCCCAGAGGAGGTTATCCCAGAAGAGATTATCCCAGAAGAGGTTATCCCAGAAGAGGTTATCCCAGAAGACTCAAAGAAAGTCATGCCAGAGGGAATTTGCACCTGTGCTTCTGCTGAGCCATACGAGCAAGTCGTGTCGAAGGCGTGCTCTCAGTATCAAATGGCCAATATCTGCTAAACGCGCAAGGGGAAAAGAGGTTTACAAAAATATGAAAAAATCCATACCCATCATGCGAGCTGTGATGTTCAATCGGATGCCGCGATCGTTGTGACACGACACCCGTTTGCTCATAGGGAAGCCTTGAGGGTCGTACTTCTCTGATTCTCGGACCACCCGTCCATTGAGGGCCTGTAGGCTGGGTCGCATGTAGGGCAGTTTGTACGTAGGAGGGCCCAACTTCTCCGTAAGCAGGTTGTAGCAACATCCCACGATCGCGACTGCCTTGATGCTGGGGTTCAGGATCATGGAGCGGATTCCAAAATGCGAGAGATTGCCGCAGGAATGGATTGATATTGCCATCAGAGAAAGCTCCCTGCGCTTCTCCTCCGGGACGTCGGCATCGTGGATCTTGTTCAGCACGTCGGACAGGTCTCCAGTCTCCAATCGTCCTGTGACGTACTTGATAAGGCCCCTTCCCTCCTCGGGGCGGTAGATAGCCTCCAGCTCTCTCCTTGGCCTGAGCTCGACCGCCGCGATTTGTTCAGCCGTGTGCTTCTCTGCCGTCCTTCTCGTGCCCTTCTCGTCCAGCTCACCGGCGTCCTTTTTGCTGTCTACCAGGCTTTGCCAGATTTTCTTGTTCCTCAGCACCTTCTCCGTCTCTGCGATGCCCGCAAGGACGTCCAGCTCCCTGGCCCCGGCTTGATTGTGCTCGTGCCTCTCGACCGCAACGATGTCCTTACTGTACGGGGCAGAAGCCAGCGTCCGCCCAAGATAGTTCTGGCCGCTGCCAAAATCGATGAAGTGAGTCATCTCCGTCCCTGTCAGCTGGGCGATGTCCGCCGCCAGGCGGTCCACATAGTCTGCGAAGTTGGTCACCTCGTGTTTCTTCTTCACATTCATACCCACGGCCACTTGCCGAGGTATGACGGGCAACCTGGGCTTCACCGGTGTAAACGAGCGTATAAGTGAGAGCCTCCGTACGTCCTTGACGTACTGGCGCAGGGATTCCGGCGCTTCAGGCCATGAGCGCTCCGTTGCTGGAGCATCCGGATCATCTCTCAGGAGAAAGTCTAGAAGTGCCATGGGATCGCACTCCATGAGAAATTGCTGCCAGTCCGGCTCGAGAACCCATTGGAACAATCCTGGCTCATTGGTAAAGAAATCCAGGATGTGCACTCCTCCACAGAGTATTTGAAATAGGTCGCATGTTGAAGCGAAGTCCAGCAGTGAGCTCACATAGTCCTCTGCAGAGCTGAACTCGTCAGATATGGGCAATGGCTTGCTTGGTGGCATAATGTGATGCCTTGAGATGGCTTATTTCTCTCTCAAGTCTAAAAATTCACCAGGCTCAATAAGTCTGAAATTCTGGCGAGCCTTGTAGTTCGAAAAATTGATGGACTTGCATCCATTCTAGGGTTAGGGTGTGACTGTCAAGCTTAGTATGGCGACGCCCGAGAAGCGCATCCGCATGTCGCAACCACGCGCCGCCCACGTTGCCACGAAGCCCTTCAATGATTCTCTTGCCCCGGTAACTCGAGGGCGAACTGTGTCAAGATGGTGCGTTCCCATCCCCCCAGCTGTACCCATGAACAGGAGCAAATGCTGACTCTTCTAGGTCTTCATCCTCGGCGTCAACTTTGGCGAGAAAAAGCTCGTCAAGGTACGTGCCAGCCATCCAGCCTTTCCGACGCCCATCTCGTCCGTCGCAACAGCAATAACTGACGTGCGTCAACATTAGAAAGCCCTAGAATCCTTCTATGCCCTCGGTCCATTAACGGCCGACCGGATAATGGCCAAATATTCCATCTTCCCACGGCAGAGACTAGAGGCCCTGTCGCCGAAAACCGTGCTTGCGCTCACGGCGGAGCTGTCGACAATGACGATCGAGAATGACGCAAGGAAAATCGTGCAGGAGAACATCAGGCGGTTAAAAGATATGGGCGCGTACAGGGGAAGGAGACACGCAATGGGTCTGCCAGTGCGTGGACAGAGGGCAAGAAACCAAAACATGACGTCGGCGAAGCTCAACAGAATGGAGAGAAAGGGCTGATCGGGTCATGCGAGCCAACGGGGCAGTCAATGCAAATATTCAGTCGGAGCCCACTACGATACGGGTTATCTTGTACTGATGCGGATTTCACAACCGCTGTCGATTCGGAACAAAAATGGCCTGCTATACAGGATGGCCAGGTACAACACAACTGTACATTACAGCCATACATCTACACAAATGAACACAAATCTCGCCGAACCATGTTTATCTTCACTAATCCGGTCCAGTCCGCCAAGTCTATAGAGCTCCCAAGAAATCCGAGGTGGATTCGAACTTCAACGCCGGCAGCTCATCTTCCAAAGCTGGTTCGCCTTTGGCCTGCAACCCGAGCGCAACATCATCGATAGCTTTCCAGACACGCAGGATGTTACCTCCGACCACTTTGGTTGCATCCTCATCACTGACGCCCTGCCTTAGCAGCTCGGCCACGAGGTCTGGATACTTGGAAACATCGTCCAAGCCCTGTGGGGTGTTTGGTATGCCATCAAAATCGCTGCCGAAGCCAACATGGTCGAAGCCGATCAGGTTTCCAATGTAAATCACATGCTTTGCAACATGAGCCAATGTCGAGTTGGGCGGGTAAAATTCCGGCAGGCCGTTCTCATTATCGCTCTCGACGCAGGAGACAAAGTCCGGGGAGAAGTTGACCATTACGATGCTGTTACGCTCCTTGACCAGCTGGAGCACGTCATCATGAACATTTCGCGGGTGAGGGCATATGCTGTACGCCGAGGAGTGGCTGTAAATGACAGGAGCCTTGCTCCCTTCCCAGCCGTCCTTGCCGCCGCCGAGCACATGACGCTGTGTCTCGGCAGAGGTGTGACTGAGGTCCACGATCATGCCCATGCGGTTCATCTCGTGGATGAGGAGTTTCCCGTCTTCGGAGACACCTCCCCAGTATGACGGGGCCTTTCGCGTAGGGTTAGACCACAGTGCTGCATCGGCGTACTTATTTCCACAGTTATGTGTCAGCGTGGCGTAACGGACGCCCAGCTCGTAGAAACGACGCAAGTTTGCGGCCGAGTTACCGATCTGGTGCAGACCCTCTACACCGAGTGGAGAGATCAGCTGGCCCTTCTTGAAAGCGGCCAGGGCAGTCGTGCTGTTCACTTTGGGAGAGAACTGAGTTGGGTACAACTCCTGCAGTCGTGTCACAAGATCAATCTGATTGATAGTGGCCTGCACAATGGGAGCATAAATCTCATCCTATTTGAAACTCTGTTAGCAATCTCTTTCGAAACCCAATGCCACCAGCACGTGCAGCTATACAGCACGTCTCCTTTCTTTCATGAGGACTCATCTTTCCACACGTATCAATGCTGAAAAGACAATGTCCTCCTTAATTCCTCCCGGGATAGCTGTAGCTAGCTTAAGGCGGATGCAGAAGCTCTTCAAAAAATATCAACTCCAAGACGCGTATATCTCGTTGGCTGAATATAATGATTGTTGACTTAGACGCGTCCGAGGGAGTAATTTGGCAGTTGAAGACAAAGAATTTCAATGAGATAATTCAAAGAAAAGGAAATTCTCACACTATAGTCGGTCATGTTGCTTGGGCATCCCCAATAAACACTCCAAAAGGCACCACCGTTCATGCCCTCTCGGAGCCGAACCAAGTCGACGTGACCGGGCGTCTTGCCGGCCTCAAAAGCTTCCTGGAAGCTTTCATTATTGATGTGGTTGCCGTAGAGGTACCGGAGCAAGATGGGCAGGTCGTTATGGCCGTCGATCAACGGAGTGAAGGAGAGGATGTCCTTGACCCGTCCCTCAATGGTGAGCGCCTTGTGAGGAATCGTGCTTGAGACAGCATGATAGCAGTAATGAGGCAATCTGAACAGCGTGCTGAGGCCGGCCACAGCCAGGAAACAAGCCAAAAGCCGTGTTCGCATGCCTGAAGATCGTCGAGTATCATCTCGCTTATCCAAAGCCAGCTCGTAGGGCTGGTGCTTCTCGTGGGGATGCATGACGGCGGGTGGGCGGCTGGGGGACCCCCGGACAGTAACGGCTACTCTATTGTTGGGTACGGATCTTGCAGTGAGATTAAGTCAATGGGGCAGGGCTGGGAGAAGGTCCAGTCTACCACGACACAGTATGTGCTTGTAGTGTCGATCTCAGAGACGGCCAGTGGCTCTGCTCGAGGTCTGAGGTGGATGGATGCCTTTTGCTGGTTAATTGATACATTGATTGATAAGCTGCGGCGGCAACCTAGACGACTGCTCGGCTGCGAGCGCTTGTCGGCGCGTATGCACCTTTAGGGGAGCATCCCATGCGCGTTATCCACCCCTGGCCGATGGTTCCTGAATTTATCCACCAAAAGCCGACAAAGACCTTCATGTCGAGAATGACTGCCAACGGTCGTGGCGCTCTTTTCTGTTCAAAGAACAGCCAGCTAGCCTTCAGCCTGGAACACATGGGTGACACCACCACCAAGTGATAGCGAACAAGAGAGCTTCTGAGATGAAAGTAGACTAGGTACAACGCAGGAGGAGATTATACGACGGACATAGAGAACAGCCCCACTGCCTAGGTACGGAATATTGGGGACAGGCCGTGCGAAAAAAAACGGTCGTCTCGATCCCTTCCAAGACATGAAAGCGCGTAGCTGCTATCATTGAGCCCAAAGCTGGCGGCTGGTAGCACTCAACTACCGACGCGGACTAGTGCAGTTGGACACCCAAGAAAACAAAGATGCTAAACCATGACTTCTGACGTTAATGCTGGGTGGCATTAGACGGGACGACGTCACGGGCAATGACAACCTTGGAAGGTCGGACTGTGTTGGACATGGTCTGCCCGTTTCAAGTTTCATTTGCGCGGTCGTATTCAGATTCAGCTTGCTGTCGTCCCAGCTCAGGGCACAACGAATCAATTGTCAGGGGTAGCTGGAGCGATTCGGGCTGCCTCAAGGGGCCCCTGGACAGGCCCGACAAACTAGACTTTTGGCTGGAGAACCAATGAGCAACAGCGGGGCCCATCAGAAGTTCTAGGCGACGCACGCCGTCGAGATTTCCCTTGCAGACAGACAGAGAGAGAGAGTCCATCGCGACACGTCCCTTCAAATCAAATCGGAGAAGACCTCGCCGACGCTGTGCCCTTTTCCCCCTATCCTGAATCTGCTGTTGCTTCTTACACTGCCCCACGAGAGCCACATCGCAGCCGCCCAGCCCATCACGGCCTCTGCCCTCTGGTGATTAACCGCGCCGACCCATCGCCCAGAACCGAGGTGGCCTAGACGAACCCCGAGACCCACGGCCTACGACCCAGCGAGCTGCCGTGCATCATCCACAACCTGCCCAACTCGCAGCTGCTCAGCCTCACCGGTGGTTCCCCCCGTGGTCCCTTCCTTTGTGGTCCCTTGGCCACTCCCGGCGACAACAACTCTCGGTCAGGCTCTCTGAAAACACTCACAAGACGGCCAGACCTCTGCGAGCCATGACATAGATGCATCTACGAAGCCCTTAATTATTGATCAACCCCAACTTCCACGAGAGAGAGCCTGCCACAGGCTCCCACACCACCAGTCAAAATGCCGGGCTTCCAAGATAGTTTCTGGACGGGCGACTACGCCGCAGGTAAGATCCAGAGGGCTAGCATGTGTCACTTCACGACCACTGACGTACCCCAGGCCTTGGCGTCCTGTTCAGCAAGCTGCAGCAGGGAGTCATAGAGAACAGACAGGTCCTGACCATCGCACGCATGCGCGCTGAAGCCGAAGAGCTCTATGGTGTGCGCCTCAACGACATTGCTCCAGCCGTCGACAAGGTGCAGGGAGGCTTTTCCAAGGACGATGGCGCTACCATTCGGAAGGTAAGCAACTCTCCATGCCCAGCTTCTCTTCAGGCCCACACCCACTGACTTTCCTCCGTGCGTGCAGGCCTACGAGGGCATACGGACCGAGATGGACGAAGGCGCAAAGAAGCACAAGAAGATCGCACAGAACATCAGAGATCTTGTCGTAAACCCCTTCTCTAGGTGGTGCGAAAACCACGAGACTCGAGTACAAGACTCCCAGGACGAGCTGCAGAACCGGATCAAGGCCCACGATCGCCAGGCTGAGCTGGTCAAAAAGCTGAGGAGCAACTACTTCAACAAGTGCCGGCTAGTGGAAGATCTCGAGGAGGAGACCAAATTCGCCTTCCAGGACCCCGAGAGCAGCCCCAAACCCAAGATACCCGAGATCAAGGTCTCCGAGAACAAAGAGAATGAGATGAGCGACGAAGACACCATCTTCGAGATTGGTGACGAGACTTTCGACGTCGAGGAGATGAAGAAGCGTCTGGCGCACATGTTGAACAACATCAAACTGCAGGACACCAAAGTACCGATCTTAGGAACATATATGAACACTTCGGCCGGTGCAGACATCGTCGAGTATCTGCAGAAGTACATGGACACCACTAGTGTCAGCTATGCCGAGAGGATCGGCCAGGACCTTGTCGCCAGTGGCTTCCTTAGACTCGTCGGAAACGTCGGAAACACTTTCGCCAACAGCTCCAAGATGTTTTACCAGTGGCGGCCCAGGGCATTCCAAATGTCCGGTGTAATCGAGAAGAAACCCACCGTGGGTCGAACCTTTTCGCTGGCATCCAACGGTTCCGACGCTGTCGATTCACCTGTTGTGGGGACGGTGGGCGAGTACCTTGCCGGCTGGAACCCTCTCAACAACGCACACCCAGGCGAGACTCCACCACAGCGCTTGCGGAGGGAGCAGAGGGAGGCCGACGACAGGTACAAGGAGGGAGTCAAGAAGTTGGATGAGACTCGATGCGAGCTTGAGGAGGCCATCACCGTGCATCTGAAATTCCTCGAGCGCTGTGAGCTGGACAGGCTGAAGGCTATCAAGACGGTTATTCTGGATTTCTCGGGATGCGTCAGCAACGTCATTCCCAGTCTCCAGTCCGCCGTTGACAAGATGATGCTGTTCCAGGAGACTATCCAGCCCGAGGGAGATCTGCGCTACCTCCTAGAGAACTACCGTACCGGACGCTTTGCTCCAAAGGTGATCGTGTACGAGAACTACTACAACAAGGTCGACGAGCAGACCTTTGGTGTCGATCTGGAAGCCCGCGCCAGAGCGGACAAGAAGCGTGTCCCCATGATGGTCACAACCATCCTCACCTACCTTGACAACCACTATCCCGATCTCGAAGGCGACGAGGCCAGGAGAGGAGTCTGGCTAGTAGACGTGCCACTGTCCCAAACTCATGCTCTGCGAAACAAGGTCAATGACGGCAAGCCTTTCTCGCCCGATGTTCTTGCTGAATTCGATATACCCACTGTTGCAAGTTTGCTTAAGCTTTACCTCCTCGAATTACCTGGTTAGTACCATCCCCCTTCTACTAGTTGATACGAATATCGTGCGCTGACGTGCTTGCAGACTCTCTGGTGTCTTCTCACGTTTACGAGATCATCAGAACTATATACACCACGCCTAACCCAGATACCTCAGATGCTGGGCGTGTTTCTGTCCTTCAGCAGACATTGTCCCAGCTGAGGCTGACGAACATCGCCACGCTTGATGCATGCATGAACCACTTCACAAGGTTGATTGAACTGACGAGCGCGGATGAGGAGTACATTTCTGCTCTTGCGACGACCCTAGCACCCTGCGTCCTGAGGCCACGCGTGGAAACGTCCTTGACCATGGAGGAGAAACACGCCTACCGTTTGCTTCGGGACCTCTTCGCCCACAAGACTGCTATTTTCAGCGAGTTGAAACGCATGTCTACTCTGGGTCATTCTACGTCGGTGACGAGTAGCAACACCGACAACACCAATCGTCCACGCGCTATTAGTACCGATGAGAGCAACCGAAGAATACACCAGGAGGAACGCCAACGGGCGCTTCTGGAGAAGGCAGGAGGCGGCCGTAGCAGGGCCACCTCCCCGGCACCAAGTCCCCGTGGCTTCGGCTCTCACCGACGAGACAGGAGCGTTGGCAGATTCCCTGTACAGACTAGTCCCACTGAGAAGAACGACCGTGTACGCATGAGCATGGGCCCTGTCCTGGGCATAAAGCGATCCAGTCTCGAGGTGCCCGGCGAAGGCGGCACGCCGCCATCCTCTGTGTCGACCGAATCAATCACGAACGGCAGTGACTCGACAGAATCGCCGACGTCGGTCAGGGGCCGTTCGGAGACGCTGCGGTCCAACGACTCGCTGGAGAAGCGCAACTCTCTTGGCCGTAACCCAGCACGGTCGTCACTTGGCCGACGGATCCCTGTCAACCCCACGCCTCTGACAGAGACCGCGGGCGACGAGCACACCCGGGGTGTGACCTTGGAGGACAAGCCGATGGACGACTAGTAGTCCATTCATCCAGGCCAATCCGCTTCTGAATATGGAGTACCAACGTATGACGGCTTAATGTTTTGGCACCGGTACGGCGAGGTATGGAATAGAACATACTAAGGGGAAGGAAGCATACGTATTCAGAGCACGTGGGGGGAAGGAAGGGGTTGTTGTAATGCAATGGAATGTACTATGTATCAACCGAGCGAACGCGACCACGAACCAAGATATTAGCACGATAACTTTTGACAGACACGCCGGGGTTATAAACACAGGAGGGAAGGAAAGAAAGGAGGGATGAGAATGGACGGACGGTGGAGCAGACGTAACAAAATGGGAAGAACCTTTGGGCGGTGGGGGGAGCGGTTTCGTCCGGCTTCGTCGTTACGACGGCATATTTATATATTACTTTTCGCACCTGGGATCCTTGGCCCTTTCGCTTCTGCTGTGAACGTGCCTAGGACGAAGATAGGCAAGACGTGTTTTACCAACCGCGACTTGGGTCATTGCATGGTGGACCACCGTTGATTCAAGTTTGTTTGCAAATCGTGCTGTGCTTCGCGTTATTCCTACCGGGGCAACAACACATACATCGAGATACCGAGGGATACAGACTCGATTTTCAGGACTGGGAAGCCGTAGGGTTTTGCGTTGGATGCCTGCGCTTGGATCATCATCATCACGAATCCTGGGACTGAATGGGGTGCAAGTGGTCGTTTGCACGTGTATTTCCCATTCATCGATGGCCTCATAAATACTAGCTAGAAAGCAATGCAACGCCTGGTCTAGTGGATGGATAACCCCGACTCCATCCCGGAGACCTTTGCCCGGTTACTATTCCTATATCTTCCTTGTGCTTGCCCATGGCCCTTGTCTGTTCATGCCTTTCACAGAGGGCACGGTGCCGCTACATGATATGTCCTCGTCAAAACCCAGCCAAACACAGACACCAAACCTTCTCTTAGAAGGGAGAGCCGCCCAGATAGCCCAACAACCTAAAGATGGTACAAGGGTTGAGAGACCCTCTTTTTATGATGCTCCCCCACTCCGTCCTGCCGCGACCAAGTCGTACGCCACAACGCCTTGCAAAACCGAAGAAAGACAATGCACACCGCAGGGCTCACAAACCGGATTTGATCCGCCAGTCTCCCTTCTTGTTAGGCTTTTCGGCGACGTGATCGAGCGTCGCCTTGATTTGCGTACTAGTACAATGATCCAGTTTCTTCTTCAACGTGGCTATCATAGCTGCCTTCGGCAAGAAACTGAACTCGACCACAGTAGCCTTGAAACCCTCAAGCTGATCCGCCGGTACCAGGTCTTCGGGAGCTGGCACATTCGACACAGCTGGTGTCGAGGTAGCACCAAGGGCAGCAAAGGCGGAAGGCGCCGGTGGTGGTGCCATGGCACCGTCCGCAGCTTTGTCAACACTGCTCTGGGCTGTGGACTTCACAGAAGCTGCTTTCGGCGCGCTTGCCTTGGGCTCTTGAACCCAGTACTGATCGGAGAAAGGATCGATTGAGTGATGATGCTTGAGATTTGCTACACCGTGGAAGTCAGTGTCAACGCTATCAAAGTGAAGCAGGAGGAAGGGCGTTGCTTACGGATCATGAACTCCATCCGAAACTTGTACATTTGCGGATTTGGGTTCCTCCTCGTGCGGTCCTCAAAGCAGACTCCGCTGCTCTCAGGTTCCATGGTCCCTGCAAACATTCGCGGACCACGGCCGACATCCTCGGAATCATCCAGGAAATCGTCCATGGCCTCGCCATCGTCCTCATCGGCGTCCTCCTCGTCCATCAAACTCACATCATCCCCTTCGCCATCGTCACCATCGACCCATTCGGCCTCGGAGTCGTAGTCGTAATTGAGTGGCAGGTCTTTCGCAATAGGGTTTTTGGCCAGCTTTTGGAGACTAGCAAGAGACTCGACGCTGGTAGCGGTACCATAGTAGGCCGGTCGGACATCCTCGTGGAACTTGAGATGCTTCAAAGGTATTTTCTTCAGCGACTGCTGAGTCGTCTGTATGCGCAGATTCTGTGACTCAGTGGTCAAGTCTATGGGACTCGCTTGAATCCCACCATGACTTGACAGAAGCCCCCGGACGCTTGGGTAGATTTTCCCTCGGGGTTGAACGGTCTTTTTGGGTAGACGTAGGGCTTCAGCCAGGTCGGAGATAGGCGATTTTCTCCCGGCCACAAAGTCGTCAAGAATTGCTGTCCTGGCAGCCTGCGAGCCGGGAGATAGGGCAAACTTGTTGCTTGCTAACGTCACATTCTCTTTGACAAAGAACTCCTGCGCTATTCGTTGGTACTCATTTCGCTCTTGGATGGCCGGGGACGGGCTTCTAGCGGTGCCTGGCAGGTCAAGTCGGGCTCGAGCTTCCTTGGGGGTCGACGTTGAAGGCTGCTTCGTGAAGAAACTTCCGATCTTGGGCTGGGCTCGTTGCTTTCGTTCGGCCTCCTCCTCCTTCTCACGTTTCTTCCGTTCAATCTCAGCCTTCTTCTTGTCCGCCTCGGCCTTCTTCTTGTCTGTTTCGGCCTTCTTCTTCTCAGCTTCAGCTTTCTTCTTGTCTGCCTCAGCCTTCTTTTCTTGGTCTCTAGCCTCCTTCTCCTTGCGCTTCTTCTCCTTCTCAGCTTCCTTTGCAGCCTTCTCTTCTGCCTGTGCCTTCCTCTCTTCGTCTGTCAGCTTCTTTCGCTTCTTGGCCGGGGGAGCTTGCCCTGCAGACTGAGTCGACTTGGCCGGAGGCATTATGGGCAGCTGTCGACTCGGTGTATCGGGAGATGGCGAGATTCTGGAGGGGTCGCTACTGCCCGCTTCAGTGAGGGATAGAGGGCTGCTTTGTGCTGGTGTCGATTGTGCCGAGGCCAGGCTGGATGGAATTGGGAGCGAAGAGTCTAATGAAAGGCCATTCATAGAATCAGCCACCGCTGTGCCGGGGACTGCAGAGTCGCCAGCAGCCGCGTGGTTGTTTTTCCCGTACTGACCAATGCTTGGAGATTCAATGAGACCGAGCTGTGGGTCTTTAATAGTATCACAAGCAGGCGAGTCGTCGACGTGGTCGGAATATTGCGTGTGGGTGCGTTTCCTGTTGGGTGAATCCAACTCCTGGACGTTGGGCGACATTGTCATGAGAGGCATTGGTGTCGAGGTGGCTCCAGGCCAGGCTTTTAAGTCGGAGGGGAAGGCACGAGGTTGAGGTTGCGCTTCCCGCGTCGAGGCTGCTGGGGACCACTATCGACGGACCAAACTGGCTGGCATTAATTGACTGATCCAGATCTAGTAGGCAGAAATTAATGGGTCGGCGTGTTTGGAAGGCACACAAGACATCCAACAAGGAGACAAGGAAACAAGTCCAGGCAAGCACACGCTGGTGTTGAGAATGGCCCAGTGGCTCTAACGTGCTTTCCAAGGTTGGCGGTTGGAAGGGTAAACGAAGGTGGACCCTTTTTCCAGGAAGTCGCGTTCGCGTCGAAAGTGGAAAGCTGCAGCCCACGCGTCAAGGGGAAAAGTGTCCGTGCGCGCAGCGAGGACATGGGTACTGGGATACCTACCTGCCCAGTAGACCAGATAGACCAGGTAGGTATCTATCTATCTGACTTGAAAACAGACATTGGTATTTACTTTATTTGCTACTATCTGCTAACAATCGTGTTGTCGACGTTCCGCAGCAGCCTGAGTCCATGTAGACGTTGGGTCTCAGTCTCCGAGACTCGACACGCACTCGACGTCTCAAAGACATGGGTTTCCGGCTCACTGGACTCTCAACGAGCAACACGTCACATGCGTTCTTCTACACCAGATCCGTGACTGTCAAACCTCTGTACAAAAGAAAAGAGATCAATAGATCAGAACTCGAATCCCCCATTCCTGTTGCAACATATCACATCAGGTGCGAAGCTCGATCTAGGCCCGTACCAGCCATTCAGTGAGACTTGGACTTGTATTGATGCAATATGATGGAAGCCTGTATGATAGAGCGACCCCAACTGGGCGGCTTATGTGTGCGATCAGACCAAAGCATTCGATTGATGAACCAGGCAGTAGAGAAAGCATCCAGAATTTTGATTGGTCTTGATATCCCTTAACGCCGGGCAATGCAATGGTAATGATGATATGTAAAGAAAAGCAATAGAACGACCGTCTCGTTATGTGCATTGCAAGCTTCCCACGCTTGTCCCCTCCCTCTCCCCTCCTTCAAACAGCAGCAACAAATATGACATAGCGACTGGTGGTATTCCCTCCATCCAAGATCGGTATTCCACGAATAAGGAACCAGACAAATGAAACAAGGATGCCATACATCGATGGCGGTGATTTGGAATAGTGGTCGGTTGATCAGTCAGGGTTGGCGATGAAAAGCCTTCCAGAGGTAAGCGTCATCGTCCTTTCGTCGACACTGCCTCTTCTACGCAGCTCGTCGGGATTCTTCACGCTCTTTTCCCTTGTCAGCGCCGAGTGTATCAGACTGTTGCTCGCCAGCCGCGCCGCATCTGTCCCCAAGTCCGGTACGTCGTCGGCACGCTCTCCGCTACTGCCACTCCTGCCGCTTGCAGCATCGCTCGCTCGTTTTTCTCCTAGCGCTCCATCGACGAGACTACTGCTTCGCTCCGGCGTGTTGTCGCCTCCGCTGCCAGTCCATCTCCTGCTATTCTGTGACCCTCCGCCCGTCATTTGTAGGCCACTGCCAGTCGAGCCGCGATAATTTAAACCTCTTCTCCCTTGGATGCTGCCTGCGGTGCTGGACCGGCCGCTGCTCCCCGTCCTACGGTGGTGTAGCCGTTGCGATGCAAGTTCGTCGTCATCGCTCTCTTCGCCCTCCACTTCTGTCGCACTAAGTCGAAGTGGTACGCCGCCGACGCCCACGTAATTGCTGTCTGGCGCATAGCCGACCACTCCAGGCTTGCCGTGATGACGGATCTTGCCTACGACCTTGCCGCCCGCACTGCTGAACCCGGTGGACGTGCGGCCACCGCCGGACGAGCCTGGGGCCACCGTTGCAGAGCCGACTGTCTGGAGAGCCCGGGCCTTGGCCTGCCGCTGTTTCGCCAGCATGTACGGATCCTCGGACTGTGCGCGGTCGCACCAGACTGTGGCTTTCTGTTTTCGCAGGAGGGCAACGTAGCCGACGGGCTGAACAGATCCGTTCGACCGGGAGGAAGTGGAGCGCCGTATATCGGCGCTGGGAGGAGAGTTTCGGTAGGCGGCTGGGGGCGGGCCTCGTTCAGTACCGCCTCCACCACTGGAGACGGTGCTGAAGGTGTTTACGGATGGAGAGCGGCGGTTGTGGCCATATGGCTGTTGTGGCTGGCCCAGGTGCATGGCTGGCGGGTGTTGTTGGGCCTGCATTGGGAAGACGTTGGATGATGTTGTGCGGGTGCGTGAATGGGAGAAGGGCAGTTGGGCATCGGCCGGCAATGGGCGCCGCCTTGGTATTTGTGCATCGAGCATGTTGGGCTGTGGTCGTGCTCCCAGGGTCGCAGGGGTGTTGCCGCGCGATGGAAGGGAGTTAAAATGGGAGGTCCCGCTAGGATAGAGGGACCTTCTGGGCTATGTTTGTCGTATCGCAACCTCGGGCAGGAAATGATGAGCAGAGCAGGCCGAAGGCCCGCTGGAGGGAGTGGAGTCGGCACCCTGAGCGCAATGATGAAGCTGCTGCGCCTGTAGCCTAATTTCTTTGAGTTGAGTCGGCGGCTTGCGGGTCGTTGAGAATGAACTGTGCCCAAAACAGTGCCCCAAAGCTTTGGATGCGTCTCCCGACTTGCGCGTTCACTACCAAAAAGCGTGATCAAGTCAAGGCCGTGCGTGCGGTGACCAAGCAGCTGGCGGTTGTTGTGTCGAGGGACCTCGTCCAACAACTGTCCAGGATACGAAGGGCTCTCAAACAGGGAGATAAATATAGGCTGTCAAGGTGCAGATCGACGAAGAGTGGGCACGTCCAACTCTTATGTGTTGTTTTTTTTAGGCGCGCAAGAATTTGGTGCACAGAGGTGGGTTGCGAAAACGGGCAGGGAGGCAGACAGAGACAGACAGACAGACAGAGCTGAAGAGTGAGAAAGGGCAGAGATCCAGGTTTGTGGTTGCTGCGCAGGAAGATGACGGTCCAACGTTGCAGTCTTGGCAAGCCCGGGACCTTGTGGCACAAAGGCACTGGGCGCTGCAGAGTGTAGTTGCGGTGACGATGACGGTGACGATGACAATGACGGCGAGGGAGAAGTTGGAAGTGGGCAGGATGGGACAATGGATCTGCCCAATATGTGAGGGAGTTATTGGTGTCGTCGACCAGGCCGGGTGTGCTCTCTATGGACAGCAAAGGGCGACGAACCGCGTTCTACCAAAGGGCAGGGAATTCTTGGGGACCGCAGGACAAAAGGTCGATGGAGCCCTGGAGGGCCTGGGGGAGGGACGGGCAAAGCTTTTTGACTGGCCTTGCTGTTGGCAACAGCACCAAGGACGTACGGCGACAGGAACCACAGGAACCGCTTGCCTGCTATGCATGGGACAGTAGCGTCACTCAATCGCAACAAGTGGGCACTCTAGCGTGCGTATTTGTAGCGCACACCCAGCAGTGGCCAGGCAGCCCTGGTCACAGGCAGGGAAGGGCAGGGAACAGCAGGGAACATCAGAGGAGCAGGGGAGGCAATGCCAGGTTGAGGCGGCCAAGGTGGGGTTTGGCTGTCAGTCAGTGCAGTCAATCAATCAATCAATCACTCACTCACCCATTGAAGCTCGGAATCGGTCAGTCGCATTTCGACGAGCTGGGTACAGCATACATGTACCGGTACAGATGCACCAGCTCGCAAACACCTCGTTCAATCTTCAGTCCAGTCACGCCGTGTGGTTGTATCGCAGGGCTTCTCCTCCATCCTCCTTCCCTCTTCCTGCCTCCTGCAGGCCACCCAACTCGATTGCCCTTACAATACCACAGTACTGTGCAGTATTGCCGCAACCAGAGACTCGAAAGGTGCCAACAGTTATTGTGTTGGTTTCCATCCTGTCCACTGTCCGCTGCTCACTGTTGCTGCGTGCGCCGTGATCCTGCATCATCTGCTACTATTTATTTAGCTTTCCTCCAGGTCGGTCTGGAGGTCGCCGACCTGTTTCAAGATGTCTTCCCTCACAAGACATACCCAGGCAATCCAATCCAGGGCACGCCATGCACGCCTGGCACGCAGTACACGTCGATGAGATTTGTTATCGTGGCCCTTGCCCCTTGCAGCTGTTCATTGGGAAAGCCCCAGCAGCCCACCCAGGACCCAAAACGCGCAGGCATGGCGTGGGCATGGGCATGGGCATGGCTGCATGGCAGACATCTGAGCGGAGGCCCAGTAAAAAGTTTCCAAGCTGGAGGGAACCACCGAAGAAATCCCTAGTCTTGCCCCAATCAACGGAGCCGAGCCGGACCTGATGTAATGGCTTCTGTTGTTCCTGCCGCTCTCCAAGGTCCCTCCACTCCAATCCCTTGTCCATCTCGATGGCCCGTTGTCTCGTTGCCAGCGGCTGCACAGGGCCTTGAAGGCTTACCAGCCAGCCAGCCAGGCGCTGCCAGGCCAGCCAGCAGGACAGGTTCCCTGTTCCGGGCCAGATGATCGCGCTATTGAGCTTGCGCTGTTGACGCAATGGACGTCTTCAAACGGGCAACAATCAGCACCAAATCGAGATCCCCCATCTCACGCGCAAGCAAGCGAGCAAGCGGGCAACGCAACCTGCCCATGGCTACGGCTCAAGAGCTCTTGCTTTCTTGCCGATTTCTTCATGTCGCCAGCCGAGCCGCACCGTATCTCTCGTTCCAGTTGCCTGCATGGGGAGGATGGAGACGAGGATAGGAACAGTTCCGAAATCTGCACAAAAGGTTCTTTTTTGTGAAATTCAAAGGCATTACCTCGGCACCGGGTGGGGTGCGTGCATTCCTGTTCGGCCTCAGTCCATCGGTCTCTGAGAGCTCCCATGGGAAAATCAGAATTCCGTCGGCAGGAACCCCACTAGGAGTTCCATCTACTGTGGTATCTCTCCGTTGGCCAAGCTCTTCGGGCGTCGTGATTAGCTCGACTCTAGGAGGTTTCTAGCTGCGTTTAATCAGCCAGCAGCGGTGCTCCATGATTGACGCCTACTGTCGAGGGACGGCTGAAGACACCGTATGGCGACAAAACAACCCACTCATCGAGCACGCCCTAAGATCTGGTAGCACGAGATATGTTGCTAGCCTGTCGGCTTCGCAGCCCTCGGTATATGTGGTCGGTGGCGCGGCTTGCCTCATCCGACCATCTAGCCATCCCGTCGTCCGCTTCCGGAAGCCGGAGCGGTTGCAAAGAATGCCATTGATTCAAGACGTTGTCGTAGCGGCGGTTTCATGGAAGCAGTCAGCCAAGCGAAACAAAGCATAGCATGGTAAATCAGCCGGTGAAGTTTATTATACGTGGTTCAATCTGGCCCTGGTCTGGACCTGGCGTTCTGCACTAAATACTGCTAGATGCCTGTGTCCGAATGCGGGGAGCTCACGATGCTGCGAGCCCATGGGCTGAGAGGTGTTCAGCCCGGCCGTGGGGCTGTAACTCTATACCTTCGTGCATACAGTAGTCACCCGCAAGCAAGATGGGTGGCAGTCATCAAGGAAGACTTCTGTACTACCTGATAGCCACACATGCAGTATAACGCGGCTTACTTGACATCCATAACAGGCATGTCCGACTGGCTTTCCCCGCCGCCAACGCAATCCTACAGTTTGCTGTCACCACCTATTCCCAATAAACAAGCCATCAGGCTGAGGAGGCTGCCGCATGCTATGTGGCAACGTCTCAACCGGGCCAAAGTACAGTTTCTTCATGGCTTGACGAGAGCTCAGAAGCCCGGGTGTCCTCCTTCTGAGCAATCGCGACCTGTCAGATCCTGGCCTGTGCTGATAGCACCACGGACGAACAAACGGTCCAAGGATTCATTCTGGCGACATTCATGCCGCCGACTTGCACTTCAGATCTGAGCTCTTTCAACAGGTATCAGTCATGTCGTCGTCACATCCCAATCACCCCGCACCAGCCGGGGACGGCCCGAGTGGGCAAAACAGGTTCTTTGCGCAGCTTCCTATCTACGCATGCAATATCGGAGCTGATATCATCGACCTTGCAATACCTGTTATGTGAGACTCGCCGTACCTGAAGCATGCTAAGTTCTATCTTGTCCGGTCTGGCAGGCCCAAAGGCGGAGTGGCTGCCCATAGTAAGTTCGCGTGGTCAGGCCACAATCTCAGCACCTAGTTGACAGAAAATGTGGATATGGCACATTGGACAGACAGCATCGATTGATGGTAACCATGTCCAACACATGCAGCAGGCGGGCCGCTCAGCTTACACGGTTCATCTTGTCTACTCCCTTTCGGGAAGCTTTGTGGGCAGGCGAAACAGCAAGCTGCAGCCCCTCGCAGCAGTGTACCCCGACTCTGGTTGTTTGGCTGGGAGAGGGTCAGGACGGAGAGGGTATCGTCCCATGCAGCGCAACCACAGGATGCAGACTGCACCTCTTCTTTAGCACGCGCCCGCCCGGGGTCCCTGTCCATCCGTGCAGCAGGATCGCATGCAGGTCAGCCCGCGCATCTCCGGAGAAAAACCCGGCCACTTGAGATTCCCATCTTTTTTTCTCTCGCTGTTGGCCCGTGGGACACACCAAAAAAGTCGCAGACCCGGTATCTGAAGTACTGGTACTTGCCCGCAGTCCTCCCGTCCTCCACGTGAGGTTGAGAAACCCACGATTGGATGGAGACGATGTGATCAAGCCATCCATGGCTTTGGCCCACAAATGGTTGGGGGGGCACCCACCGGGGTGTGACGCACCTGAATGGACCTTATCGAAATTGAGTTTCGACAGCCTTCCCACGAGTTCTCAATATAGCCTCAAAAAAAAGTGATCGACAACATGCCTGAGTCGTTGGCGGTATATTGCCTTGTGTCACAAATGAGCTGCCCAGGCTAACCGGGGCCTTGGGTTGCTCATCTCTCGGGCATCCGCTTCTATCTACCTGAAGATAACATCCTGATGGTTATTTCGGTGTTGGGGGAAATGGGAGAGCACTATTGACGCTTCCTCTTGGCTTTTGTGTGACGTGAGCCGCAATCGATTACACCCATGTGCACTGAGTCGGTATCTTCGGTAGCACGGCCGCCTCGGAGCCTCCCGGAACAGGTCATCGGGACCGGTTGCTACCATAGACGCGGTGGGGCCTGAATAAGCTCAGCGTCGTGCAGAAGCTGCGGTATCAAACCGTCAGTACGGCGGAGCAAATGGCCCGGGGAGATAAGCATTCGACGGTGAGCAACGCTGCTTTGGGTCAAGAGAACAGGTTTTACAGCCCCATGGATGGATGAATTTTCTCTGTGCGAGAAAGTGGAGGAGAGACCGTCCCCATCTGGGAATTGTGAGGCTATCGCGAGGTTGGCAGGTTTCGACCGGACCTCGCTAGGGCGGTGAGGTTCCATAGGATCGGGTCTGGCGCCTGCCAAGCCACGCGCGCAGACCCTCAACAATCTTAGACATGGCAGCATCGGACTGTAAACATCGGCTCATTTTCTCGCATTCGAAACTCGAAGGTGACATTGAGACTCAGCAATCACTCAGACAGCACACAATATTGGAATAGCTTCGCTGTGGACACTGTCGATAGTGCCCATATGACCCGATCCGTCGAGCAAGCGAGCATAATGCCCATGTCACAAAAAATCGCGCTTCGTGAGCATTCCAAGTTTCTTTTAGGTTCTTTGGGCCTGCCTGGTTCTTCGGCATGGATCTCGGCCGAGTCTAGATCTTGCAGTGCAGGTTGCAGGCGCGCGCGGGCAAGCTCCTTTTCAAGCTCTGTCGCGATATGCGACGAATAGAAGAACCTGGACACAGGAATGGCCCCGGGGTAGGCACAGAATCCAAGGCAATAACGGTGGGCCCCTGTTCGTTAGGAACATGGGATAGGAACGCTTCGTGTCTCTTGCCGACGTCAAGTCCACGTGCAGTCGAGAGAGCATCGTCAACGAGATGAAAAGTCCTTCCCGATGCTGCCAGCTGCCGGCCCAAGTCAAACCCCTGGCGCCGGCTACACCGGACACTTTGAACGTCAGTCATATGGGCCGGCTCAACATCTGGTGAAGCTGCACCTCCGATCGTACCATTTGTATGTCAGATCTGCGGCTTTGAGCTTTGTGGCAGACGCGGCTGTGTGTCATCAAGCAACGTTGCTGGAACACTCGCAGTCAGCATGGTAAACTCAATGGATTCTGACTGCAGCTACTGTGACCTTGACAGTTGCAACGCTGTCGATGCCTGTGCGAAAGCGCCCTGGCGCCTTCGATGGCACCGTTCCAAAGGTCTCACGAAGGCCTCGAACACCCAGCCGAGCCAGCCAATGGACTTATACCAAGGCTAGTGACTAGATTGAGGAGCTACCTAGGAGGACACTAACTGCCGAGACATGGGGGCTGGGAGTACTGGCTAAGCGAAGGAGGCTCTGGTTTAATGAGTCTGCCAAGGGAAGGTGAACAGCTGTAGAAATAGCTGCAGCAGCGACGGCATTCAAAACACACTTCGACCAGATGATAGTCGTGTGAAGTTTTTGAGCCTCACGGCCGATCTTGGTTGAATGTGCCGACATCTGGTGCCGATCTTTGCAGCATTTGGAAGCTGTCGAGCTTGACCGCGATGGGCCAAAGGCGAGCAGGGGCGGGGGGTTGCGCGGGTGTGGAGAAGGCGTGCTGGCAAAGACGGCTCTAATTGGCCTCCCTGGATTAGTACCAATTTTATGGGTTTGCCGCCGATTACAGTTACACAGTACACGGGAGTAGACTAGACCAGCCGACGACAGTACCTGCGATTGTTGCGAGGAGAACGGGTTGTGTTGATAGTCTAGCGTGTTTTTACGTTTAGCATTGGATCGTCTTGTTTCAACGACACCACACCACATACCCGAGAGAGTGAGGGCTGTCACTTGGTGTCCACGTCAACACGCCCTGCTGTTTCTCTGTGTGCGTGCCACCAGTTGCAACCATGCTGCTGGACCTCTGGCCTCTCTTCCTGACGTCACCATGAAATTTGCAAAGGAGCTGGAGAGAGACTTGGTGCCAGGTGAGTCGAGTCGCCCTGCCTGTGTTGTACACTGTGCAACCCTTTGAAGATCGTCGAGAACATGGCCTGACTGTCAATTCAGAGTGGCGCATCAAGTACCTCAACTACAAGGCCGGGAAGAAGCACATCAAGGCCGTTGCCAGAGCCATCAACCGTGCCAATGGCAACTCATCGACCAGACTCAATGGGAGGACTGAACAGCCGCACTCTGGGGCTGCTTCGTTCAGGACTGCCAATTCTGCCAACCCCCAGCAGGATCGCGACCAAGCCCCCGCCGACGATGGCGTCGACCCCTTGCGGACAAGCCCGGCGCCAATGGGCCAGAGTCCGTCACGCTCGATCCCCATCAAGCGGCCTGCACCAGTCGCCGGTGAACGCCAGGGACTCATGCAGGGAGCGGAGTCGGACGTGCAGTATGGCAGCTTTGTCCCAACTCCTCCGGACCACGGGCCTGCTCCCATCAGCGAGTCTGGCCAGCCCAGTCATCTGTTCGAGCTTCCAGCTCCTGCCATCAAGGTGCCTTCCAATGTAAGTGATGGCCAGGGGCAACGGCCTCCAGTAACGCCTCGGGCAGACTCTGGCGCCTCAATTCACCGCCTCGCTCTCAACCGCACTGCCTCGAGGACAGGGTCGCAGTCGGGGACTGTAGTTTCTCGCGCTCCCGCACCTGGCCGTTTTCCTTCGGCCGCGGGGGCTACGTTCCCAAATCTCACCCCAAGCGATATACAGAGCCCTCGCGCCAGACTGAAGAGGATGTTTTCCTTGGCCGGTCCATCGCTGGAGCGTTACCGCTCGCGAGGCGAGTACGACATGCACGCCTTTGACGAGGTCCGCGAGAAGGAGAAGGACTTCTACGATTTCCTTGACAGCGAGCTTCAAAAGGTCGAGAACTTCTACCGGCAAAAGGAGGACCACGCAGGCAAGCGGCTGACGCTGCTCCGCGAGCAGCTGCATGAGATGCGCAACCGGAGGATTTCCGAGATCGCTGAGGCTAGGCGCCGTAAGCGTGACGGAGAGTCAAACGGTCACGATGTGAAGGAGGGTCTCAAGAACAACGGGCCAGGCCATCTGCCCATGCTTGATCCCCTCAAGGCCAAGCTCTTCAAGCCCGGCCCAAACTCCAAGGCCCTTCAGAGGATGCCCCAGACTCCAAGACACAACGGGACGAACCCAGATGAGAGGCGCGACTATGTCCGTCGGCCTGATGAGCATGAGGTGCCATATCGTACGGCGAAGAGGAAGCTCAAGCTCGCACTTCAGGAGTTCTACCGTGGTTTGGAGCTCCTGAAGTCTTACGCTCTCCTGAACAGGACTGCGTTCAGAAAGCTCAACAAGAAATACGACAAGGCGACCCACGCACGGCCGCCTTACCGCTATATGAACGAAAAGGTCAACAAAAGCTGGTTCGTCAACAGTGATGTCCTAGACGGCCATCTCCAGGCAGTCGAGGATCTGTACGCCAGATACTTCGAGCGCGGAAACCATAAGCTTGCAGCAGGAAAACTCCGTAACCTGAGCAAGAAGAAGCGCGACGAATCCGGCAGTGCCTTCCGAAACGGTCTGCTCATCGGCGTGGGCGCGGTGTTTGCTATTCAGGGGCTCGTGCAAGGAGCGCAACTTCTCTTTGACGATGACCCCACTGTGAGGACGCAGACGAGTTATCTGATGCAGATCTACGGCGGCTTCTTTCTGATGCTGTATCTGTTCAGCATGTTCTGTCTGAATTGCAAGCTTTGGACCGCTAATCGAGTCAACTACCCCTTCATATTCGAATTCGACCCCCGAAATCAACTGGATTGGAGACAGCTTTCGGAATTCCCGAGCTTCTTCGTCTTCTTGTTCGGATTGTTCATTTGGTTGAACTTCACGAGATATGGGTCCCCCGCTATGTATCTCTACTACCCTGTGTTGCTTGTATTCATCACGGTGGTGATTTTGTTCATGCCTGCCCCAATTTTCTGGCACAAAAGCCGTAAATGGTTTCTATATTCTCATGTAGGATGACTTCTAGGTCCCTTTGCTCGCCGCATCACCTGGCACGGATGCTAATCGATTTCAGTGGCGTCTTTTCTTCGCTGGCCTATACCCCGTCGAGTTTCGAGACTTCTTTCTGGGAGACATGTACTGCTCCTTGACCTACGCCATGTGTGTAAGTACTGCTCCTGTTCCCTAACCAAAACTACTGTGTGTCTGATCAACATCCAGAACATTGAGCTTTTCTTCTGCCTATACGCCCATTATTGGGACAATCCACAGCAGTGCAATTCGAATCACTCGCGGTTATTGGGATTCTTTGCCTGCTTGCCTCCCATGTACGTACTTCCCATAACATCTGTTCTTGAACAAACTCGCTTCAAAAACCTGATGGGAAAATTGCAAGCTGAGGCGATACGTTGTACTTGTCCATCGCATGATCTCTGCTCATTTACGCAATGTATCATTCTGGGCTTGGACTAATGCCTAATCTATGAATAGTTGGCGATTTCTTCAGTGTATCCGTCGTTACAGAGATACCCGTAACATTTTCCCCCACCTTGTCAACGGTGGCAAGTACACAGCATCTATACTTGCCGGCGTGTTCTTAAGTATTTACCGTATAAACAACACGAGCAAGAACTTAGGCCTCTTTATCGCCTTTTCGACCATCAATGGATTTTATACCGGTACGTTTCGTCTTTCTCTGTGGAAATGCAAGCTAGCCATACCCCCCGGGTGGCTTACACTACTATCAGCCTGCACACAACATGCTGACATGCGCTCTGCAGCATTCTGGGACATCTTCATGGATTTCAGTCTTGTTCAGCCACACGCGCGTCATCGTTTCCTGCGGGATATTACAGCTCTCAAGTCTCGTTGGCCCTATTACCTGATCATGATCCTCGATCCCATACTACGTTTCAACTGGATCTTCTACGCCATCTTCACTCACGACACGCAACACTCCAGCATTGCCTCCTTCCTCATCGGCTTCGCAGAAGTTACCCGGAGAGGCATGTGGACCCTGCTTCGAGTAGAGAACGAGCACTGTTCGAATGTCGCACAATACAAGGCCTCGAGGGACGTCCCTCTACCGTACCACCTCGACACCGGCATCAACGCGCTCACGAGCGCCAGAGTTAGCTCGGACTCGACCGCCGGGAAGCAGCCGGAGGACGACCTCGCCCTCGACCCCTCCGCAGCCACCTGGGCCGGCGGCAACGAGAACCGCCCGCCAAGCGGCAAGTCCACAGGGGTCGACGTCTCGGGCTCCGCCTCCGCAAGGCCCGGGCTGTCCAGCGCCGCGACGGCGGACGTGGTCGAGGAGGGCCGGACGCCTGGCGAGGACTCCCTGCGGATGCGGAAGCGCCAGCGCGCGGATACCATCGGGAAGCGGAGCATAGTGCGCATGCTCGCGGACGCGCACAAGCAGGATTTCGAGAAGAAGAGGAAGCCCGCGTCGACCAAGGGCGGCGGTGGCAGCGGGGCTGGGCAGCTCGATGGGGCGGTTGGGGCAGATGAGGACGATGATGAGGATGACGACGACGATGACGATCTAGGCGCGATTGATGATGGGACTGATGATGAAGATGAAACGGGTTCCATGCTTGATGAGAGGATGGAGGTTCGGGAGGCCGAGATAATGCTTGGAAAGGGAAGGGATGGCTCAGAAATATAGCCTAGCGGAAACGCTCGAATCAATAGGCCCTTGCCGACCTACAGTAGAAAAGTTGTGCCGAATAATAACAGAGGTCTCGAGATAGTCTCAGTTGCTCGTTGTTGAGTCGTTGAGCATGTGATGTGGAATAGGCCTCGCCATACTGTCCTTTTTGATGTTCAGTGTGAGAATCTATTCATTGTCTAGTGCAGGTACGGCTTCTCATTCAATGCGTTTCCGCGCAAGCACGAGGGCCTTACTGCGATTTAAGGATCTCTAGAGGCACTGACAATCTCGACAATGCACACAAATTCCTCTCGTCCATTTGGCAAATGACTATCTGAGTCTGTCTGATCACAAGCAAATGACCGTAACAGGTCTGTCTGTCCCAAGGGTTAAACAACAGGTGGCGGATGCTAATGATCCGATCGTGACATGGAAAAGGGCTAGACCTTCTCGCCAGCAAAAACTGGCTTCAATTGTGCAAATCGCGAGGCACAAGGGAAACATTTTGCCTTTTTCCACGCTTTCCTCATAACGCCAAACCAATCTCACTCCACCATGATGTGGTTTGCCTCATAGCAGGGTCGTAAGGGGGGTATCCGGTCTTTCTTTGACAAACGCCTCTCATGAGATGTATAACAATGTACGGCATCTAAAAATAGCAAATCTCGCGTGAGAGGAGGGCCACTCGTGTCTCGAATCATCTAGGTTCATTCAGCTGTCGTGCTGACGCCAACGTTGTCTCGTGCTTGGCGAGATGAATGATCGTGGCTCCATACAAGGTGGACGGAACTGAATTCCTCAGTTTCCACGGAACAGGAATTGCAGATCTTCGGGTGTCAATGACTCCATGGCTGTGTCGTCATTGTTGATGGTGGAGTGAATCATGCTGGCCTTCTTTTGCTGAAGCAAGACTGGACAATTTGTCAATGACCCATGACTATACTTACGCAGGTAATCAGAGACAATACGTACCCATGCGGCTCTCGACAGAGTCTTCAATGCAAAGACGAGTGATTGTACAAGGGCGCGTTTGGCCAATACGATGACATCGATCAGCAGACTGCCATTCTGCAGCGGGGTTCCACCATCTACGCAGAATGAGTTAGAATTGTAAGAGTGGTAAGAGGAGGGCGGAAGAACTCACGGATCAACGATGAAAACTCGAGATGCCTCAGTCAAGTTCAAGGCAACACCACCGGCCTTGAGCGATACAAGGAAACACTCCACCTCAGTGTTCTTCATGAAGTGGTCAATGGAAGCTGCACGTTGAGCTGGAGTCATGCTACCGTCCAGCATAACAGTGGTGATTCCTGCACGACGCAGCCGCCACTCGATGAGCTGGAGCATGGTAGTGAACTGGCTGAAGATGATGGACTTGTGTGAAGCTTTGTCTGACCGGAGCTGGTGCAGCTCATGGACAAGCAGCTCGATCTTGGATGATGACGTCCAGTTCTCCATCTTAATTCGGTTGATAATCGAAGATTTCTTGACAAACGCCTCATCCTGCTCGATCTCAGGCTGCTCCAGGTCGATGGAGAGTGGAATGTGACATTGAGGGCAGTCAGGCTGGTCTTGCGAGCTTAGATAGCTCTTTGCACAAGAGCGGCAGAAGTCATGCTTGCACCTAGATCGGATGGCTTCTTCCGCAGGCTCATCGCAAATACAGCAGACTAGAACATTCTGTCCGCCCTCGGCGTTCTTCTTCAGGATCAGATCAGGGTGGTCAGCGACCTGTCTCATCTGCATGATGAGACCAAAGATGTTCGCATAGTTGTTGAGTAGAACACCATGAGCGACGTAGGTGTCGAACTCGCGCTGGCCGTTGGTCATGATGCTGTTGGCGAAGTCATTTTCTGCCTCACCGAAAAATTGGCGATCGACGTAGATCTCTTTCACTGGCAGCTCCATCGAGTTGGTGTGATCCTTCTTGAGGCGCCGCAGCATGATACGGTCCGTCATCAGTCGAAGCTTTCGGAAAGCTTCGGCTCCAGGGCCCATATTGCCGTATCGTTGAATCGGGTTGAGAAGTTCCTGGTTGAAGACAGAAACGTGCTGCATGCCATTATGATTGCACTGAGTGCAGCGGTGATCTTCGTCCATGGTCCACTCAAGCGACTCGCATGTGCAGTTCTTGCAGAAATACGACGCGAAAGGGCGGATGTTGAGGAAGCGAATCAAGGAGAAGAATTCACCAATTCGGTTCTGCAACGGGGTCCCTGTGAGACACCAACGATAGTCCACCTTCAGGGCGAAACAAGCCTTCGCTGTCATGGTTGTCCGCGTCTTGATGCAATGAGCCTCATCGAGAAGGACACGGTGGAACTGAATGGCATGAATAAGACTCTTCTCCTTGTGTAGGCCGTTCTTCCTCTTGAAACCCTTCTCCTGCTTGCGATACATCGACTCGAGGCTGTTGTAGGACATTATGATGACGTCGAACTTCTTAAGTTCCTTGATCGTCTTTCCCTTGACCTGGGAATTGGTGCCATGATAGACCAGCGTCTTCAAGGTACCGTCTGTGTAGGACTCGATTTCGGAAACCCACTGCATCAGAGCGACGGGCGGAACCAAGACGAGAGAAGGCTGCTTGGCAGGGTAGTCAGACATGATGAGCGACACGGCCTGTATAGTCTTTCCCAAGCCCATCTCGTCACCGAGGAGGCCTCCCTTCCACTCGGTCTGTTCCATAGCCTTCATCCAGGCGAGACCCTCCAGCTGGAAAGGCTTGAGAAGTCGAGATATGGACTTTGGCTGTTCGGCCCGGCCGGCTTTGAGAACTGGCATGTTCTCGAGGTGATCCCACATTGTCTTCAAGGCAGGGTGGTGCTCTTCAAGTTGCAGCCTGCCCGTTCTAATTCTCTTGCGATTGGCGTAGGCGCCGAACCCGCGACGGCGGCGCGCAAGGGCCTGAATTCCAGTCGGATCAGCCGAGGGGTCAGCATCGTCGCTATCGTCTTCTGACTCCATGTCGAACGCCTCAGAATCCATGTCGCTCAAAACGGAACCGTCGCTACTAGCTTCGTCGATTCCTGGAATCATCGAGAGCGCATTTTCAGCTGCTGCGCTGGACCTACTTGCAACCTTCCGGCCATTGGGTCGCTTGCTTACTGCGAGATATCAGTAAACGATCTTTGAGGGTGATGCGTTTGGTCTGGAGGGTAAAAGGTATGCATTGTTCGGGAAGAGCGGCTATACACTCATGCGACCGGAAGAGTGAGGCATGAGGAAAAGCATGGAAACAATGAAGTGACAGACCAAGATGGAGTGAGCATGAAGAGGGAGTTGATTCTGAACCTACAGGGCATGTCTTCATCCGAATCCGACGGAGAACCAGGATTGGTATGAACGGACTTCTTTCCCTTTGCAGATGCTTGCTTTCCGCGACCTCTAACGGCGGTCTTCTGCTTCTTCGCCGGGGGTGCCAGATCGGCGAAGTCAGAGTCGTTGTCATCATCATCATCATCAATTACCGAATCCGAATCCTGAACCACACGTTTCTTGGCTGCGGCCCGAGAACCTGGAGCCCGCCGAGTAGCCACTGCTTTGCCTTTGCCCTTAGGGTCGGCGACGGCATAGTCCTCACTATCAGAACCAATCATGGATTGCTCCTGGGGTCCATGATCAGAAAGTAGGCCTTCAACCTCGCGGTTGAGCTCATCTTGGAGTGATCGAGCAACCTGCTCGTCAATACGTATGCGCCTGGCGTTCGGAGAATCATCAAAGAAGTCAGCATCCTCGCTGTCGGGGACAGCAGCGAGGCGATTTCTTCGCGAGCTTCTGGCGGAAGTGTCCATTAAGCTCTCGCCGGCCTTCGAATTGAACTTGGTGGCGGATCCACGGCTCTTGACCGCAGAGATGACTACCTCAAGTTTGCTGGAGCGAGTCGACCGAGTGGAGGCGGACTTTCCCTTGTCGACTGAAGCGGCCTTTTCGACCGGAGCGGGTGTGGTGACATTGCTGGTCAAGGGTGTCGAGTAGCCCGAAACGGAGTCGGCAGACGAATAAGTAGAAGTTGCGATAGAAGAGAGTGACTCCCTGGTATTAGCCGCAGCAGCAGCAGCAGCCAAAGATGCCTTGCTAGGACGACCGCGGCCGCGCTTTACGGGCAGTGAGTTGCTTGCTGAAGGTTCAGATGCAGGTGCGGATGACTTGGTCTGAGCAGCCTGGGAGTTCTCGCCTGGGATTCGACGTTAGGTCGGGTCTGTCACCCTCCACCTGTAGACTGAGGACTGAACCTACCGGTCTCACCGGGCGCGCCGGCGAGCGACCGTCTCGTTCGTGCCATGATGGGCACTGGTGATGATTGATGAAGGTGGCCTACCTCACCGACACCTCAATTGCACACGTTCGATACAGTTGGGTGAGACGTGCAGATGGTTGCGAAGGCGACGCGGGGTGGTTGTCAAGTATGGGGTACCTAGGTACTTATACAAATGGAGGTCTCAGCTGCAAAGCGTACTGGTTCCACAGTGCCCAACCCACCTTGGTGTGGAGTAGATGAAGAGGGAGAGAGAGAGTGATGGTGGGCTGAGGGGAGGAGAGGGTGAAGCAGTGTTGTTGGCGGAAAGAAGGTTCAAGATTCCAAAGGTCGCAGGCGTGATAAAGAAAAGGCCGAAGTTAGCTCCCTTTGCCACTGCTTCAATTGAATCGCCAAACCCAGGCGCGTAGTCAGCTGAATTGGGAGGGACTGGAAGGGCGCCATCAGGCACAGAGTAATAGATCGAGTTAAATTGGGGAACTCTGCAGGGATCTGGGCAGGGGCCTTGCAGGGGTTCGAAGTGGTTTTCATGGGTCTAAAGTGGTTTGCACGCTGGGAAAGAGCACGGGACAACGCGTTTGAAGCTGCCCCTCCACGTTGTTGCCTAGCGCGTAAAGTGAATCTGGAACCCCCCGACGCCCTTTGGCTGCTTCCGATTCAAACCTTCCTTGTTAGTTAAGCTCATTCACGTTTGCCACCCTACGAGTCTCGGCTTTGTGTGATTTTCAGCAACTTCTCCCCGGTAGTGAGAGAAAAAAAAAGTCTCTCCTCATTCAGGGTCACTGTCATAATCAGCATCACCTCTCATGCTCTCCCATTCGCTGTTCCCCAACCTGGTGGGATAGACTGCAGTAGCCCTTCCACCCTCTATCCACTCCCTCAGTCAACCCCGTCATCCCTTCCCACCTGCGTGGTCTGGCAGTCACATTCTGCCTTTGCAAGCCAAAATGTTCGCATCCCGTTTTGACCCTGACATCTTACGATCAATAGCTAACTATGATACCTCAGGAGCACACCTAATCAGAATCAGAATGGTGGCCAGGATGCCCGTCAATCCACCCGACGGTCGATTAGAGGTACTTACCGCTTGCCCCACTGCCTATGCATCGCACAGATTAACACTGTCACTCAGGTCCCCAGTCGGCTTTGACGGACTTTCTGGCATCCCACAACATTTCGGCAAACCAGATCCGTCTTGACCACCAGCGCAGACTGCAGCAGGCCCAGGCCGATGATGATCAAGCTGCCTCTGGCCCTTCAAATACAGCACCAAACGGCGCTGATGGTGCCGACGACGGTGCCGACGATGGCCCCGATGTCGCGGAAGAGGATGCCAAGAAACCTGGAAAGCGCAGGCAGGAGACGCAGAAGGCCATCGAGAAGATAAAGGCTTCCAAGCGCTTCCAGAAGCGCAAGAAGCGGCTTCAGGGCTCTGACGACGAGAACGACCTGATCAATGAATTGTTGAAGGCCAGCGGCCCCGCCCCGGGCCAGATGGAGAATTGTGAGATTTGCAGCGTACGCTTCACTGTCACGCCCTACTCCCGCGCCGGTCCGGACGGCGGCTTGCTGTGCAACCCCTGCGGCAAGGACATCCAGAAGGAGGAGGGCCCGGTCAAGAAAAAGAAGAAGGTTGTCGCATCCGGCGGTGCTGTTGGCCGGCGCCGTAAGACCCAGAGCAACCTCCTCGACGGTACCTACTCGCTAGGTGCCAAGAGTCTCATGAGTCTTTGCATCGAGACTCTCGCCAAGAACATCGAGCTTGCCGATGACCTCGGTGAGATGCCCCCTCGGATCATCGACAAGATTGCCCGCATGCTCTCTAAGAAGCGCCTGGTGGACCCGAACACCCTCAATCTCTTCCTCCAGCCAACGGCCCAGGACATCTCCATCTATGATGGCGCTAAGTTGAGTACCGATGACTACATGCGGGTTTTCCAGATGGTTCCGACGGTGAAGAACCTCAAGATCCGGAATGCTATTCAGTTCAAGGATGAGGTCATGGAGTACCTCCTCTCGCGAGATAAAGTCGAGCTTGAGGGACTGTACATGCACGGTGCAAATCTCATCAGCGCGGAGATGTGGAAGAAGTATTTGACCACCAAAGGCAAGACTCTGCAAAGGTTTCAGATCTACTACACGGACAAGCACTTTGATGATGAGTGTATCACTGCGCTGAGGACAGCAGCCCCGGAACTCAAGCGTCTCAAGGTCTCCAACAACCAGAAGGTCAGTGGTGACGGCATTCGTGAGCTCGTCCATCTGAAGAAGCTCCAGCACTTGGGCATCCACGTCCACAATCATGTGCACTCGGATATCTATGTCGAAGTTCTGCGCAGTATTGGTTCAGAGCTGAGGACGCTCTCCCTCCGCCGGACACCTGAATTAGACAATACCGTTCTCGACGCCATTCACAACAACTGCCGCCATCTTTCCAAGCTGCGCATTACAGACAGCGAGGTGATGACTGACGCGGGTTTCGCGCGCCTCTTCACTGACTGGCGCAATCCCGGCCTCACATTCCTGGATTTGCAGAAGTGTCGCCATGTTGACTCCCAGAAGCCACGCGAGAATCCTGACGACATTGGACTATGCTCTGAGGGGTTCAAGGCTCTGATGGCCCATTCTGGCAAGTCACTGCAAAAACTCAACCTCCATGCCTGCCGTCACATCTCAAAGCAGGCGTTCGATGAGGTGTTCAGTCCCAAAAACACTTATTCGGAGCTCAAGTCTCTCGAACTCAGCTTCTGTGAGGATGTCAATGACTATGTGGTGGGAAGCGTTTTCCGCAGTTGCCCGAACCTCAGGGAGTTGAATGTCTTCGGATGCATGAGGGTCAAGAACGCAAGGGTGCCAAGGGGCAAGATCCTGGTGGGCGTGCCCAACGCTCTTGGAATGGTGATTGAGGGTCAGGACTGAGCCGTCCTCGGTCTGTGTGTCATTTTATTTACCGGCCACACTCGTGGTTTCGCTGATGGATGGTGGGGCTGCAAGAACCGGTGGACTGTAAGCCACTGTTCATGTGGTAATGTTTGGGCTCCGTGGTGCCCTAGATACCCTTTTTACGACTTCTCACGTTGACAATGTAGTCAACGAACATGTAATGCAAGGAGCAAAATTTATAAAGAATAGCAACTGTCTATCTGAAAGTGTCTCATTCCTGTGAGCCCTTGAGCTGGTGACCTCGGGATAGCTTGACCTGTACTGCAAAGGTGAGGTGGTTGTGAGTCTCTTCGTTTCTTTAACGAGCTTTGCAAATGCAACGAAAGCAAGCAGGAGAAACAAGACAAGCAGAGGGGTGCCAACCGCTTTTACATACCAGGTTTTCCCATGGTGATTGTGACCATAAACCATAGGAGTCTTGCAGCCACTGCATCTCCCATCAGCCCCTAAACCTGTACGGCATGGGAGCAGGCACCTCTTCGTCGACCGGAGAAGCAGACCGGCTTGCCCAACGTCCGCCAAAATCGGGACTCGCAACACGTTCAGGGGAGTGATGACGCCGTGGGCCACCGAAGTCCGTGTCAACCTCGCTGGCCGGCTCCTCCGCACTGATCGATTCCTCTTCCTCGCTGACCGGTTCCTCTTCGCTGGTCGCCTCCGCGCCTCGTGCTCCATCAATGATCACATCTATAGGCTAGATTAGTACTTCTCCCAATGAAACACGGTCGGAACCATGGGCATAGGTCTTACCAACGAGTTTCATGCCCACAAAGCGCTTGCAGGAGACGGAGCCCTTGCCCAGGACTTCTATCTGCTTCTCAAGCTGTTCACGACGACGCAGTTTCTCGTCCGATTCACCCGCGATGCGGCCCACGACGTCCGGGGACATTGACCAGACTGTCATTGGCGAGAAGATGTCCGGAAGGACTTGGACGAGCTTGGCCTCGACCAGCTCGATCGCCACATCGTCCATGAAGCGCTTCAGAGCGACCTGGTTTCTGGTTAGTCCAGCCCACAATCATCAGATACCTGCACATATCTCACCTTGTAGTAGGCCTCCATACAATCTAGTGCCTCGGAGGCTGCGAAGCGGTCCATGTCTGGCTCACTGCGACTGGCGAGGGCTTCCATCAATCCACGTAAGTTGTAGCTGCCACGCAAATTGCAACTACTCGTGTCCAGTTCATCCTCATCCTTGTCCAGCCATTGGGCCAGGGCTTTGCGGACGTCAGCCATGCGGCGCTCATCGCGAACCTTCTGGAGCGTCTCGGTAAAGTAATGATTGTACGTTATGGGATGGCCGTTCTTGTGAGGCTGCAGGAGCTCGTCAGCCTTGGACTGCAAAATTTTCATGATACTCTCGAGAGCAGGATCCACAATCTCCCTGATGAGAAAGCTGCTGGTGGTGTCATCGGCTATGTGCGTGCAAACGATGCTGAGGAGCTCCCTGGCCGCAGCTGCGACCGTCTCGACATGATCTCGCAGGATAGCTTCCCATGGGCGGCACTGCTCCCGGAACAGATCCTCAACTATCATGGGACTAAAAGTACCCGGCAATTCGCGGCCCCGTGTTCGAAACATCAAGTTCTGAATATGCGTGATGAATGCATCTCGGGTAATCTGCACGCTTCCTCTCAGATCTTCATCTTCGCTGCCTTCGGTCTGCAGCTCTACGATCTGGCGGTAATGGCCACGAGCTGAAAGATCTCTGGCAAATTGTTGATTTGAGTTCTGAATCACAGCACGGGCTCGTTGGCAGTAACCTCGGTCAGACTGAGCATCTTCAAAGAAGGGGTTGTTGTAAGTGCCGTCGATTGCAGCCTTGGTCAATGCTTGGAACATCAGGCTGACTTTGACAAGGTAAAGCTGCTGCTCTTCTTTGGTCGCCCGGCGCTGGCCCATATTCTCGAGCCTCTCATGGCAGACCCTCAGCTTCGACCCGATTTCTTGGACGAGACTTGGTAGCTCTGAGGCAATTTGCCTCATCAGGACATTGCTGAGCCGGGTTCTGAGCTCGGAGATTCCAAGCAAGTGAGCAGGGAGGTACTGCCAGGTGCCTACTGAAAAGAACTCCTCTTCCTCGCGGTCGCGTCTCGCCGAGCTGAATGAACCCTTCTCAGAGTCTAGGTTTTTCAAGACATGCCATCCGAGGCGGAACTCAACCTCTTCATTCTGGGCTAGAGAAGCGAAGAACTTTTCATTTCCGGAGCCACTGATGAGGCAGTCAGGCTTAGTGATAATACCTACAAGTACGAAAGGGTCAGCTGGGCACGAGCCGTCGACGAACCCAAGGCGTCAGAGCCAAGGCGTCCACTTTCAACGACGAGTAAACAGGAGTAAGGGAGAAAGGGGGGGGAGGAGTTATGAAAAAGAAGGCAATTCTTAAGAGTAACCAAGTCTGAGGCACTCTCTGGTAGGATGATTTCCGGTAAGGGATAAACTCCTGTGGGACAACCTCCTGTTGGACACGTTCCTGTTGGATAACCTTCTAGACAAGGATATGACTGAGCCAAATGGGACTCCGCAATGGCATGTTGCGATTTTGAGAGTGTCGCGGTTTTGTCCCAGTAGTGTATGTGATATCGAGATGACTGGTGTGCCACTTTGGATGACCAGCGATTTGATACTCTATGAATATGAGGCAGAACAAATAGTCCACTTACCCATGGTCCTCTGCCCAGCGGGATCAGCCTCCTTCGCCATCTTCAAGACGATTTGGTTCGCCAGATCATTCTTAGCTGAGATGACTGCCAGAATTACACTTCTCGGCTCTCGCACTGAACAACCATCATCAGTCTCACTTATGGTTCATAGGCTGGACTCTACTTACTATACTCCCTCACTACATCCTTGATCAGAACAACGTCATCATCAGTCTGATTTTTCGTGGCCGAATGAATCAAGCCAGGCAGATCGACAATGGTCAGGTGCGGGTGTTGCGGCCCGGTGATTTCAATCCTCAGCAAATCCCTTGAGAATGTCTTCCCACGTGTGTGGATGCCCATAGCAAGCTTGGCAGCCTCGATCATTTCGCCCAACCCATCGAAGCCTTCCAGCTCCTCTCGGAACTTGCAGAGTGAGAGCCTCTCTGCCTCGGTCCGCGATGCATGTGGCACGATAGACACTTTTGAGCTGTCCTGAGGCGTTCGACGGAGTATGAGCTCGGTAGGGAACCGTGTGCAAGTGTTGCTCTGTACAGGAAAGGACACGCCAGAGATGGCCTCAAGGACGGAAGACTTCCCGGCCGACTGGTCACCGCAGACAATGATTTGAGGGAGGGAGACATAGTTGTTGATCCCCTCGGAACGGAGCTGGTCGATTGAGTCCAGTAAATCGAGCTGATCTTTGGAGCAGAGTTGGCTCAGAGCCTCAGTTTGCAGTTGAGTGACTACCATTTTGAGATGAGGTGCCTTTTCTGATGATACCAGGCGGTTGTATAAGAGAGGTAACGACAAGGCTGCGCAGGAAACGATAGTAAGCGGTATGGTGGTAAGAAAGGAAATGCCGTCTGGATAGCGTCTCCCGGGCTTAAATAATATTTAGGTTCTTCCAAGATTTCCACGATCATTGGACGCCTTGCATCACCAACAATATTGTCTGTGCCTTTTTCCACTTGGGGGATGAGCTCAAGTTGGGCTGCCGCGTTAGATGTGAAGCAAAGCCAACCGAGCTGCATGAGGCCTACCAACAGACAGGCAGACATGAGGAGAAATGCAGCGTGAGATGGTCGCTTGGTTACCCAACCAATCCGTGACACCTGTCTGACGAGAATGGGTGTCATCTTGAGCAGCTCAACTGGTTCTAGTGTTGATCACCGGAGGTATTTCAAGAGCCTTCCGTAGGCAAAGCACATTGTATCTTGGGGACGAACCCAACTGAGCCTTGGGGGCCAAAGTTCGTTGAGCAGGTAAAGATAGCCCCGGAGGACTGTGGAATACCTCAGAGCTGTCTGTTGCTCAATCATGCTCAGAACCTTTGGATTTAAATGGGGACAAGCCTCATCAATGGAATGGCGATGTCAGGACCTAGAGGACTTGCAGGTGGTGTTGGTGCGTTGTATCTACCTCAGGAGTACCTCGAGAATTTCTCTAATCCGCAGCTGTTTGCATGACGAATGTGTAAGTGACTGGTCAACACCGGAGGGAATCGCTGAGATACGTCGTAATGAGAAACAGTGAGTACCCACCGAACCCACCGAGATGCAAGATTGCCATGTACAGTACAGGCCGGCCCGTCGCTTTGGTAAGCCACGGGCCGCCGCTCTAGTGGGCAAGCCGTTTCAACGACCAGCGTGGAGCTAAAAATTGCACACACCGGCGCGTGAGACTCCAGGCCAGCATCCCTTGGTCTCGGCCTCGACTCCAAAAAGGGGGACCGCATTTAGAGCAGAGGCCAATTTGCCGTCCAACGCGCATCTGCAGCTGCTTCCGAGTTTTCCGCCTTGCTTCTCCCCGTCAACACCACGACGGATGGGATTGTCGTCTTCTCGTTAACCCGGCCATCCCTCAATCCGCAACACACGACGACCTGAAGCACACTGCAGATCCACGCTCTCCCCGTCCTCTCCGTCTCCCTACGCGACACCACGGCCAACCCGCCGCCGCGATGCGATGGCTCACTTCGCTCGCGGGCTATGTAGCCCCGATCTTCCTGATCCTGTCGCCTGTTCTATCTTATAGCGACCAGGCGATGTCTATGCACCGCAACAAGTCGAGCGCCGGCTTCTCCCTGGACATACCTCTAATCATGCTCATCGCATCCATGTTCAGGTAAGGAGCTTCCGGGACAGACGCAATTGCCCTAGACTCTGGGCTAACTTGTCTCAATGCAGGATATTCTACTACCCTGGCGCCCGGTTCGACACGGCACTGCTCATACAATCCTTCCTGATGGTAATAATGCAGCTGTTGCTGTTGAAGATAGCACTGGATCATCGGCCCGGCCCAGCATCCAAGGGTGGGGACGCAGCGACCCCGTTTGCTGGGGCAAAGGAAGGCTTCTTTGAAAAGCAGCGCCCATACCAGTTCTGGCAGTGGCGGTCGCCGAAACCGTGAGTGGTGGCCCAGCTCCACTTGAGGCCGACACGCGGGTATGCTAATGCGCGGACATCATAGATACTGGCAATTCCTGCTCTGGCTTTTCATCATCCTCACGGCCCTCGAGCTGGCTCTTGCGCCGTTCAGCGGCCTCTACGCCTCGTACTCCGTGCTGCTTGGGTACGTTGGTCTCTCGGTCGAGGCGACGCTCCCGCTGCCCCAGATATTCGCAAACGCGCGCTCCCGGTCTTGCAAGGGATTCCGAGTCTCGGTTCTTGCCAGCTGGCTTGCCGGTGATGCGATGAAGATGTTCTGGTTCTTCACGTCGGTGACTGAAATACCCTGGGCATTCAAGCTGTGTGGCATGTTCCAGGCGGGTTGTGATGCTTTCCTGGGGGTACAGTACCTCATGTATGGGTCCGGGGAAGGTAAGCTGAAGGACGAGGGTATGCCGGAGTGGAACGACGAGAAGAAAAGCATGGCAGTCCCAAGTGGATTGCAGAGTGGTCGCCGAACGCCTTTTGAGAAACCATTGTGATAGATCTACTTATACTACCGATTTGCCAAGTTTTATTACCTAAAATCTTTCCGATCCATGTCATCAAACAGGCAACTGGAGCTGCGGACAGTTGAGGCAGGTTGTGGTCAAATGCCGAGATATTTATGAGCTGTCCTCGACTTCGCAGCTCAAGTAGGCTGCATTCCTCGATATATGGCATTAAATAGCTGTGTCATTTTCCCGACACGATTGACCTCCAAGCACCCGTCAACAGAATTCTGGCAGCGGATTGACCTTTCTGAAAGCTCAAGAGCGTGAGGACGGGACTTCGGGGCACTTTAAGTTTGCTCATGTGTACCTTCTCCTTGCATCTTGCTATGGAAAATCTAGTCTACCATTGATTCAGAATCCGAAGCTCAGTTGAGAAAGCGAGCTCCCCTGTCGAGTATCCCACCCCTGCAACTGGGCGTTTTGGTTCTCCCACTCGATGCCCATGCCGTTAAGTTTAGTTACAACAGAACTTCCAGCCACCTAAACAAGATTCCATCTAAAAGAGTAAATAAAATCAGAAAAAGTAATAAGAAAGCTGCACGGCTGTCAGATTGCCTTGAAATATTTTTTAGTAACCTTTTGGAACTCTTTCCTTAAATTTTAAGCCTTTTTGTAGGGCTGTACTTCTACTCTATAGAGTAACTTCTTATCTCAGACACACCAAGCCAACCGAGCATTCAGTGTTGGACTTAATCTACAACTCAGGTACTGCCGTACACATCTACAACACAGCACATCCATCAACCTCAATCCAAGCGACCTCCACTCCATTCAGCTGCTCCTTCAGTGACAGTTTTCCATTTCCCCGTCGTCCTTGAATTGCTGAAGTGGACTTTCTCGAGAGACACTTTTCGGTCCACCTGTTCTTGCACTACGGCTTGTTGCCCAGTACAACCACCACTCCCCACATCTTCATCAACAACCAAGCCTACAGAGTAGTGGACCCGCTCTACTGTCTCTCATCGTCCTTGTCTTAATATCTTCATTCTGATATTGGATTCCGCCCCTTTTATCGACAGCCTCATCCTCACTGGTCGACGTCTCTTACCACTCACGGAGCATCTCTTCCCCAGCCTGCATTCATCGGTTTCGGAACAGTAAGTCTCCTATCAATACCCCATGTCACACCACAACCGTCTGGGCTTGCCAGATTGCATGCCAGCTTTCTTTTTCGAGGCTCGCCCAATCGCCAGAGTCCTGCTCTTTTCAATTGTCTCCTCAGGTCTTCCGAGAAGCTTCCCGCTCTTGCCCTCGTTCTATTGTTAACTTTGACCGGCCCTCTTCCCCTCCTTATCTTCATATTCCTGAAGGTTGGGGCCTCGCCTCAATCTCATGCTGCAGACAACCTCAGTCTCGATCCCCTCACTCTTATGCAACATCCTCTCCCACGCGCGACACCGGTCTCATTCAACATTTTCATCATATACCAAGCATCTGCTTCTTCCTTGCTAACAAGTCTATCCAGGGACAAGATGGTGGCCAATTTCAAAACTGAGCAGAGCCAGCGTCGCCTGTTGACTGCTGTCATTGCAGCTCATCCTGAACTCAAACTCAACTTTAAGGGTAAGTCCATTTCCATTTTCATTTTCATCTGTACCCCGTTCCGTCGTTATTTTGAACATAGTCGCGAAATTGTTCAATCACTTTCCCTCCAATGAGCTTTTATCGGTTCTTTCCCCACAAGCAAGGCTTATGCTGACTATGTCAGCCATTGCCAAACACTTTGGCCCTGAGGACTGGGGAGAGTGTGGCATTGAGCATTTCTTTCGTCCCCTCAAGAAGGACGCTGTTGTTGTTCGCGACATGGTCAAGCGTGGCGAGGCAGCAAAGGATTTCTACGACAACAAGATGGTAAGCTAACCTGAGACCCCATTGCAGATATTGCTGCGTACTTTGAGGACTCCACGCCCGACGGCATTCAGTGGCAGTTCCGCCAGATCAAGCGCGATGCTGAGGCTATGAGACAGGGAAAGGGCGGTGCTACTGCTGCCAGCGTCCCAGTGACCCCAAAGACGAACCGCAAGCGTCCTGCCACCTCGGCCCCTTCCACCGGAAAGTCTACCGCCAGCAAGAAGGCCCGCGGAAGTACTGCCAAGCCCGTCCAGGCCCAAGTTATCGAGCTGGATGATGACGATGATGACGAAAACGAGTTTCCTCCCATCGCCGGAACCCCGATCCAGGGCCCCCGTTTCACGGACAGTTACGCAAAGCAGTTCTACGGCACCGATACCCAGACCCCAGCCTTGGACCTGACGCAGGCCGACTCGCCTAAAGAGGACGAGGATCTCAAGCCAGTCACCCCCAGCGACGCTGCCGCTTACTCGTTCAGTCAGGCTCCTCAGCTGTCCTCAGGCGGCGGCGGCTACGGCAACGACTCCTATGGCATCAGCCAGCCTTCCTTCGTGGCCAGCTCTGGAAACTCCAAGATTTGGACCCCAGATGAGTTTGATGACGAGGTCTGATTTGGAAATTACCAACGAGCTCTTTTTGCGCCAGGAGCGAGTGTAGCTTTACGCACAACCCGCAGCCCACTTCGGCTCCGTGAGCTTTCGACTACAAGCGCGTGATCGCGACTGCTTCATCACACGATTTCTACTTGACAAGCCTTCTGTTCGATACCTCTGGATTTCAGCTGCCTCCAGCTTGCGAGCTTGCGCGCACGAATTGCATCTAAGGTCTACGAGGCTTTCACGACGGTTGATTGTGCGAATTTATTACAGTGTAGGATACCCAGGGCCACTCTTTTCTGACCCCCAAAAAGTTTTCTCTGATGGGATGACAATATTCACTTTGTGCGTGGACGATAGTATGGAACCTTGAACAGATTCCTCGAGGAAAGGGATAGAGAAAGACGGCGGCTATATTGAAGAGAGGCTTCATAATGAATTGCGGATTGGATGATGAGAATTCTCACGCCTGCTCGCACGCATCTATCTGTGAAGCTACACGATGGGTTTTAGCAGGAGGTTACGGCTGACGATACGAATTTGGCGTGAGAAAAAAAGGACTTGCGCAATTGGCTGGCAAGGAATCACACTGGACCTGCAGCCCGATAACCCCAAAACTTGCGCGGCTCGTAATACTAGAACAGATACAAAAAATCAATGCGCTGTTTTACACAAATTCTGAGCTTAAGTGGTGTCTGTGAGACATGTATCACTCAACCGCTATGTTCATCCTTCTTCCCCAGATACCTCCACCTGGGAGTTAGGATGCAGGAAGTGAGTGTCCATCAAGATTGTCAACTTTTCGTGCAACACCAAATCAGATCCTGTAATCTCGTTAATATTCAGCTGGATATGCACAATATCGGAACTAAATTGCTATTGTGAATAAGGAAGCACAACAAGCTGCGTAAGAATGGTGTGTAACCCAACGCCGTTGTATCGGGACACGGAAAGAGGGATTCAGAGACTGGAATGAAATTAGGTAAAACACCTCCTTCAATTACTACTTGGTCTCCTTGCCTGCACGCATCAGTGTTGTCCAGCCGGCTCACATTCATACATAGTGCCAAGTGCGAGTGGGAGACCAAACGGTCGAATTAAGATTAATGTTGACGAGCTCAGCAGGAGATCATTTGCTATTTAAGGTCACCCTGCCACGGCGCTCTTTCCCGACCAATCTTTTCCAGCAACTCCACAAAGTCCTCCTTGCTGGTATCGCATTGTTTCAGGACCAGATCCTCCACCCACGGGCCCCGAGGCCTGAATATAGCGTTGAAAGGCAAAGGCCGGATGATGAGCGATTCCGCCATGGCCATGGGGTCGACCTCGACCCGCTCGCCCGTATGCGGGTCCACGGCGCCGTCGAGATTGAAGGCCCATAGCAGCAACGCGACCTGCATCCACAGCTCGTTGCGCGCGATATGCTGGCCGGTGCAGATACGTCGCCCAAAGCCAAACCCGGTCGACGGTATGTCCCTGAGTGGTGCGGCGCCCTCTGACTTCGGCCTGGCCTTCACGTCCCCGGGCCCGCAGCCTCCACCATTACCATCGACGAGCCACCGCTCCGGCACGAAGGCGTCCGCATCGCCGCCAAAGACAGTCGCGTCTCGCGTGATGGACCACTGATTCGCAAAGACGATGGTGCCGGCCGGGATGCGGAAGCCTTCGTACTGGTCCTCGACCTTGGTCACGTGCGGAATCCCCGTGATGCCGATGGGCCGCCAGCGCAGAACCTCTTCGACGATGGCGTCGATATATACGAGGTTCGGCCGGTCGGCAAAGGTTGGCAGCCGGTCCCTACCGACCACGTCGTCCAGGAGCTTCTGGGCCTTGGCCACGAAGCCGGAGGCCTTGTCCTGGGTGAGCCAAGCCACGATGAACCAGTTGCCCGTGAGCACGGTCGTCTCCAGGGCGGCGTCGGCCAGGATGCCGATGTCGAAGGCGAATTCCTCCTCGCTCATCTGCTTCGCCTCGGCGCTGGCGGCCATCTCCTTTGCGAAGTTCCAGCCCCGGTTGCCTAGCGCGCGTTGAAGGTTGGTGTTGTGGAGGTCCCGCTGCTCCTCGAAGTGTCTCTCAGCCTTGTGCCTCCAGGGCCAGGGGATGGGAAGTTTTTCAAGAAAGGGAAATATGTCGACCAGGTTGTTGTCGGACATCATGGCCGCAAACTCCTTCATGATGGCGTGGGCACGGACGAGCTCGGGCTCACGGCCAGTAGGGAGGCGGTAGCCGTACATGAGGGAGTAAGTGACGGAGGCCATGGTACGCTCGAGCTGGTGGTGGTAGTCGACGCCGTGGGCCGAGGCGGTGGGCGTTAGCAGGTCAAACAGCAGCTGCCTGGTCTCCAGGTCCAGCAGGGGCTGGTAGGACGAGGCGGCCCGGGGCGAGAGGAGGGGGGCTTCCAGCCTCTGGTGTACTACAACAGCAATGGGGTCTTAGATATCCAGTCGTGGCACCTCATGGGTGTGTCTTACATTTGTATCGGGCATCGTATGGCATGAGGACCAAGTGCAAGCCCTTGAGGGCCAGCTCCCCAGCCAGGACCAGGCGGGGCCTATCCGAGTACATGGCTCCGCGGCGGGCGAGAAGATCTTGGGCGGCCTTGGCAGAGTGCAGGACAACAATGGGCTGGCCGAGCATGTTGAGGTATATTATGGGGCCATATGTCTTGCTCCATTGGTGCCACTGGAGCCAGGCGTGGGATTTTGGGTTCTGGTGGACATTACCGATGATGGGCAGCCCAGGAGGGCCGGGAGGCAGAGGCAGAGGCCGGCATTTGGAGTTCTTGGTGATGATTGCTAGCAGGCGGTTGAAGAGCAGGACTGCGGCCAAGGCTCCGACGGCCAAGGCGACTTTTGCGAGCATGTCGGTTGGGGGCTAGTCGGTTGGGGGCCACGGGCTACGGGGCGGGACGAGAGGAGTGTGTGTGTGTGTGTGTGTGTGTGTGTGAGTAAGATGGAAAAGATGTGTGTGTGTGTGTGTTTGTGTGTGTGTGTGTGCCGGGAGGAGGAGGCGGAGGAGCAGGAGGAGGAGGGCCGAGTCGGGTGGAACGATTAACATGCGTGAGGGTGAGGACGAGGGTGAGCGGGAGCAGCAGAGGGGCGCAGTCTTGGAAACAGAGATAGATAGATATAGATGTCTGTTCATGTCATGTCCCATGTGTTGGCCCGTTGGCTGCTGGGTGTTGGCCGATCTCAAATCACGGAGAGCCGGAGCTGGGCCTGCGGAGGGCATAAGGACGGTGCAGGTGCAGGAAGCAGGAAGCAGGAAGCATGAGTGCAGCGAATGCAGTTGCAGTTGCAGTGCAGGACAGGGCAGGGCAGCCCTGTTGGCGGCATCCCCATGTGCTCGGGAATGGATAAGTAAGATTGGGAGGGGAAGGGAAGGGAAGCACGGAAGGTGAGAAGGGGGAATGGATGGAAGGCTGTTGTGGGACGACCAACTGGCGAGCAAGCAATAGCAAGTAGTAACGGCAAGTAAAGCAAGCAAGCAGGCAAGCACATGCTGCAGCTGCTACTACTCATGCAGCAGTAGTAGCCGCAGCAGGAGCAGCAGCAACAAGCAGGGAGGTGAGAGCGAAAGTGGAGATGTGTGCGAGAGAGAGAGACCGAGAAGAGACCTCGGGACCCAAAAACAATCCCTGGCGGCTCTCTCTCTCTCTCCTTCTCCATGTCTGTCCTTCTCCTTGTCCCTCCCCGTCTTCCTCCCCTCGGCCTATGCCTGTGTCCTGTCATGTGTGGGCTGCTCCTTGCCTGTCCTGTCTGTCTCCGTCTGCCCACTACCGTCTGCCACCTGCCACCTGCAGTCTGTAATCTGCGATATTGCTACACTAGTGCCTCCCTGTCGTGTGTCGCGATTGCCGTTGGCGCTCGTTCGTTGAACTTCGAACTCTCTTTTTTTTTTCTTTCATCCAAGGTTGCTAGTGTCTGAGCACAGCATGGCCCTAGGCCTGTGGGCTACTGCTGGGCTGTCCTGGGCTGTCCTGGGCTGTGGGCCGTGGGTGGCAGGCTCGCTGGCGGCTCCTGATGGGGTGGGAGCGGCCCGGTCCTGATTCGATCCCCCCCGAGGGCGCCACCCCTGCAAGGTTCTCCAGCTGCTGCCATTGTGTTCGGGCTTGCAGGTCTTTGCATGCAGCGCCAGAACGGTGCGAAGGTTTTTTGATCTGACCCGAGGGGATGGGAGGCGGTGGAGCTCTGAGACAAGACAGCCAGACCCGGCCCCTTGGCGCCCCCCTCCACTCCCCCTCCAATCCCCTCCACTTGCGCACTCCCCCCCTCCAACCCCCCTCCATTCTCGGAGATTTCAACTGCCCGCCACATTGCTTCTCCTCCTTCGCCCTGCCGCGCCGATGCTTCCATTCCATCTGCCCATCCAGCCCAGCCGACATCTGCCCACAACCACATGCAAGTCAAAATCTCACGAGACAGCCACATGTTCATTCGTCACCTTCATTCATTCAATCATACCTAGACTACGGACGGCACCATGTATTATTGGCCGCATCTAACCTGCCTAGCCACCTCACCGTGTGCATTTCCTCGTCTTCATTTCCCTCCCAACAACGCCAGGAACGCCAGCCCCAACATCTATCCCATGCTCATGCTCATCAGTAGGCCGCAGAATACGGCCCAAAACCACCACCCCGTGCACACCACTCCATGATGGCCTTCTTCTTGACCGCCCTGCGCGACTCGCTTCTCTCCTGCAGCTTCCCGGACGGCTGCCTCTTTTTGACTGAAGTCGGAAGATTAGGAGTAGTAGCAGAAAGGGGGATAGCTGTAGTAGCAGCAGTAGCAGTAGGAGGAGGCAGAGGACGAGGAAGAGGAGGAGGAGCAATCCCCGGCCTCCGCCCACCTCCCGTCGTCAGAGTTTCCGCCCAGGCCAAGTCCGGCAGCGACACGACGTCGCGCACCGACTTCGACGAGCCCAGTGACACCGCGCCCTTGCTCCGTCCGATGTTGGTGATCGACACCGACCCGGCCGGGACGCGCCTGATGTGGGCCACCCGTGCCGTGCCCACCTCTATCCTTGCCTCCTTCCCGTCCTCCTCGTCGTCGTATCCCATCCCCACTCCATCCTCGTGATGGACGTACGAGTGCCGGTGATGCTGCCGGTTTTGGTTTGCTTGCTCGCTCTCTTGCTCTAACAGTGGTTCTCGCGTATGGCTGTGCGCCTGCATCTCGATGTCGTCGTCGTAATGGCCTCGCTCCTCCAGCATGCTCCGCCGGTCGCGCCTTGACTTGTAGCGGGGCGACGCCCACGCGTAGGCACCTGTGAGGATGAAGATTAGGATCAGGCCTGAGAAGACGATTGCTACTATCGTACCCGCTGGAAGATCTGCAGTCTTCTTGTTGTTGTCTGGAACGACATCGTGGGATTGGCCCAGAGGTGAGGACGTCGTTGTACTTTGACGTACGACGGGCATTGCTTCCATCGAAAGGTAAGACTGCGGTCTGGTGTGCCGACGACCAGGTGAGAGGTGGCGGTGATGAGTTTTCGGTGGCATCTTGAACTGCAAAGTTGCCATGTTGGGTTCCGTCCTGCTTGTTTTGCTTTGCGAGGGACAGGCAAGCTCGCAAACCTGCAGCTTGGGCGAGTCGTCGCGCCTCATATTTGAGGTCGGACTGCTACAGTCCTTGCTGCCGTCCAAACAAGGGTCACTGGGTGTATCAGCACAGTCATTGAAGCCAGAGGAAAGGGAAAGTCATATGACGGGTCTTGCGAGGTGACAAGCTGCGCGTGTGCATGTTTGCAAAGCTGCAAATTCACACTATGGTCTTCCTGACTGGGCTGGCGACATGGGACGGAACACCTTGCAGGCTTGCTCTATGAAATTGATACTGGAAAGGAATGCGCAAACTTCAAGCAAGCACTGCGGTCTCTTCTTCGATTTAACTACTCTCAGTGCCCTTAAGGGGGCCGCATGGAATTAAACCTTTCAAGGTAAACACACTAAGGTGAGGATCTCACGGGAAGACATCCAAACGTCCAGTACTATTCCCTTGCACCACTCAGGACGAAAGAGCACGAAAGGTAGGATGGTAGGTATGATGGAGGAACATGTTTAGAAATTGTAAGATCAAAACATTCAGGGAGGCAGCGCCTATGTAGAGGCAAGACGGCAGCACACAACACAAAAAGGCTTGTACAAGCTTCTGGAGCTCGAGAAGTTCAACTGTTTATTTGGAGTAGAATGCTCTGAGAGGAGATCCCTGGTCCTCATTACGTATTATCTTAAGCCATCTATCTATGCCCGTACGCCTGGCCATATTGGCTGCCCTTCGTGGATCTATCCGTATGCTGAGACACCCTAAGTTTAAATGTACAGGAACATAACATAGCATCAACCGGGCCCCTTAGGCCTCATCCTTCCGAACCTCCTTCCTCGCTTCGGAGTGGTCGCTCGTCTCGTCGTCAACGCCGGGCTTCTCGGGGTTCACAGAACGGGGTCCTTCTTCTTCTTCTGTTTTACTCTCGATCGTCGCCTCAGCAACAGCAGACTCAGCGGTGGCATTCGCCGCGCCTTCCTCTGCCGCATTCTGCTCCTGGCCCTTCTTGGCCCCGGGCTTCTTGCTCTTGACGCTCCTCCACTCTAAGCTTGCCGCGCCAAGAATCGTCAGGCAAGTCATGATCAGACCGACCTGGAAAACCTTCCTGAGAGCCTCATTATACGCGAAGAGCACCGTGGTCCTGAGCGGCTCGGCAAGGTGTGTCAGGGTCGTCGCGCCCGCCTGCAGGATACTCGACGGGTCAAACCCAGGGACGCCCGAGAGGTTCCTCACGAGCTCGTTGTTGAGGACGTTCTGCCCGACCGAGATGAAGATGGAGCCGCCCAGGAGCTGGGCAAAGAACATGAGGGAGGTCCCGATGGGGACGTCGACCGTCGGCAGCACGGTCTGTGCCGCGAGGTTGGGCGCCTGGAAGGTCAGGCCCATCCCGAAACCGTAGATGACCTGGTACCCAATCCACCTGGCCTGGCCCGTGCCGACTTGGAGAGTCGTGAGCAGGCCGGCACCGATAGAAAGGAAGACGACGCCACCGAGCATGAAAGGCGTATAGTACCCGATCTTGGAGATGAGGACACCGGCTGTGATAGACGCCACGACCATTGGCAAAACCAGGGGAAGCAACCGGATCCCAGAGTCAACGGCATTGATGCCTTTGATAGCTTGCTATAATACACGGAGTCAGTTGGTGAACAATCAGTTGGAAGCACAGCGTCTATAAAGCCCGAGTGGTAGCCCAAGGACGAGGGCGAGAGGATGCTCGAGGAAAGGAATGTTGAAGCCTTTGGAGAATACTGACAAAGTATATCGGCAGGTAGTAAACCATGATCATCATCGATGAGCCAACACAAAAGATCGCCAAGAAGCCGGCCAGGATGCTTCTTTGACAGAAGATACGGGGTGGGATGGTGGCGGTCTTCGGCCTGAGGATCTGGATCGCGACGAATCCGAGCAACAGACAGCCTGCCAGCGTGAGGAGCGCGATTATGCGGCCGTTGTGCCTTTTTGAATATGTCAGTGACTTGCTTCCACGTGTCGACTTGGGAACTTGGGGGAGTAGTACCATGGGTATTCAAGACCACCCCACTGCAGAGCCAACAGCAGGCAGATGACACCGGGGAGCAGCAGGGCGACTCCGAGTGGGTCGAGCTGAGCCAGCTTTTCCTTCCTTGGGAGGCGCGTTGTCGCCCTGTCCGGAACTTGCAACAGGAAGAAGATGAAAACCATCGCGACGCCGCCGATTGGCAGGTTGATGTAGACTGTAGCTCGCCGTCAGCCATACCAGCTTGTGCAGAACTCTCTCTAACAGAATTACTTACAGCACCATCTCCAGCTAACATTGCTCGTGAAAGCGCCACCCAGTAGAGGTCCTATGACGGAGGCAATCCCAAACACCGCCCCGAACAAGCCTTGGAACAGCGGGCGTTTGTGGAGAGGAACGGCGTAGACTATGACGGTGATCTAAAACACGCGATTCTCGTCAGCATTTACTGCCCCCCCCCCCCATCGTAGGAGTTCCGCCCGAAACCATGGGAGCCCACAAACTTACACCGCCAGAGAAGATACCAGCACTGCCGAGGCCCGCGATGGCCCGCCCGACGATGAAGGCGACGGAGTTGGGCGCGGCGCCGCAGATGGCGGAGCCGATCTCGAAGAGCGCTATCGAGGCGAGGAACACGCCCTTGACGCTGTAGAAGCTGTACAGCTTGCCGAAGCTCAGCTGGAACGAGCAGTTGGTCAGCAGGTAGGCCGAGCCGTACCAGCCAATGTCCGTCACGGAGTGGAAGTCGTCCGTGATCTGGGGGATCGCCGTCGAGATGATCAGCCGGTCCTGGATTGTCAGATGTCAGCCGGGCTTGCAATTGTGGCAGCAGGGGGCTCATAAGCAGTGTAGCTTCTAAGGGAGCACGGGGTGGAAACCACGTACGAGTGCCACCAGGAACACTAATCGCATCATTTAGCAAAATAACACATCCGAGAGTGGTCAAGGTCCAGGGGCAACGACTTACTGGAAATGAAGACACTGGCCATGAGCAGGCCGAGTCTGAGTCCCTCTGGATAGACAATATCCTCGGTCTTTGTGCGCGCGAGACTAATTTCGTTCTTTCCTTCCTCACCCTCCTCCTTTGACGTTGGATTCGCCGACGGCGCAGAGTCATCCTTGCTGCTGAGGTCGACATCCTGGCCGGGCTTCTTGCCCCGTTTGAAGAGCTGCATCTTGCTGGATCAGTTCGCAGTGGGCTCACCAGGCTGAGGTCGCTTGCTGTTTTGTGAATATGGACGCAGTAGATCGGCCGCTGCAAGAGCTCGGTGATGATCCAATCATGTATTGTACCAATTTATGGACCTTTTGCGGGTGTTTTTTGTGTGACAATGTCAGCGCAGACGTGCTAAGATCGACCAGAGATGAGAGACATGACTGGGAGGCTGCAGGTTGCGCAAGTAACAGTAATAAAGGGATTACAAAACGGAATTGGGAGTGTCTATGATCATTGGGTCGAGAGCCGTTCTCGTGTATGTGTGTGTGTATGACTGTGTGACTGTGTGACTGTGGATTCGGACTCGGATAGGCCTAATTCCTCCCTCTGCCTATTCCTCCGCCTGACGGAGCAGCTAAGCAGCCACAGGGACGCCATTTTTCCAATCGCCCCCCAGCTTAGCTTCAATCCTCGAGTCGAGACCGCTTGCGTCAACAAGTGTGCAACTGGCAGCTGCTAACGAGCAGTGGGAGCGTTCGTTCCCGTTTTTAGTGTTACACGACCGAAGGGACGGGACTCGGCCAAGACAGCCGCCGAACGGCTGGATTCGGTTGCTTGGTCGGGCATTCCGACCTCCCTAGGTCTTCCCGCCCCCAAATCTCGGGACCGAGATGATTACCCGACTACCCAAGCCCGTCAAAGGCTTGTCCCGTGTCCCGCTGATTCTGTCATCGAATAAGCACGTTGTTTATTGCCCAGGCAGGTCTCGCTTGGGACTGGAGCCTCACAACATCGAACTCGAAAGTTGTAGCTAGCATGTGCCAAGAAATCAAGAGGTCGGACTTACTAGCCTTTAACACCGGTGCAGTGGAAATGATAGTAACAAGAATTGCCCATGAGCAATGGGAGCAACTGTAATTGATGGTATCAGAAGATGTGCGCAAAACACCGCCGCTCTTGCGCTACCCACCGGCCGCACTTTTCCGCACTTTTCGCTCTTTTGCCCGACCACCCACATGCCACGACACACCTGCCCCAACCTGCCTCCCCCCTTTTCTCGCGGGACGGCGGGATTCGGTGCAATATTCCCCCCGTATGACGAAGCCACAGTGATCTATCGCACCACAGCCTTGAGGACCGTAGTCATCATGATTGCTGCCAATAGTGTTGTTCCCCATTGTTTTGGTTGGTCAACAAGCCAAATATCCAATAATTGCAAAAGCAAGTAAAGACCAACGAGGCCGCAACAGCGTGCCCCAATGCGAAATTGCAGGTGTGTTGTGCAAATGAGTGTCCCTGCCGCCCTCCTTCTTGAACGCCAAATACCCGAATCACGACACGGCCACGCCCCTTTGGCCAATCTGTATATACCGTGTAATTTCACCTGTCCGAGATTATGCTTCGTGGGACACACGACCGTGGACAGCGTGCAATGTCGTAAACTCATCTTGAGGGGAGATACTGAGCCATGTGTGCTGTACAATAAGCATGAAAGACGCACTACCAGAACACACATCAAGACCCCGCGGTGGCCATTAACCCCCGTCGCTTCTCCACGCCGTTCCCAAAATCATAATACCTGCCTGGCTGAGCCTTGAGATCACCATTCAGACGGAGGTCCCATCCCGTATGGGAACGCATTTTGCACCTGCATCGCCGCTGCCTGTGCCGCTGAGTGGGGCACTGGCATGTTGGGCACCATCTGTGGGTGATTCCCACCCCATAGATCAAACTCCAACGCTTCCAGGTCGAAGTAGTTGCCCATGTAAATATCGAACTGTGAGCTGTCGGTCCCGTTGTAATGCAGAGCTCCTCTGTCGCCGTTGCCGTTGTAACGGCTGGCGCCGCCGGTGACGAAGTTGAACATCTCGTTGTTCGGTGTCTTCCCTGTCTCGCTCTTGACGCTCGAATCGTCCGGCCCTGGCATCAATGCCCGCAGCTTTTGCACACAGTACGGGACTTCTGGTGCGTGGCCTAGTCGTTTCCGGAGGACTTCTTCCCGCCTGCGCCAGGCCTTGAACAAGAAGTAGGCGAGCTGGTGATATACCCTCTGCGAGATGTCATAGAATTCTGGGTAGTATTTGTAGACGTTCTCGACGATTTCCCATGCATGATCCACAAGGCGCCCTTCCGTGCGGTGGGTAAGTTGGCCCACGAGGTAGGCGAAAATGTCGAGCTGGAAGTGCAAGCGATGGAACCAGTCCCAGGCCGGGTAGTTAGCTATCTTGTGCTGCTCCACAGCATGGCTCGTAGAGTCAACAGCAACCCGGAAGGTGTTGCTGCTTTGATCCGAGACCTCGCCGTTCTGTTCACGGCCTTCTGCCGATGCTTTGATCAGCGGGCAGAGCTTGCTCATGATGTGGTCTCCTATTTGTCGAGCCAGCTTATGGAGGTCTCCGGCTGTCGGCGACGAGTACCTTTCGAATAACTCTTCGAAGTCTTCTTGGAGACGCCGAACAACATTACGATACTGTTCGATCTTCTCGCTCTGTGGTGCTGTCTTACACTCGAGCTCGTCTAAAATCAGAATCGCCTCGATGTCGGGTGCCTGGATCAGGTTCTTGGCGATCTTGAATACAGCGAGGACGAGAATCATATCGGTCGGACCCTCCTGATCCTGGATCGGTTCTGTAGCAGAAGGCAACAGATCGGCATCTGAGATGTTCTTCGGTTCCTTGGTGTCCCAGCCACGGGGAAGTAGTGTATGGCTGAGGCCGGATAGTATGGCGTACTTGGAGTCGAGCATGATGATCTGCCACCACAATCGCCGCCTCATCTCGGTTTCGAACGGCTTCAAGCCAAGGAGCTCACCATCGCGGTGCAGACCCATTTTCTGGGCGATACGGATTACGACCCCATTGAGGATCCAGGACGCATGGCGGTTATACCTGCCTTGCAAGGAAATCTACAATTGTCAGTCGCGAACTGCCAGGCATTAAACAGACTGGGAACAGAATCCCTACCAGATATATGACAAGAGCCTGCAGAGTGAAAAGGTCGTGGGTCTTCAGGAAGCCCAGGCGGATCATGCATGAGCGAAGGCCTGCGCTGAATTTGGCAAGGGCCTTCTCCCTAGGTATACCAAGTACTTCTTCACATTCATCCTTGGTCATCGACACGACTGCGAGTGTGTATATGGAGAAGAGCAAGGCCTCGACGTTCTTTGGCAAGTTGGGAGATGTGCCAGTGGCTTCCAGCAGGTAAGGTTGGATGGTGGGGACGTGAATGACCTTGGTCAGGGGGTTGCACCGGTCGAGATAGATCTGCCAGAGGCGCACGATATGGCTCGGGCTTGGTGTGAGGTCTTCCGGGTTGGTTGATGGGGTCTCGGCGCCAAAGATCAATTCGGAGTTGTCGTCGGGAGAGTTTGAGTACTCATCGAGAGGCGCTGGTGTGGCATCGTCGCATTGTATCTCCTCGTCGACCAGTTTGCGCATCGACCTCAGCTAAGCGAGACAATCCCTCTCAGCACGGAGCGCGTGGGCTTATAAGGCAGCCGAGGTGTGCACATACCTCATCGTATACTGTCCCCAGGACCCGGGACTCCATGAAGCGCAGGCCGCCATCTTCCTCGATGAGCTGGCCGGCTGGCTTCCACTTGGCAGCAGGATCTGTGAACTCAGGCGGGCGTTCGAGTTTGGCACGCTTGGGCTCGGGAGAGTTGGCGGGCGAAGGGGATGGTGGCTTCGCTGACGCGTACTCCTTCAAGAGCTCCTCGCACCGCGCCAGGCGCTCCTGGAGGTCTTGGTTTGGCCTCCTGCGTTTTCGAGCCGGAGCCGGCGTGCTGGGAGTGCATGTAACATTTGCCTGCGATAGCCGGACGTGAGCTGGTTAGCTACGCTGCTAGAAGTAATTGGGTGGATTGGGCCCGGGCCGGGGCTGGACTGCCTGAGCCTTCTGTCTTCGCCCTCGTCTTTGTGCCTGTGCCCTGTGCCTGTCTCCCCTTGCCTGGACATACCTTTACGCAGTTGGCGCAAGGGAAATTCCTGTCGCACTTGATTTTACGGTGCTGGCAAAGCACGCAGGCGAGAATGCGCGGGGGTTTCTGGGGGACGTTGGCATTGGTGCCAGCGCCCTGAGACACGGACGCAGCCGTGGATGCAGCGGGTGAAGAGCTGGTCGAAGCTGCGACCCCTGTTCTCGAGGCCATCTCTCCCCGTCTCTGGAATGAGGGTTGAGCGTGCTCACTGTCTCAGTCTATTACAGCTGGCCTGGCTGGTGGGTAGATGGTGAGTGTGGGCAAAGCAAAGCTGTGCTCGGGTATGAGGTGAGGGAGGAGCAGTGAGACAGAGACAGACGATCCAATGATCGGATGGCCCTTTGTGAAAGGGTGCAGTCTGTTCCTTGGTCTGCGAGCTTGGGGTGCTCGGCTGCTGAGGCTGCTGGGGCCGGGCGAGGGATGTGTCATCAGAGAGAAAAGGGTCGTTCAGAGCAGAAGCACCGCGACGGGGACGGAGGAGATGGGCGGTGGAGGCCTTTGAAGTCTAAATGTAACATGTAGCAAGTAGTCTAGCAAGATCCATCTGTCCATCCAAGGCCAAGCGACAGGAGCAGGAGGGACAGAGACAGCCCCGGCGACTTTTTTTGAGTTTGGCGAGTGCCCAGCTCGGATTCGGACTTGGTTTGACTATTGTGGCCTGCTCCTCTCTCTGCCCTCTGAGTCTGTCCGACTGTCTTACTCTTACTCTTACCATTACTGTAAGGTCTAGACTACATAACTCACTCACTCGCATGTGCTCACACTCCGCCCTCTCTCGCAAGTACATCTACTAGCAGCCCAGTGAGCTTGGCGCCGCCCGCACTACCTGGCCTGCAGAGCCTTTGTTCGGTATGGCGGGATCGAGTTAAAGTCGGGCTTATCAATCCCGTTCGGCGCGAGGCTCTAGAATTGTGAACACCTGGGCACAATAGCATGGAATGCCCAGTCCCGGATACCTTGGGTCGCACGCCCAGGCCCTTAAACTTCCCAAGCTTCGGATCAGATCAGCGCCCTGATGCCTTTTTGGCCCTTCTTTCTCCTGCCTTCTGCCATCTGCCATGCCATCTGCCATTGCTCTGTCTGCTGCTAGACTCATCATCTCTACTCACAATTAATCATCGCAGGTAATCCCGCCCCCACCTCCCATCCGCCCACCCACCATCCCGTCTGGTCTATTATCGTCGCCCATCTTCTCATTTCTTCATCTCAATGCGTTCGCCGAAGTCCACACGTGAAATAGCCCCGTGGCATCCTATTCGCTGTACTGGGTCGGGCTGAGCACAGCCCAGTGCCTTTATTTTAACCACAGCTGTCATTTACCAGGGGAGAAAGGAAGTGAGGCTGGCTTCAGGCACTGATGGTCGATCATCACTTAGACAAGCCCTCGACGTGCTAGCGACGCTTCGACACGATGGGTGCGTAGCATCTTGCACCTCACTGAACTCCACCGGCACGGTGCCTGTGCACATTTGACGGTTGCCCCATCCCTCGATTGCAGGACTTTGTCAGCGTCGAGACATATAACGTGCCAAGTATGGCCCCTTGCAGCATCACCGTGCTGGGCGCCGCGTACGATGCGCCCAGAACAGGCACCTATTCATCCGCCCATTAATCAGCTAATGAGCCCACGCTGCCCTGGGGCTGCCTGGTTGAGGGCACCCATGACTCGGCCTTGTCAAACTTAGAAAAGTGGCCTCCTAGCCCTGCGCGCGCTGTGTGCACAGCTCCGGGAAGCTTGGGTCCTGACGCACTGGTGGTGGATGTGAGGTGTGGATGTCTTGGAGGGACGGATTTAACGAGCCAATCTCGCTGTGCAGACTAGACTGCCGACCGACCTTCGGGGGGTGGGCATCGGCGACTCGCACACACACGCGACGGTATCATTTGTCGCATGGGCCATGTGTGCATGCTTGGTGTGTCGCATGGGCATGGGCAAGACAAGGCAAGCTCATGCCGGTAAATGCCACGTTGAACATCATGATCAAACAAACGGCTGGGGGGCATGGCGCAGTGCCAACTTGCATCGTCCATATCCACGGGGGGATAGACGAGCGGGCCGGAACGGGATCCGGAGTCAAGTCTCAACCGTATCTCCGACGGCCAGCCAGCTCCGAACATGCCTTTGGCCGCAACTATGGAACCATGCACACGTAATTATTGGTGCTAGACCAGGTATTCGTCCTATTCCTGGAGCCGCCAGCGTGACATTGTAGGGGTGTTCTAGTGCTTGTTACGAGCCGCACGTCATCCCGTCTTGTCCTTATCGGTCGGCATCAGAAGAGGAAGACGAAAGAAGCAGAGGTGAGCAGTGTGGGGTGGACTTGGATCGGGGAGCCGGCTGAGCCCTTCCTTTTTGTTCTCCGTTCCGGCTCACATGCGTGTACAGTAACCTAGTTATGCATGTTGATCTGCTTACCCAGGGAAAACTTGAGAAGTGGTCCACAGAATTGCACATAATCGTCCACTCGGAGTGTTTCGGTATCCCTTGTTACAACGTCAAAAGATGTGTATAACCAGTCCAAGTACCAGCAGCTCGGAATCTTCCGCGGCTCCCGCGGTGGTGCTGCGCGGCTGAGCGCGGCATAGGCCATAAAAATCATCATCTCGCGAGTATATCGGCAACTGGATGGCTGTGATCGTAGATCGGTCGTATCGGAAAGGCTATGTTTCCCCGGTCTCATATTATATGCTTATTGCTCATCTGGTCCACGCCGATAATATGGGCGATGACGTCCTCAACAATGCCATTGACTTCAAAAGACGTAGCTTTCCGGTTGACAACGGCCTCCTACTGATCGAGAAATGACAGCCGGCGAAGACTCTACTTCTGGTTACAAGCCACAGCCACGGTGGGCAGCATTGTTCCAACCCAAAACAACGTTCCAAACTTGACCAGCCGGTATAAACTCCGCTGACCGCGATTCCCGGCTCGATGAGTATATTCCAAGATTGTTGGTTCAATACATCGATCTTTACATACTCGTGCCATGTGGCCATGAACGCCGAGTTCACATGACCCATCTCGTCCCCCGCGCCAGTTCCGGCGCCATGGATTCGGTGACCGCTGCCGTGGCTTTCATATAAACCCCCGACGGCGAAGTAACACGCAGGGTCTCGGGGGGTGTCAAATCTACTCCGTCACCGTCGGGGGCTACGGCCCTGCTCGGGCCTGGAGACTCGGCTGCCCGAGCTGAAAGAGTCACACAAGTGCTCACGACCGTGACCTTGAAGAATGCATGGCAGCTCGATTAATGCCAAAGCCTGGCTCGGCAACCCACCAGCAGTCCAAGACGCCGGCTGTGACTGCGAGCGGGTACACCAGTCGTCTGGCGCGGTCGATAGGTCACATCGACGGGGCAACTGCGACGTGCACTGTGACTTAATATCACAAACAAATATCATGATATTTGGAGGAGTCCACTGGCCACGACGGTGCTCACCGCCCCGTGAGGCATTGCGAGGGCGGGAGGACGAGCAGAGTCCATGGAAGGGATCCCGGACATGATCAACGGCAGACTTCTCACGTGCAACGCTGACCGCATTTATATGGACGTCGCGCGCGAATGAAATCCCACGAGACCGAATCTCGCAGTTTCATCACTTAAGGTATCATGCCGATCGCTGGCCTCAACTTTATGTGTGGCTCATGGGGGCCAGCAGGGCGCGTGTAAAGGGGGGGGGAGGCTTCAAGACCAACGTGAACAAGGCAGTGACGAGGAAGACCCTTTCAAAGGGCCATCTGCGAACGAAATTTGGGAGCAAGGTAAGCATGACGAAAAGAGAATGCAGTGATCAGGCTTCAGAACCAGACGTAGAGCCAGACTAAGAGCCAAAAGATCGCGAACTGCCACCGGTCTTGCAGCACAACATCGCGACAGTCAAGCGAGCAACACGGTCGAGTCCTAGATCAAGCCACAATTATGGGAACAATGAAAACTGCAGTACATATCGTCAATTGAACAGCATCCAGCTATTACGGCTCTAAACCTGCTCGCACCCCGAGGGGTGCGAGGTCGGTCGTTCGCTTTGCCAAGCAGAAAATCCAAAAAGGGCATTCGCTAATCCACTGTTTTCAAACCCCCACGTCCAAAAAGCACTCCAGGGAGAGACGGATTTCACTTCACCCTCTACTCGAATCCTATTTTATACAGACTCATTCGGCAGCTCACACAGCCGGAAGCACGAAGTAACGTGAATAGTGCAAGTTACAGTACATGGGCTTACCCACAGTCCTGTGACAGACCGTAGACCGAACACGAGAACGAACACGAATCCCGCACATGTCCTTGTGTACGAGTGAGTACGGCGTACGTCGTACGTCGTACGTCGTACTTCGTATAGATGGTCGTTCCATTGGCCATCAGCTATTCACTCAGGGATGGGACAGGATGCCAAAAAGTTGCCCGGCCAAGTTCAATATGTGGAGCTGTCCAAACCGTCATTGCCCAAACCTCTTGTGTAGACGCCATAGCTATCTCGCGCGCTAGTATGCAAAAGCCGCGATACGGAGCAGAGCGCCCTTTCCAATCCCTCTCTTGTTGCCCTCTCGCCTTTTTATGTTTGCTTGACAGTTTCCTGAAGACTCTCCTGGTATCAAATGCAATCATGCGCCTCTCATGTAATACTTCGACAGATGTAGCCCGTGGCTGGTCCGTCAGATGCCGAGGGTGCGACTCCTCTCTTTGAAAATGTGGTTCTTTCCCATAGCAAATCCGTGTAAACACACCTTGTCCCTCAAACGCCTTGCCAACTCGCTTTTTTCCAATCACATTACTATGCATTCCCGATCAGGGACTTCACCTTTGTTCTTGGTCTTCTCCGGGTCCTTGTCTCCACCCCGGCTTTTTGATTTTGTTCCACCCTTCCTATGATGGTGATGGTGATGATGTTCCTTTTCTTTCTTACCAGTCTCGCCACCATCAGTCGAAAGTCGGTCAGGCGCGACAATGGCAACTGGTGTCTCTTCACCATCCTCAAGCTTTTCCGCAGCTTCACGTAACGTGTCTTTGCTCTTCTTGTTAAATGTCAGTCGAGACATGGTCAAGCTGATGCGATTCTCTCCCGCCTGGCTGGTTGGCCTGCTTCGGCTCTTGGTGAACTTGGCCGCGGCCCGCGATAATCTCTGTGCTGTGCTTTCTTCATTTGGCGTGACAGCTGGGGAAAGTCCTGATTCAGGTGTGATGGCTTGAGCATGGCCAATGGGTTCCGAAAACGCTACACTTCCACGCCTGGAGGCGTTAGGGCTGAGCAGACTCGAGGAATGTTGACCATCGTCCTCAACGCTAAGGCTTATCCGTGGTGGTCGTTCCAGCTCTGAAGAGAAGCGAATGCTTGGCCCTGCTGAACTCAGGATCGGGGAGTCAAAGTAGCCGCTAGCTGGTCGCGACAGCCCCAGTCGATCGATCTCAAGGCCCGGTGTCGTAATCCCAGTCGTCGTGACGTTGAGGGCCGAATCGTTGTACGATGGTGGCTCGGTTTCTGATCCTGCAGTAGAGGCGGCGGTCACGTCGCACATAGGTACTATCTGATAAAATAACAGATAAGGCATCTCTTGCTTCAGAGACTCCTTGATGTCGTCGACATAGGAAACCCTGTTCTCAAGGGCCAGGTCGTCAAACTTGACCCATTGGGCATCTTCGTAGTCGGGTGGAGGGTCGTTGTCGTGGCGGCGATTGTCCGTCAGGAGTTTGGGGTTGACTCTCGCGAATGAGATATAGTGTCCGCTATGAACGGAGTCGCCCCGATGGCACACGATGGACTGGAGCACCAGTTTGTAGTCCTGACTCAGCACGCTGTCTTCTTCCAATTTGGCGTCGTCAACCATCATGAAGTGAGGTAGCCTGAGACTGTCAGGGATGTCGATAAACGTATTTTGCCTCTTGGCCAGCCCGTCCTCGGTGTACATGTATCTCTTCAGACAGATGCCGACCACCGGACGTTGGTTGAAGTGCATCATAATCTCAGAATCGGTTTTGGGTTCGGCGTTGTCAACGGCATGCCAAGCTGAGAACGATGTTTAGCACACAGAGAATCTGAGGGATAGAGGTGTGATCTCCAGACTTACGTATCAACCGGAAGAATTGCCACGCTGGAATTGTAACGGCCTTGACAACCGTGGCGCCTTTTCGCTTTGCTTTCTGCAATAAAGTTGCACCTTCTGAGTCTGTTGGCTTCCCATCAGCGTCCAGGACAATTCGCTGAATTATGCTTGTCGATCTGGTTCGAGCAGACGGACGCGTCACGTCTGGGCTCGACGCGGAGGCTGTCGACGCCGGCGATTCCACGCTCGTCCACCGTCGCTGTAGGGGTGCCAGTTGGACTTGATCTGATGATTCCGCTTCGGCATCCGTTTCAGCGTCTGGCTTAGCATCTGCACTACCAGCACCTGCACTACCAGCAACAGTACTCGCGCTAGCATCAACATTAGCACCAGCACCAGCTTCAGCATGAGCACCAGCATCAGTCTCCGTATCCTCATGCACGATACGTATCGTGCTCTTCGGGGAAAGGACAGGCCTGTCTTGGCCTGCCTTCTCTTCAACGCCGTCGCGCGAGACGTCGACCTTGGTGTTGAAATACTCTTCCAGGCAGTCTTCTAGCTTGATACCTTTGCCTTCTGGATCAGCTGGTACAGCAAGGTTTAATAGACGCTCATAGACGACCTTGTGATCATCTTCGTCTCTTTTGCCCTGGTGGAACAGGTCCACCTGCAGCGGCAGGAGGGGAAGCTGCAAAGTCTCGGTAATGAATGCGAATGCCTCAGAAGTATCCTGTTGTTCCAGCAGTTGTGCATCTTTCCACCCACAAGCAGCCAGTGCATTCTGAATTAGTTGCGTCTTGTCTCGCTGTCAGCACAAGTTGAAAGAATGGCTATACAAAGACAAAATAGGCCCTACCATGTCTGTGTGGATCAACTTTCCGCTCCTCAGCATGTTGACCCAAAGGCGGAGCAAAGCTGCCAGGTTTCGTTGCGGTTCGTTCGAAGAGTCATTCTTAAGCATGCACTCGAAGGCCTCCAGCTTCGCAAACATGGCAAAAAGCAGCGCGTCCAGGTAGCAGGTGACGTTGCCGCGGTTCTCAGCGCCGAGCATGTTCACGTTGGGATTGTAAGACAGTATCGTTCCGGAGATAGACTTCTGATGGAGTATGAGCAGTTCCATGGCCTTTTCGACGTCGCCAGAGGCATAGTTACTCCTCATTATAAAACGGAGGTAATCGGGTGAGATATCATGCAAGTCGTCAAGGGCCTCGACTCGCTTCGAAAGTTCGTCGATCTAGATTCCGCGCCAGAGTTAGCCCGGGCCGTTATGCGTGCAACGGTTGGACAATTGACCGACCTTTACGGCCTCTTTCTCTTTATCTTTTTCCTTGTGATCATCGTCGTTGCCGTTCTGTGAGGCAGACCCATTCTTGAACATGGAGAAGAGCGCATCGGTGGATAGAGGTCGCGACTAGAGAGCGTGGTATACGGAGTCAGCGCAAGCCGCTGTGGCGAGGGGGTAGGAGACGAGACGAACCTTGTGACCCTCGGAGGACTTGTTGTGACGGTGATTGCCATTCTTGTCCCGCAGAGTGAGCAGTCGTTTCGGTATGCTGGCCTTCATCTTGTCGGACGGGTGCTCCGAGGCTGTCAGGCTCGCAGGGTCTGGTTGCGGCGCAGGATTGTGGCGAGTGGAGGATGAGGAGGGGTTGACCAGAAGCCCAATGGCTCGAGGCTATCTAGCGAAGAGCAGCTGGCACATTTCTTCGCAAGAGGCAGGTGAGGAGAGTCTGATGATGGAGGCGAGAGCGAAGAGGAAGACAATTCTGAGCACAGTGGATCCGGGCGTTGTTGAAGACGTCAAGCGACCGGCGGCGACGAGAGTCCAGCCTCAGCTGTGGAGGTTGAATTATTGAGATTACCTAGGCGGAGCGCAGACGTGGGAGGTACCGAAGCGATGTCGAATGGGCTTGATCCTTGCCGTTCAGGGTGGATTGGCGGGGGGGATTGGGGGGTTGGGTGGGTTTGGGCAAGCGTCTCGAGCACGGCCAAGCGTCGAGTTGTTGCAATGTCCGGGGCAGGTGAAACCCAGTCGGGGGAGGAGGAGGAGCGAGGAGCGAGGAATAACCTTTGGAGGCTACTTGTATGAGCGAAAATAGAAGCCAAAGCCCGGCAGATTGTTGCAGTCGCAGCAGCAGCACACATAGGATAGGAACGAGGCACCGACGAGAAAGAAAGCCTTTACTGCAGCACAGCACTTAGTCCACTTGGCAGCACATATTATATCACACTATTCTCGACTCCACTACGCCACACTGCACACTGGGCTGGGTCGCCTTCCAACACGACAATCTGACAGTCAAACAAACAGGTGGCCAGTGGCCAGTTTTTGCCGGGTCGAGTCACGAGGCTTGAACATGGCCACCTGGCTAGCGACAGAAGAATGGAGAATGAGAAGGTATGACGACGATCTTTGATCCTCCAGCCCTGCCGGCCTTACCAGCACGGCCAGGCGTCGGATCCTCGGGCCCTCCAACAGAGGCGCCTGCAATTTATTTTCGTAATCCCCTCTTTCCCCAATCCTTAGGCAGGCACACATCTAGGGGCCTTTGTATCTAGGTATTCCAGAACGTGGACAATAGCGGGAAAAAATTGGGTAGCGTGCCGTTGTAGGGTGCTGGATGTAGGCAAGCCTGTGGGCAAGCGCAAGGCTAGGCGCCGGGTGACGGGTGTCACTAATTGACAGGTGTTGATTGATGACACTCGCCTAACTTTTATGATCTACCTAGGTACCACACCTAGACTACCTAGACTATAGTGACTAATTCTGTGTCGTGCCTTTCTTGGGGGTCCCAAGGTCAAAACCGTAAAGCGGAGACGTAACGTGTACCCAGCTGCAATAACCAACAACCCAAATTGCTCAAACAGACCAGCGCACCAGGTCCCTTGGCGATGTGACTGGCCCAGACTGATCAGCGAGTAGATCGGAGGTCGTCGCCAGTGACGACCCGGACGAGACGGGCCATGAGGGAGTAAGCAGACGATCGAATCTAACATGTATGGCATGTATGCACAACATCCCCAAGGCAGCGAAGATTCTGGCAGATCAGGTAACCTCAGTACCAATGGCCTGGGTCAGCAGCCCACCCAATGACGACGTTGACAGCTCTCCTCCGGCCATGCGTCGCATCGACCCAGCCTGTGTGTGGCTGGGATCGCCCGCTCGCCCGCCCGCCAACCAAACCCAGATCGTCCCCACCAACCGCAGCGTGCCCCAACGTTGCAGGCAGACCACCTGAGGTGTTCTGGAAGACGGGCTCATTGGCGCTGCGTTTCAGGGGTCCAAGTCCCCCAGTCAGCCCTGCTCCAAAAAGAGGTGCAGGCCCCAAGTGTAGGCCGCAGGTGCAGCAGCTTGCAGTGGACCCGTGGGCTCGTGGCCCGTGGGCCTCGGGGAGCTACCGGGCGGGGTTCCCAGTCCGAGCTTCCAGAGCTCTCCGTTTCTGAGTACCCGTCTAACCAACTACATTGATACCACAGTAGACCCATCCTGCTTGATAGTCAGGAACGCGTGTGCGCACATACAGCAGCCAGACAAGTGCTACAAGACATTGCAGACCTGCGCGGTTTTTGCTGCAGAGCAAGCGCTTTCGCCCTCGAGCACCACGCCACCACGATGGAGCAATCCGCCCCTCCAGTGGACATCCACGCCCCGTTCACGCGCGCCGAGCGCATGCAACAGCTGGCTGACATTGATCATGTAAGTAACAGGCTTCCCAGGCAGAGACCATTAGAGCTCTTAGCCACGTGTCGAGCTGTACGCGTCCTAACAGGCGCCCCTGCCACAGGACATCGCATCCTTGCTGGACTTGACCGGGACGGCCATACAAAGCTTAGGAAAGCAGAGCCTACCCACACCCTCCAACAACAGCACCAGCAACAGCGCGCCCGAACAGGCAGAATCGCAGCCCCAGCCCTCGGCAGCAGAGCAGACCCGCCAGTTTGAGGACGCCATGAACAAGTTCCTCTCCACGCTGCACTCCGTCGACGCCCGGCTGAAGCGCCAGATCCTGGGGCTCGACGAGGCCGGCATCATCAGCCTGCCGAGCAACAAGGACGCCGCCAAGGACAAGCCCAAGGACGACGACGGCCCAGTCTCGAAGCCTGCGCTCGAGCCCAACGGCGTCGGCATGGTCGGGGATCTCGACGTCGGCTGGCTGAACAGCAGGAGCAACCAGGTCGAGAGGGAGATGGAGGCCGAGCTGTGGACCAAGGCGAGGACACACCTTGAGACTCTGTCTGGGGGTGCAGGTAATGCGAACGCCGGCGGCGATGCTGATATGACAGGATAGGAGTGATTTTGATGACCCGAGCCTTTGTTTATTCCTTCTTCTTTCCCTTTTCTGTTATTGTGAGCATAATTCGGAGTGCGGCGCAAAAGGATCCCTTCTGAGACGGCAAAAGGTTGGTTAGAGGCAAGACTATGGTTAACCTTTCAGATACCCCTTGTTGCAAACTCAATCTTACTACAAATCGATCTGGCTGGGATACTGTGCTGGGGTTGTGACGGCTAAAAGCGAGTGCAACGAGCTCTACATTCTGCGTGCATATGTACAAATAGAGTGATGTCCGCCACCCATCACTCATACAAATTGTCTGGAACCCATTTTGCTTGGTTCCATCATCAATTACAGAAGGAAAAAAAGGGCCTTCAAATCGCATCTTCTAGCTGCCTCAAAGCGGAGCAAGCCTTTAGAAACGACAACAGACCGCGAAGCCAACCTCAGGTGCACAACTTGTTGAAGCCTCCGTTGGCCATATTGCGACTTGATAGCGTGAATGAAGAGTCATCAAGGCTTTTTCGAAGCCATCAGCGGTTATGCCAGCATACAACGTCGACAGAAGGGAAGTCACTCACAGAGCGTTAAAGCCCAGACACTCAAAGTGCTCGTCAGTAGAGTTGACCTGGACGAAGCGGCCGAAGAACGAGACGCACCCGGGCGTCCCGTTGCACGTGTATTGGCACTTGAATGAGGCGTACTCGTTCACGTCGCTGCCATGAGCCATGTACAGGTTCTATCGCGACATTTCAAGGGCCATCAGCAAACCCGCGGGTCATGTGGCACAGAAGAGGGAGAGAAAACCGGTGATGGCTCACCATCGCGCTCCCAACGGCATGGGCTGTGTCCCAGGCCGGCTCGATGTCGTAGAAACCGTGGGCCGCGGCCGGGGCTTTCACGGCGGCATAGTTGATGTCGTATGGCGTCGTGCTCGCCGGGACGCCGTCCACGCAGGTTGGAGGCTCGGCGGAAACGGACTGAACTTCGACGGCGTGGCGTTGCTGGGCGGGAGCCGGAGCGGCCAGCACAGCCGTACAGAAGGCCGTAATGAGCAACGTGAACAGATTCATCATGGTATGAACAAGATGCACACTTGCTGAATGACCTCAGAAACGGGCTGCGCTTCTGGATATGTTGCGCGAATTCGTCCCGTGCGCTCCCAAGGTCGTATATCCAGGAACGCTTCTGAGATGCCCAAGAAGCTACCTGCCTGTAGAACTCGGCAGTAACAGCCTCAAATCTGACAAAATAAGTCTTGTCTTGCTGACACAAGGGTATTTGGGTTTGTTCAGCCCTGTGAGGCGATCTCCGGCATTGGCATCAACTGGCATCGGGTCTCCCCTGAAGCAACTTTTTGACAGCCCAGTTGCCTTTTAATCAAATGCGTCAGACGCCACAGTCTCGTCTAACAACCCGAGAAATCAAGCAATTGCCACATGCATTGCCCCCTCCATTTGGGAAGGCAACTGGCAGGACGGGCGCCATACTGCCGTATGGAGATTGACGGTGCAAATTCCCGGCCCTCAGATAGATGGCCGCACACACCTAACAACTATCTCAAGCGTCACCATTGGAGCTAGCCGGGTATTTGAACGGTCGGGAGTGCGGCACTTCACCAAATGCAACAGAAAGGGGGAGCATTTTCATACTGTCCGGGTAATGATTCTACATAGTGGTCTGGAACATGGCTTCCTTGATAAACCCGTGGACTACACTGGAGTATGCATTCCTCGCACACAATCTATGTATCCTAACATCGACAGGGTCACTTACCTTACCGGCTGAATCCTTGCGTAGCAGTCTCTTATACCCCAGTCCTATTACTATAAGTTCGACCTATCACCTGCAGATGGACTAGGCCGTGCCTTTTCATTTGTCAGTCGCAACGACGCATCAAAAATCATCACAGTACCACGGGAATTTTATTTCCACTCCAGTCTAAAGTGGCCGCTAAATGTGTGTAACCACACCTGCCAGGGATGGCAAAAGATGTTCTTATCCTTCATCACGATCTCAACCAAGCGGATTTCCACCGACGTTACTATCATGAGCTGCTGTTTTGGGCGTCTATTTTCTCTGTGAAAGAAATCTTCACACAACTATAGGACCATCCTAAGAACAGGCTTCCGACCCCGGGCCTCCTTGGGCAAACAGTACACAAGTTCTACCTATTCCACAACCCGCCAACGTGTGCTGCGAACCTCACCCTCAAGAGAGCGAGATGCGTGACCTTTGACCGTGCGAGTTCAGCCGATGCATATGTTTTGAGAGGTGAAGTGGGGTCAGGCTTCCAGGCCATTCAACTTGGGGGTAATACTTCACAGCCACTGGGAAATCCAGTATTAACTTTTCCATCTTTGGTAGCGGAGAGAAATAATTTCGAATGTCTCACACATCGAGTACAGGCAGATATGGGGCTTGTTGAGCTGTGCAGAGCTGCGTAGCCCATTGGCCACCGGGAGATTATCCAGCGGACCGGCCCAGCAGATAGTCTAAGAAGTTTGCGGGCATGATGAGCTCAGTGGGAAGTCTACCAAAATGTCCCATACTTCGCCACGGGCAATTGCCAACAGACAAAACAGGTAGAAGGAGAACACCCGTGGCATGATTACTGTGTGAACGATCAGCGTAGACGATCCAACGGTTGCGCTTTCATAGATAGGAAAAATGATGATATTTCTTAGACTTGATTATATGATTACCACTCGGAAGCACGCAAGAACTACCAATGCAGGTCCGGATATGCAATCTGTGAAGTGATCAAACAACCCATACGCCCACGATGCTCTCTCCCGTGTAATGCGATGACCACCTCAGACTCTTGAATACCCCCGCCCCCGAAAACTCAGACGAAACGGGAGAAGAAAAGGATCAAAAACATTGCACAGCACACTTGTTACCTAATCTGAGTTGTGTCCCTTATCCTCCCATTCGGTGCGTCGGCATACCCTCAAATCTCCTCAAATCTTGAAAACTTTGCTGCCCTCCACCAGACCGGGAGCAAACTTCGTGATCACAGCCCAGGAAGGCGCGTACTGAATAGCCTCATCCAACGCCGGGATTGTTCCCGGTGTGTTGATGTCACTCCAGATACAGGTGACGTTTCCATCAAGGCCAACTGTGCTTCGCTTCAGCTCGTCAACCGGGGAGACGTATACCTCTTGGTTCCCATCCTCGTCATGAGCTTGATGTGTCTCTGCTTCAGGATCCCACTCAACATGTACCTCCCATGTCTTGTTCCAATCACGTCTCCACAGGAGGACCTGATCGATCCCACCTTCGGGTATTGGCCCAAATCGATTATCCCAACCTGTGCCGCCCGCGACAGAGAAATTCTTAATTGGACGCGCGAACTTGATGACGCAAGACTTGGTGTTCTTCGCGTTGATAGTAAACTTGGCTTCGCTAGGCCCTGTACGTGCTACGTCCAAGTCCAACAATTTACCGTAGCCCAAAACTGGGGGAACACCCTCTGGAAGGTTGTTGGCCACGTTGGGTGCAACGTCTTTTCCATCGTATACGCAGTCTGAGACATCAGCCCTGGTCGTCGACTTTTGGCAGGTCACAGTCTTTCCGGCGGCAGAAGGCAAGTCCGAGATAATGAGACGCAAGTATTCTTCCACACCGCCGAACTTGACGATAGAATCTCCCGTGTCCAGATCAATGGTTTGTTGCCAAAAGGCCTTGTACTTGTTGTCCGGTGAGAATGGGAAGGCAACAAGATTATAAACCAGAGTAGCGATGAATATGCACAGAAGGAATAGTGGGATATGGTACGTAAGGCGGTGAATGAAAGGCATGAGAGGCAAGAGTAGGAGAATGGTGAATGCGGCAACGAGGAGGAATGGGAACACAGCAGCAGAGCCTTCAATCCCTGTCTGACGCATAGCGTCCACTAAGAACAGCCCGTTCTGAGCTGCAAGGATGATCATGAAGGGCCCAAGGATCAGGAACTGGATGAACCAGGTCCATGATGGCAAGTTCTCGGACCAGGCTTGCTCACCGCCAAGAGCCTTCTTATTGTCAGGGCCCCCTTTCTTGGTTGCAGAGTCAGTTATGGCTGCGATCGAGCGCCGATATCTCGTCGCGAATGTCCTCTGTGAGTCTTCGCCACGGCCAGTCCTAGCAATAAGAGGCGTGGTCACATCGGGAGGCTCTCTCCCTGACGCATCATCAGCTCCTTCATTTGATGCAAGACTGCTGACTTCGTCAGGGCCCGGGGTGATCATCGCATCAGAAGTAGGAACTTCATCAAGATGGTCGTGGTTTTCGTGCTCCTCCCTGAGCTGCTGTCCGTACGTCTTCATGTTCGGAAGAGCGAATAACTCGAGGATTGAAGTGAGTGTCGTCAAGAATAGAGCTGACTGGAGGAACACGAAAGGATAGCCAGCCGCAATGTCGAATCGGTCCTCAAAAACCGTGACGGCCACTAGAACAGCCCACGCTAATGTGAACAGCCAAATGTTGACATAGCCCCGGTGAAGGGCACTCGGTCTCGCTACATGTGCGCCTCTCATGATGCACCAGAAGGAAAAGTATCCCAGAGAGACAAACATTGCCCATCTGAAATATATTAGCCAAGTAAAGTACAGAAAGACGGATTCTCTTACACTGAATATACGCTGCTGTGAACGATGTAGGGATTAAACTTCCTGACAAGGAACGCCGCGCCAAAGAGAAGCGCCCCGGAGACACTGATTGCCAGAGGAAAACGGAAAATGCCTCTGAGGCCTCCAATTTTGACTCGTTCAGAGTCTTCCGAATCGGAGTTTGGCTGCTCATAGACAGTAACCCTGTTTGAGAAGAAGTAGTATTTCCCCTTCTTCTGGAGCAAATACGTTAGCAGTATGAGGATAAGTGGTGTCGCGATGAGCAGTGTTAAGGACCATGCGAACATGGCTCTCAAGTTGAAGAGCACAAAGCCTTTACCAAACAGATCGAACCATACTGCCTTGCTGCCTCTACCATTTGGCACAACGCTGGAAGTATCTTCTGATACTTCCCCGCTGAAGGTTCTATCTGACAGGTCTTGCAGCGTAGCAATTGATGAGGACAGCATGTGCCACAGACTGGCCCGACTAGCATGTCTTGCGTCATCATCTTTGGTATGGTACCGTGCTCTTGGTCGATAGAAGGCCACATCGAGGCCTCTCTGCCCGTAGACACCATTAAAGATGACGTAGTCGGTCTGGCTCTTGATTGCTCCCAACGAAAAGCTGTCGGAGCTGATGACGGTGGAGAATGGGTCGGGCGATTTGGCGTAGGCGCTTATAACCTCCTTATCCGTGCCACGGAAAAGAGTTGCACGTCCACCAGCGCCAGCACCTTCGAGATTCAGAAAGGTGTGCACAAAGGGCAGCAAGGGGCTGTTTCCAAAAGCTCGGGCCCCATAGAGGAAGTCCTCTTCGCCGTTGTTGAGTAACGCGACGATGCCGTGCTTGGGTTGTTTGCCGGGTGTCGTGAAATGTTTGATTAACTGGAGGACAGTCACAACGCCGATGCCGTCGTCAGTCGCTCCAAACCCAGTAGAGACTCTGTAGAGATGTTAGTGAATAGTTGTGAAATCTGGACTGTAGATGATGGGTCTCACGAGTCGTAATGCGCGTTCACCATAACCCCGCCCTTTCCAATTGGCAGTTTGACGTGGTTGCGTTTCCGTTTCCACCATTCCCCTTCCTCGTCGAGAGAGCCACGAATGTAGACGATCACATTGGTACCCTCAAAGTAAGCCGCGTTACCAGACTGGCCTTCTTCGGACCCGTGCGACCCCGGGAGGCCCCCAAAGCGCACTGTCACATTGGACATGAGGTCATTAAATACAGTCACATTATGGCTGGATTCCTCCGGCCTGCTCTCCGACAACTTGAGTGCTCTGACTGAGTAGTTTGACCTGGCATTATTCCCGTTAGCTGGGTATTCTGAGGCGTCTTGAGAGGTGTGTCTTACGGTTTCTTGCCGATGGACTCTTCTGTGACCCAGTCGGCGTCGTTCCCATCAAGAATCTGCTGGATGCGTAGAAGTAGCCAATTTCGGACCTCGTCATTCTTGTGACTGTTGTACGGATGGTAGCCCTGGGTCAGAGTAGCCAGATCGTGCCAGCTTTCGGTGAGGTTGATCCCGGTGCGTGGGCTGGGATTGGATGGCGCAGGTGGAACGGACTCATTTAGGACAATGACAGGTATGAGAAGGGCCAGATAGACGATGGTTGTCCATATCGTTACCTGAGCGGGCCGGAAAGCGAAGGGGTTCATGATTGATGCCGTCACAGATGCAGTGGGTAGCCCCGCAGGAGCTGGCCCTACTCGACAATGGACCGTTGCCGGATCAATACAGCGTAGTTTCCCAGCGAGGACTGCTAGAAACTGGTGACAACCTATCGAGACACCCAGGTCATGATGAATGGTCACGAAGGAAATCGAACGAGATGTAATAAGGGGGGCTGGCCGGCAAAAAGCTTAAAACGTGCAACTGTAGGCAGTGGGGCCACCGGCGGGATAACACTCTTTGGGGATTCACCTGTTTCGGGACATAGGAGCAAAAAGGGAGCGGAAGAGGTCGTATAGGGATGGTAACCAGATACGAAGGCTGTGATTTTGATACTGGTTCAGTGAGCTCAGAATTTATCTTGAGCGGCGGTCAATTCTCTGGGACTTGGGGCTGAGATCCGCGCTTGCCATCAAAAGATGCGATGTGTGGTTGAGGTAGGACGAGGTGCAGGGCGACTGCAGCTGCAGCTGCAGATTGATGAGTTCGACTGATCAGTGATGGCATGCTGGTGGCTGGACTCGTCACCACGCAGTCTCGACCGAACCTGCCCCGCATGAGCTTGAGGTGGCCCAAGCTCCCGAGGTCCCTCGGCCGACCTCAGCAGGCAGACACATACATCCGCAACACGCTGCACTGCCCGTTTCTATAGGGTATGATATCTAAGAGGAAAGGACTTCTGACGGACGAGCTTTCATAAAACACGCTGCATTGTAACGACCCAAGTCGATCACCTACGGAATGTCACAGGCAACAGGGAATCGGCTCTAGGTTTCGAGACCCAACTCAGCCAAGTCCACGTCGTACAGTCCAGTGTGAACATTTTAGGTCCTGCTCTGCCCTGGTTGGTCTCAATTGCGCCATGATGTGAACTCATTTCTGGTTGCTTACAGGTGGCTAGGGTCAGAGGTGAAATAGCGTGTCGCTGGAGACTCATTCATCTTCACCAGAAGTCAAATAACAAAAACAATTTTTATTGCATTAGTAAAAGCTGCCTATCATACAGTCAGTACTCCGCGTGGCCCGATTTGTGCCCATCAGTTAGTCAGTCAGTCTTTGCCCTGCGGAACTACGCGGCCGAGGGATACCATCACATTCTCTGCTGGTGAGCGCGGCGCGTGCATCAAGCTGGAATCCAAGAATCTTCGGCCTGTGTCAGTGGCGGGACGCATGTCGAGGTTGAGCTGCCTGTGTGTTCCCTAAGCACCCGGGGGAGGAGGAGGTGGTGGTTGGTTGCTGGGTGGTGGCGGGGGTGCACCCTCGCTTGGCGGCGGCGGCGGCGGTGGCGGCGCGGCACCTCCAGAGAACTGCTGGATCAACGCCGTGAGGTTATCAGCAGGCGGTGCAGGCGGTGCTCCGAGGCCTGGAGGCGCGCCATAGCCGCCCGGATAACCGCCGTACGCGGGCGGAGCGCCAGGAGCCTGTTGCCACGGCGCAGTTCCGGGTGGAGCAGCGCCACCGTACCCGGCTTGAGCACCGGGGGCTTGCTGCCAAGGCGCCGTGCCGGGCGGAGCCGAGCCGTAGCCATTGTTCTGACCGCCATAGTAGCTGTCACCTCCATGGTTGTCATGATTCCGCTCCCGTCGGTCGCGAGCCCAGGGTGCAGGACCGCCTCCGCCACCTCCGCCTCCGCCACCCCTATCCCCACCATCGTGGTGGTCGCGGTCGTTGTTTCGAGAGCGCCAAGGAGCAGGTCCACCTGTAGGTCCACGTTGCCATGGTTTGGCGTCCCCGTTGCCGTGAGAACTAGGTCCGGCTTCGATACGGGCGGGTGCTGCTCCGCCGCCGAGCTCGGCCATGAATTGCTAGAAACATCATCAGCATCTGTCTTATGCCCATCTGTGAGCAACTGTTGGAAATGACTTACCTCGTACTCGGCGTCGTCCTCTCCGCCGCCACCACCACCGATTCGGCCCTGGGGCCGTCCACCAGGACCATCGTTGCGCCAGCTTGCACCTCTCTGTCTATCTGGACAGTCGCGAGCCATGTGGCCGGCATTGCCGCACACACGGCAAATGATGCTGGCAGTGAAGTTCTGCTTCTCAGGGCAATCATACTTGCGATGTCCTATCTGGCCACAGTTCTGGCAAGCTTGGTTCTCATCGTCACGGAGCGTTCCGTTCAAAGCAGCCAGCTCACGAAGCTGGTTACGCTTCAGTTCGTTCTGGCCCTCGGGAATGGAAGCAGCCTAAAGTTGTCAGTTTCTGCACGGCAGCACAGGACGGAAAGGAGACTCACGGTTTCAATGACGTTGTGGATCAGTTTCTTGGCCTTGTTGACTTTGTCTTCGGTGTCGGCCATGATCAAGCAATGGAGGTCCTCTTCCTGGTTACTGGCGTGAGCTGCATCGGAACGGCCCTTGCCCTCCTTGACGGAACCCTTGCCACGGATGGCGATTTTTGCACCCGATTCGGTCTCCATCTTCTTCAAAGTGTTGCCACGAGGACCGATGAGTAAGCCAACTTAAACAGGGAGAGCTAAGTATTAGTATCGTCATCAAGTACGGAATGTAAAAGCACACTTCGTTCAGTAAGGCAGGCCTGCGATGTAGCGCTGCTAAGGTACGCGATCTGGGGCTACGCCAGATTGCAGGGAGGGAGGACATGGTTAGAGAGGTTAGAGGGTTAGCAATCATACTGAAATTAATTTCCGGATAGTCATTGACCGGCACGTAGACCTTCTCCTGAGTCTTGGTCGGCCGTCTGTAATCCTGCGGCGGGTGGTAGTTAGGGATGGTCTTCATCGCTTTCTCAATGAGTCTGTGGCGTTCATCCTCCAGGCGCTTTCGGTATCGGTATTCTCTGGTGTTGACACGACGGCCGTGGTTGTCGTACTGGGGAGCAGGCGACGGGGATCTGTAAATACTCTTGTCAGTGCCTGGCATGCGTGAACAACGTCGTGGGCCTGGCAGAAACCTACCTGTCACCATCGGCAGGCACGACATCATCGATCTTCAACTTCTGACTGATTTCCTCGATTCGTAGATGGAGGGTGTACGCCTCAAGCTGTTCGCTGGTCATGTTGGCGACAATGGCAGTGGGCAAGCCCATGAGGCCGGCGGCCTTGTTCTCAGCAGCGTCACCCCATCGGTTCCGCTTCTTCCGACGGCGAGGTCCATCCGCATCTGTGCCTGCCTGGCTGTTAGTGACTAGGGCCGATATTGTCTGTGATGCCCACGTACGAGGCTCGGGGCTGCGACCGCGCTTCAGCTCGCGATCGCCTCCGTTGGAAAAGCTGTCATTTCGGTCGTCGGGCTCAGACTCGCCACCGAATCTGCGCTTTCCCAACGGTATGTTGTTGGATCCGGTGATCCCTTGGTTTCTCCAAGCCATAGTGGCGCTTCTTTGCCTCTCGCAGGCAGGAGGTGATGATGCTTTGGGGGTTGTGCTCGAAGCAAGGCCGGTGGAAGTTGGAAGTTTGGAGTCTGACAATTGAAAAGTTGGCTCTGCATAGCGACGGATGTTCGCTAACGGCCGCTGCTCCCCTAGGCCCACTCTGGAAATGCTGGCCTAGCGCCACCTCGAGTCAGTCGGCTTTTTGTTAGCGCGCACCGAGCTCCAGAGCTCTGCTGAGGTACCCTGCAGAGGAGGCCTGGACCAGATGTCCCAGAGCTGACAGCCTTCAACACGGAACAATATTCAACACGGTCATATCAATTAGCTGAGAATCACATTGTGGGTTTTCTTCATTATTATTATATCGATCATCCTTGTGTGCTATTTCCTCTCACATTTGTCTAGCTTGTTCCGGATTGCTAGTCAAAGATTCTAGGAACACCAGGCTCTATTTCCAATTCAACTTAGCTTCCCCTTACTATCCGTGGACATTACCTTGGGAACAATGTGAGGCCCAATACACTTATCTATCTGATTTCTTGACCGAGATATGATGTGGTAAGAGTCTCACATAGCCAGCAGTCTGAGTTGTATGCCAATCCTACAATAGAAGTTGAGCTTCCTCATTGCTGTCTGAACGATTCGAAATCAAAGAGTATTTCATCCCTGATCCCTATGGACTTTCGAACCAGGCTTCATCTCGTAAGGCATATGTGTGGAAAGAGGCCGTCTCAGAAGGCCACAAACACAGCTCATTACAGGGTGAATTATCGAAATGATTCATGAAGCGTGTTGCAGTCTGCGTAAAGAGTAACTCATTCATTTCTCACAGCTTTGGGATCATCACAGCCCTTCTTACCGGGTGGGGCCGATGACAACGTACCCCGGGAGGATAGCTTCTGGTGACCATAGGAGCCTATCTACTCATTTTTTAGCATCGTCCTTCATGCCTTGCTGCACCCAGGCTCTTGGCCCAGCTGCCAGCTTCTCCAACTCCTCCTCGGGTAACTCAGCCATCTTGAAGGCCTTATGCTCAGTAGGAACATGACGGCCCTTCTCGAACCCGGGCCGCTCTAGCAGTTTGTAGACCCAGGCCTTAAGATGGGGGAACTCGTCAATGTCCACACCGGACCATTCTGTTCCGAGTATAGAACTGTCAGCACGGGCACACGTAATGGCTGGGGAGTCAAAAGGGATTTTGGGGGGGGGGGGGTGGACTGACTGGCCCCAGCAACCCATCCCCATGAGGAGATGTCTGCAATTGTTAAGCGGTCACCAACAATGAACCCGGACTTGCTCTTGGCGAGTTCGGTGTCTAGGACGCGGTACAGCCGTCGCGTCTCGTTCTGGTATCGAGAAATGCCGTACGGAATCTTCTCGGGTGCATATCCTGCAACGTTGTTCAGTATGTGAGCCGTTCCGAGCAGAAGTGGTCATAGAGAGGCCAAATCCTACGTGTGAAGTGATTTGCTTGGCCCTGCATCGGACCTAGGCCGGCATTTTGGAAGAAGAGCTGGTGGTATTGTCAGTCGTCGAACAAAGAAGCATTTACGGTCTTGGTATGGAGTTTGAGGTGGCGAACCCAGTTGTTGGTTTCATAATACTCCTCGGTGCCGTGAGGGTACGAGAGCTTGTGGTCCTTGTCGTACCTGTCGACGAGGTACAGCAGAATCGAACCGCTCTCGAACAGCCGGATGGTCTTGTCGCCGAGCTTGTCCGTGATGGCCGGGATCTGAGTGCTCATTTAGCTGGGCCCCTAACAGCCTGCACAGCATTCGTGATTCCTTCACTTACTCTGCCGTTCGGGTTGATCTCAAGGAACCAATCTTCCTGTTTAAAAAGTAAGCGATTGGCCTATACAAACACATCCACTCCAGTAGCCTCTCACCTTCTGTGTGTTCTTGGACAAATCAATGGCGGTCGTCTGGTTTGACTCGTCAGCATAATGCTGTGCACATGCAGGGCCTCGACAACGCTGACCTTGTACGACAGGCCAAGCTCCTCAAGGAGGATGGACACCTTGATACCATTGGGTGTCCCGGTGGTGTCTTCGAGTAAGATCAACAATAGTCCTCGGTGCTCATATTAATCCTGGGCATGGGAGCTTACAAAGATGGATATCAGCTTCGCTAGCCATGGTGAGATGCTCTTCTAGTTTTCTGAGTCTTGCGGTCATTCCCGAGAGAGGCAGAAATTGGTCCAAGGCGCCCCGTCCTTTTCAATGTTCTTCGTCAATCTCACTTACGCGCTTATAAATCAAGCGCCTTGCAATGATGCCAACGATGCTACAGGCGTACTGTTATGTAAGTGAGTCTATTTAGTAAGCTGTCCCACTGTCGAGCGGGGGCGGATCTGCAAGACCCCATCCCCGCTCCATACTTAGTCTGACACCTGAACCCCCCCTTCCATACATTTATAGTTGTAGTGGACGGTTTTTTTCAAGAGTAAGTGTCGTCATAAACTTTCTTGGGCTTATATGTATATATCCACCTGGAAACAGAATTGATGGTAAACATTGCCAGATGTCCACCAGGATGACGATAGGCCGGCCCGCGGTGAAATTCGTGGACTGACTGCCGCCTAGTCATCTTATTCCATTCCGCTCGACTACTATCGAAAATGTTGCCTGTCTTCAACATTAATTTGTAATGACTGGACCCACCTCTTGATTGCAAATATAGCATGCGCCCTGTGTCCCGCATCAGCAGATGTCGTGTGGTATGATACGCTGACAGCAAGAACGAGATCAGAGCTTACGTACTGTATACTGTACTTGTGGCATCTCGGTATGTACTTATGGACGAGCACATTGGTTTTCAAATTCGAAATTGAGTTGAGCGCTGTACCTCGGCTAGCGGGCAGGTGGTTGGATTATTTATTCAAAACCAAGTTAAAATATAATGAAACCAAGCCACGGCTGCTCTCTTCTTGTTGTAGAGTAAGTTTGAATAAATCATCTTCAAGCCTGAAGTAAATTATTTCGGCCCTTCCTGTAAATCAACTCGCCGTCTTCAATATGTATTGCGTGGTAGAATATCAACGCTGACAGCAGCCTTTGCTAAACTGAAAACTGACAAACACCAAATGTTGCCCAATGCTTATTCCGGTTGGCACGTAATCCCATCCATCATCGTTTATGTTGCTCTCCACTATACCCCTAATCTCCTCTTTTCCGCTTACTATTCTCCATGGACGTTGCTTTGCTGGATTCGCCGATCTGATTCAAACCACTCCCTGCTGAAAGTGTTGTCTCTGCTCGAGCTGGCTCTGCTGCAGTTATTGTCTCTGATGAAGTTGGTGACTCTATGGGTCCGGATTGAGGGCATTGAACTAACGGGGGAGCCTGAACTAGCTGACCGTTCGGGTGAAGCTGGCTGCTCTGGAGCTGGTTGTTCTGGAGCTGGTTGTTCTGGAGCTGGTTGTTCTGGAGCTGGTTGCTCTGGAGCTGGTTGCTCTGGCTGAACTCGTTGTTCTGGAACGGGTTGTTCTGGTAAAGGTTGCTCTGGTAGGGGTTTCTCTGGTAAGGGTTGCCCTGGCTGACCTGGTTGCTCTGAATTACCTGGGGAGCCTGGCCGAGGTGATTGTTCTGGATGGGTTGAAGATTCCGGTCTGCTGCCACAGGCATACAATTCTGGTGGCCTGGATAAAGCTGGGGCGTTGAATACACCTGATGGACTGGATATCCTTGAGTGACTGGCTGCGCTGGAGCGCCAAGCGCTGTGGCGGCGAATCCTTGGACACCATACATGGAGGGACACTGTGCATAGTATTGTGTCTGAGATGAGAAGTCTTGTTGGGCGTCTTGGCTTGCATTTACCTCCAGGGCTTGACGGTTGTTGGGAACGATGCCCGGATGAGCCATAGGAAGTGTATTCAGAATCTCAATATTGCCGTTGTGCTGCATATTGTGATCCCTGTTCTCGTTCTGTATCGTCCCCAGAACATCAAGCTCAGCAGCCAGGCTGGACATGTCTTCGGGCCACGAGAGTTCATCTTTGCTTAAGATGATGGGTATCTCCTTGATAGCTTCCCAGATCTTGGTTCCGACGTCATAATCCGCATTGAGTTCTTCTTTCTGGGCAGCATGTGAGGTATCCTTTTGCTGGACAGATTGTGAAGTATCCTGTCGTTGGACAGACTGCGAGGTATCCTGTCGCTGGATAGCCTTTGAGGTTGACTACAGCTGTTAGTATGCTAATCTCATTGAAAACTGTATGTAATTTGAGAGAACTTACCTGAAGGTCAACCACAGAAGACTCAGGAGCCATGGCGGAGTGATTCACCATTCCGAGGTGTGATTTTGAGCACGAAAATTATAGAAGGCTCTCTGGCAGCTTTTCTGAATGTCTCCGGCAATATGCATATAATAAGCTCTGCTTAGGCTTGATAATGGAACGTCAGAAGATGATCGGTGGTGGCATTGAAGCAAGTGGGATTCCACTACAACATGGTGGTCTTAACGAGGCGAGAAAATAGGGAGAGGACAAGGGGAAGAACAAATAGACATATCTAGCATGTAGTGAATAGAAACAAAATTTACTACACCTTTATTGGAAGAAATGGGTAGCACGAATTCATGCAGACGAATAGAACGACTTTTCTTCGGCTTTTCGAGCCTGAATATCGTCCAATTTGTCTCCTTTGCCATCGCCGTTGATGCCGGCTCCGTCCACCAAGGCCCCCGTGACAGCAAAGAATGATATTAATCCTCAATTTTCGCGCCTCAGGCCTAATTCCACCAAGAAGTTCCCCATCAATGTCACAGTTAACTCAGCCTGCCTATAATGCCACTCGTTGACTAGTTTCACTTTGCTGATTTTCCACTACCACTTCCACCGGCCCTTCTAGTCATCCCAGAGGCACGTGAGCTTGTGTCCATCACTTTGGCACAGAATTCTTTGAGCAGGCTGCCAAATGATGTCGACTTCAGCGGGGACGTCTTGGTGGTCTCTGCTCCAGGGCCTGAGTAGATCTTGTCGTTCTCGTCGACGTCTTCATGCCACTCCGGATCTCTTGGAACTTTGACCCAGTCGTCACTGCTTGCCCTCTTTCCGCCGTCATCTTGGTCCGATGTAGTGTGTGGCATTTTGTTGGTTGGTTTGAGGAAATGATGTATTTGTGCTGAGTGGCTGGCGGTTGATGAATTTGTTTTGTTTTGTGAAGCAGTCAATGGTTTCATTTGTGGCTTGCAGTCAGGATGGCATTGCTTTTTTGATTTCCTTCTTTCGACTTGTACTTTGGACTCGGGTGAGCATGCTGTTGTAACCAGATGATTCGTGACAAAATCTAATTTGAGGTGATTTTGGGGACCGGCTCGACATTTTAGATCATATTACCAGACAAATTGGCAGATATGGGGTTGGGAGGGTATCCCGGGAGCGCATAGAACCATCTGGATCGCATGAAGATCTGGTTGATTATGGATGGATTCTATTGTGCATCAACAATTTCTAGACATGTTCTGAGGCCATGGCTTTGTTTTCCTGCTGAAGAAGCCGGGGGAAGTCAAGTGATGGCCTGTGCAGCTGTCATTTTCTTTCCTGTCCTGGTCTGCCTGACTTGTGTCGAGTGGTGTTACTTGCCCTTGATTGCTTCCCCAGACCCACTTGATCTTCCCCAGGTTTTACAGGGCTGAGATGTGTGGAGTCAGAGGCCCAGACACTGAAAGCAGCACCAGACGGTACTGTGTACCACCCCATGCTCACAGTGCCTGGCTCCACAGTAGCAGAATTTGTTGCTGTCTCGCCGATTTATTCCAACCCTAACCAGCGCACAATATTAAAAGCAGCTACATAGCTCAGGGGAAGAGTGAGTCAATTTGAATCTGACGAAATCTGTACCATCAAGTTTCTAACAACGTAATCAGGCGCCGGGCTCATAACCCGGAGGTCGCTGGATCGAAACCAGTTGTAGCTATCCAATTTCTTTTTGCTCCTTTTTGGCTTCTTTGGCAATGCTTGCCGATGCAGGCCCATTGCATTTTTTCCAAGTATTTGCACCCTTCCATACGCATAGTGATTCCTGTCTGTGAATTTCACATTCTGTCTCTGACCAAACCATGACTTACTGAAACCAGGCAGCAAGCATGTGACAGTCTTGTGTGTTGTGCCACCGAGCACTCCAGGCAGGGAGAAGGGCCAGGCCTTCATCTTGTAGAACAGAACAAGAATTATTGATTTTGAAAGGCGTAAACAACTAGCCCGTCATCAAGGGCACTGCTGATGTGAGTCAGCCATGGCACCCTGATGGGACACCTGATGCATTTTTCGGTGCCATTCTTGCCGTTTTAACTCCGGCCTAATCTATGCTGACCGGACTGACCGTTCAGATCCAACGCAACAGCATTTCATTCACAGGGAAGGTGGCTGGCCGCTGCTGCTGTGAACAGACAGGAATGAACCTTTGTAGACCTGGGCTGCCAGTGGCAGGGTTGAGGATGAAGTCAGATTTTGAGCCTCAAAGGTACTTACGCGCCTGCACAGGCGCGCTTGAGACAGGGAGCTCCTTGCATGCATGAGATCTGCGCGAGAAACTACCGTTTCAAGCCAGATACGTGCTGGGTTCTGTACAGTACCTACTGTGTACAGCGGGGTTTGCTCAAGCGCATTTGATATTTCGGGGCTCTTATCGATACCAAAATTTCCAAGTCTTCCCAAAAACATCACCTCTGACAGGGAAGCAAAATGGCAAAAACAAAGGGCAAAGGTATGCAATTCTCTTGAAAGCCCGAGATTGGCATCTTCAGAGGACGGCGGGAATTTTCATGTCTGACACAGACTCGCAGCGCCCTCCATCCACTCTCGCGCCGCCCGCCGAGCCACATCGCCCAGCATCAACACCGACAAGTCGCTGAAGGATGTCAAGCCACCGCCCGAGTCCGTCGACTTCCGCCCCTCCGTCCTCGGCATCCACCAGAACGCCGGCGTCACCAAGAAGAACAAGCGCGGCCGCAAGGCCGTGATGAGCACCAAGGCCAGGAAACGGCACGAGAGGGGCCTCGAGAGGGCCGAGGAGATTGTCGACAGGACGTCCACCAAGGTCAACAAGAGCAAGAAGTCAGCCTCGAATATCGCCGAACGAAAGAAGGGCTGGGAAGACATTAATGCGCAGGCGGTCGAGATCGCCGCCGCCAAGGCGGCCGGGGTGAACAAGTTCGCGGGACTGGCGGACGGTGACGACGAGGACGTCGAGGAACTCGATGATGAGATGTGGGAGGCTGAGAAGAGCACAACTGTGGTAGATGATGCGCCACCGCCGCCGCAAGACGACGACGACGAAGAGATTCTATGATCATACGCGGCATTTTGTTCTTGGGATTTACGACCAGGCGTTGGGGAACTGATACCAAATGCAATACAACATCGCTTTTTTGCACAAGGTTCTTGCAGGATATTGCTTTTCTCATCTGTCATTGCCTCGGCTGGCGGGTCAAAGCCAGCCCCTTACTTACCAACGTATCAAGTTCCGAGGTGTACGGGCATCCCTGAACTTCTACTGCAGATTTCGACGGGAACGGCTGACGTACGAAGCCGTATTGTCGGCTCAATGCTTACTCCCACATACGGCTCTACAATTGACACCAGCCACGGACACAGCAGCACGGTTCAGCTGACATTTTGCAATAGTCCATCTCGTAGTCTTGAATTGACGTCTCATTGAACAGCTAGCCAAGACATGGACATTCTAACAGAATGCTCACTTACGAAGATACCCTCTTCGACACAACGCCGCTCCCCGCCATTGCGCCTCCCTCCCGCCCCCGCCCACCAGCTAATAAGTCCTAGACCGGCCCCGGAGCCTCGGTATCTTGTCACGAGGTCTCCCCGTTATGAACCTTATTGCACTCTCGTCTCCCCAGCCCGCTCGCTCGTACATATCCATCCATTCCGAGCCCATGCTCGACACTGAACTCCCCGGGTGCGAACTATGCTGCGCTGATTCTGTGCCTGATGAGGGCAAGAAAGACGGTCGAGAGGAATTCGAACTTGGTGATGATACTGCTGTCGAGGCATCCCGAGTCTGCGGCAGCGATGGCGGATGTTGAGTGCTATCAGCTGTATAGTAGCCACTGTCACCTGGGCCCCTTCCTGTCATTTTCTGGACCCGCGCCTTCTGGCTTCGAATCCTCTCCACTGCGGGCGTGGCAGGACGCAGTTGGACAGGCTTCCGCTCTGTGTTCTGGAAATTCACCGCGGCGACATCAGCTGGCACTGATGGAGGCCGCTCAAAACAGTCTTCAGGCAATACGCCCGACAGATGGGTGGGGGGCTTCATCTCGGAAAGAAGAGTCGATAGGAGATCCAGCACATCAGGTCCCCCAACGAATGCGAATCGAGCCTGTACGCTATTCGGCGCCTCGGCAGCCCGGTCCTGAGGCCCAGCCTGGTCCCTGGACGTAGTGATACGAGCCGAGAGGCCGCGGAGGCTGTCCTGGAAGGCGGGCAGGAACAACTCATCGCGTGGCCCTACATAGGCGATGCCAAGGCCACCTTGGCGCTGATGGGAGGAGCTACTCTGTGGTGTCTGCTGCGGTACTGCGTCTCTCGGCGCCGTACCTCGCCGTGGTGTCGGCTCGTGCGAAGGCAGCTCCGCAGGTTCCACTTGTGACATTGTCGTTCGTGCCGAATGAAGAAGCATCCCATCCCTGCCAGACATATGCTGCGAATGTGGAGGTCGCGACGGTGTGTCAGAGGCCTGCTCAGCAGGAGGCCGATGTTGGTCACTTTGCACCTGAGGTGCTGGCCGCCTCACACGCAGAGGGCTCGGAGTCGCTGAACTACGGCGCAAGACACTCTCCCTCGGTCCTTGAGGAAAGACGGGCGGAGGAAACTGTTGGCGGACTCCAATGCCTGCTTCGCGCCGGATCTTCGGCTGGACAGGGCCGTAGTCTGCAGCTTGATTGAGCCGGTGAACACCAGGCTGTGCTGCTGGATTGCGGTTTGGGAGCTTGCGGCCCATTTGGTGATTCCGATCATCCTGGCTACTTTGATGGTGTCCTTCCCTGCCAAGATTTTGATGCGGTGGTTGGTCATGCGCTGCCTGCTGCTCCTGAATGGTGGTATTGATATTGTTGGCATTCGCGGACGAGTTCGAGGAGACGGTTTTGTCGGGCTGGGGACTCGAATCGGCAGTGCTATTATCACCATTGGCCTTCTCCAAGTTCATCTGGTGCTTGATTCCGGTGCAGTACAGCACTAGGTGGCACAGTAGAAAGAGAAACACGAGGTGTCCAGCCGTGATGCAAAATGCAACGACTATGCCGTAGGACGGCTTGCCCGAGGTGCTCAGAAGTGCCGTACAGACGATGACCACGAATACGACGAACACGAACGGGATCCATTTGTACGTGATATCAAAGACGACTTTGCGAGTCCGAGTCTTCTTGGCCATTTCGAATATATCTGGACTCATGTTAAAGAGGCCTCGACCGAACATGGCTTGGTGAGTATCGAGTTCCGCGATCAAGCCCGCGGCTCGAGGCTGTCTTCCCGTAACACACTTTATGTATCGCCGGGTGGCTCCTCTGCCACCCTCTCCTTTCATGTTGATTCCACACAGGGGAAATCTGCTACACGATGATAAGAAAGCGATGGAGTTCTGATTCTCGCAACGAGGTCTGAAACATCTTTGTTCTAGCGACAAGACAACACCGGGGGGAACAATACTGCATGTCTGAGATTGCAGTCAATTGATCAAAGATTAGATGATTATATTTTCTGCCATGATACTTCATTATAAAAACATAGGCTCCCCTCCATTCCGCCCTTGCTGAGGCAGCCACCTTGCATCCAGCTCGTAGACCTGGGGCGGGCTCATCGAATCTCGAGGGTACGGCCTGTGAGCTCTGTTGGGAGGCTGTACACCATCCCATTGACTGTTCCATGCACTAAATGACACGGGTGTTGCCGGAAGTTCGGCCGGCGCCGTTCTATTGATAACTGAAGGTACCCAGCTGGGGACCATTGATCTCCGCTTCTTCTTCGGGGTGGGCTGTCGATAGTATTCTTTAGGATATTCTTTAGGAGGTAGTGGTGGGGGCGTTGCTGAGAACCTCTGAGCGATTGACTGCCTTTTTTGTTTGGCTGTTTCCTTGATGCGTTTCCTTTTGATCCAGGCAAATATCACAATTCCTGCGACGGCAGCAACGCCGCCAACAGCGGACCCGGTGGCGATACCTATGGTCTTAGGGCGGTCTGATGAGGAAGTGTCCTTGTCGGAATCGGACACGTAGGTTGGCATGACCACTGTATACGTCGAGTCCGCCGATGACGAGGCAGGTGTAGTCCCGACAGAATCCGTCATGGTCGGTCCTGATTGTGAAGCTGATGTTGCGGTCGCCAATATCCCTGTCGATACCGGGGTCTCACTTTGCGTCAAGACACAAATCGAGTTCTCATTGCAAGAATATCCAAAGGGACAGCATTTGTCTGATCCGGAAGCATCTTGCCCGCAAGTCGGTAATGAGCCGCTCAAATTAATCGAGTGAACGGAACTGGTTGGATAGGCCGTGGCATTTTGTACGGCGAGAGAGCAGGTTATGGGCTCGATCGAGGAACATGTGCCGCCACCGGGACAACAAATCACGGCTGTCTTGTCAGCGAGAGGGATGCAACTCTCAGTTGATCTGCAGCAGAACTCGCTTGGAAGCCCATTGTCGCACTGGTTGTAGTTGGAGGGGCAAGAGTCTGAAGACGAGCGCGGATGTTGTCTCAAGGCCTTCAGGACTTCGCGGCGGCGTATTGCGGGTTGGATATCCAGAGGGACGATATGTGGAACAGATATTGTCGTTTCTCCGCCGACCAATGCGAAGATGGACTGTGGGTAGATGAGACAAATGAGAAGAAGATGAATAAGAAGGCCTGATGAATACATCGGGCCTACATGGTTTTGAATCTGAAATGTAGGAGAGCGTCGATCAACGGGGCCAGGGGTGACGGACGTTGAGAGCAGACGACGAGGTCAGGTCGCAAGGAAGGGGAAACGAGAAACGAAAAACAGGAACAGAAACAGCACCGGTAGGTGATATACTCAGGAACGGCCCCTTCCAGCCTTACCAAAAAGGACATGCGTGAGGGTGGCCGGACCGGGGCGGGACTGATATATCCTCCTTTCGAGGCCATCCGCTTGGCAGGCCGGTCGACGGCAAAGTGAAGAGCCTCTTTCTTCCCACGAGTCCCTCAAGGGCAGAAGGATTCCCAAGTGTGGAGAGGGCCCTGCCTAGAACACTCGAAGGCCAGAGTCCCACCTCTGGCCTTGTGCAGGCGCGCCGAACACAGTCCATGTCGATCAGACTGCCGCACAGCCAACAGGCCAGAAGTGGGAGGAGAGTCCTTGGAAGGGGAAGGGCGGAAGTGGATACATGCACAGTAGACCGATCCATGGCCTGCAAGGGCAATCCGCTCAAGATCTGTGCCGCGAGGGCGCTTACGAGGCGCCGCGCTTATTCGCCGCCATCGACCTTCCTTCACAGCCCCCAGGCCACCCAGATGGGCCAAAGCCTCTTCTAAATTAAGACGACTGTTGGGGTCCCTCAGTTTCAGGCCGGCAAAGCCCGTGGCAAAGTGGAAAACCGGTTCTGGGCCTGAAGAGCAGGTGCTTAATGGCGTGCCATGCAGCAGACAGATGCGTGTATAAACGTGTGAAGTGCTGAGCATGTGCACTCCACTCGTTATGCAGTGCATGCTCTGGCAGGGTGAGTTCGGGTTGCCCGGCAGGGTACTGTACTGTACTATAGTGTCAGTGGGGTCGACTTCACCCACACCTCCAAGTCTCCAAGTGGTTACTTCGCTCTACTTCGAAATTCAAATATGCTGCTCATTTCTCTTCCCAACGGATCATGATAATGCAGAAAGCAACTGAGACCATCAGACTGCATCCAAAGTGCCCAAGTCGTCACATGTCTTCCTCCGCCAGGCAGGATGCATCAGATCGCAGGACTTCAAACAAAATGGCGTTGCCTGCCTGGAAATCTGTCGCATATGCCTGCAGCAGGAAACCAAGTCCCACCGGAATAGATGCACTCGCACAGTGCTAATCATGAGAGGCGGTTTTCGTAGTCCTTCGCTGGACGGGTCGAGTTTTGCTTCCGTTGTGGGAATAGCAGCAGCACGGATCGAACTCCAGCAGCTCCTCCGGGGTCCTACAGTACCGAACCTAGGCAGTTCCGGGCCAAAGATCACCGTTTCCAAACGTGCCATACGCACGTGGCTGAGGCAAATTATTCTCTATGTGCTACAAAGGGCTTGTGAAGAGTCTCGCAGTTGCTTCTTGCCCTGCCGTGACAGGATGAAATGGTTCAATTGCATAAGAAGTCAGGGCGAGCAAGGTCCAGGAGGGTGATTTGACTCACTTGAGCCCTCCAGACCTTCACGATACGTACCGCACTTACTCCTCTCCCGATCTGACAGCGTCTTCTTCATTTTCTGCCCCAATGACCATTTTCTTCCTCCCTCGTGGCGGATGGCCTCCAAGCTTCCGCAGTCAGGAAAGGGAGGGGTAAGAGCTCGTATCCGTCAGCAGCTGGATATGGTGGGATCCTGTCGCGCAGAAATACTACCCGCGATTACAGCTGGCTTCACCTTGACTGGGGGCCATTTGAGAGTTCAGATCCCGAACAGAGCTGAGAAGGCATGAGGCTGGTTTAATCAAAGCAGCAGAATTGCTGCAGGCTAAAGAAGATATTCTCGACCTCTCAACGCTCAGCGAAAATGCCGTCTTCGCGCGAACCGGTCTATGAAGCTGCTGGTCTCGCATGGTTGGCCACGTCGAGCACTAGGAGCTTCGGATGGGCCTCATGCCGCTGCAAGCCCAGTGACAGGCGAAGGGGCCATATGCATTGCATTTGGCCTAGCCGTCCAGCTGCAAACCATTCCCAGGACGGGGCGGAGGAAGAGACAATGCTGCAGTGTTTTGAGAGACGATGCAGGCAACGTAGCAGGAGATGGCCGCATGAGGAATATATTGTCCTTAAAGTTCCTTCAGCTTGCGCACTCTGCGCGGGTGGTCTTACATCTCCAGAGCCGCTTATTGAATCACTGGCGATCCAATAGCCGGCCCCTTATCCCTTGTGCCATTGATGACGATACTGCTGACCAGATCACTCCGATGCATCTTCAAGATCTCCTTCAACGCACTGCGCTCCATCACTATTCGCCCTGCCTCCAGCAGGTTCTTGACATCCACGTCCTCCATCTCCATTGCCCTCCCGTGCTCCTGCGCCACCTCCAGGCTGGTAAACAGGTTAGGCCGCGGGTCTGTCGTCACGAACGTCGTGCTCCCGTGGTTCTTCCCCCACCGCAGGCCAGTCATGACGTCGCCCAGGTAGCGCGCCACAAAGCCGTCTTCCAATTCTCTGCTCAGCTTGCCATTCTGTGCGAGGGCAAGGAAATCCTCCGGGAGCGGCAGCTCGAGCCCGTCCTCGCACACGATGAGCTCCCCTCGTCTGTAACGGTAAGACAGCGCTGTGCGCCAGGCAAGGTCGTACACCTTGCGGTTGAGGCCGGTGCCGAAGTCGCGAGGGTGGGGGCCAAACGACTTTCCACCGCCCTTGCGCAGGGGTGACTGCTTGGTTCCGACACGCGCCTTTCCGGTTCCCTTTTGCCGGTATACTTTGCGATGCGAACCGTGTACTTCGTAACGGGTCTTGGCGTTGGCTGTGCCTTGGCGGGTGTTGTCTCCTTCGTATGTCACAGCCAAGTGGAGTATGTCCCGCCGTAGAGGCAAGTAGAGGTGCTTTGTGGAGTAAGATTCGAGGCCTCTGGGCTCGAGGCTGGGGAAGTTGTAGATGGTGACGGGCACTGTGGAAGGAGGGTTGAAGGGAACGAAGGCAGCAGGCTCGGCCGATGGTATCGTCAGGCCGGAAGGTGTTGTTGTTGTCGCCATTGTGCGCGACGCCATGTATGCTATTCCTGCCTGTATGCGCCATCAGCTTCATGTGCTCCCAAGTGATGAAGGCGCGTTCCCCATATCGATGCAACTTACAGCAGCTGGTTTTGTGCTGCGGCAGGGCTGTGAGGCCAGGCTCAGAGCCCTCATGGCCTCATTGAGGCCCCTGAAGCCCTTGCCAGACATCTTGCGGACACTAGCACCGAGCACGAGAGAATTTGACGAGAATGGCCGAGCTACAACGTTGTGCGTACGACAGTCGTCGCAAAGAGTGAAGTGGAAGCTGTCGATCTCGAAAAGATCCAAGATGGGCGGCGCGCACGGACCCAACTGCGCAGAGACGCTGCGGCGGCAGGCCGGCAGCTCGCCCGAGCGTGAGCCAGCGCCAGGGGTCCGAAATTTCTGAGAAGCCCAAGCTTCATGTGAGCTTCAACGTCGCGTGCCGGACTTGATGAACGTGCATGCAGCACGCTCAATGGTCCTCTGCTCCACAACAAAAATGTCGAGGTGTCAACAGGTGGCGCTGCCCCTGGCCCGCTGCCTGCGACAAGGCTTAGCAACACAGTCTGCTGCTCCCTCAATACATGCGGCAGCAGCACGATCATTTTCGAGCTCGGCAGGCCGTCGAGACCTCGAGACGACCACGACTTCTTCATCTACCTCTGGCGCCGATGCGCAATCGGCACAGGACCAGGCCAATGCCACCAAAGCGTCGAATCCATTAAGGGAGCAATGGCTGGATCCCAACACCACGACGCTATTGTGGGCAGAGAGGCGGCTGTTGAAGGAGGGCACAGAACCCATAGGATCACGAAGAAGGAGAGCGGCAGTACGGCAGTCGCCAAATATACCTTTCGAACAATTACCTTACCACTGCTTCCAAGAGGCCCGGAAAGTGCTAGCCGAGGATCGCGCAGAGAAGCTGGAGCAATTAAAGAAGACATCTGCCGAGGTCGCGAAGCTGGAACAGAGGTCGCCTGATGCGTATAGGGGCGGAGAACAATTCAAGCAAAAGAGCTTGGAATCGAAGCGCAGTCATCTGGAATATCTCAAAATTCAAGCCGACATCAACGACCCGGCTGTAAGGAGAAAATTCGAGGACGGCCTAGGTAAGCCGCGGTCTGGAAAGTGTCGATGATGTGATGGACACTGACATGTGCACTCTAGCGGACTTGAGCAAGCCTATTTACCGCCACTTTGCCCATGAGAAATGGCTTGGCATGTCCTACAAAATCCTCGCCCAACGAGTGCAGCAATTCCACATTGTTCCGGATGTCCTGCCACGGTTCGAGCCCAAGATGGACGTGCAACTCTCCTTCCACGGCTACAAGGTCACTCCGGGTGAAACAGTCGACTCCCTGGTCTCCGAGGCACCCCCCAACCTACGCGTGCAGACGTTCGATAATAAGGAGCGGCTCGTGAGCGTAGTCGTGCTGGATAGCGACGTGCCAGACCCCGAGAAGGACGCCTTCGGCCCGCGCTTGCACTTCATGGCCGCAAACGTGCCTCTCAACTACCTCACCAAGAACATCTCTCTGAGCCGCCTCTCCGGCAACAAGGAGCATCTTGCCGTTCCCTGGCTCCCACCGACGAGCCAGGAAGGTGCGCCGTACCACCGGCTCTCGGTGTGGCTCCTGGAGCAGCACGAGGGCCAGAAGCTGGACGTCGAGAAGCTGAAGGAGGCCTACTCCAAGCGGGACGGCTTCAACCTGCGGAGCTTCCGCGGCGAGCACAAGGCGAAGCCGTTCGGGTTCAACATGTTTCGGGCCGAGTGGGACGAGGGCACGGCCAAGGTCATGGAGAGGCACGGCATCCCCGGCGCCGACGTCGTGTTCAGGCGGAAGAGGGTGCACAGCCTCAAGCCCCCGAAGAAGGCGAGAGGCTGGGAGGCGAAGAGACAGGGCCCCAAGTACAGGCAACTCTGGAAGTACACCAAGAGGATCGGGCGCATGTCTGGAGGCACGTAGAGTACATTTGCACCTGGATTATTGGAGCCTTGCCGAGCTGTTGCGGGGGGCCATTGTACCATATTGTCAAATCTACGTTACCCCATTGGATGCCCGATATGTGTGATTCCTCAGATTCCTGGTCGGCTCTTCTGTCCCGCAAATATTGTGATTGCTCTGACTTCCCATCAAAATTGTGTCTGTGTGGATTCCGAGCGTCTCTTTCCCTAGGACAACAATTCCATCTACTGCTAACTGGTAAGTAGGTGGCTCATTGCCAATACTGGAAATATAGCGAGTCAACGGAAATAGTTAAGCACCAGGCGCTGTTTGCAATGGTGGACGCAAAGTATAAGCGCACATGAGATCGTTAGAACATTCAGATTACCATCCTCGGTTAGAACGTTTATACCAATTCAAAGCGAAGACCCAGGACTGGGTACGTGCCGAGCCTGTTGCTGGTGTATATACTATTCGGGTATAACTGCACCGTGGGTAGGCACCCGAGGGCGGCATCAAAAAAGCCTTTGGAAACTGGGTATTAAGATGGCGGTGAGTAGGAAAGATACATGAGCCGAAGTACCGGTGCCCTTTACAACGCAAATGGGATAATATGTCACATTGGGTAGCAAGAGGAATACTCAACCGCTCCCAAGACTGAGCCTGGGATAATTTGAGCAAAGCAAGAGATCATGCGTGGTAGCTATTCGCGCCACAAAGTACTCCCCACTCGATCGAGATCACGAGGGAGAGAAACAGAGCGCCGGCAAAGATCTGCGCCCGCAACATAATCTAAGCACACTTGACATTTTGGCCCCCTTCCTCCCTACCGGCAGTTCACGCACACGCCTACCTACTCGGCCGAGCCGGTGCTCTCACCCGGGCCCCGGCTCCGGATGACGGGGCGATCAATAAGATCGACTGTTTCGGTCAGCATCCAATTGTTGAACAAAAGGGCAAAAAACATGCGGAACGACGAAATCGTGCATGGAGCAGACACGGCATTCTCATGCAGAGGACCGGCACACGATAAACAAGGGGAGATGGATACCAATGAACACAGGGGCGGGATATGTGTGAGGTTGCCCACATGCGGTGATCGTCCAACCACCAGGGGACTTGATATCCCATTTGCCCAACAGGGTGGCAAGGGTGGTGGCCCGCCATGCAGCTTGGAAGCTACGTACGTCATACAGCCGCACCCATTGATTCCTGGGAAACCGCTTGGTGAATATCTGTGATATTGTAACAACCTGCGATGCGGATTTTTATATTTCCTTCTCTTTTCTCTATTTCTCAATTCTAACTTCGTCAAGCTTTGCCACTTTGTTTCCCTATTTTTGCGCTATCAGTTTTGACATGTTTGCTCCCGTCATTTGTAATTGCTGGCGCAAGCCCGCAGCCTCTCGAACAATCGCACCCCCCCCCCTCCAAAAAAAAAACCCTCCACCTATTTGATTATGACGAAGTGAAGGCCTCAACACCCTGCGGCAGCCTCCAGTGCCTACCACAGTCACAAGATCTGCACACATGACGACATTTTTCGGTCAGGCCTTTGTTAGCATTTGAGGTAGCTAAATCCTGTGATGTCTGACTCCCAACTCCTACAAGACGCCGTGATCCCTTCCCTCTCGTCGTCACTCATAACAGTTCCCCTTGAAACCCAATGCTCGTGCTGTTACCTGGGAGGAATTTGCCTGTGCCACCCGGTATGACTACGAACTATTACAGCCGCTGCTCATATGGGACAAAACTAATGTGTGCTCTGCACCATCTTAGCACCAGCCAACGGAATCAAGCCGGCCTCGAGGGCTTGCACGTGGCTTGGACGCCATGAAGCACACTTGCTCTCGACATGACTGGCTGTCGTCTCCCCTCCGGTCCAAGTGCAGCTTTTGGTACCGGATCTTCCCCGCCACTCAATGCATTGGTCGGTTATCGCACCCAACAAACCGGCCTTGTAATCATCGGAGGTGTATTCCCAGCCGGGGTATCAGCAGCAACTCAGCACTGGCGTCAATTGATCCCTAACATCGTCTTCTCTGACAAGACGACCAACAATGCTTGCGAAGGGACCGAGGCCCACTCAAAACTCTCTTCCTCACTAGAGATGGAGCAGGTTTTTTGAGTATCAATACGTAATCAAATCGACCATTAGGTGTGTCGCGGGCTTCCACCGCTCCGTCGCCGACTGACGACGCTGTACGGGCCATGTCGAGGCTCGGCAGGCTCTGTTGAACGCGGTCTCATTCTCACTCGTTAGTCCAGCCCATGTGGTCGAGATTGATCAAGGATTCCTCCTTGACCTTCGGCGATACAGAAGACATCGGCAATGCAGGGTCTATTGGAGGTGTTGTATCGATTGAAGAATGGCCTGTCTTGCATCAGGAATGTGGTCTTGATATCTCTTCATCTTGCGATTGAATGCTTACCCTGAGAATAGGATGTGCTCTCCCGGCGCGAGGATGGGCCAAGATCGACCATGGTGCTTCCAGAGACGTTTCCGCTGTTCCGATGTTGGCCTTGAGGCAGATAGACCGAGAGTGGATTGGCCATCGAGAACATGCTGGGACCAGTAGTCTGCACGATTCTTCTAGCTTGGTTGTTCAGCCACTCGCTGATGTTGGGATCATTGCAGTCCGCGTGGCTCATTAGCATGCTTTTTGTCTGGTTGAGCTCATTGACCAGGCCACGGTGCTCCAAGCGGAGCTCCATGTTGTGGCGCTCTAAATGAGACTTGTTGTATTCCAGTTCATGCACCCATTTCTTCTTCTTCTCCCGACACTTGCTGGCTGCGATTCGATTCTTCTCAAGAAACTTCTTGCGCTTTTCCGTCGACTCGTCTTCTTCTTCTTCGTCCTCATCTTCCGATTCTTGCTTGACGGGCTTGGACTGTTTCTGGCGGGCTTTCTTCCTTGGAGGCTCTGAGGACTCAGGTGCAGATTTTCGTGCCGAAGATGTGGCATGAGTGTCTTGCAGTGAGGCAATTGAGTTAGTGCTTGATTTTGTGCTGATCGACCCTCGCGCACCAAAGGAAGTCGGTGTCAGTGGCTCCGCAGCCTTGCTCCGTGTCGACATAGCTCCTTGATTTGCGAGGAGACTGGGGTCGCAAACTTGGTCACCGTATGAGATGTCCTGGAAAGGCATCACGGGAGACTGACCCAGGGAAGAACGGGGGCTCGGGAGGATGGAGGCGTTCATCGTCGAGTACATTTGGCTTGACGTAGACAGAAGCTCTGTTGGTGCCACAATGACACCGTCTTCAAGACTGTCAGGGTATGAGTTGATGCCGTCTAAATCGAGGAGGTCACTGGTGAAGTGAGAGGGGTCTTCCATGCCGCGTACAAGGCCTTGGCAGCCGATTTCTCGCCCTAGGCGATCTCGAAGCCTGTCGTGCTTCCCAATTGACCGGGGGGAGCAAGAAGATACCTCCGGATAAGCAGGCAAGAACAGGTATTTGGTGGCTGATACTGGGGTTTTATGACAGCCTAACTAGGTGTGTTGAGGTCCTGACCGGTGTCAAGCATTCGCCGGAAGGTCGTCGCGGAGGTGTTGTCGCGGGGGGGGTTGCAAGCACACCACGGCGGGCAGATCTGGACGGCCAGCGGCGCAGGATGACGTTGGTATGATAAAACACCAGCCTGTTCTGCCGCGCAAAGAGGCCACAGAAATACCTGGAGATCTGCTCGAGTACGGGGATGTCAACCACGGACTTCTCAATCACTGAAGAACGTGATGACGGCTTTCCGGAAACGGATACTGGGATCGAAATTAAACAGCAACAGGTGCAAATTGGAACAAGTTGCTGTGGCCTGCGAATTGACTGGTCTGCACCAGGGTTGGCGATGAGCCCCACAATCGAAACGGGGTTTCGGCGTCTTGCCTAAGGCGTCGCGAGGAGATGGTGAGTGTCCTGGGGGGAAGCTGGGTCCTGAGCCAGGAATGGGTGGCTTGCTGGGGTGAGATGCTGAGCCCGAGTGGTGCGAACGCAGTCCTGGTGTTGCCGGTGATTATCGGCCACTTGAACGACTGTGTGCTACAATGGAAACTTTGGCTCAAGTCGATGAGGTTCGTATGCACACTGCTGCGGCTGGCGAAGCTGATGTACCCTGTAGGAGGACCGCGATCTGTGACCGGCTTCCTAAGGCAGTCGCAGGCTGAAGGTCAGGACCAAAAGCTCCGGAGGCGACCTGGAACGCGACTCCCAGGGGGGGAAATAGGACTAAGAGGCGATTGAAGAAGGCACAAACGCCGCGCGATTGTTATCAAATTCAGCAACAGAGCCCCATGAAGATTTAGAGAGCGGTAGCTGCTGCGTGGTTGGTGCTATTGCTGCTACTGCTGCTTTCGCGTCGTGTTAGGTGAAAGCACAAACAAGCTCGGCAGGTTGTTGGTGTGCGTTGGCCGTTGTCTTGCAGTATGTGTAACGGCGTGTGAGGATGTGCGGATGTATGTACTCATGTGCCTAGGTGCGTATGCATGCAATTGACAAGTTTTGAAAATAGGTAGTTGAAGATGGTCACTCAGAAAGTCAAAAGTATCAAAACCCAACAGGCTTGGTTAAGCCTGGGTAGAGTGAAGGGAGTGGGCGGGCGGATGGATACCAAGATATGGCAATGTACTTCACTGTCCGTATGCTATGACGCGGACGGTGTGCTGCAGGGGGGACAGAGGGGCGTAGATTCTCTTTGCTAGTCAGATGTATGGACGGCTGAGGATGACAACCAGTTCCTAGGTCCGCGCAGGTGGCAGGATCTTGTTTACGACCGGTCCAGATTGATGGGGATGTGGTTTCAATGACAGAGGCCGGGTATCCGAAGTTGCAAGGACTGGGGAGAAGAAGGCAAAAGTGGACCAGGTGTGAAGCTCTGCTCCCGAGCAGCAAGACACTGGTAGTCAGTCAAGCTCCCAGGCTGATAATGGAAGCCGATGTGCCCTCCCTCTGCCCTCTCTCTCCCTCTCTCCTGCTCTCTCTCCCTCCCTCTCGCTCTCTCTCGAAGCTACCACGGGTCCCACTCGGCCCAGGGGCGGGGTCCAAGTTGTCCAAAGCTTGGAGCTTTCCGTTGAGGCACATCCCGTGTCCGTGCTCTAAACACAAGGGTAGCAGGCTTCAGTTGAAGGTACCTTGAGAGTACATAGCCTGTCGCCCAGGAACACGCCTGGGGCTCGTGACTGACTATGTACCGGGGTAGCAACGGCTAGAGCAAGCCAGCCCATGCGAGAAGAGAGCCTTTGTTACTAGGCAGACCCAGAGCGAGCTACGAATGGATGAAAATCTCCTCGGAGAAGAGCAGGCAGGTCGCCCTAGCAGCTGAGAACAAGCCCCGCCAATTTTGGGAATGCTGTGTGCTGTGGTGGAAGAGACAAGAGACAAGGTTGATTGGGTTGCTTGGGGTTGGTTACATGGGATTGGAGGTGTCCCGATCGGGTGCGCCTTCCACCCAGTTGCCCAGTCCCTTTTCCAACTTTTCGGCAGCTACGGACCAAAAGCTCCTGGCTGTGCCCCAACCGCCTCCTGCCTAGGTGAGCAGATTGTACAAGGGTTGATTGGTACGTAATTGCTTGGAAGGAGAGAGGCAATCTTGTCCAAATCGGAACAGCAGCTTCACCAGTGACTATGGACGCCTACTGCAGCAGTTATAGGCACTGATTGAGCTTGCGAATAAAAACATTTCCGGACAGGGAGCGGGAGCAGGGGGGGGGTGGTGGTGGTGGGTGCCGTCGGGCCTGTGAGCAGCCAGTCGAAATTGGATGACGGGACAGGGCAGAACGTCAAGCGAAAGTATAAAAGTTTAAGTTCCTGGGTGAGCATCTCCCCAAGCAAAAACATGATGGGAATCTTGGAGATTCCCATGTTCGCCAAAAGACAGGAGAGTTGCCACCTACCCTTCCTGCTCAAGCCGGATCCTGGCAGCCGCCACCCCTTCAAATCTCATCCAGGCCTCATCTTAGTATTAGCGGATTAACTAGTCGGTGTCCTAGCTTATTCTTCAAGGTTCAAGGGCATCTGCCCCAGAGGAATGTGCGGCGACAATAGACAAATAGGAGCCAGTTGCGCATGGGTCGGTAAGCCCGCGATATTTTCTTGCAACCCTTGGAGTCTGGCCAGTTTTCACACTTGACAAAAACCTGGGTAAAAACTGGACCGACAGCACTGCATCGTCAACTGCGTCGTGTATCGATACCTGGTATGATGTGTAACGCGATGTGCAGATTTTTCACGTGAGACAGCCACCCCAGACGAGGTTCTGTAGGTGATTCGTGGGCGACAGAGGCCGGGATGATTCGGTAGATCCCACTCTAAGTACGGCATTGTAGCAGTAGTCAGTCACTTACTTACAGCTAACAATGCGTCCGCCATTTTTCGGGAATGACGTAATAGCAGGTCGAGAACGGGTCTGAGGTGTGATGACGTTCTGGGCAGAGATGCAGAGAAAAGGCCGAGAAGACATTGATAGCACTACGATGCTGGATGCGGGAAGATCAGAGGGGGGAGGGGTCCGGTCTGCCCGTCTGGCTCGTATACCAGAGGGAGTTGACTATGCACAGGTGCTGAGCGCGGCACAACTGCGCGTAGTGGTACTGAGTTTGGTGTAGACATTATTCAGGAACAGGTCAAGACCCCCCCCCCTCCCGGTGGCAAATTCGTGCGCAGGGTCCTTGTCGCCTGTCAGAAAAAGAAAGAAGAGGGACTAAACCATCAATTTCTGTCAACCTCTGCTCCCGGTCGCCTGGTAGCCCTCGAGCTCTTGGGAGCATCCTGCCCAGGCCCCCCTAGCTTCCCGATCTCCCGCTCGCCTGCTGTCTGCCCGCCTGAGCCTGGAGTGGGGCTCACCCAGGCACCTACAGCACCTGGGCAGGCAGTCTTGAGCCTCAAAATATCTGATATCAGACCAGACCTTGAGCCTGTTCGGGCTGTCAGGGCTTCCCTCTCACAGACGTCGCTCCTTGAGGCGTTAGAGTGCTCAATTGCACACAGACAGTTCTGTAGCTCTCGTCAAATCTCATATCAACTTCCCGCATGTAGATGTACATTATGAGTATCACGAGACAGGGCTCAAAATCTCAAATATGATAAAATTAATGTGTGTAATGTGATTCACCCGGCGAGCCTGACAGCCTGATGCACCGAGGACGGGATCTTGGTGAAGTGAACCGTCGACCAGAATGTAGGTTGAGTCAATGAGTTGAGTCGAGCTGACCCCACACCCAACCAAAACGCGTCCCCGGTGGGGCGTCCCTGGCTTGGAAGTCGCGTCCAGGCCCCCGGCCCCCAGGGCCAAGCTAGCTGCCCTGTGATCCCACCCTCCCGCTTCTCAAAACCATCACTCTCCCATCACCACATAGTCATAATCTGCAGCCACATCAAACAACTTCCTCGCTCTCGGCTGAGATCTGACACGGCCGAGATCAATTTTGGATCCTACCACAACATCCCATCCACCCTCCATCTCGACCTCGAGGTCCCGCTCTCCCCGGTCCCACGTGTGTTGAACAGCACTGGCGCGTTGCTGCTCTTTGGCTCTAAGCCGAATCTGGACGGCCGAAGCAATCAATCTAATCCATCTTGAGGACCTTCACCTCAACTCGGAATCTGGACTGCTAACAGACTGCCTGTCATTACCACACACCACCTTTTCACAGGCAGTTGTACTGCAGATTTCAACTCGGCCTTGTCGCCAAGCCCGGGACTTTTGGAAGTTCTAGATCCCATCCAGTGCCGCCATCACGAGCCACCGGTTCACCATGGAGTCCCAATCCACACCTCGCATCACTGCCCCCTACCTCGACGCCTACCAAGGCCGCAATGTCATAGTCGTCGGTCGCGTCGTCCAGCTTCGAGGGGAGGCCGCAGTCATTGACGCGGACGGGAACATCACTGCCCACCTGAATCGTGTAAGTGACGATCTCTTCCAACTTTTGTGCCATCCCAAACAACCAAAGTCATGCGGCTTCCCATCTTGTTCACTCGGCCCTCCCCACTGATACAGGAAATCCCGACCATGCAGGAAGCCCACCTTTCCAACGGAAACGCCGTACAGATCATCGGCAAGGTCAATCCAGACCTGTCCATCCGGGCGTTAAGCTCACTGGACCTTGGTGCTGGCGTCGGTACGTCTCCCTGCAGCTAGTTCTTCCCCGGGACGGAAACCTCTTCCTTAGCCCTCCTTTTCTTCCTGATCTGGTAACCCATGCAGTCCATATCATGGATCATGGGCCGCATGTGGACCCTTCTATCACACTTTCATCACGTGATGACCTGCATCATGATCAAGTCGCGCTGACGTCAAACCGTAGACTTGAACGTCTATCAGCACGTGGTAGATGTCTCCCAGAAGCATGACCAGCTCTTCGGCGCGGGCTCCACCCACTGAAATCCGAGTAAACGTAGCAGGGGCTCGTCTCGGCCGGGCCATCCGATTCTGCGTCCCAATGACAGCCTTGCCAAGCCCCGAGGCTGACCAGGAGGGTCAACAGGTATGTTGGATGTAACCTAGAGGGTGGCATGAGTAGGCTCGATCTCAGCTGCGAGTTGAAAGCGCCGTTGTCATCAATAAGACCACACCAGAGACCACAACAACCTTTCCCAGTCATTTTTGCACCGGATGACCTGTTTTCAAAACTGGATGTCCAACCTGTTGGAGCCTCGCCAGCACGAACCGGACAACGAGAGAGCCTATGCCTGGAAGGATCGGTCCAACCAAGAGGAACGTAGCCATTGGACCCTCGCCGGAGCCGTCGAGCTGCATCTTCGGTAGTATCACCAAGAAAATCAAAGGGGTTGGAGTCGCCTGGTTGGCTATGGATGACTTTAGACGATGGCGTCTTGTTTGCAACACAGACCCAGACATGGCACTCCCGGGTGATGAGAGATGACACCCTGCTCAGGCCAAAATTCCCCAAAACAGCTGAGCTGGGCCTTGAGATGCCTATTCAAATGGCATAGTGTGTTCGAAGTACATAGCTATTCCACGTCTTATCTTCTTCCACTTCGCCTGTTTCAACCAAGCAGATATTTATGGCACGTTCAGAATCATCATCACAGTGAAGAGTGTGGTTCAAGACTTGCACAACAAGACTTGTACAACAATATTTAAATCTCTTTTGAGTCTTTCTCTCGTTGAATTCTACGATGGCAATGTGCTATGTTAAGGAGTAACTGCTCCTGTCCTCAAATGGCAAATGACAGTGCCCAAAATCTTGCGCGGCCCTTATTCGCTCCCAACCGCCCGTAGACCAAATATCTAGTCCAACAAACCCTACCGCTAACGCCAAACTCAAAGCAACATTCCGACAGTGATAGTCCACAAAAGCAGATAAAACAACCAAGACGAGCACATGGGATGGAAGGCCTTCATTCCATCTCTTCGGGCGCTCACTCGCCCTCTCCGCCATCCGCCATCATCGCCTCACCGAAGCTCTCCCACGAGACGCCCTCGCCGTCCAGGCCCGTCTGGGAAGCAGACTCAAAGGACACATGTGTCCCTCCCCCGCCTTGCTTGCTGATCAGCGGTGGCGAGCTGGGCATCACCGTGTCGGTGGTCAGGAAATGGCCGAAATCCAGCGTCTCTAGGTGCCCCGACAGCACCGTGTCGCTATCCAGGTTCGGCAAGCTTGCGAGGTCTAGGTCGCCCAGGCCGTGCGCCGACGAGCCCGTAGTGAAGTCATGAGCCTCCGACAGGAGCTGGTTCAGTGTCGATGAGAAGGGAGAATCGTATTCGCCGGTGCTCATTGACAAGCCATGTGCCTCGCTGTACATGCCCATATCACTGTGGTCGAGTGAAAAATGTGCGTGTAGGTGTTGGGTTGAATGACTGTTGAGATCATACTGCTGGGCAATACGCCTCATAGCACTCGATACTCGGGGTGTCTTGGTGGGTGTTTGTTGCAGAGTGTGGAGGGCATGTCCGGGTGACTTCGCGACCGAACGCGCCGACCGTATCGACTTGGACACACTCCTAGTTATGGGTCGATGGCTTGGCGTTGGTCTAGTAGGCGTCTTGAAATGGCCATTGTTCCGCTCCATAGGAGGTGGTGTTGATGGGCGGGGAGGTGTACCGAACAAATCCGCCATATCGTCATCAGCTTGCGCGGTACGGGCACCGGGTTTTGGTGTAGCTAGGAGCTTCAGGTCCCCGTCGATGTCCAGGTACATATTCTCCTGCTCCATAGCCACCTTTCTTGACCTCTCGTAGGACGGTGACGTCTTTACGATGTTAATTGCGACTTCACCGAGCACCTTGGGCTGGCCATCCTTTTTAGGGGAGGGAAATAAGAGTCGGCGTGTCCTCCCTAAATCTTCTGTGTCCTCAGCGGCAGGAGCCTGAGCCATGCCGTTGTCCTGTGATTTTGAAGAGCCCCGACGATCCGAACACGTCAAAGAATCCGATGGACCGGCCGACTGTGACTTGGAGCCACGCTCACGACTGGGTGGCTCAGTTGTTGGACCGCGCAACAGCATGACCTCCTCACCATTCTCTGGCGATGAACCCTCATCGGGAGGACCAATTGGGTCCGTGGTGAAATAAGCCTCGGAAGTCAAATTGGCAGTTCCCTTGTTCTGGGCCTTGCCCTTTTTTGGCCGAGATTTCCCATTGTTCTTCTTGCGTGGTTTACCAATCTGGGCTGGATCAGCCTCCCACCTGTCCTCAGGCCGATGATTCTTGAACTTGCTGAGCCAAATCCCACAAGCTATTGACTGTCAGTCCATTGCCCTTGAGCAAAGCCATCGTAAAACCTACAGTTGCAGAGCATATCTTCACTCCATTTGGATTTGTCCTCCGTTGGTCCAAGGGCTTTCTTGATCACCTGGTATTCCAGAGGCTTCTCGTTCTCGTCCCGCTTCGTGATAATGATGGCTGTGATACAGCCGGGCTTGTCAGAGAAAACGGGGAATTCAGGGCTTCCTTCACAGTGTTGCGAGTAGACTTTGCGCCAAGTCGGTGTGCTGATCGCCCCGCAGTTCGAGCAGAAAGTTGGCATCTGCCCGGCTTCAATTGCTTTCTCGAGTTTTGCTTTGATGGATTGTTTTCGAGAAATGTTTTTGCTCGGCGGAGCCTGATCTTCCTCTTCCTCAAACGAGCAATAGGGAAGATTAGTCGGCTCAGGCACACCCGGATCACTAGCAGCAACAGGTGGTTTAGCAGCCGACACAGTTGCATCCGCGGTTGATGGGCGATGAGAGGGAAACCGTGGCGGCTCTGACATTGCCGGCAATGCATGTGCCTCCTCCATCGAGTGAGCCGTGGGCAAGCCGTCAGCCATGGGCTGGTCCAGCAGGCGCAGAATGCCATCCTCCGGATCTTCGATTGACTGCAGAGCAGCAGCTTCTGGCGCAGGTGGTTCGCTGGCTGATTCACGTGATGGTTCATGTAGCGGCTCGATCAGAGGGCCTGATTGTGCAAATTCTCTTTTTTCGACTCCAAGCTCCGATGGCGGTTGGGGCATTGGCGGTGGGCCAGGGAGTTCAACGGGCATTTCCTGTCGTTGAAGATTTGGCTCAGTATTTGCTCTCTTCAACGGATACGCCACTGCCTTCGTACCAGTTCCTCGAGGTTTTTTACTGAGGGCTTGTGATGTGGATTTGGGTTTGTATATGCTCTGCTGCGGAAGTAGCTCTGGAGGTCCAGGGCAAACTTGCTCGATAATCATCATCCCCGCCTTCGTCACTGCTTTCGGCCGGTTGGCGGCGCCGGGACGTGGGGCTTCTGCAACGCTTGGGTCCTCTGATCGCGGAGGAAGCGAATTCGCCAGAGCGATATCGTCGTAATCAGCAAGAGAGTCGAATCCTCCGCTCATGAAGCCAGAATCAGGTTGCGGCATTGGCATCGGCGGCAGAACAGGACTGGAAAGAGGCGGGCTAGACCGCATAGAACGAGCTGATCGCGGTACTGGAGGACTAGAACCGATGTCTGCAGGGCTCTCTTCTGGTGTGTAGGCCTGTTGTGGAGATTGTGCGATGGATTCGGAAGGCGAGCGGGCGTCTTGACCCGGTGGACCAGGTATGCCACCGTCAAAAACCTGATATCTCGTCGAGCCATCATATCCCAGCACTGACGGCCTCCTTGATTGTGCCTGAGATAATGGTTTGGAGAGAGGACGAGGAGGCGCTTGGCCAGGTACAGGCGTTGGTGCGCGAGGGATTTCTTGGAGGTGGCTTCCTCCCACTCCGCTGGGACCAGACGCGGCGGGCCTCATGGTACGCAGAGAACCCGATGTACTTGCAGCAACTCGCAAAGAACCAGGGGCTGAGTCTAACGGAGCCCCCTTAGGCCAGTCAGCCTTAGTAGTCTTTGCCCTTTTCTTCTTGGCAGGCTCGTCTCCATCGGTCGCGTCTTCGAGGGCAGACGTGTCGCCTGCATCCTGTCTCGGCCGCTTAGGGGGCCTGCCTCTTGGGTTGCCCGTCTTTTTCTTGTTAGGCGCCTTTGACGACGACCGTTTCGGTTTCTTTGTTGGTGCGGGAGCCCCCGGCGCGTTACTCTTAGATGACGCAGATGCATTCTCAGGAGGCGGTCCTTGCGAAGATGGAGCGGAGGCGAACGAGGACATTGGTGCCACCGGCTGAGGTCCTGTGGCGCCGGGGGGTGGAGGCGTAGGTGCTGCGGGCAGTGGTGCAAATTGTTCAGGCCGAGAATCTGGGGCCGGGCTGGGCATCTGGATAGGTGTACCAAATCTTGCAGGAGCGAGGTTTGGACTGGGCATCGAGGGGCCATTTGTAGGACGGCCGAAACCGGGGTTGGACTGCATGAAAGACGACCACTCGCTGGCAGTGTCGGTCGGCGTAGGTGTCGGGGCATTACTACCGTACCCTCGTTGCATCTCAGAGTTGTGAGAAGTTTGGGGCCGCTGCATTCTCGGAACGGAGTTGAGCTTTAGCTTGACCTCCAATGTCTCCTTGATACCATTGCCAAAGATGGCGAGCATGTTCTTGGTAACGCGTCCAGTGACTAGCTTCTGCTCAGGGCTGGCAGCCGTCTGGTCGAGGCCCCATGATAGCATGCCTTGCCCGACCAGTGGGATGTCGTCTTCTGAATAATCCAAAGCGTAGACGGCATAGTCTTTATCAGGCTGGTTGACGATCTCGGGGCTGCATTGGGCAATAGCCTGCAGACATATTCTCAAGTCGACAACGCCGATCGTAGTCCTCTCGTCGACAGGAACTGTTTGTATTTGCAGGGTGTGAGGCCAGCGTGCAAGGCAGTTCTGCTGGTCCCTCTCGAAGGTGTAGTTGACTTTGACTGTAAAGTAAAAGGTGAGCTTTGGAGGGGGCCAAGGTCAAGGAGAGAGCAGTCATCTGCTTACGTCCCATAGGCCGCATTTGCGTCCCATCTGCCTCTTGAGGTTGTGATTGCGGTGGGAGGCCATGCGAATGATACTGCGCCCAGGGGCCGCCCCCCTGGGAGCCCATTGCGTTAGGGAACGACATAGTCGTTCACTGGTCGTACATGCATGCAATGTAGACGTTTAACCACGGAGACGAGGATTAGGTTGACGACTAGTGGTGGTTGTGCTTGTGAGGGCGAGGGAGATGGGGAGATAGACAACAAAGAGAGGAGGATGGTGGGTAGACGGCAATGGTATCGGTGGGACGCGTGAGACGTATCGACAAGAGATGGAAGGGAAGGTTAAGATAAATGGGTCTGGTGGAATTGAACGTAGTTTGTATGGAAGGAAAAGCAATTAAAGGCTGGTAAGTGGTTTGGACCTTGAACGGGTTTTGCTGCCACGAAGGTCGCGTCTCGTCTCGTAGCTTTCACGCGTCCTTTGAATGTGGAGTGGATCTTCTGTAGGTGCTAGGGGACAGGCCGGGGCGGTGGCCGGCTGAGAGCGCGGTAAGAGCACGGGGCCAATTGCGTGCACAAATAACGCGAATATCTTGCAGGAGTTTTCCAATTGATTATCCAGTGGGTTGCATACGCCCTCATGTATTTTTGCGTACAGGAAGGCGTTGCAGTAGGTGTTGATATATTCAAGAAGAAGAGGGTAGGGAAAAAGAAGAAGAAGGCGACGTGAAGGTGTGAGGTATCGCGACACGCCTGCTATGCGGGACGGGTACAAACAAATTGACGCGACGAGGAAGGAGCTGACCGACAGCTGCAGGCAGGACGTGAATGGACTGACAGGGGTAGCTCCCAGCGGGTCAGCCTCACACAGGCGGGATGCAGGTACCTTGGTATAGGACCCCAGCACCCCAGTAACGCTCGTCCGTCCTCAAGAGAGATAAAACGGCGCCCCACACCGATAAGGATGAGGATAACGATAAGGATGACGTTCTCCAGGCCCTGGTAGCACCCAACTGAATGTCGACTGTCGATCGGACTTAAGCACTTGAACTTTAAGGACAGCTCCGGGCGTCTCAGAAGGCAGCCATCCCACCATCAAATGCCGACCAAAATCAAACGAGAGAAGTAGAGGAATCTGGGGATTTTATCTCTTCTCGGGGGGCCGGGGCTTCCTATTTATACCCCCGAGTAACACGGCCGCTATTACCAAATGACTCAAGCCCCGGACACCATCTCTCTGTCGAAATCCTACACTTTCACGTCCGCTCACGGATAGAAGGGAGCCTCGCCGCCGCGACATTTTGCATCAACACAACCTGTTCCATTTGAGGTCTCCCCACACCCAAGCTCTAGCCGCATTTAGGGATCAACAAGGCCAAGCCTGATAATTATGCATCACCCACAGGACTGAGGCTATCGTCAGCATGCATTTCGGACCTATCTCCAAATCCCAAGTCATATGCACCCAGCACAATATATCATTTGTACATGTATTGTATCAAGGCCCAGATCTTCTGACCACTCTACAGCTGAAAATCTATCTGCTATTCTTCATCCACCCATTCAGCAATGTTGTTGCCGGGAATCACCTTTGTTTTCCGCGCCACAATCTCGCTCACGACCTCCCGCACGCCCTGCTTGCCATTCCTCTGCGCAGCGAAGGCGTTCACAATCTGGTTCTGTGTGTAGCTCTTCCTCGCCGCCAGATACTTCACGTCCTCCTCGGTTGGCAGCCCGAATCTCCTCCAGGGATACTCGGGGTAGTCCGCATCTGTCAACAGTTGCAGCGGGGCCACATCGCTCGAGATCTCAAAGAACGGCTTGGTGACGTTGTCTTCCTCTTTGATGTCCTCCAGGCTTGCCGGTTGCCACTTGGGCTTCTTGTCCTTGTCGATGAGCTGTGCCCTCACGCCCTCGGTGAAGTCACCGTGCCGCATGAACTTAGCAGCTATCTGGTGCTCACGCTTGAACGTGTCGGCAATGCTCCACTGCCGGCCCTGCTGCATCTGCTTCAAAGCCACATGGACGGACGTCGGTGACCTCGCCCTCAGGGTCGCTATCGTTTTGTCCGCCCACTCCTTCAGCGGGCCTTCAGGCTGCTCCTCCAGGGCTTTAACGATCTCATTGACCGTGGGCTTCGAGAAGCACCGGTCGATGGCCTTGCGCAGCTCTCCTCCCAGCAACACCGGCTGGTCGTGTGGTAATCCGGTGGAGTATTCCTCGATGACGTCGTTGATGAGCGACAACCGCTTCTCTAAGCTGTCAAAATCCCTGAACCTAAGCTCCGACAGCCGTGTCTCGAGCATTGGGAGTGTGGTGGAGTGCAGATAGTGCGTGGCGATACCGGCGTAGAGCACATTCGCCGCCTTGAGTTGCTCGCTTGTCAGGGCCAGGTAGGTGCCCACAGCGCCAGGCAGACGTGGCAGGAAGAATGAAGCGCCGACGTCGGGGAAGAACCCAATCGTGGTCTCGGGCATGGCGAAAACAGTGCGCTCCGTTGCTATCCTGAATGGCGCATGGATGCTGAGGCCGACGCCACCGCCCATGGTGAAGCCGTCCATGAAGGAGATATATGGCTTCTCGTAGGTCGCAATGAGGTGGTCCAGCTTGTACTCGAGCGCGAAATATTCATCAGACGACTTCTGACCTTGTTCTCCTGTCATGTTTGCTTTTGCCAAAGCCGCGACGTCCCCGCCGGCGCACAGAGCCTTCCCTGCACCCTTCATGACGACCACGTTGGCCATGTCTGATTTCTGCCATTCGATGAGTCGCGGAGCTATTTTGCGGATCATGGACCCGTTGAGGGAGTTGAGTTTCGACGGTCGGTTCAGTTCGATCGTCCGTAGGCCGTATAGACTGTTGAAGACGACATCTTCGGGCTCGTCGCCTGGCTGTGGTTTCCAGATTGCTGCCGATGATGATAATGAGGACTGTTCAGGGCGTTAGTATCAGTCAATTGGCCAATATACTGGTCTAGGTGGTCATACAAGCCTTCTTGAGCCTTGCTCCGGCTCCACGATCTTCGCTCTGAGGGGAGACATGACACTGGCTCTGCAGGGCCGACAGCAGGCTGATGCTGTTAGGCCAGCGCGTGCCGAGAGCGCCCTTGCGAACATTTACAAAAAGTTTGGTGACCCTCGACCTGGCGAATTCCCTCAGACGTGCATTGGAGGTCGACTGATCGAACTAAATCGAGTCGAAAAGGAGGGAGGACTGGGAGAATGGGGAGATAGCGGCGGGATGGTTGCGACCGGTCTTTCAGAAGCTCCAAATTTGCCGACATGGACCTCCAACCGCGGAGCCCTGGGAAGCTTGGGGCGTCATCCATGCCAGGACCGGCCAGAGCTCCACTTCCCGCGAGACTCGCCCAATCAGATCACAGCTGGCTTTGGGAGCTCCTAATTTTCTAGGCGACGTCTCGATGCGCTTGCTGCGTTGAACGTGAAAGCCGCGGCCTTGTCTCTCGTCTACAATCTAATCCATACACATACATCGCGACCACCCCACAGACACGATGGCCGACCCCAAGATCCAGTCAGTAACTCGTTATGATCTCATCTCACCTGACTTGGATACTGACTTCATAACACAGGGAACTGCTCACGAAGCCTCGTAACGAACTCACGTGCGTCCCGCCCGCCTCAATCTGTCGCGTCCCGCCGCCGGGCTGACTGACTAACTGGCTTACTTGACAATAGTGAATACGAGATATCTCAATTGGAAGAGCGTACGTACACACCTCGTCGATAGTCCTCTCGTCAATGCGCGCGCGGTGTGCCATCACTGGGGCATGCACGCCCGCAGGTGGCACATCAGGCACCCGCGGGAAGAGGACAGACACATAAGCACCAAGGACGCAGTCGCTAACACCTACTCTTGGGGGAAACAGATGAATTCTCCGCTGGGCCCCTCTCTATCCTCCAGACCGCCGTCCGAAGCCACACCCAAGTCCTGATCTCGATACGGAACAACAGGAAGCTCCTGGCGCGGGTGAAGGCGTTCGACCGGCACTGCAATATGGTCCTCGAGAACGTCAAGGAGATGTGGACCGAGACGCCCAAGCTGTCCAGTGGCAAGAAGGGCCGGCCGGTCAACAAGGACAGATTCATCAGCAAGATGTGCGTTATCACCCCCCAAACCAAGAGGATCGAAGCACCCCCGCTTCTATGTCGGCTGTCGGAGGCCTGAGACTAACGTGGGCGTTGCAGGTTCCTGCGAGGAGACTCCGTCATCCTGGTGCTGCTGAGCTGAAGGAGGGGCTGCGTTTTTACGTTTCACGATACCCCTAGGAGGACTACGTGCTGTCCGAGTCGTCAGGGTGTGTTCTGCTTGCTTTTCAAAAAAGGGTCAAGGTCATTCACATATGGACATAGGCGTTGAGAATTGAGTCGACTTTTCTTCTGGGATTCCAAACAAACAAATACTGTTTTCGCATGCGTGAGGCTCGACTTCCATGCATGCTGGTATGTTACTTGACATGGAAATTAAGAAGAATTAGGTATTACAGTCCGGACGCCCTCCAAAGATAAAAGCCCAAACCTCCGGCTCATAACTCCGCGCAGACCAAGCACTTTGGCTGGTGGTGGGGGCCAAAACAACTACCCAACAAGGCTACACCTTCTCCCAGCTCTCCTCATTCGCCTTGGGTGGGCTCAGCCCTGCGACACCGAGGAAGAAGTACGCCAGGCCCCAGGCACCCGGGTCGGGCACGTGCTTGAACCCCGAGCCGCCGACGTAGACGGACCGGCCCAGGCTCGCGACCATGCCCTGCGTCGCCTCTGCGGCAGCTATCGACGCCTCGGCCGCCTTCTGGACGTCCCCGGACTCGGCCAGGGTGTCGACGAACGGGTACAGCGCGTCGACCAGGGTGCGGTCGCCGGGCCGTGCGGGCGTGTACTTTGAGAGCGCCTCGCAGGACTGCTTCAGGGCCTCGGCCCAGACCTTTGGCGACGCGTCCCCCGGGGCCAGAGTGCTGAGGGCGTGGACGAGCGCGTTAAGGAAGATGGCGTAGATTGCGCCGCTGGTGCCGTCCATCGCCATCTCGACAACGGAGACGATGTTGCCGGTATCTACCACGGCGTCCCCGCTCAGGGGTGTGGTCTTCAGGTGGTCGATGATTGCTGGATTTGTTGTCAGTGAACATGCCAGAAGTGACGGACGAGATCATGCTTGCTCACCTTCTGCACCTCTCTTCAGCCCAATACCGCAGTCTCCGTCTCCGACTACTGAGTCGTAACGAGTGACGTCAGGCTCTACTGCGATCACGTACTCCAGGCCTTTTTGCAGGGCCTTGGAAGCGACGCTCGCATCGTACTTGAGCCCGCTGGGTTTAACTTCACCGCCTGCTGACGATGTGTCCTCCCGTGTCGCCTGGTTCTTTTCCTCCCAGGTCTCCTTGGAGATAGGGGCTGCCCACCCAGCTGCCTCAGACGGGTAGTCCAGCAATTGGATCATGCTCGGACCACCGATTTCTGTGTTGACGACATTGAGGAGAGTGATGCTGAAACCTAGACCGTTCAGACTCGTCATGTAAGTGCCACTCAGTATCCTGACAGGCCGGATGCCGTAATCCTTCTGCAGCTGTGTGACCACCTCGGCGGTGATGCCTCCCAACTCGAGGACGCTCACTCCACCCAGATTATTTACCAACAAGACGATCTCATTTGAGTTGACGTTCAGGAACGCCCTGTCCTTGTCCTCTTGGTCCAGCAGCTGCTTCAGCATCTTTCCGACCAATTGTGGCAGCTCGACTTCTTCCCTGCCGCTTCCGGCCTCGTTGTGAATACCCATGCCGATCTCAACCTCCTTCGCACCCAGGTTGCCCGGGTCATCAGACTTTGGCGCCGCGCGGCCGGGCACATGGACGTGCTCCAGACTGGCGCCGACGCTGACCAGGTTGGACGCGGTGAGCCTGGCGACCTTGGCAACGTCTTTGAGGCTGTAGCCCTGGGCGGCCAGGGCGCCAGAGATCTTATGCACGAGGACAGTGCCGGCGATACCCCTGCGGCCGACCTTGCCGGCCTTCGCCCTCCCAACGCCGACGTCATCGCCAACGACGACCATCTCGGCGTCAACACCACCGGCGTGGGCCTTCTCGACGGCCATGCCGAAGTTGAGGACGTCGCCGGTGTAGTTCATGACGGTGACGAGCACGCCCTTGTCATGACTGACGCGGGTCTGGATGGCGGCGCGGATCTGCTCTGCTGAAGGGGAGGCGAAGATGGTGCCAGATACTGCGGCGGCCAGCAGGCCCTTGCCGACCATGCTGGAGAAGGAGGGCTCGTGGCCGGCGCCGCCGCCGGAGACGATGCTCACCTGGGGGTTTGAGGAGTCATTGGGGGTGGGGCGCCTGTAGATGACCTTGTTGTGCTTGTCGAGGGCCAGGGAGGGGTTTGTGAAGGTGATGGCCTCAAGGGCCGAGTTGACAAGGTGCGTTGGGTCGTTGACAAAGTGTTTTGCAGACATGATGGCACGAGTACGAGCCTCGCCCGTGAGGAGAAATTGCTAGGCTTGAGGGGGTGAAGGGAATTGAATATCTGGATTGATTCACTCTCAACCTTGCTGCTTTAGCATGCGCTTGTCTGTGAGGAGAGGCCGGCGCACGCAAAGGGTTTATAAAGACCCACTGGGTGGTTGAGAAGGAGGATGGAAAAATTACTGATTGACGGAAGAATTGAGGGGAGAGGAGCTGGGGCGAAGGAGAGCTCACATCACGATACCTACCTGAGCGTGGCCTCGCCGGCAACTAAATAATCTAGCAGGCGACGGGCGAATCGACCCATACAGACAGCGAGGAGCTGTGTACCGGTGGCAGATGGTGGCAGAGCACGTCGGCCGTGGTGCCAGGAGGCGCCAGGAAGTCAGGGCCCCCGGCCTGCCAGTCAGGTTCCAGTCAGGTTCCAGTCAGGGTGAGCAAGTCCGCGCGGAGGAATCTAGAATGTCGGCTGTGGAGCGCAGTGGGATGAGCCTGTCACGCGCGGGGGCTGCTGCGGGGGAACGGATGGGGTGATGCAACCTGCTGGGTTCTATGCTGGTTCTTTACCGTACGGGCTGCACGTCTGCAGCGCCGTCTGCAGCGCCGTCTGCAGCGCCGTCTGCAGTACCCCATCCGCCCATCCAACCTGTCAACCAACCCCGAGCCCCCGTTTCTCCCCCCTTCCGTCCCACAAGGGAGGCACCGCACCCGAGCGAACGGTGGCCGCTTAAGCGAGAGTTTGTCTCTATGTCTGTCAGTTCTGTCTTGCATTTCCTGAACCTCCGCGTCGGTCTCGTCCCTTTTGTTACCCCTCCTTTCTCAGCCCCTCACATCCATCCCCAAGCCCAATCCTGCCCATCCCAACCTTCCATCCATCACCTCCACTTCTGCCACTCCATCGCATCGGTCCCAGCTCTGCGGGCCGGATGCCTTTTCCGACAGTCTTTTTCCGGGGATTTACTTTTGACTCTGGCCATTCAGCTATCCGATCGAACGGTTCATTCTCTCATTCATTCACACATCCGACCCGTGATTTCGTTATTCATTCATTGATTGTGTGTAGATATGTGCATATTGACAGACAGAATACCTGTTGTTGATTTACATCTCTGATCTGCACGGGTATCTCCTCATCCATCCATCAATCATCTAGTTCTCTATTCGCCTGTCACCCGTCCACCCTCTTTCCTTCATCCATGCTGTTCCATGCTGTCAACCCGCCACCTCCGGCTTGCCACTCGTAACAAGCTGACGAGTCGGCCTCGGCGTGTCGCACTGCGTCCAGCCAGCCGGCTGGAGATGCTGTGATGCTCTGCATCTATCCATCCATCCACCCATCCATCCACCCATCCATCCGTCCACTTAAATCCCGTATAGTCGGCATTAATCATAATATCAAGGCCCAATCCCCACTGACTTAGACGTGGGCAAGATCGCCATCCCAGCCCACAGTCAAACTCCTAGTAGAATTGCGCCGCAGATCTCTGAGCGGACCGGAGTCAACCAGTCAACCACCCCAGGATGTAAAAAGAAAAATCTCATATCATATCGTAGGACAGAGCCACCAGGGTTGTCGACTCATTTCATCACAAAAACTGATCCTCCAAGAATGCTCAACGCGATCGCGCTTGTCAGGAACCCAGCTGCGACCCTCTCGCCCGTCGTGACCGGCGCCAGCACGGGCAGCTTGTCCTTGTTTTCGATGCCGGCGTTGGGGTCTCCCTTCGACGTACCGCCCGTGTTGGCTGTCACCGGTGCTGTTGAGCCGCCGGCGTCGCTACCGCTGCTGCTTCCACTGCCTCCGCTACTCCCGCCGGCATCCACCCTCCTGGTGAGCGAGTACGTGACGGCTGACAGCGCGCTCATCTGCTGGCCCACGCCGACCAGCCCGTCGAACCCGCCTGTTGTCCACTTGAACCCGCACGCCGTGCCGGCGAGGCCGTTGAAGCCCTGAGCCGGCGACCCGGTGCAGGCCTTGGCGGCCGCTGTCGCCGTCTTCTGCAGCAGCGGCATGATGGTGTCGAAAGTGTAGGGGGCCACCTGCGTCGTGCCCGACATCCACCGCAGGAGGTAGCCCTTGAAGCTCTGCTGGTCCGTGTCGCAAAGCTCGACGTTCTCGCACGCCTGCTCCATCACGACGCTGTTGTTGAAGAAGACCGACGTCGCCTCGGTGAGGATCCCGTCCAGCCGCGACTTCCACTGCGCCTGCTCCGCGCCGCTCGTGATGTTGTACATGATGGCCGACCCGTGCATGTAGATGCCCGCGTTGTACGTCCACTGGATCACGTCCGGCTTGGTGCAGTTGGCCCCGTTGTCCACCCCGGCCCCGTCGTAGATGCGGAAGTCGTTCGTGATCAGGTTGACGCCCTGCTCCCACTCAAACACCCGCTTCGCCCAGTCCGCGTACGTCTGGTTGCCCGTGAACCGCGCCAGCCGCGCCGCGATGTTGAAGAAGCACCCGTTCGAGATCGAGTTCTTGTAGTTGAAGCCGTTGTTGAACGTGAAGATCTGCCACCGCAGCCCGCCGTTGCACGTCTGCTCGTCCCACCGCGTCGTGTACTCGTTGAACACGGCCTGCGCGAGCGCCAGCCACTGCGGCTGGTCCGGCGGCGGGTCCGGGAACCGGTTCTCCGCCGCCGACATGGCCGCCAGCGCCCAGAATCCCTGGTCGTCGTTGCCCTCCGTCCGCGTCTGGTTGGCCGGCATGTAGTCCCGGTCGTCGCCCACCTGGTGCAGCATCGCCTGCGTCACCACCGAGTTGTACGTCTCGTCCTTGGTGAAGAGCCAGTAGTCGATCATGGTCCCCATCATTGCCCCGGCCTCCCACCAAAAGTATGGTGACGGTAGGTTTCCCGGAACATCGCCTGTGTTATTTCCTGTGTAGTACTTCATCAAGCCAAACGCTATCGTGCTCGCCGCCGACTTTACTGAGTCTGTAGAATCTTGTCAGCCCAGCAATTCATCTGGACACATGCAGCATATGAGGCACTCACTATCATCGTTCATATTAAGATCGACGGCGAGAGCATTCTGGCAAAGCAGGCTCAACAGCCCTGCTGCCCCGAACACGCCCTTCATCGTGAAGAATATAGGAAATGAGTTGAGAAGGAAGCCAGTCTGTCTGTCTGGTCCTCGATTTGACCAGCAAAGAAACAAAGATCTGCGATACCAAGCCGCTCTACGGTCTCCACAGCATCACACTCAAAAAAGGAAGGAAACCAGGCCTCGGGATACGTTCAATGCCTCGGCCTCGGGGCTCGATCACAAGATCGGGGGTAGGGAAAACGTTACTCGGCCTGGAGCAAAAAAAGAAGAGAACCAAAAAGTCACAGATTAATGAATGTACACACCACCAGGGCTAGGCAGTGAAGGCAAAAGTGTGAATAGAGTTGTGCCCAGTAACCAGAGCAATAGGAAAGGAAAGAGAAAAAGGCCTTGGAATGGAAAACATGCCAAATCGAGAGACTACATTGGAAATGACAGCGACATCAGCCCCAATGCAAAACACCACCACCCACGAGATGGCCCGCCACGGCGTCACAGGCCAGGGAGGAGAAGCCAATCTGGTCTGCCAGCAACTTGGTCTGATCCATCGGATGCTCGACGTGCCACGAGGCTGTGCAGTTGCCCCGGGGGGAGGCGTGCGGGCTGGTGAAACGGCCCAAGTTCGAGGTTTGGGCTATCCAGTCTCAAGACGGCCGGCCGCCGGGACCCCTGCTCCACCTGCGCCAGACACTCCAGGTCAGGCGCGGGTTTGGCAACCCGTCACTTTACCCTCGCCTAGCATGTGCCAGCGGGGGCCAGCTTTGTTCTTATTGTTGTTCTGTGTGGAGGAAAATTCAAAAGGGGGTAGAGTCAATGGCAATCTGTAGATCTGAAGCTTATCTTCGCAGATCCCTACGGCTTTGTTGTGTTCGCGACGGCGTTTCGAGGGCAATTTGCTGGGCTTCAGACGCACCGCAGAAGAGTGGATACTTGCTACCCTCACGCTTTCGGGATTACTGTGCGACTGTGCATTTATGCCTCGCTGCAAGGTACCGTCGCTACGAAGCATACTGTCGGGAGAGAGAGGGAGACAGAGAGGTGAGATTAAGGTTAATCGCTTGCGGGCCTGGCGCCCAGCGGGAGAAGCGGCGTCCCAGGGAGCAAGCGATTGGTGCCAGCGATCAGCGCCTTTCCCGAAACGAGAGCTGTGGTCAGCCTCCGACGCCTCGCGACTCATTACCAGGTTTGTGATGGGCCTCCCGAGAGCCCGTGAGTGACGCTGCATCTCATATTCGTCTGAACCACTGGTCCAGAAGTGCTCAATTATGACGGCTGCACAAGCGGTCTTTCTCTGTTCAACCCCCTGCCCGCTGGCCGAAAGAAGGCCATGGACTTCAGACCGTCTTTGGGTGATCTTCAGGCCAATCGTCTATTATTAGCATCCGTGCGCACTATTCTCTCTGTCAACCACGATTATGCTGCTGCCAATGCTCATGTCTTCCGCCTTTTGGCAGGGGGCTCTTCCTCTGAAACCTCCTCCTCCTCCTTATTATCATCATCCGCATCAGACTCGAAGTCATCGTCGCTGACTTCGTCTTGCTCTTGCGCTTGGGCTGTGGAGCGATTAGCATTGACTCCTCTCAAGTTCGTGCACCTCTACACTTACTGAAGTATTTGATAGCATTTGGCCACAGATCCTCCGAGATGTGGATAGCGAGGCTGTCACCCTCTGGGAAAATCTCCAGCTCGTTCTCATCATCTTCGTCGTCTTCATCCTCTTCGTCCTCGTCCTCGTCCTCGTCATTGGGATCTTGTGCCTTGCCCTCCTGTCTGGCAAGACGTTCCTTCTGTGCCTTTTCAAAAGCCTCCTGGCTTTCCTTGGCGGATATATTCCGACCAACATAGCCGAACCATGCGAAGAAGCTCAACCCACCGAGTCCCGTGTTCTCAATCTTCTTCTTGAGTGATTTCTCATCTGTTGACAGTTCCCGGGCCTTTTCACCCTCAGTCTTGGCCTTGGCTTGCTGGGCATCCCAGACCTTCTTCACCGTCCCTAATAGGCCTCCCGTCAAATCCTTTCCCTTCTTCCAATGAATCTCGACAGGCTCGCTTACTAGGCCAGTCCAACCGCTCTTGGAGTGCCTCTGCCAGAACTTCTTCTCAATGACTTTGTCCTCGAAGTGGTCGTTGTCACTGAATTCAAACCTGAAGCACAGACTCCTAGGATCGCCTTCCTTCCCATCCTCGATCTCGAACCTCGTCACCGATAGAGACGTCAGCGACGTCAAGAGCAAGGAAGAATCTGACGGCTGAATGAACTCGTCGATATCTGGCGGCGCTTGCTCAAAGACCAGCGGCCAGAAGTTTGGGATTTGTGAGACGATCTTGTGTCTCTTCTCGTAGAGGGGCCGCTTGACCACCACCTCTTGCCGGACTACGACGAATGTTAGTGAGTTGTTACAGCATGTGACGGCGTGCAGTCTCCCGAGAGCAGTCTCCCGAGAGTCGTGTGCTTCTCGTCTTTTTCTCTCAACGTGCAGTTCCAGTGATCAATGGTGGAGGTGGGCAATGCTGGCAGCCGTCACAGCACACCATGATTGGAATCCCATACTCAGCTCAGTTTCTGCGTCATCAAACTCGGCGTTCAAGTCATTGAGCTCCTCATAAGTGACTGAGGACTCATCAGTCGCTGGAGGTGCAACAGCCATTGTCTGTGCAGAGTCGGGCAAGGCGCTTCCTGAATGTCGGGCAGGTGCTGTCTCAGCCGCGGTTGGCGACCGGAATGGTAGGGCGAAGATGTCCTCTTCACCGGAGAGACCTTGCCGACAAATTTTGAAGGTTTATTCGCAGTTCCCTGCGAGTTCCTTGGGGAAAAGGGCCGGTAAGATGAGGCGGTTATTTTTGGAGGTCGGTGTCTAGTCTCCAAAGTGCAACTGAAAACCCTCAATAACCCTGCTTCAAGACAGCAGTGGGGGGGGGACTGAGGGGGTGACTTACTGCATAATCCAGTACCACGAAGAACACTTTCTAAGATGGGGACTGATCACCGACCGAGCTCACGACTACTTCATCTGAAGGGGACAGAGCCCAATAAATGGGCGTGATGTCCAGTCTCCTTCCGTTGCCGAGTCCCACCTGGGCCAGTCTGTCAGTCATATTTCCCTGCAGTAAGTTGCAACGCTGCTCCGTGCCTCAACTTGGCTTATACAAACTCTGCAGCCCTAAAGTTGCTGGCTCCATGTCTCTGCTGCAGCCCGAAAACCTGATCTCGCTCCAATTTACAATGCTCACTTTTGCCGATCAGGCACGCGCACAGGAAACTGGGGCTTCGGGGCGTAATTATATGGTGGGATGGTACGCTGCCGTGATCCCGCACGGCCGGCTCTTTACCCACTAAAGAGAGTACGCGATCCGCCCCCGGGGTCAATCGATCTGCAACATGGACATGTCAATGAACCGACTGCTCGCCTTTTGGATCTATGGCTCCCCGGCCTCCTGCCGTCCCGGTCGGGTTCCAATCCGTTCAGAAGACCGTTTCTACCCAAGACCCATCAGACCCACTCTTCTTGGTCTTGTGGAGTCGTACGAGGCCGCGCGCTTGAGAGATTCATCCTGGGAGGACCCGAACGTAACATTCTGACATTCCAGGCCTTTGTACTAACGGCGGCGGCATGGTTGCATTCCCATGAACTCCGAGTGACCTTGATCTTGATTTTAAACCAGGAGTTTAGGCTCTCATATGCCGGCTTGCCTTGAACCCAGCTCCCTGCCTACGACCTTGCCGGCCTATGTCATTTATAACCACTTACATATACACTGGGACATAAAACTTGAGCTCCGTTGAAGCCGACAGGACACTGGCGGGAGCACCTTCGAGCCAAGCGAACTTTTGAGCATCCGCGATGCCGAAAGTTGTCTCGTCCGAGGGCTCCGTGCTGTTTGCTCGTGTAGACCTGATGTACGCGCCCAAGGACACTTATTCCGCCACGTCTGAGACTTCGGAACAGAGTCAAGGTTGGCTATCCTGTCTGAGTGCGAAGAGCAATGCATGTCTCAGGAGACACCGGCTCCACGTTTTGCACCGGATCCATTCAAAAAGTCTACACATGTGGAGATGGCCACTGCGTAAAGAACAACACTAGGTCACAGATGGAGCTCTGCAATAAGTGTCGACCATGTCACATTGGACGGTAGAGTCGAGGTCCAGATACTTGAAAGTAACCTCCCAATTGCTGTGTCTTCCAATTTTAGAGCTCTAGTCAATCCTCGAGTATCAATTTACCTTCTGCTCTGTGTTATGATGCTGGCTACAGTGTCTTTGCCGCGGGTAAAGCAGGAGAGAGAGCGTCAAGCAAGGTCCTCTGAGATCTGGGGCTCGGTCGAATGACAACCGAGTGTCTAGTCAGGTGGAGATGCCATTGATAGCAAAATTAAATGCACCAAACATACAATCCTCTCGTCGCGTGCCTATATTGAATAGAAAAAAATAACATGCGGTTTTCCGCTATTGTCCGAATACTCCATCGCCGTTCTCCGTGCCGATGCGCGGAGGATTAGCGGATGACCACCGATGCGAAGAGACTTAGGTACCTAGGTACTTGGCGCTATTGACCGGGTGACTGACTGACTGACTGGGCCAGAACCCAAGCCATCGACCGCGCCTCGGCCCAGGCCACACTGGGCACAAAGGCTCATTGCTGGCTCGAAACCAAACATTGCTGCTGATTGTTTCAATAGGAATCAACACATTGTGAGGCGGGCTGATCAGGCCCTGCTCTGGCTGTGGGGCGCCTTGAAATAGCGAATGAAATAAAGAATGGGCGGATGGGATGATGGGACGGACGGTAGATGATCGATGACCAAAGAGTGACAGGAAGAAGTTCCCTTTGTACCCGGTACCATTTTGCTGCAGCACACCTAGGCTTCGCTAGGCCAGACGGGCGTTGTACCCCTGACCCTTTCAGCTGACGGCACGCCCAGGCCCTGGCCAACCGGCTGGCCAACCACAAGCGGAAACAGCCAGGCGGGACTCAGACACGGGGACCCACTTCCTCGTCCACTTCCAGGCAAGCCCGCCGCCATCAATCATTTCAGAGAGCCTCCACACTCACCTAACCCAACCCAACCTTCTCTTCGTCCAAACCCGTATCCGACACCACCCAGCCCACCACCGCCAGCACCACCACCACGGCCGACGACGTGCCTCAGATACGGTCGACCTCCCCGAAATCAATCGTCCTGCCCAGGCGACATCGCTTTTCCGAGTCTTCGACGACCCTGCGACGCTGTGGTGCATGTCAAGCGACTCGAGTCTCCCCGACCGTCGCCGGTGACGCGACAGACCTCCCTGTCTCCCTCAACTCCATCCCACTCGTTAACCCGTCGAACAATCAATCGCGCCTATCGAGCACGACTCTCAGGCACCTTTCTGCGACCCCAGCCCTTGGTGGCTTCTCGTCGTCTCGACTTTCGACGACCTGCCGGTCGCATCGCTGAGATTTTACCTCAGTCGGAGCAGAGCCGTCATCCATCCGTCCCACCGCCTCCACCCGCGACCGACGGCGAGCCATCATGTCATTTAATCCTCAGACGCCGCAGAGTCCGTCGCACTTCTCGCCCAGTAATTCCGATACCGTATCGGGTGTGCAAAGCACGATGACCTCTTTCACCACAGCCTTGCCGACCCCGGCGCACTCCATCAACGGCACTGCTCTGCCCTCCGATTCGGTCGTCGACGTCAGTATGGGCGGCGAGTCCCCCAACAAGCGAAAGCGCGTCCACGAGGACGTTGGAGAGCAGGGCCACAACCAGAAGAGGATGCATATGGACGATGGCCTACCGGCCTTGAAGGACATGCATGAGGATGTAGGAGAGAAATACCTGATTTTGCAAAAGGCGTGGCAGCCGGCAAAGCCGCTACTCTCCGAGGACGTGTTTGAGACGTACGATTTGACCAGCCTCGCCGGGGAAGTCGCCCGAGTGTTGCCCGATGGAACTAAGAACGCCATGCGTAAGACGTACAAAGGCCAGATTAAGAAATTAGGCCTCATGGGACACTTCGACCCGGTGAAGAAGGAGCCAAATGACCCGCAAGGCATCCTCGCCTTGCTCCAGGTACCAGGCGAGGAGTTCAACATACATTTCGTCCGCGGTCAAGATATCGAAGACGGCTTCCGACCAGAGGTGCAGAAGGCTCTGAAGCAGGCCACCACCATGGCTCGGGGCACCATCTCCAGCAAGAAGTGGGATCAGGGGGCTCTAGGTGACTTCGCCGGGGGATCAAAGGGTTCGACCTCAGCAAAGGCGACGGCGCCTGGCACACCGATGCACCCTGCCGTCGGCGGCCTCCCCAGGACCAAGGCCCAGTCCGTCGCGGCTCAGGATGCTGCCAGACCGCGGAGAGCCAACAAGAAGAGAAGCTACGGTGACAGCAGCTTCGAGGGCTACGGTGAGGTGTACGACGACGAGACAGGGGCCGAGACCGGATACTCAACCGGCGAGGGCGAGGGCACCAAGCGGAGAAAGAAGGTGCTTAGAGCCTTTGCCTCTGTTCACATTGCAGGACCTCCGCTGACACTTTGCAGAATGCCAAGTCCTTCCAACAAATTGGAACACCCCGTCAGTCGTACGGACCTGGCATGGTTGGTGTCTAAATTGTGCGACCGATTCCGAGTCAACAGCTGCCCTCCTACGAGCTGCAAAAGTTTCTCGCTATTCAAGTCGTCCAGGCCATCTTTTGCGGATCGAACGCCCACGTTCCTTCTCGCGGCTTAAAGGAAGGACGAAGCATTCCGAATCGTATGCTACCATGTTGCACGAGCAACAACGTTTGCGAGCGTCGGCCTGCGTGCTTGACCGTCCGTGGTCATGCTTTTCCTCGAGCATTGTCTGCAAAATGCAGAGGTTGTGGTCTCGAGAGGTTATTCCCGCCCCTCCCGGCAAGATGATATGTCGGCGAGTTGGGCAGAGGTTTGAGGCAACGGGGAGCGATTCATAGGTGGACCTTGATACACCTAACACCAAAAAGGGGGAATGAGGGACAGGGGGTTCCCGACAGTTTGCGTGCATCTAGCAACGAACGGGGTTTTACAGAGTTATTAATGACTGACAGGACCGAGTTCATCACTGCTACGACACGACCGGACTGGAGGTTTCTGATTGAGTCGGGGCGACGGGCAGTCCCTTTACTGTTGCATATTTTGAAATTGAAACGAAGCATGGCGTTGGGGGTTTGTTGCTTTTCACGGTCACGGTCTTGACTATACAATGCGGACCATATCAAACGACCACACGTATCAAAGGGTCAAGAAAAAAAAAGATACCATAACTCAAAGTTGGCGGGTCGTCAGGCCCATAGCTGGAGTGGTTCTGCTATTAGGTTGTTTACTGACTGATTTTGCCTGGTCGCCTCGCGCGTTTGGGCGCAAAACTTCTCAGGGCTTTGCAGGTGTGGCCTACATAGAGGAATACAAGACGCGGAAATTATTGACACACTTCTCACATGCCTGATGTGTATTATTGGAGGGAATGCGGATGTTGCTCGACTGATGAGGATAGCGACAGCACCTGCACACTTGTTTAATTTGAGTATCTGAATCCATGTGTTTCCCTACATCTTCATCAAGTGGCAGGTTCCTCATGAAGCTCAAGCGATGATCAAAGTGAATCTTTCCATGTCGTACTTTCGAAGTCTTCTTTTCCTGATCGTACTAGGATCCTAAGCTTCACTTCACAAAGCTCCTTCTCGGACTGAAGGAGGGGACACAGCATTTTGTTAACTCTCCAACTGCTGACCACACGCATAGACTTCAGCTGTAGCAAATCAAGCAGATGTTACTTAGTGAAAGGGCGCGATCGCGGCACAATCCGTCTGAGTAACATTGGCCACATGCAATTCAACACAGATACAATCAAGTATATGAAGAGGCCTCATGGAACAAAAGGGGACCAATGACCCGAAGAGGCTATATAGACTCGCTCCGCATTTTAGGATGAAGAGCACAATCAGCGTCAGAGTCTGACATCGAGAGTTGACCGAGAACTTCAAGGCGATAGTTTCATGTTTAGTCTCTGAAATTTACCTACTCACGATGTGAATAAACATTATGTTCGTTTCCTGTATGATTATTCATTGTACCATTTTTGGAATTATCACTCATAATCTTTCAATGTTTGTACTTGATCATTAATATAAAAAGCTTGTGGAATTTCCAGCATTCAGTAAAATTACACTCATATTCACTCTAATGCCATTCATCTTTATTTAGATGAGAATTCTTATTTTCCTTTAAATGCCATTTCTGCTTAGGTTATTTTGTAAATTCGTATTTCGCTCCTGCTGATCAGTGCTGTGAAACGGTGTATTTGTTCACCGGTTTTCATGTGGCCTTGAATAAATAGTGTATAACTCTTAACAGCGCTGGACATGATTGAGTATTGCAGGTCACAGATGAAGGTCTGAAGTACATGATGTATATACGAGAAGTAGCACCGGTGAAGTAGAATACTACCATTCGAGCGTGTTCTTGGGTATCTTTGGGGCAAGTGAGCTTGAACGAATTGTTCCCATGTATGCGCAAGTCAGGATAGACCTTCTTGATGGTCTCGCTCCGAACGCCACTTCAACCAGGATGTCTGTCTCCCGACACTCTTTGAACACCTTCTATCGGTCTCGCTCACGTCGAGGCAACCCGTGTTTGCCGAGCGCACCATCGAACTTGACCAACCCTAGTCCAGGGCCATGATAGCCCTCTTCGATGCATCCTCCCGAACCCAGTCCACGATCCTCGACCCGACATCACCAATGAGTATCTCGTAGTGAGGCCCAGGGAAGAACAGGCCACAGTGCGCGCCGACCTCGTCCACATCCTTCATGTAGACCTCCACCCACGTCCGGTCCCGGACGCCGTTAACCTTTTGCGGGAGCATGCAGAACTTACGGAGCTTCTTCTGGCCCGCCTCTGCGCCCAGGGTTGGCCTGCGATCGACAGGCGCAGAAGGGTCACGGCTCTGGCTCGGTGGCGAGGCTGCGTCCTCCCGGTCGTGGAACGCCAGGTCGGTAAGCTGCCGCTCAAGGATCTGCGCCTGTGCCGGCGTCACCACCTGGGCTTGGGAGGGACGGGACGTGTCCTCAGCCGTGTTCGCCTCTACATCTTCTGGCGGTGCGACAGCCTTTTGCTTTCCTTGCCCTTGCTCCTTGGCAAGGCGTTTTGCCTCCTCTTTCAGGCGCTTCTCGGTCTCTTTCTGGGCTTTCTTCTGGCGCTTCTCAACGAGCTTCTGCCGCTCCTTGATGGCCTTCTCGCGGTTCTTCAAGGCCTGGTCATAGGCCTTCTGTGTCCGTTTGAATTCCTTTTCGGCTTGCTTTCTTGCTTCTTTGTCGCTATATTTTGTAAAATCAGGGGCCCGTGGCGGCTCGGGAGGGTCTGGTATCGCTGGTAAATCATGGTCTATGTCGGCGGTCCCATCTTTACTGGGGCCTGGTTGTGATGATGATGCAGGTTCGGGCTCTTCCTGTGCGGCCTCAGAAGAAGAATTGTTTTCGGCTTGCTTGTGGGGGTCAGGTTTGCCGCTCCCATCACCAGACGATGATTCTGGTATCTTGGGCCCGCCATTTTGCCCTTCTTTGACGGTTGCTTGATCCGCCTTATGCTGGTCCATAATCTCATCATCGGACACTGCTACAGGTTCAAGTACCTGTAGAGTCTGAGGCTCTTCGCTGTCACTGTAGTCCTCAATTGAGATTCTGGGCGTTGACGCTTGGGAGCTCCCCGACCCGGTCTGTTGCGACCCGGGGGCCACGGGCTTCAAATGGGTGTCGGCACGTTTTGGTGGAGGCAGTTCTTTTGGGATGCCAGTCGAAACTGTGTAGTAGTTGACGAAACGGACCCTGGGCTCCTTGCGGGATCCTTGGGCACTGTTCAACTCATCAACATCCTCAAGGCGGCGGATTTTGTTGTATCTGTTGTTCAGCGAGCCATAGTCTGCAAGACAGCTGCCAAACTCTAGGTGTGACAGCAAGTGATGGTACGTAGAGCTAAAGAGGCCTTCCGAATAATGCTTCTTGGCGAAATGAGCGACATTCCTCCACCAGCCCCTGTCTATGAAAGAGACGTCGTTAAAGAAGGTTGGGTTGAAGTTTGGATCCGGCTGCGACCCAACCGAGGTATTGGACGACATGCTGGCCAATGGTACAGGTGACATGGTGCCCGGTGACTGCCCGGCATCAGAGGACAAGCTTGGTGTTTGCTGTAAGCTCAGGGATCCGGAGGCATTTTGCGAGGACATAGACTCTGCAAGGGCTTGCTCCCTTCCTGGAGGGTCTGGGGCTTTCCGAAACAGACTGGCTATGCCAGACGTGATGATACCAGGATGAAGACCTAGCAGAGGGGCATCCAGAGAGATAGTGCCTAGTATGCGGTGCTTGAAGGGGCCGCGATACACAGGATTGGGAGAGGGCTAGAGATATATCAATGAGGGCCACTGGCTAGACAAGGGCCAAGGGGAATGAGAATTTACCATGAGCGCCACATCGGCAGCGAGCAGCCCTCCCATTGAATGTCCGACCAGGACAACATCGGTATCATCCTTTTCGTGAGGCTCCAGCCAGGCGCTGAACTTGTCCCTTGCCACCTCAATGGCCTTGTAGGTCTTGTACCTGGGGTAGACCTTGGAATGGACGACATGAGATTCGCTCAGCTGTTCCCGCAAGAAGTAGTGGACGTGGGCGGGGAAGGAGCGGAAGGAGGTGTTGTCGCCCATGAAGCCATGGATGTAAACAACCAGCAACGTTCTCCTGTGCTCATTCTCGTTGACGGAGGGCACCAGGGACTGGGTGCTGGATGAGCGGGGGTCCCGTGTCTGCCATGCATACTGAGGGCCAAGCATGTGGGAACTCGTCCCGCCAGGAGACTGCCATTGCTGTTGGTATGGCGAGCCCAGGCCGTGTGCACTGTAAGACGGCGGCGGCGTTGAAGGTGAGGTCGGGCGTGAAGCCGTCGATAGAGCAGCATCGCCGTGGCCTGGAGACCAGGCCATGACGTCACGTGTCGAGGTCTTCAGCGGGAGAGGGATGGGATGGGTGAAGTGACACGGACGCACGCTTTGGGCAGATGGTGATTTGATGAGACCATGTACCGACAGCTATTATGGAATTTGGGTTTGATATGCCCTCACAAAGACTGACTTGTACTTTGGTATAGACAGCAAGAAACACACGGCGCTAGTAGAAACAGGCTCAGCCCCGCAGCGTTTGCAGTGGCCGCGAGTCGTCGTTTACTGTGGACAGTGGGCTGCAGACTGCATCGTATGGAGACTGCAGCGCTGCATCTCGTTGGGCTGCCCAGTTGCCCAGTTTGCCCAGTGGCCAAGTTGCCATTGGCCAAGCTTTTGCATTATCGTCTATAAGAGGTGCCGCTCTCCCAAGGTTTCTGATCGTATAGGAGGCGGAGTCGGAGTAGGAGTAGGAGACTACTGTTAGATACCGTAATCCGTATCTATTGCGTATCCGCGTACGGGAGTGTGGCGCGGCATCTGGGGCAGCCCCTGGGGCAGCAAGGTGAGTGCATGGCTGGCTGTTGAAACCTGGCAGTTGAAACAATCATCTACCAGATCTACAGTAGTAAGGTCTGGTGGCCCTGCGTGCCCTGCGTGCCCTGGTAGTCTACACCTACCGTTGAGAACGCACAGGCAAATCTGCGACTCGGTGAGGCTGCAGGAGAGAACCTTGGAAACCAGTCAGACACCAAATCCACCCTGTGCCAGGTCGCTCACAGGCCTTGCTCAAGGGCAACAGGGCGTCCGTGTCCCGATCCAGAGGCCCGTTGCCGCTGTGGCCCGTTGTACACGGGTGGAGAATGGGTGGAGGGACGGGGGGGAACGGGCGCCGGGGAGCAGGGCCAGTTCGGAGCAATCATCCCAAGGCGGTATTCCCGAGTGCCCGTGGACCTGGGAAACCGATCTTTTTGCTTGAAACGTTCTCGACGACTGATGAGACGGCCCGGGCGTTGCTGGAGGTCCAGCCGGTCCAGACTGAGGCTCCGTTGGCAATCCGCGAAGAGAACCAGACTTGGCGTTTAGATGGTCGTTTCTGTGGATTTCATTATTTTTGTTTCCATATTCGCCCGTAGGGTCTGGTTCGGTTGGACCTAGGCCTAGACCTGAAAACTTGGACCTGGACTTGGACCTGAACTTGGCTTTGGATTTGGATTTGGGTTTGGGTCTATTTGCGTCGGTCCGTCGCTCATTGAATTGCGTGATGGCAGGTCAGTGCTGGGCGACGAGACATGACCGCGTTCCTGCTGATCGTCAGGAATGCGAGCAAAGAGATTGCACCACACCACACCCACACCACTGACGCTGACACGCACGCAACACACCAAAAGCCCAGACCATCCGAGGTGTTCTAGTCTGGATACGTCCCCTGGTGAGGGCCCAAGACGGTCTGGATGGCAGGGCACCTTCTAGAAAGGGGAACGGCACTCTTCCAGTCTCTCAATCCCTTAGTCTCTTAGCCCTCTTTCACTCTTCAAACGCAATATGCATGCGAGCAACGAGAGCGCACGTCCATCTGGATCCTACCGCGCCACGCAGCAATAGCGTCGCCCTGAATACGAAATGGGCTACCACATGCAGTACAATGCACCTCATTAGCCATTAGTTCTTAGCCATTAGCCAGGTACCCGCGTCTCCCGTCTGCTCGCTGTCTGCCGCCGGTGCGAACGCCCTTGATGCTTGCTGGTGGTTCCGCCTGTGTAGCCGAAGCGGCCATCCATCGACCCAATCCAACTCTCAATCTCACTCGTCGCTGGCTGGCCTGGCTGGATGGATGACTTGACTGAGTCTGACTGCAATTTCAGAAGTTAGCCTGTTGAGTTTTCGGGCGCCGGTCGAGCGTCATCTGATGTCAAGGTTGAGTTCGATAATTAAAAGTGCCAGTGACAGGGGGGACCAAGATTCTCTGAGAATAGGCCCCATCGTGAACGGCAACATGGGACCACCCGGCCAATCACAGAGCACGCGCCCATCCACCGTGTGGGAGGAGGGTCCGCGAGCCGAAATTTGATGGAGCCCATACATCTCCTTTGGTCTCCTCTGGTCTCCTCTGGTCTCCTCTTGGGGGGGCCCTTTGAGGTGATTGCACCCTCGTTCGCGCCCACCTGGCTCCTGGGCTGTCGTAATCGCAATCCCATGCACGGGAAAGTAGCCCTTCTTTTCATAGCACGAACTGGACCGATCTCCTCTGGTCATCTGGAGACCGACCTCTAATCTGGTAGTCTACTGTGGTACCTGCGCCTGCGCACTCTGCCTGCTCCATCGTCTGTCTCTGTCTCTCTGACCTTACCTTCCCTTCACTTCCCGTGGTCAAATCTCATTCCGCCTCCCGGTCGGTCCCTTCCTTCCTTTCCCTTGCCCTCCCTTCCCTTTTTTTTCCTTTCTCTTTCCTCCCCACCACCTTCCCGAGTGATCGCGAGGCACGTTGCGCGCGTGGTTGTCCTCATCACTTTGATCGACGACGAGGAGCGGTTGTGCTGGAGAAAAAAAGAAAGAAAGAAAGAAAGTACAAAGACAAGAGGCCGGCGTCATTCGCTCCCACACAGCCTCGGATATCCATTGGCCGGCTCGGAGAGAACAATGAGGTGAACGGGTCCGCGGCACCCCCCTCCCAGACTTGCGAGACGAGATCAAACAAAAAAGACGACAACAACACGACCAACTACAGCGACAGCGATATCGAATTCGAATTAGATACTCGACTTCGATCATTCCCTCCTTCTGCCTGCCTGTCTACTCGTCTGGCCGTCCGTCCAGTCCTTTTCGACACACGATTGTTGTTTGCAAACGCTGCGTCAGCAATGGTTCTGCGCCAGCCAGTCACTCCTTTGTCAATCCACCAAAGCCAAGCTTTCGACAAGCAATCGCCGGGCTCCTCATTCGGCCCAGTAACAGTCGGTCCAGTTGCTGTCACGGTCACGGTCACCGCCAGCTGCATGCTGTTCGCTGGCAACTGCGCCCTGCATCGCCCTGCGTCGCCTTGCCTTGCCTTGCATACGTAGCGTCCAAGTCGTCCGGTCTTCATTGTCCAACCGCATCGCAGGACACTGGAATCGGAACCCGGACCGCCTTCAGCAATACGGGCAAGCCCGTGCTGATCGACAACACATCCCTCCGAAAAACCTAAATCCGGGGGGGCTTCCTATGCCACGCTCGTTTATCACGCACTACACTAGACCACCGCTCGCTACTCCTGTCATACGCCCCTCTTTAAGAGGCATTGCCGCCCCGGCGCGATGACTAACCACTTCTACGGGTCTTCACTCTTTCAGGCCCGTAAGACTGACCACGACCACCACCGTCACTCGCACTTGCACGGACGCAGTGCCAACCACCTTCGCTCGCATGCCCAATTCCACAGGCGCCAGGAGGAAAACGAAACCGCAGACCTGGATTCAGGCGACCCCACCATCACCGAGGTTGTGCAGACCATCTCAGTCGTCCAGGTCATCGATGGCTCAGGCGCCATCATCGAGACTAAGACTTTGGTGTCCGATCCGCAGACCAACTTGGTAGACGCCGAGACGGGGTCCACTATTGACCCCGGGGTGAAGGTTGTATCACCAACCTCCGACTCGGCCGGTGCTGCGACAACCTCGTCCACCGCCACCGAGACTCCCATCTCGTCTGTGGACCCCGTCTCAGTTCCTTCCGAGACCACAACACCATCCGCCAACCCCTCCGATGCGTCCTCGACTGCCTCCTCCACGTCCCTGGTGACCACCGAACCCATCACATCACTCGTTCCAACTTTGTCAATTCCCTCGACCTTCCCTTCTCTGAGTTCCACCTTCAACTCTACCATTTGTGAGTAAACAAGTAGTCCCGCAACAAAATGCCACGGGAGCAGTCGGCTAACATGTCCTCGATAAAGCTTCGCTTACTTCTTCCTCGTCATCTTTGCTATCAAGTTCCTCTACTCGTTCAAATTCTACAGTGACTACCAGTTCCTCGGTAGGAAGCTCTACGGCATCCCAGTCGCTATCATCGCTGGTCACGACCCTCTCTTCTTCCTCATTCTCAGACTCGATTAGCGGCTCATCTTCGAGCACGCTTTCAAGCTTCACATCCAGTTCGAATAGCCCCACGAGTTCTTCCACAGGGGCTTCTTCCACATCCTCCAGCTCGGAGTCACTTTCAGCCTCACCGTCATCTACGTTTGGTGTAGGAGGCGGTGACGGTACTGCCGCGACTACTATACTTGCCACGCCCTCATCATCTTCCACATCAGCATCTTCCGGATCCTCGAGCGATGACTCAACTCCGCCGACTGGCACGGTTGTCGGAGGCGTGGTCGGTGGTGTAGCTGGACTCGCGCTTCTGATCGCATTTGCTTTCATGCTTCTCAGGCTAAGGAAGCGCGGATGGTGTCACATGCGGCTGGGTGGTGGCGACGACAAATCCATCACTCCAGCTACCAGGGCTGTGGGCGCTGGCCCTTCAGGAGAAGGCGCTGACGCTGGCGGCGGAGACGGTGGTGGCAGTGGTGGCGGCGGCAGTGGTACATATGGAACCATGCAGAGGTCATCAGCACCCTACTCAGTCGCTTCTTCGCTCGCGGCCTTGGCAGGAAAGCGGTCATCCAGGGAGCGGTCCAACACAGGGTCAGAAATGGCCGAGAGAGGCTTTGTTCGAGTGTCCGGAAAGAAGCTGCCGCCCGTGCTGCAGTACGGAGGCGACGGGTACTCCGACCCACGTGACCGGAACAGTCTCAATAGCGATGCTTCAGTCTACCGAGACTCGATGGCCATTTTCAACCAGGGCACTCATCAGCGTCTGGCTCTTGGTTCCCCCATGCGGCCAGAGAGTGGGGTCATGGTATACAACCCAGGTCCTGCGAAGACGCCTGTCACGGGCGAAGTCCCGAAGACGATTGACTCACCGACACTCCCTCAGAGCTCCACGCTCCCCCCGGCAGACGCCATCGGCAGGACTCTCGCGGCTCAGGACTACTCCCGCGATGGCTCGGGTTCCCGAGCGTCACGGGGGTCGGGCAGATTCACCGAGCAACTCTCTTGACGACTGGGGTAATATCCAGCTACTGTCTAGAGTCATCATCTTTCGTGCTACATAATGTTCACCCGCTCCTTGGATCTCACATACTGGAGTTGTGTGTGACCTACCATATTTCAACTATACTTCTAATGTCTTGAAACTTAGTTATTTTGCCTGGGGCAGCTTGCCTGGGGCGATGGCGGCTGATGATGTGCCTATGAAAGCGCAATACTGGGTTTTCGGCGTTTTTTGTTGTTTTTATATCTTGGATACCACTTCTTGAGAGGCAGCGGACATTGAAGATTCGCATTTTATGCACAGTGAGAAGATTTGGGAGGAAAAAAGGTCGCTCCACCGAGTTGAGCAACTCGGTTCGTGAGCCTGGCTGGTCATGGGGAAAATGGGCTTCTTTCTTTTTTGTTGAACGGGAATGTGAATGACCGGCTGGGCTCTTTTAGGAGCAGCGCATTACTTGTCTGAGGCATGCGCCTTGTACATAATAGCTCGAGGCAAATATTACTCTGTTGAGCAGGGTGGGAATGGGCCGGTCGTGCCCTTTCCCCCCTACAATACGCCTTGGCAATCCAAAAGCAGAAGTGCACTCTTTCTTCTTACCATGATCGTCGTGACGGAGGGCCCGCAGATCATCAATGCCGTGGACCATTGATGGGAGCAGGTCTTGCGAGGTGCTGCTGCCCCCGGTCCGGGTCGACCCCCCGTCGTCGCGGGCCGCTGTATGGGGCTCAAAGAGCCCACCGACGTTGGAAGGACCCGTCTGGCCTAGAACATCCCATCCTTGGTGGAGGTGTCGCGGGGTGGCTCGCTCGTTCACCGAACTACTTGCAAGCCCACGGGAAGGACAGTCCGCCCGCTCAAACCCCGTGGTTCATCTCTACATGGCAAACGCGTGCTTATGGCCCAGCGAGACCCTGGGGGGTCGTCGATCCTTCCGGAAGCTTGAGCAGACGGACAGTACTTGTTAGGACGGGGGGCATGGCATGCGTACGTCAACCTTTCCAGGTGAGTCGCCAAGGGTTGGTTAGACATGTGTAGTTGACGATGTTGGGGGGGTTTTTGTCATGCCATGATGTTCTCCAAGACCCGGTCCCAGGTCCAGGTCCATGTCGCCTCCGGGGCCGGCCTGCGATGGGTAGAACCCGCTCCCGTCGTCCCAAGCATGTGCAGAAGGGAAGGGGAGAGCAGGCCCCCAGCTCCGGGTCCCACAAAATCGTCCGGTCTGCCCTGGCCCCTCCCCAGGGAGGCAGGGTGGGTAGGCGGGAGGGAAGGGATCCAGGGCCAGAGCGATCGGTGCGTCCTGTCAGGCCTGGGAGGGTTTTGTTTGGTGTGTGTGGGCTGTTGCTCTGTCATGATGCAGGGTAGAGATTTTTTTCTTCTCTCTCTATTCTTTCTTCATCCCATCGGACAGTCTATTCGTCCATTTCTCCGATTAGAAGACAATCTTTCTATCCCAATTCCTATCTGGCCCCCCGGGTGAGAATGTGACCGGTCCAATGAGCGGGCGCGGATGTGGATGGGATTCGTGAAGATGTTGTCTTGAGACAGACGTGAAACGGCCAGGGGGGGTTGTGCTTTTCCTGCCGGGCGACAAGACGACGACGGCAGGCCGATCGCTTGGACTTGGGGTGAGGGGAGGGGCCGGTATGCGGGAGGGAAGGGAGGGGTCGCCAATGACAAATTGCGAATTTACAGTATTATACTCGTCGCGGGCTCGGTCAGCATTCTCGAGACGCCGTTGGGCGGATGTTTCTGGCGGCCTCTCAATCCTCGCAGCGCGTGTGTGTGTGTGGGGATGGGGGTGAAGGAGAAGGAGTGGCCCGGAGAAAGGAGGATGAGGAGATCACGGCCGTCTTGAAACAATTCACCTTGGCTGCATCACGCTGCGAGGAAACACGGCGCCCACATGGAGATGTGTCGGTTGCTCGGTCCGGGGGGGGTTTTGTGGGTGTCGAGGGCAGCAATTCGGTCACCGAGGCGAGATCGTCGGGTCTCTGCACTCTACGCGACGCGCTTCCCGTTTGGGACGTGGTCCCAAAGTCCCAAAGTCCCAGAGAGAGGACTGAGGGTCGACGCAAGGTGCATGTCAGTCGAGGCCCACAAGGTTGAGCTGACCCTTGCCATCGGAGAATTATTTCTTCTCCTCTCAACTTGACGGCCTGACGGCACGTTTCGTCGTTGGGAAGAAGGCATACTGTGCAGGGCGGCAGCTGGACCCTGGGCCCACTTCTCTCGCAGTATAAGCCACGCCGGTTCCAGGCGTGCAAACCAAACCTTGGATGGCGCGTCGTCGATAGTAGAAAAGCCTTGGTATTAGAGAATCGGATTGTTCGTCCTCCCCTATTCCATCGTTATCGTACGACCATCGGGATTCGGTATCGGTCCCACGATGCATGGCTTCATGCACTGCGAGACGCGACCTGGACGTTGCTGAACTATATACTATTGCTGTACTCGAGCGGGGTCGAGCGTAGTTGAGAACAAAGGACGGTGGTGTCGCGTATGTTTAATTGTTGTGAGTGGGACAGCAAGTGATCAATCACTACACGGGAAGTGGAGTCCGATATCTTTGAGCCCCAGTCCGGGGACGGACAAGTTGTCCAAGTCTCTATGCAATGCTGTAGTAGTCTACATAGTCTACTCCAAAAGCGGAGCCTCGCTTGTCAACTTCTCTACGACACGACACATGCGCGGTCATCAATCAAGGGTGGGTAGGACCGCAGCCGAGATTTAAGGTTGGGTGGTACCTGCAGCTTTTATCTGAAGTTCTGTGTCAAGTGAACTTTGGATAACGACCACTGGACCCGTGAGCCGCTGATGTAGGCGCTGGTCTTTTGTGTGTGTTGGTCGTCGTCACAATACAGCACGCATGTTGGTTGCGTATAGGTTGGGCCTCTCAGAGGCTGGCCCTCGTCGTTGTCCGCCTTAGAGGGCCAAGCCACCTGCACCAGCACGTGAGAGCAGGGAAACCAGAACAAAGAGCACACAATCAGATGGTGAGGAGAGCTGTCGTTGCATCCACAGCTTGGCAGACGGACCAGACAGACCAAGACCAGACCAGCCGCAGCAGAATCCGGGGCGGAACCGGCAGTGGCCGAGAACAACCCTGCTCCTTCTCGGGTGCGTCTGCCGTGTCAGAAGAGTCGTCTTGGTACGGACGGGACACTCGGGATCGTCCTCCTTAATGATTATTGAGTAGCCCACCGCGTTGAGTCGTTGTGGGTATGGCATAATACGATACGATACGGTACAGTACGAGTACGGGCTCTCTGTGACGGGCGAGCCTCGCTCGGTAGCTAGCAATTCGAGGTGTGGTGTTGATGCATGGCCTTCTCAACTTGGACTGTACAGCTTGGGTTCAACAAGATAAGGCTACCTAGTTGTGGGCGGTACTTGGAGGACTAGACTAAGATCACAGCCACTTCAGGCGCGACAGTTACCTGCGATGAGACAGTCTGGCAACTCCGTCATCATCAGACATCATGCGGCGTCATAGACGGCCCCGTGTAATGCAACCCGACGGGCGCTGCGCCTCCTGAAAGCATATGGCAAGCTTGAGGGTAGCAGCTAGCTGTTGGAGTGTGCACAAACACAGTTCATGCAGGCCAGAAGCATACTGAATAAGACGCTGGCCGGCAGAAAGCGATACGTGTAGAATGTGAGTAAAACGTATCAGCAAGAGCAGAATAAACCAAAAAGCCCTCGACGGGCTGGGCGGCGGTGTCGCCGACGTCTGTGTGTTGTGACAGGCTTCATCTCACGCCCCCCACCACCACCAAACTTTTTGCGCCTGGTGGTTTCGGGACGGGTGCAAAAGGGCGACCTGGTTTGTCTGATAAGGACGATGGTGCGCTTGCAGGCCAAGCTGCGGTGACAGGACATGTCACACCCTGTGCCCAGAGGGCAAAAGCGCAGCCTAACTCGCTTTGAGGCATAGTGTTGGCAGCACAAGAATGTGGTCTGCATCCTCTCTGGTGTGGTTTGTAAGCCACGGGCACATTGATGCCGCAACCTAAAAACCTAAAACCTAAGCCCTGAACGTTGCCGCCGTCACTATCGCGAGCGTCATTGCCACGCCTAGCTACATAGCTAATAGGCTGTGTATAACTGTACGTACGGTACAGGACGCAGAGGCAGGGATTCCGCAGTGTATCAAAAGCAAGAGTGACGTGCTCCCACCGGAAAGCCAACTGCTGAATAATTGTCAGCATGCAGAGCTTCAGGGTGACAGCAAAGAATAGCAGCAGATCCTAAGAAGGGCGGCATTGAGGTCGACTAAACCCAGTTCAAGACCGACCTCCGGCTCTCCCAATTCGTCAGAACAGCCAGCTCAATACACCCAATCTCAACACCTCTTTGTAGCTATTCACGGCTCATTCTCTTTTTTTTTGGGGGGGGGGGGGACGGGGCAGGGCAGGGGGAGGTGAGCATCACTTGAGACGGCCGCCCTGGCGTGTGAGAGAGACAGCCAGGCCCACGCTCATACCCATGACCCCTGCAACTTCCTGTGGGCTGAAAGGGTTGACTTGACTGTAGCAGTGTAGCTGACTTGACCAGACTTGACCTGACTAGACTACCACCGTAGAAAGACGTCTTGGAGAGGGGGTTGGAGAGAGGTTGGGTTTGTAATGTGCAGCCCTGAACCGTATCTACTACACGCAGTATTGCGTCGGCGCACAGGCTCGGCTCCTTGGATCAGCGCTTGCTTCCCTGCGACCTGCGACCTTTCCCTCGAGCCCCTGCGTAGGCACTGTGGATACCCAAATTCCCAGACTAGGTACCGTAACTGGTCGGTAGTCAGGTAGTGTGCAGCAAGTGGCTTGGTCTCGAGTCCTGAGAGGTACATGTCTACTTCTCCAGCGGCCAACCCTGGTACCCCGGCAGCTTGGAGGGGATCCCCCAAGGTCGCTGCGACTGGCGGCCTTGGCGCACCTGCAACAAGTCTAAGTACCCACTGCCCCGCCGTCTTACGTTCTTCACACCCGCTGGAGCTGGCACTTACACCACCCACCCGCAACCCGCAACCCGCACCTGCACTGCACCCACCTGCATCAGCGGTCCGGACCATTCATTGACTGATCACCACCCAGCCCAACGGCGACCTCTTCTCTTCCCACCTCGCCAAACTGCACCCGGCCGAGAGACTGCAGTTTCGTGCACCGCACCTCCAACGCGAACGCTCGATCTTTCTCTCAATCTTCACTCTCGACAAGAACCACACGACACTCAACCTTTTTCCACCAGTGCAGAAAAGCTGCGCCCAGTGCCCAGCCATAGCCTCGGCCCATCCAGTCCCACCAGACAAAGGAAATCCGGGACCTCGAAATCACCATGGATCACCATATGGGGGGCTTCCAGATGCCCGCTATGGCGCATCAGCCGCTCATGAACCAACCGCCTCAGATCTTCGGCGCCCATGCCTACGATGGTCTACCAATGCAGCATCTGCCCCCAGAGCTCACCGCCCAGATGTTTGGAGACCCCAACGGCCTGCTCGACGATGCGAACGAGGCAAAAAGGAGGAGGATCGCACGGGTGAGTCCTGACCCGAGCTCGTGACGGGCACAGCGCCTTGTCGCCGACACGCCGGCCTGGCTGACAACTCTGCCCACAGGCTTGCGACATGTGCAGAAAAAAGAAGATCAAGTGCGACGGAAAGCTGCCAGCATGCACACACTGCATCAACTACAAGACCGAATGCGTTTTTACGCAGGTCGAGAAAAAGAGGAATCCGCCCAAGGGGTGAGTACTCATCATCATCATCATCAAACACCCAGCGGTCTGTGCGACCCCTGGCAGCGACACCGCCAACTAACAATGCGACAGGGCCAAGTACATTGAAGGCCTCGAGAATCGTCTCGGTCGCATGGAGAGTCTACTGCGGCTGTCAGGTATGGCTTCTTTCCCTTTTTGCTCCCAGATGGCTTCACCGCGCCATCCGGTCGTTCCGGCTTTTGTCCGCGGGCTCCTCCAAGCATGTGCAATCGCGCACTGACCATCCCAAACAGGTCTCCTTGGTGAGGACGACGGAGCTACAGACCTGGGAACGCTGGAAAAGAAACTCGCCGAGAAGAGACAAGAGTCAAGGCACGCATCGCAGGCAGCGCCTTCTAACCCGACCTCGCCATCACAAGCCGCCTCTGTGCAGGACACTGGCTCGTCGACCCCCACAAGCGCACTTACCTCGCCTGAGCCCCCAAAGGATGGCGAAGAGAAGCGCAAGTCAATCGATGCTAGCAAGCAGCAATACCAGCAGCAGCAGCAACAAAATCAGCAGCATTCACAGGAACAGCCGCAAGGCCAGGAGGAGGAGGTAGAGGCTCTGTCTGAGATGATGTGCTCCCTTGTCACCAACACATCCGGTGAAACCAGATACATCGGTAGGCAAAGCATTTCTCGCTCCAGTCGCTTGTGTACATGTCTAATTTCACAACTCAGGTTCCTCCTCTGGCTTCTCCATCTTCTCTCCCAAGGGCATTCAGTGGGTAAATGAGAAGACTGGAGATAAGTCCTTCCAACAGATGATTTCCCATGTTTCTATGGACGACCACAAATGGAACAACTGGAAACCTGAGGTCTTTGGCGACCTGTTTCAACGGCCCGTATTCCTCCCCCTCCCGCCAAAGCACGAGTGTGTCTCGCTGCTGCAGGACTACTTCGACAATTTCAACTGCATGTTCCCGCTGTTTCACCGGCCCACTTTCATGCACCTGGTAGAGAGGCAGTACAGCAAGGATCCATACTCGGGCTCCGGGTGGTGGGCTAGTCTCAACGTTGCGCTCGCCATCGCTCACCGTTTGCGAGTGATGAGCAACCTGGTACCACACGAGGAGGACGCGAAGGCATGGGGGTACATGAAGAATGCGATGGCCTGCTTTGCAGAGTTGGTGATGCGTAACACTGACCTGCTGAGCGTCCAGGCACTTCTGGGCATGGCTTTGTTTATGCAAGGAACACCTAACCCACAGCCATCCTCACTTCTTATCGGAACCGCCATACGGCTATCTCACAACATCGGACTACACAAGCGCGGCACAGGCTTCAACTTGAATCCCATCGAAATCGAGCAGAGGAAGAGAGTATTCTGGATTGCGTACATGCTGGACAAGGACCTCTGCATCCGGTCTGGCCGGCCTTTTGCACAGGATGATGACGACATGAACGTGGAGCTTCCGGACGCGGACCCTGAGGACAATATTGGTAACATTCCCCTGGCTGATGGCAAGGGCAAGATGAACCTCTTCCGAGTGATGTGTGAGTTAGCTCTCATCGAAAGCAAGGTCTACAAGAGACTCTACGCGACCAAGGCGACGAAACAAACGGATGGCGAACTGCTGCAGACCATTGGGGAGCTGGACCAGGAACTCGAAGATTGGAAAGACAGGATGCCCATTGAATACCGACCCGAGAACGAGATCCAGGCGTCACATACACCTCTCATCCTGCACGTCGTTATGCTCCACTTTACTTATTACAACTGCCTTACAACGATACATCGGATGTCGATACACCGTGGATATTGGACAAGTCGCCTGTCGAACTTTGCCATACAGGGGCTGAACGCTAAACCTCTGAACCCAAGGGTCTTCAATTCCGCTGCCTTGTGCACTTCTGCGGCAAGAGCATCCATCTCACTGCTCAAATATGTGCCTCAGGGAGATTCATCTGTAGTCTGGTGAGTACTGCGAAATATCCAATCCTCGTCGGACAATACACTAACATGGATAGGATGGTTTTGTACTTCCCGGTCACTGCACTCGTCACTTTATTCGGAAACATTCTGCAGAATCCCCTAGATCCCCGGGCGAGATCAGACACACGACTCTTGAACATGGTTGTCACCTTCCTGTCCGCGTTAGGGCAGGAAATCGAGACGGGTGGAGTACACCGTACCATCGGTATCTGTTCTGAGTTTGAGCGCATCAGCAAGGTCATGATTGAAAAGGCCGAGAAGGAGAACGCCGGTCGCAGGAAGCGCAAGAACGCCGAATCTTCGCAGGCTAGCAAGCCCGCCTCCAACACGAACACGACCTCAAACCCGATCCGGCGTGCATCGACTTCGAACCAAGGGTCTTCTTCCTCGGCACAAACACCCAGACCGCCCACTGCGAGTGCGAACACGCCCACGCCGCGGCAGTCACACCCCAACGAGACACTATCTCCGCCGGCGCGCACGGATGGGCAGGCGTTTAGCCCCATGACAGCCTCAAGTCACAGCCCGTCGCCGGGACACCCACCGCCTGGTTGGACGCCAGACTTCTCTGGTGGTGATCCCATGGAATTCACATCCTTTGCTGAACTGACTGGATTCGGACAACTTCCCAACTCCGGCCCGCCGCCACCCCTGCAATCGCCACCAGCCCAAGGGGCTGGGTTCCAGCAACCTCTGATACCGCAAGATCTGTACGCGCTGCCCATGAGTTTTGACTGGGACTGGGCGGAAATGAGCGGAGGCGCGTATCCGAGTGTCGAGAACGGGAACTTTGGGGAGCCGCGATGAGGCCGGTAGAATCCAGGTTGCAGAGCTGCAAGCCTTGTCACAAATCTGCGGCTTCGACTGGTGGAAAAGAGTGGGTGAAGCCCTTCGGTCTGAGACTGGATGAACCTACCACCCGCGTTGTAAATGATTCAAGGCGACGAGATCGGCTTCACGTTTGTCTGTACGATGCTCCTTGCCTCTGTGTGTGGAGGGGGGGTAAGGCGACCATTTCATTCATCTAATTCACCAATAGGGTATATGGTTTGCGTTTGCCATCTAGATAACATTGTTACGGAGGACCAAGTACATTGCGACGGCACCGAATTGCAATTCATGATTCGTTAGCATGCCTATCATTTTGGTGACCATAATGGCGTTCTATCACTGTTTCACTAGTATCAGTAGACTATGTGAACAAAGAGTTGCGAGAAACGCACCTCTCCATTAGACTATTCTGCATCAAGGAGTCTAGTAGAGTATGATTCATGAAGTGCAATCCGAGGGGGACGTGTGAGATTCCACGAGGGTTGAACCCTTGAGACCGCATCTCATTTGTCAGCGCAAGGAGTGGCAGCTCCGGAGACCCTGCGTGAGCATGTTAGCATCATTGAGCCGAAGCCAGCGGCGCAAAACGTGACGACTGCACGTAATTACCACCCTTTGCGCAGGATCCTCCCGACAGTGCCGGACCACCACGACAACAAGACCGGCTGGAGCTGAGCCGCAGGAGGAAACGTCTCGGCGGCACTCACATATCTCGCATCCCTACTGAGATAGCAAGGCGTCTGTTCGTCTGTGCATCCCGTCATACGAGGCACTGCGTGGGGTTTGGCTCGACTCAACCGCCCCGTCCAGTCATCGCGCCGCCACCTCCCAGCTTCACACTTCCTTTCCTCTCCCACCTCCCAGCCCACACGTCTCGACTCAATTGAATCATGTCTACGTTATTACGGCCGGCATCGCGCCAGGTCGGCCGGCTTGCACTCTCGTCCCTACGCACAACTTCCACAATCAGCGTGCGGCGCGCAAGATTACCAAGGATATCACCAGCATCGTCATCCGCAGCCTACCTGTTACCTCGCCCTCGTCTATACTCGACCGGCCCGCCACCGCCCGAGAAGCCCAAGGATGAGGCTCAGGATGTGAACAAGAATGCGAAGGATACGACCCCAGAGGAGCCAAAGGAGCCTCCAAAACTTCCTGACGGCTGGGTATGGCTGGGCGAGGAAGAATTGGAGATGCTGAAGAAGATGGGCGATATGGTGCCCGCAAAACACAGGCAGACATTCGCGGACGTGGAAAATGAGGTCAAGTCGAACGGAGCGCCTCTGGAGCTCAAGGACCTGTTAAACAAGGGACGTACAACCGGCCTAAGCATCGCAGACTCCATGAAGGTCATCAAGATAGCCCACAAGCTGGCGGAAAGGATGGCCAGGAAAGATTCCGGCTTCGACTCCCAAGATTCTCAGTTCTTCAATCAGAACGAAGGGCAGCGCAACGAGAAACAAGGCGAGAATGAGCAGCGCAATGAGGGCCAGAAACAGAACCCGAACAAGGGCAAGGGACAATTCAAAGCCTTTGACGGTGGCGACATGTTGGCCTGGATAGTGACAGCCGCACTTTTCTACCCTGTCTGGAGCATGATATTCCCCACCGAGTCGCGAGATATCAGCTGGCAGGAGCTTCGCAGGAATTATCTGGACAAGGGGCTCGTAGAGAAGCTCGTGGTCTACAACGGCAGCAGGGTGAGGGTGGATCTCAACCAGGAGGCGACCAGGTCCATGTACCCCGACAGTGTCGCAGCAAACCCCGGCTTCCACTTCTACGTGTCCATCGGGTCTGTTGAGACTTTCGAGAGGCACCTCGACGAGGCCCAGAAGGAACTCGGCATCCCCGGCACCGAGAGAATTCCGGTCACCTACGCCGCAGAGGGCCAGCTCGGCAATCTGCTCCTGGCCTTTGGCCCCACCCTGCTCCTCGTTGGCCTGATCTACTACACCATGAAGAGAGGTCCTGGCGGCGGTGGCGGAGCTGGAGGCGGCATGTTTGGCTTCGGCAAGAGCAAGGCTAAGATGTACAACCACGAGAGCGCCGTCAAGGTTAAGTTCGCCGATATCGCTGGCATGGACGAAGCCAAGGTCGAAATTATGGAATTCGTGTCTTTCCTGAAGAAGCCAGAGCGGTTCCAGAGGCTGGGCGCGAAGATTCCCCGTGGCGCGATCTTGTCTGGCCCCCCTGGAACTGGTAAGACGTTGCTCGCAAAGGCCACTGCTGGTGAATCAGGGGTGCCATTCTTCAGCGTCAGTGGGTCTGAGTTCGTCGAAATGTTCGTCGGTGTCGGTGCCTCAAGAGTGCGGGACTTGTTTGCGCAAGCACGTAAGAACGCTCCTTGCATTGTTTTCATTGATGAGATTGATGCCATTGGTCGTTCTCGAGGTGATGGAAACCGTAACTTTGGCGGCAACGAGGAGCGCGAGGCAACTCTCAACCAGATTCTCACCGAAATGGATGGTTTCAACACCCAGGAGCAGGTTGTAGTTCTTGCGGGAACGAACAGACCGGACGTCCTTGACAGAGCCCTGATGCGACCTGGACGTTTTGACAGACAGATCTACATCGACAGACCGACCATGAAGGGCCGTGCAGATATCTTCAAGGTGCATCTTGCCAACGTCGTCACCAAGGAAGAAATGGAGCATCTCTCTGGAAGGCTCGCTGCTCTGACACCAGGCTTCTCTGGCGCCGACATCGCCAACGCCGTCAACGAAGCTGCGCTCGTCGGTAAGTACTATCCTATTCACCTATCACTACTCACGAGAGACTGACTTTAATTTTCTCTATAGCCGCAAGAGCGAATGCTGAGAGCATTGAGATGATCCATTTCGAGCAGGCCATCGAACGCACCATCGGAGGTCTGGAGCGAAAGTCCCTCGTTCTCAACCCTGAGGAGAAGAAGACCGTGGCATATCACGAAGCAGGACATGCCATCTGCGGCTGGTTCTTCGAATATGCCGATCCCCTGCTCAAGGTGTCCATCATTCCCCGCGGCCAAGGCGCCTTGGGCTACGCACAGTACCTCCCGACTGGTGACGCCTACCTAATGAACACAAAGCAATTAATGGACCGAATGGCCATGACGCTAGGCGGTCGTATCTCTGAGGAGATCCACTTCCCAACTGTGACGACCGGGGCGAGCGATGACTTCAAGAAGGTAACGTCGATGGCCACCAACATGGTAACACAATGGGGCATGTCCGAGAAGCTGGGCCCCATCTCCTTCAACCAGGACCAAAACCAGTTCAACAAGCCGTTCGCGGAGAGCACGGCCCAGCAAATAGACGCCGAGGTCAAGTGCATAGTGGACTCGGCGTACAAGCAGTGCAAGGACCTGCTGGTCGAGAAGAAGAAGGAGGTCGGCATCGTCGCGGAGGAGTTGCTGAAGCGGGAGATGCTCACTCGGGACGACATGGTGAGGCTGCTGGGCCCAAGGCCTTTCAAGGACAAGGAGGAATTCACCAAGTATTTTGACGGGTCCAAGAGCGCGCCACCGCCGCCTCCTAGCGAGGGCGGGATGGAGACCTTGGACGATCCCCCAGCTCCGTCCCCTGCTTTCCGGCGGGAGCAATGAGGTCCCTTGGGGGAGCAAAGGGGCTGATGCCCCAACACAAACTCTACTCTACTCTTAACAGGAACACAAGGCCCGGCCATCCACCCGGGCCTTGAGACTCCGATCATAGGGATGGGCACAGGGGCCTTACCTAGTTTTGTACAAATAACGGACATACTTTATTAGTCGGGCCACGCGGGAAGCTGGTCTAGCGGAAAGGGGGATATTTAGACGAGATGCATGATGCTCTGTACTAGGTAGATGTTCAGGATCATACAAAAAAGCGATTCAAGACAATGCGATCTCTTTGTCTTCGGCTTCCGGCTTTCGTTGGATCAAGGTACATACGGCGTAGCCATATGAACGCGTGCAGGTCCTCTTTTGTAGTACAACAGCTTTGGCTGGGTTGAGACTTGGTTAGAGCCCACATGCTCATAGGTCATCAGGAGGGCCAGTCAGGCCCAGGGATTTGATCTTTCCCTTTGGCAAGATCAGTGTGGGCGTGGCGGTCGAAGTGGTCACTGCCTTCACATCTGCCATTACTGTGGCTGTGTCCTTTGCAAGAGTTGAGTACTCTCTCTTTGAGTGAGTACTCTCTCTTTGAGTGAAAGGGCCCGATGGTACAAGTCAATTGGATGTAATCGGCTTTGGAATCATCTATGCGTTACACAATTTCTCGCGTCAACGTTTCCATCTAATCTTGACTTAGGTCCCACGGCGGATACACTTTCGCAGACAAGGACATGAGATTGCGAGACATAGCGCCAGCCATTCAAGCTGATACGAAAGAGGGATATAGAATGACAACAAGGCTGGGTGAAGGAAGCAGCGAGTGCGCCTGGATGCGATGCAATGGCTGGAAAGAGCAAAACTTAGGATACACGTGTTGCGACAACTCGGTTTCAGGATCAGCAGACCAAATGAACTGAATGCGTATCAGCATTGAGTATCATATCAAAGTCCTCTGCCGCGCTAAAGCGCATGATACGCCGGCTCAGTATCCTTTGGCTTAGCAATCACCCAGTCACTAATCTTCCGGCTCATGCGAACACTCGTCTCATCCACGGCTCTCCAAAACCAGTCCGCCGTGATGCACGTCCCGGCGGCCGCGAGGATCCACACTACCACATAGGAAGGCTGGAAGCTCCAACCCAACACGTCCATCAGAAAGAGGAAGGTGGGCGCGCTGACAGTGGTGATCAGCAGCAGGTGCATCAGGTAGAAGGCGAAGCTGATCTCCCCGAGGTAGCGGAACGGCGCCGTGCTCAGCAGCCACTGGAACGACGGCAGCGACTCGAGCGAGGCCAGCACGCCGACGGCGCCCACGCTGGCGTACAGGAAGTCGATGTCGTTCCCGGAGTACTGGGCCGGCGTGAAGGTGGCGTGGATGGACGCGTAGGGCTCCACGCCCAGCGTGGCGCCAGACTCGGGCCACGCGCAGACGACGACGGCCGGCACGAGCGTCAGCAGGGCGACCGCCGAGCGGACGGACCGGACCTTGACGTGCCGGGCGAGCCGGGCCCAGGGCCGCGCCGGGACGTCGGCCGCGGAGCGGGGCAGCGCCTCGGGCTGGGACTCGAACAGCGGGCAGAAGCGCAGCTCGGCCAGGCCCATGCCCGCCGTGAAGCAGAAGACGTCCCACCGGACGTAGTGCAGGGCGAACAGGGCGAAGGCGAGCAGGAAGAGCTTGCGGCAGCGGGACGTCAGGCGCGAGCAGACGATGCACAGCAGGAAGACGATCAGCGAGCCGCGGTACTCGAAGGGCAGCGTCCAGGCCTGCTCGAGCGTGGCGGGCTGCACTATTTTCCAGGTGAAGGGGTTGATGAGGCGTAAGACCATGCGCGCATAGCTCTCCATGTTGAGGAAGAAGTCGGCGACTGTCTTGGGGTCGGTCTGCGCGTAGGGAAGCTGCTTCGAGTCCTCGTACATGGACGTGAAGAAGGTGACGAAGGCGAACATGAAGGCGAGGGCGACCAGAGGCGTGAAGAGGCGGAACCCGCGGCGGATGATGGAGGACCAGAGGGAGGTCAGGAGGGCCGAGTCGTTGCCGCCAGACGAGATCTTGGACAGCGGCGAGTAGGACAGGACGAAGCCCGAGAGCACGAAGAAGACCATGGTCGCGCCGTGTCCGGCCAGCCCGACGTTGAACAGCGGCACCTTGCCGAGGGTCTTCTTTTGCATCGGGTTCCACAGGATCGCGACGTGGTAGTTGAAGACGATCAGGCACGCCACGCCGCGCAGGCCGTTCAGGTACGACGTCGAGTTGACCTTTGGGAGCTTGCGCTCCGTCTTGCCCAGCGGCGCCGCGATGATCCACGGCGCCATGCTCCAGGCCTTCCGGCGCCACTGGAAGCGGACCGGCTTCTCGCTCGGTATCCTCCCCGTGAGCCACTCTGTCGTGGTCTCGTGCATGGCTTCCTCTTCGTTGTCGCCCTGAGCTCGGCCCATCATATTATGAGCGGTTGAGGGGAGGTGTGTTCAAGGTAATTGCGTGAATCGGGGCACAAAGACGATAATTAGATATTAAGTTTCACAGCCATTTGGAGAGATCCCTCCCATTTTACGTCCGGGAGGAAAGGAAAAGGGCGGGCTTGATATTGCCAACTCTCCATGTTCTCCCTAGATGGCAAGTTTTGCCCCTGCTATGTCTCTCCCAAGACGCGACCCAGGGCCCTTCCTAATTGTGCAGATCAGCATCATAATTACTGTTTCTCGTGAGACTGATTTCACACTAGCAGTGGCTGGTCAATTGTTGTGGTTAGCAAGAAAACAAGTTCAGGCGGATGAGGCTGGACTGCTAAACCTACGGGACACCCAGCTGCGACTAATCAAGCCACAGGGATAGTATGTATGTTGTTATATTCATTAATGTTTTTGCGGAAAGTTTCGCGGAACAAATAAATTATCTAGTTTTAGAAGACCCCTATCTCAACTGGGATTAATGTGGAGATGCTTTCTTTGGTTGTGGATATGTCGCTGCATTAGTTTAGGCTACATCGTAGGTTTCTAGTCGGCATCCGCGCGATATAAGAAAGTCTCTTCCTCTGGATATCTCACTCCTCTCCATTATTGCTATCGCGTCCAAAAGCCAACGAGCATTTGCTGGGTGAGCTATTAGAATCAACATTTGCCATCTCACGATTCTGAATACGCGTGAACCGAGCGCGTCAATTGTGGATTGAATGAATCGTGTAGTACATACATTTGAGCAGTATTACTTCAATTCCACAACGGCTACTTCAAATCCAGCCGTTGAATTGGAAAGTCTAAGAGCGGTAACGTGGGGAGGCGAAGACATTTTTCCCGCCAAGTGGCGGTAACAAGCGCTGCATCCGGGATGTCTCACTCCCTTCGCTGCTACAGCCCCAAGGGAGAGCTTTGGTGAAAAGGGAGGGGAGAGGCATGAGGCCCCCACTCCCACCCGCAGTAGAATTCCACAGGATCTGTCAGATGGTCAATCAAACCTTCATAGGCCAATGGTGGCCGGGGGTGGATATCACTGTGAGGTTGGGGCCCAACACTTATTCACTTCGGGCAGGCCGTATCATGAGCCAAGGAGTCCAATGAAAGCGGGCCACCCGTGTATAGTTGTGAGACTCTTGCCGTATTTGTTGGCCGTCGTTGGCCAATTGCGTCGATGCCAAACACCCGAAGCCAGTCCTGTGTGTTGACGTGTCCGTATTTTTATTTTATTTTTATCAACGCTCATGTCGACCCTCAGGATGGGATTCAGTTACCTCGCCTCATACGCCTGAATGGCAACATACTGTCGTTGCCAGGGAAAGAAAGAGTCTGACCGTTGTATGTCTCATAATCGTAAGACCTGATTCAGGGGAGGAAATGATGGCCCATCCCGCCATCTTAAGAGGAAAAGGATATGAGTGCAGCGGTGAAGATCCTATCGGTAATTCGGCTTGTCATTCTTCGCCGAAAGTGTGGACGATCACACGAGCCCACACAAACACGCGCATCCGCTGTAATATACTCTTATGGATGTTGTGCCCCAGACACAAGGAGGACTAGGACCAGGAAAAGGATGATCCGTCATCCTGTCGGCTCGCACCGGAGGACATGCTCCTTCTTTAGGTATCTTCCCATTGGTCTAACTTAGAGCGGCTCTTCATCCTTCGTGCACAATTTTGCAAGATCAACTGAATCCATTCATGACTGGTAAATGCTACACGTGTTCTGTTATACTCTTGCTCTGTCATGGCACTTACCACTCAACGGAGAATGAGACGGTGATGCGAAACGCCGAGAAGGCCGAAAAGATTCTAGAACACGCATCTCCCCCTTCAAGATTGATATCGTCCAGGCCCCGTGCTTGGAATCCAGAAGACCTTGACTCGTGATTATGAGAAGGTCGTGTGGCCCATGGATCTGTGCCTGTCATTTCTGATCATTTTCCGTTTGATCTTGGTGAGAAATCTCGAGGTGTTCAAGATCGCGCAAGACAAACACATATGAGAAATACCAGCATTCGGAGTTCGCACAGATCTAGTCGATCTCAACCCAGTGTAAGATTCAGATAATACGGGCCCCGGGGAGCATTGGCATCCGCCCCCTGAGGACAGGGCATGGTGCCACACACAAGACCATATCACCAATAAGATAGGGGGCCAAAGACAGGGCTCGAGGCGCGCGCGCAGCCAAGTGGTTGAGTCAGAAGACGAGGCAGCCTGGTGTATCCCTCACGCCAAGGTCCACCGTGACTCCCACAGACCGTCACATTACCTGTCTTCGAGCTCTGTGCAGAAGTGGTTGAGATTCAGTCTTATGGACGGGCTGGGCCACAGTGGCTTGTCGATGTGCCCTCCTTCTCAAGCCTTGCGTCCAGAGTATTCGGGACCGGTAATTTTCTCAAAGCAGCTCTTCCTTGTTCAATTTATCAAAGTCCATGGGTGATTTATAGGCGGTGAAGGAAGCTGTGGCCATTCGACCTTGTGCCCCATTTGATTCTTTTGAGGGCCATATTAAGACGACCAGAGATGGGGCAATTCATACTCTGGGCGTGGGGGTTTTTGCACCAGGAGGAAGAAAAGCAGCGCGGGATGAGGTATATATAGTCATAAGAAAGCCATTCAGTGGGGATGGATGAGAGAAGCGCGATGGGAAGCAATTGCCGGATCGACGCAGCGGATACAAGTAGCATGGCTGGCAAATGATAAAGAGGGAAGGGATCAAAGTAGAATACTTAATTCCGTCTTTTCATGAACATGCTCCACTTCACAGAGGTCGGCAATCTGACAGCGCCCCAGATACTGTTCCCTGAAAAGTGCTTGGTGCTGGTGTGTCGGAGAGGCACGGAAATTGCCCAAAACGACTTTGCTGCAAGTCGCGTGTGTAAATATACTAACTGCTACTGCAATTGTGTCGAAGTGGATTGTACTAGTAAAGCAGTTTTGGCTCTGCGGCATTCTGCCTGGGCAGAACGCGGGTTGCAGGATTCAAAGCAGAATTCGCGTGCAGAAATGTCGTCGGCTAAAGATCGGCATGGTGCTTTTTCCCACTGTGTGCAGTCCAGTTGCCACGGGGCGATCGGGGAAGTGGTTTGATGTGGATCATTAAGGTGGGCTCGAGGTGGGGACAGCGCCATTGGAGCCGCAGAATGGCAGACCGGTGGTCCCTGTTGGGGTCCAAAAATCCACTTGGCCGCGCTCTTCTTGTCATGGGAGTTTGCCGAAGTCATCGCCATCGTTGATCCTTGCTCGACACCCAGCACCATCACACAAAAACATGTCGTGCCAAAACATCTGCCGGCTGTCTCGTTCGCTTGGTCACAAGGGGAAGAACTGAGTAGGTTCTCTTTTCAGGTTTGTTTTATGTGGCGTTATTCTTGTTGCCATTCCGACTCGCACATCTCGCTTTGCATGGATGGTAGCATGGAATAGTTGCCACGATGTAGTTACGAGTATGATTCATTGGTCGGTTAAGAGACGTTGAACCTGCCCAAGCATTGGGATATCTTGCCCGTCTGCTATCAATAAGGCTCAAGTCGGCGCCAAAGTCTTGTTTTTTTTGCGGCGAACCCCGTATCCGTTAACCCCCCTTCCCTCCTCTTACAAAGATCTACCACTCTACTCTACCCGGCTAAGCACCGCTAACTACTTTGAGAATGCCGTCATCCCCCGTTTTTTCTGTAACCCTGGTCTCTTTGGCCGAACATTTCCTATAAGTCAAGTCTCTAGAGCCTTTCCATGACGGGCTTTAGATGATCTTCCGCAATCGACACCAGACAGGCTCGTGATTCAAGGGCGAATAGAGGCGACTATCCGATATGTTCCCGTTATTAGCGAAGCCCGTCATCCCACAGTGAAGCCACCCATCTCTTCGCTTTCGCGTTTCCTCCGGCCACCACCATGTTACATAACACCACCTCCGCCGCTCGTGACAATTCGTCTTCCGGGCCCGGGCCCGGAACTGGAGCCGCGACTGGCCCGGGAATGACTGGCCCAAGTACCAACACGGCCAGCGAGCTCAAGCAGACCGTCTCGCGGACCTCAGCGGCACGATCTCACACCGGCTCAACTGCTCGAACTCCAAGATGGTGGAAAATCCGTCTATTCAAAGGTCTCATCGGCGACTTACGTCGCCGGGCCCCTTATTACTGGAGTGACTGGAAGGATGCATTGGATTACCGTGTCGTTCCCGCTACCATCTATATGTATTTTGCAAAGTATGGTCCGCCTCATTGTCTTCATAGCCGAATCGAATATCACTCCTGGAATAACTCACATCATACACCCTTGGGCCCTATCCATAACCAATTCAGCTCATCAAAACGTCTGGGCCAGCACGCCCAACAGCAAGACCAATGACACTGACCAAATCCTAATAGCATCTTACCAGCCCTGGCTTTCTCCTTGGACATGTTCACCCGCACACACTCCCAGTACGGCGTCAACGAGGTCCTACTGGCTTCAGTCCTTGGCTCCGTCGTCTTCTCCGTGCTCGCCTGCCAGCCGCTCGTTATCGTCGGCGTTACGGGGCCCATCACCGTCTTCAACTACACCGTCTACGACATTATGGTGCCCACGGGCGTCAACTACCTAGCCTTCATGTGCTGGATTGGCCTCTGGGCCCTCGTTATGCACTGGGTGCTCGCCATCACCAACTCGTGCAATTGGCTGCGCTACGTCACCCGATTCCCCTGCGATATATTCGGCTTCTACGTCGCCTTCATCTACCTGCAGAAGGGCGTCCAGGTTCTCACCCTGCTGGGCGACCGCGAGCCCTTTTACCTGAGCGTCCTGGCTGCGATGCTGGTCTTCTTCATCGCCTACGCCTGCGGTGAACTAGGCAGCAGCACGCTGTTCCACCACCACGTGAGGGTGTTTCTGAAGGACTACGGCACGCCGTTGACCGTGGTCTTCTTCACAGGGTTCGTACACATCGGCAGGATGAAGCAGGTCTCGCTGGAGAGTCTGCCCACGAGCACAGCCTTCTTTCCCACCCAAGACAGGGGCTGGCTTGTCCACTTCTGGGACATCAGGGTGGCCGATGTATTTTTGGCTATACCATTCGCGCTATTGCTGACTATCCTCTTCTGGTTCGACCATAACGGTAGGGTTACATACCAAGACCAACCGGATATTGCTTGAACTATTCTGCTGACTCGCAGCCATGTAGTCTCATCTCTCATCGCCCAGGGCACTGAGTTCCCACTCAGGAAGCCACCGGGCTTCCACTGGGACATTTTCCTGCTCGGTCTCACCACCGGTGTCGCCGGCATCCTTGGAATTCCGTTTCCCAACGGCCTCATACCGCAGGCGCCCTTCCACACCGAATCCCTGTGCGTCACCAAGGTCGTGCACAGCGACAGCGACAACTCCAACCCCAACGCCGCCGACGACGATGAGGGAGGCGATAAAAAGGGCCACTGGGAGCTCAAGCGCACGCACGTGGTGGAGCAGCGCGTGTCGAACCTGGCGCAGGGCCTGCTGACGCTCGGCACGATGACGGGCCCGCTGCTGGTGGTGCTGCACCTGATCCCGCAGGGCGTGCTGGCGGGCCTGTTCTTCATCATGGGCTACCAGGCGCTCGAGGGCAACGGCATCACGGCCAAGATCCTGTTCCTGCTGCGCGACAAGTCCCTCACCTCGCCCGCGAGCCCGCTGCGCCGGATCCGCCGCCGCTCGCGCATCTGGCTCTTCGTCGCCCTCGCCCTCGTCGGCTTCGGCGCCACCTTCGCCATCACCCAGACCGTCGCCGCCGTCGGCTTCCCCGTCTTCATCCTGGCCTTGATACCCGTGCGCGCGCTGCTGCTGCCCAAGATATTCACGCCTCAGGAGCTTGGCATCTTGGATGCCCCGACGGCAAGCCCGTTCACCATGGAAAGTGTGGGGGGTACGTATGGCGGGGAAACACCTGATGTGGAGGACGGTGGGTCGCCTGACGAGACAGAACGGCCTGGAGTTAGTAGCGGTGGGCTGTTCAGGGGCGGAGAGGGGGATGGTAGAGGTAGCGAGGGCGGCATAGATCGGGGGAAGAGCGAGGCAGAGCTCGCGGAGCTGGGTCAGAATACAAGCATGAGGAGAAGGAGTAGTGCCGTCGCCAGAGACGCCAAAGACGAAGGATCCATCGAGATGAAAAATCTGGGCGTGAGTAGACGGATTACGTCTGGAAGCAAATAAGCATCTGAGGGTAAACAAGCCATCCTGCGAGGGCAAGGGATGAAGATTACATACACTCAATAGAACCTAAATTGTAATGTCAATGCATGCAAAGATGCAGCGCATGCTTCATTCATTATATATCCAGTGTTCCTCAGTATATGTGATGCCCAAGAACATTCCAGCCCGCATGTCCATAGGACGAGCCGTGACTCCAAACTCCCGCGCAAGGCATCCCATCCAGTTCATCACTCCTCATCACTGCTGTCCATTACAAAACCGCCCTTGGCCCTAGATCGTCTCTTGCTGGCAACAGGCACATCCTCGTCGTCCTCGTCGTCCGAAGCTTGATTTGTCAAAGTATTGACGACTTTCTCCTTGAGCGGAGATCGCTGCTCCCCGCGTGCTTCTTTGCCCAGGTCTTTGGGGTTAGATGACAAGGGCGTATCGTCTGTGTCCATATGGTCGCTATCTGAACCATCCTCTCCCTCGTCGGCGCCACTAAGCTGGTCGACTGGGGACGATGGCTCAGCGTCGTTCATGTCTTCGTCCTCATCACTGCTATCGGCCAAGAAACCGCCCGTAGTTTTCTTGGGCTTTACAGCTCGTTTCCTTGATGTCGGTGGGCTGCTTTGCTCCTCGTTCTCAAGGAGAGCGTCAGATTTCCTCTTCTTCGTTCCTGAGCTAGCCTGCGACTTTTGTGACGAGCTGGCTGCATCACTCTCTCCGTCGTCAGCATCGCTATCACCCATCAGCCTCTTCATGGTGTCTGCAAGCCCCTGTGGTGTAACTTCCGCCTCCTGAAGCTGTGACACATCCGTTGGTGCAAATTGAAGAGCCTTCTTGACACGCTGCCGGACAGCTTCCTCGCGCGCAAAGAATTCCGCATCCGCCTCGGCATCCGACTCGTCGTCACTGGGGTTAACATAGAGCGCAGATTTGATCTTGCGCTGCTTCTCGAGGTCACGTTTGCGCCGCCTCAGGGCTTTCTCAGCGCGGATTTCGTCCTCGTCCTCGGTCGGGAGATCATCATCGGCCCCGCTACCAGAATCCTTCTTGCGGCGTAGACGGCGCTTTTTGGGAGGTCGATCACGGCCCGGGCCGACAAGTTTGCTGGGTTTGAGGTTGGCTGGGAAAAGCACCTCGTCACCGTCGTCAAGAATGTCGTCAATGTCATCGTTTTCATCGTCATATGCGGCTTTCTTCCGGGGAGCAGACTTGCGTCGGACTTGATCCTCGGCAGTTTCGCCGTTATCGAAGGCGAGAGGGCTGAACTCGGCCTTGTCGATCAACTCCTTATACTCCGCCAGGTCCTCCGCTGAATGTCGTGAAGGTATGATCCAAGCTGAACCAATTTCCTCATCTATCAATGAGGACAGCCGCTCGAAACCAAGGACCTTCATGAGCAGGCGCAAGCGAGGATTTCTGAATATCGCAGTCTTCCGTGCGTCATTGTCAGGAAGCAGAGCTGGTCCAATGTCAGCGATACTGGGGATAAGTCACATTTGAATACAATCAACTTACTGAAAAATTCGGGCTCAGCCATTACGCTCTTCCAATCTTCCCTCAAGGTCATTGTGCCATCAGGCTCTTCCACCATGAGCTTAGCTTTCTCGGCTGCTTCCCAGACAGAACGCACAACCTCACAGGCTGCCAGTTGGTTCTTGACCCAGTCTATTTGCTCCGACTCATTCTTGTCCAGCAGCAAGCCAATAGCAGTCGCTACTTGCTCGGCCAAAGTGAGGTCTAGACGACGGAACTCGAGCTCGGCAGCAGGTCTTGGTGTGGAGGTGCTGAGTACCTGCCTGTCATAGCCGTACTCAAGGTAGTAGGCCGTGGAATTGATCTTGGAGAACAGCATCTCGATGATCAATGCCGGCCGCTCCTCGATCTTCTTCACACAACGTCGAAGAACTTGCTTCACGAGTTCCTCCCAGTCTTTGTACATCCCGCAAGTTTTGTCTAGAGGCTCGGGGCCCTTGACCATGTTGTAGAGCAGATGAACGATGTCAACACGGAACAGCATGACGCTCATGTCCTGCTTGAATGCTAAGCGGTAGAAATATCGGTGAGCCCTCTTTAGCTGTGAGTCGTCAAGATCGCGATAGTATTTGATGAATTTGACAAATGTGTCCACAACGCCTTGAGGGACGAATCGGTTGGCAAACTTTTTGAAGTCGAATTTGCGTTCCTGGGCAGTCTTCTCAGCAGCTGCCTGCTCGTCTGCAGAACCAGCATCCTCTTCATCGTCGTCCTTGGCTTCATCGTCCTGCGAAGCTGCGGCAGCAGCCTTTTTCTTCTTCCGGGTCCTTCTCTTGGACCGGACCTGCATGTCTACATTCTCTTTGGAGTAGGCCTCCAGAACCCGCATATATGTATGGACAAGTTCTGTGCACGCATCCAAATAATCGAATCCCTGGTCCTTGTACGCACGTACAATGTTCACAATAGTGTCGTGGGTGACCTCTTCGTAGAACAACCGACTCAGTGCATTCTCCGCGATTTCCTGGTCTTCCTCATTTTCTGATGCAAACATTTCCTGGACTGTTAAGAGAATCTGGGTGAAGCATCGCATGACGGCGTTCAGCTCTCGCCAATCGCCTTCAGTGAATGATCTGTGGAGGTTTCGTTTCAGGGCAATAAACATCTCTTGGTTCAACACGCCTGCGACCAGCTGAAAACTGCTCACTTGGTCCTCGGATGAGGGCTTTTTGCTTTTTCTGGCCTGTTGTCTCGCCCTCTCGGCCTCAAGAAACCAAGCGACCGTGTAGAAAAACTGTTGGGCATGATGCTGCATAACTTCTGCGCCTTCTCTTTCAAGGGTCTTGCGCACCTGTTGAAACAGAGGGTTAAAGCCAGAATCCAGGAATTCCTCCACAAATTCGCACAGCTGGTTGTTGGCTCGGGCATTCAGAATGACAGGCGGGCCAAGGTCCTTGGGCTCCATATCCTCTTTCGCTGCTCGTCGCGGAGGTCGGAAGGTCTTGGATTCGTCCAGTTTCCGCTCTCGACTGGACACGTCTGCAAGCGCACCTTGGCCCGACAGGGACGACACCTTCCCATCTGACTTCTGAACCCATAGCATGGTGCCGAAACGACTATGTCTGGTAGGAGCTTTCCGGCTGTATGATCGCAACATGGAAGCTTCCTTCTTCATCGCGCTGGCCAACTCGTCTGTCTTGGCCTTTCTCAGTTCTTGCTCGTTGAGGAAGAGCTTCTTGACATCGACCCGTTTGATGAGGTGGAAAATGATCTCCATAACGATGACATCCTCAGTCTTAAACTCTTCGCCCATGTTCGATGACAAGGTCAAGAGGGTGAGGAAGATGTCTTGGTATGAGAATGCGTCAATAACGGCCGACCGTGAGATCTGAGTCTCGTCTCCTTCGAACTTGAGCCCAGAAGGAGGGGTAATCATTGCAATATTCCGCAACAAGTAGAGAACCAATTTGATGATGCCGACGTCTCTTTGTGTCCTGTCGCCGATCGGCATTGCCATAGAGGGAAGGGCAGCGCGCACTGCCGTGTGTAGTATTTGTGCCCCGTCGAAGTTCAAAATATCTCGCTTGTATTTTACTTGTGCGAGCTCAAGCACCGGGATGTGTCTGTGATGGTTGATGGTCATGGTCTCTTTGTTCTTCTCGATAGGCCATGTTAGGGGAGCCAAAAGCTCATAGCAGGCAAGAGCTATGCGAGACTTGTATTTTTCGTCCTTGCAATTCTCGGTCCATAGCGCTAGGATGTGTATCAGGTCTCCGCTGACCAGGTTCGCGTCTGCCAGACATCGTGCGACGTCCATGCGGTTGGTCCTCTCGTCGTAAAAGCGAATCCATTTCTTGATATCACGAAGAACGTCGAGAGCGTCGTCTCCGAGTCTGTAATGAGTGCCATCGTCTTCATCGGCAAGGCCTCCCAACTGTGGTGTGATAGTTCAAGGTCAGCCTCCATCACACTTTATGGGGGGGCAAGTTGGGCGCCTCGTTACTTACAGCAGACACCAAGCTGTTGATATACGCCCGAACTTCGGGATGCACCACGTCTTCTCTGCCAGTCGAAGGCTCCATGGTCAATTCTGTGGGATTGGCCCCAAACCACAGCAGTGACCAATATCAGAGCCCTTGAAGACGGGGTGTGGTGGTGTTGACTTGGTAGGGCAGGGTCCAGTTTTGGAGCGCGTAAATGGGAACTGCTGGGAGACGCGCCGCGGCAAAACGGGACGCGTCGAGCTTCTCAAAGCCTCCCCCACCCCCAATCCTCCTAACCCTTGCTGGGTCAGAAAGTAGTCTTACATAAGGCACCTTGTAATTGAACACTGGGTATGAAGCCCGAGGATAAGCGCAAGGGTCTCGGCTATTATACCAAGGCATTGGGTCGAGCGACATCATACCGAGGTCGTTTATCCATCAAGCAGCCTCTCAACCTTTCGTCCTGCACTGCATCCGACGATATGGCTTCCACAGCTTCAAGAGTGCGTCATATGCAGAGAGTATTGCCTCAATTGAGGCACTACAGCTCCTCGTCCACGCCTGTCAAGAGGCTAGGCGTTGTGGGCGCCGGACAGATGGTGAGCAAGCCTCATGCATGTGATAGCTTCAATGAGCTCCCGAGCTGACTTGCTACCAGGGCCTCGGAATAGCTCTTGTCGCTGCACAAAGGGCACAGGTGCCCGTTACTCTAGTCGACACTTCTCAAGCATCTCTCGATAAGGGGCTTAAATTCGCTGGTGTGTAACTCTTGGGTCTCTCCTGTGGCTTGCCCAGCAAGTAACATGCTAACGGTATCATTCAGACAAGCTTCTTGCCAAAGATGTTTCCAAGGAACGCATCACTCAGGAGCAGGCTGACCAGGCCCGCTCGAATCTCTCACCTTCCACGTCCATGGACCCTCTTTCTGAGGTTGACTTTGTGATCGAGGCCGTGCCGGAGATCCCCAGCCTCAAGTTTGACATATTCTCAAAACTGGCTCAGGTGTGCCCATCTCACGCCATCCTGGCCACCAACACATCCTCGATCTCTATTACGCGCATCGCTGCCTCAACAACAAAAGACCCTAAGGATCTTTCAGCTAGCTCGCGCGTGGTCTCGACTCATTTTATGAACCCTGTGCCAGTGCAGAAGGGTGTTGAAATCATTAGCGGGCTGCAGACCAGCCAGGAGACTATCGACCAAGCCATTGCCTTCTGCAAGGCAATGGGAAAGATCCCATCTGTATCAGCCGACTCGCCTGGCTTCTTGGCCAACCGCATCCTGATGCCCTACATCAATGAGGCTGTCATTTGCCTCGAGACAGGTGTTGGTGACCGGGACTCGATAGATGCCATCATGAAAAATGGCACCAACGTGCCCATGGGCCCATTGCAGCTGGCTGACTTCATTGGGTTGGACACATGTTTGTCCATCATGAAGGTGCTGCATGAGGAGACGGGTGACAGCAAGTATCGACCAAGCGTGCTCTTGGGAAAGATGGTGGATGCCGGTTGGTTGGGCAAGAAGAGCGGGAAGGGCTTCTATGACTACTGAATTGTCAAAAGTGTGTCATAAATCAGATTCATATGCCTTACTCGAAATCAGATGTATCATCATCACTTTGAAGTGAAGCCCCTCCACCCTCGAAGCCTGTATGGTAATGAGCCACTTTCGGTTTTCGAATGAGGGCCTGTTTACCATGAGGAGATATTAGTGACTCGATTATGCCGTCTCCCTTCACATCCATCCATTACACACGACACACATACGAACCTTCTCCGAGGTCTGCATTCTGGATTCCATACTCCCATGCCGCGCCAACATTCAGAACTAATCCACAGTTCAAACTTAGGAGGTCCAGAATTACATGCTCCGATCCACGTGAAACCTTCTCCTCAGTTGATGTGTGCATAATGCTATCTATTGATCAAACTCCACACACATTCTTAACTTAGCATGATTCATCACTCGGCAAGCACTGGTAATCTATCTGCTGCACAAGGCCCGTCCCGAAGAATTATCGCCTTCTCGCCATCTTGAGAAGGCGAGTTCATGTGCTACGACCTCTCTCCACCTCTCCACCGCCTTCACGCGCCCTCATGTGTCATAGTGACGATGCAAATAGCAAGCATTTCATCGCGGTTCACATGCCACAAGATGGGCCTCCGGCTGCACGGAGGTCGACTCCCGCTGCATGCGGGAGAACTGGACGCACGTTAGTTCACACCCTACGGGTGGGCCGGGCGTGCTTTTCGGATCCGCGTTGGCCAGGTCAACAGGCCGCATTTCGTGGTCCATAGGGTTCTAGGCGGGCACTGGGCGGCCGCGTCTCTCCAAGACATGCTTCTCCGGCTTTGAGATCGATGGGGCCCCGGTTCAAGCGAAGGCGAGCCGAGCCGAGCTTGCTTTTTTTTTTTGCTCCCCATGTTGGTTTCGGGAATATTTTCCGGGATTTACGACCCTTGATTTGGGCAAGATACGCGACTCTTGCTCCCACACCCCCATGGATTCTGTGGTTCTGTATCTGCAGGGCGAGGAGGGATAGGCACTTTCCGGTCGCCGATGACTATTTGTCAAGGTCACGTACAGAAACGTGGTCACTATGTGTAGTGATCGAGGTTGGGGGGCAACGCATGTACATCGCCTCCTCACCAACGGAGTGGGGGCCAAGCCAGGCGAGACCACCAACCTCCCCTGATATTATCAGAGATCTCAGCCCAATCCTTTCGACCGGGAACATCAGGAGATACGGGTTTCGTCGTGAGACTCGAGCATCCGTGACTTTCTCGCAGACCGGGCCCGGCCGCCCAGCTGACGACCGCCGTCGAATACCATCTCGCAGCTGTCTCAAGCATCCTCGTCGGCTGCGCTCTGGTGCTCCACCAGGCTGCTCGCAATAGCATCGCGTAAGCAAGGTGGGTGCGCTTAGGCATCAACAGCCGCCTCTCATATCATCATACCCCAGATGCAGATCCTCCGGCTAGACGCCAGCCCGCCGGGCCCATATTCGGCGATGATATCCCAAGAAGATGGTGGTCGCGAGCTCACACAAAAAGGTCTCGGGCCATGCAAGCCTCGCTGCTGATACCCGCCCTCGCATGGCCCCAAGCCAGTGTTGGGCTCGGCAAGGCGTGCTTTTCAATGGGGCCACACATACACACACACACTTTTCAACTCTATGGGTTCACGATAACCGAGCTGCGAGATCCCATGGGCTGAATCGGGGGCGCGCCACAAGATTCCGCACTCGAGGGCAGATTCACCCATCGGTCGGTGCCTTCCTCCCCAGCCTTTCCCAACCACGGCCAAGGTTGCGAGCCTGTCTCTGTTTGCGGGGTGCTACAGCATTGCCTGTGTAGGACAGGATGTGAGACATGCAAATGATATGTTGGGCCTTGAGATCTGGGGCCCCAGAGCCCCCAAAAAGATTGTAAACATGAAAGGATCATCTCAAGGGCTGTGCCAGACCGGTCTGCCAACCGTGGTTTTCAATTTTACCGGGATTCCTGCGATCAAGGGCTGTAAGACACGGCGGTCTATGGGCTCTGACGATGCTCAACTTTTGCCAGAAGAATTTTACTCTTACGCCCAGCGCCTTCAGCTCGACTCTAGAACTCGGTGACTCTATGGCTGGCATCGCGCAAGGATCTCGTAGCATGCTGTTGCGGAGTGTTTTCTTTGTGTTGCATGGGGCGTTGGCCTGTCATGGCTTGCCAGCATAGTGCTACGGCTCCAGTCCTATCTCGAAACTAGCTGTTAACAAGGCTCGCATCTAACGAAGCCTTGGAAGACAGGGGATTCCACCAGCGAAGGGCCCTTGGCCCAATGTAGACTGTAGATAGCTTCTGGTTTTGTTCTAGTCTTTCTAACTCGATGGGGTGGACGAACGTAGAGTGTTCTAGCGATGGACTCGTTTAGGATTCGAGACGGGCCCCTAGGTATTCTAAATATATGGGAAACAAACATGAGGACAGCAGGTTGGATTAGAAGGTTCCAAGCAATTGGGAATCCTTGAGTCTATGGAAACGAGTAATGACACTATCAAGCGAGAGGTAATGTATACATGCCGATTTAGGGTGACAACCTCCCCCTTCACGTTTGTTCGTTTCCGGTATATATAGACATACCACAGACTGGCGCTCGTTTCTATGGCCTTATAGGTCTTTGATCGCGTGGAAGCTCTAGTCAAACCGACGGTCTTGAAAGCACTCGCAAGAGAGACGGGTTCGCTCAGACACTTTAGTCTAGTCCATCCTCATTTGGGCAATTCCACTAGGCCTTACCCGCATCAGGATGCTGCCTTTGGAATGGTGTGTATCGCTGATATCGCGCGTAAGTAGTGTACACAGATGGATGACTCGTGGTTCGCTTGGGGCAGTGTGTGAAAGCTGTACCATCAGTCGTAGGTCTCACGATACTTCCAATACAGCCCTCAAATTCCCGCTGGGACCAGCACTGCCAAGCCACTACAGCCAAGCTTCCAAGCAAATCTTGACCGTGTCCAGGAACGGAGACCCCGTAGGCAGTACAAGCACCGGTGACAGCAAGTTCAACCGAACATCGACAAAGCGCACGGAGCCCGAAGCCTCAAACTAGCTTCCCAGTCTTGCCGTGATAACGGCGCCTCCCGCGAGACCCATATGCCACCGGCCGCTATGCCGGTCGATTAGAGGCGCTGGTAACCAGTCGGCTCTATCGCCTTGGGCTCAGGTCTGGCTTGTAATCAAGAAGCCTCAGGAAAAAGGAAGTGATAATGATATCCACATACGTGATGCTCATTTACAATACGATAGTGACCGCTTTGCGAGGCCGTGTCAATTTGCCCAGCCTGCCACAGTCAGATGGCACCAGGTGGACCTCCTGCGGTCTCCAGCATAGGTAGGAAGAGTGTATGGGATCATCAGCCTGCCGGCTTAGCCCGTGAGAAAACTGAGTAATGTGGTAGGATGCAACACAGATACTGGGGATTCGAGACATCTCCATCAACCGGGCACGGTCCTTGCACACATTGCGCCGCATACTTGAGCGGCGGCCAGGCAAGGCGGACGTTCCCAAGCAGAGAGACAGGGTCCATACGTTCGTGCAGACTCGTGCAACTCACGCCCCGTAGCCCATCTGACGCCGCTTAGGCCGTGGGTGGATGAAAGCTGGTGACAACATCATCCGGCGGACTCGTAATCAGCCGAGACCTGTGCCGGTCGGTCGAACGCTGAGATGAGGCGAAACAAGTCATAATCGGATACTTGCTGACCCGCCCAGCCAGAACTGTGAGCTTTGACTTGATGAGAAAATGCTACCTACCAGTGACACATGCCAGCTGGACTTCCTCCCGGCGGAGTCACATTCTGCGGGCCGCACAAAGAGATCGTGCGTTTCCCATTCTTGACTTGTTCTGTTCTGTTTGTCGCCCGGTTGGACGACAGATGTTTGCCACTTCTGACGGACAGCATCTAGTGGGTGAACCATGAGCAAGGAAGTAAACAAACACAGTGGCTGTGACTAGGGCACGCGCGAGCACAAGAGCCCCGGTCTGCACGAGCCTCCCTACCAGCATACTCCAAGACCAAAGAACGGAAAATGACATCTCTCACACGTTCCCAGGAATGAGCCGAGCATTCCGTTTCCAGTCAACTGGGAACTCATGAATGGGGCACCGTCGAAGGCGATGCGCCCCAGGTTGATTGCCCATAGGTCATCGGTGACGGTAGAGCCTCAAGTCATTGGGTGAACACGACGGGATACTGCGTTCTCGGCCTAAGCCACTCGCGCAAAAAGCTCGCCCCATTCTGCCGGCTCTTCGAAGGAGCGCGTGGCCGCCGGCAGAGGATTCCCACTGAGGGGCTTAAGCGAGGGGGGACAGGCTGCACGTTGCCGTCGTCGCGCAGACGCTTGTCTTTCAAGAACAGCAGGTGCAAGCCAGACCCCAGTCAGACCAAGACGTCCTGGAGCTGTGGGTCTCTCCTATCAGATGATGTTAGTAAGTTTGGCGTCGAAGACTAAGGCGCTCACCTCGTTGGTGGCAGATTTTGTGCAAAAGGGAGAAACGCTGGACCCAATGTGATCTCGACGTCATTCCGTCGGACGTTGCATGCTGGGCGAGGGACAACGACCACGACCTGCTCGCCTGAAAGCGTCAGGTAAGCAGTGCACTAGTATGTGCCGGTTTCTATGTCTGGTGCGGCTTTTCCGTACAGCAGAATTTAGCAACCCAGCCCAGGATGAAAAAAGAGGCACAAGTACCTATATGTGACCACGTCGCGATTCGTGGAAGTCACTCGCATGAATGTGCCTGGTTAGAGACGTTCGGAGCCATGGGTGCCCCTTGCGCCGGATGGCCGTTGTGCAGATCCTCCCGTGCGGTACAGCGAGGGCAGCCGACCGTACGGGCAGCGACCTGAAAAGAGTTCCTGCAGTAGTGAGTGGACGATTCGACCGGCAGATGCCGAGGAGGTGCCCAAAAGGTGATGGCGATACTGCGTGCTCCTAATCCCGCCCCTTTTGTGATCAGTTGAGTTGGTTTTCCCCCTTTTCTCTTCCCCGCAAACCAAGACTCA